ATATATAGCACTTTAAGTGTTAATAATACGAGTAGTTATTATATCATCTGTTACGAACCAACGAACAGTGCGGCCTGATAGCAGACCTAAAAGGGACGATTGGAAACAGATTGACAGAGAATGGGGTGCTGATCAGTGGAGAGATCGGAGCAACGGAGCAACGGTACACAGATCATGCGACCAGCTGAGCCTGGGTCACGTGACTAAGAATTTGGATCACTGGATCACCATGGTGATTCAGGGTGAGCCACCTAATCAGTGAGGGAGAGATTGGATATATAAGGACAGACATTTCCCAACCAGATAGATAGACAGTCTCTACCTCAGTGATCAATCTAAGCATCTTAGCCAACCCTAAGGTGGGAGAAATCTCCTGACGACTCGACTACACAGTGAACCCAGTTCAGACCAAGCCCCAGCATCTGAGTGTATTCTAGTTGACAGAAGCCTCTGTCGTCCTTTGTGTTAACTTACCTCAGAACATAAACCCTATAGAACCCTTTAGCCTTATAGGTTAGACGGCTCGTCACATCATCGTAATATTTAAAAAGTTCAAAAAGCCTTTTATGGTTTTTATAAGTAATAAAAGTAGTTTTGTTTTTAACGCCCGTATTTTTGATAAATTTTAATTTAAATAAGATTTAATTCCTAAATTTTATTTTATTATTTTTATTATTTTTAATATTTTTATTTTTATTAATTTTATTTTATTTTTATTTTTATTTTTATTATCTTTATTATTATTATTATTATTATTATTATTATTATTATTATTATTATTATTATTATTATTATTATTATTATTATTATTATTATTATTATTATTATTATTATTATGATTATTATTATTATTATTATTATTATTATTATTATTATTATTATTATTATTATTATTATTATTATTATTATTATTATTATTTTTATTATTATTATTATTTTTATTTTTATTTTTATTTTTATTTTTATTATTTTTATTTTTATTTTTATTATTATTATTATTATTATTATTATTATTATTATTATTATTATTATTATTATTATTATTATTATTATTATTATTATTATTATTATTATTATTATTATTATTATTATTATTATTATTATTATTATTATTATTATTATTATTATTATTATTATTATTATTATTATTTTTTTTTTATTATTATTATTTTATGCAATTATTTTTTCGTGTTTATCTTGTTTTTAAATTCACTAATAGAATCGCTTCTTAAAAATTAAGCTTTAAACCTTTTAATTTTATACACCGAATTTTTAGTCTAGTTCCATTTTAATATATAGCGTTTTCTTATATTTGTTATAAACATTACAATTGGCTATTTAAAGCTTAGTTAAAGCTTAACTCTTCAATTTAACGAGTAATATAAACGAAAGTAGCAATACATTTTGTAAGATCTTTATTCTTACACAATAAATTTGAATGATTTTTTTGAGTATCTTTTTAATACATAATCCTTGTATTTTTTCGTTTTTATTAGACGTTTTTAATATTTTTAAGTCATTTTGAAAGTTAAGTTTTAGTTTTATTTATTTAAGCTATTACGTTTTATAAGCTTTATTATATATATTTCTAATTAATATCGTATAAGCTGAAAAAGAGTGCTTTATTATAAAGATTTTAATTAAAAGGATTTTTACAGTAGCGGATCAAAATAAGATTTAAAGTTAAATCAAGTTTTTTAAGTTTAGAAAAAAAAAATTATTTTCCAAAAAATTTAACGTGATAACTTACACTTTTTTTAACGGTAAAAAACCTAAAAGGTTTATATCGATCTTGTTTAATAATAACGAAAAGTAAAAAATAAAAATTTTAACGGTAAAAAATTATTTAAAAGTTTAATTATAGTTTAATTTTTTTCCCGAATAAGGGTCTTAAATTAAAGTGGTTTCAATTTACGCTTTTCCGGTAATAAACCATTGTTTTTTAAACTCTTAATTTTTTCTTAACGTTTTTTTTTACCACGGCGCGTATAACGTTAACAACCGCTTTACTTTTAATTTTTTATTATTGTCAGATGTTGGATGCCAGATATGGTGCCCTTAGGCACAGTACCCACTAGGGGGCTGTTAAAGGAACAGTGGATCTACCCTGGCATAGTGCAGTATGGTATTTAGCTGTAGATTAGCCCTGCCGAGCATACTTGATAATGACAACAACATTTGCAGCAACCGCTCACACCACCAAAGCTTGTGACCCTTCTAGAATCTCACATTTACGATTTAAATACGATTTATTGATATTAAAAAGGGTTATATCGTTCGATTAATAGTTAGTCAAAGAGTGCTTTTATCGAATATTACTATCTAAATTAAGAAGATGTTATTATAAAAGCATTATTTATAAACCGATAAGTATAATATAAGCGTACTAATAACATTATGTTTTTAAAAAGGTTTATCAACTGTTTATTTGTAATAAAATATATTTAAGTCTTTTATAGGTCCTTATACGACCTGATAGCGTGGCTAATCCCTATATTCCGCTTACAAAGACAGATGGATACTGCTTACATAGATATATTAAACACATGTTGGTCCCAGGGGGAAAGCTGCGTAATATTGTGGATCCAGTGCATGGACCCATATGGAGTATTCTGGTAACCCCACCAGATATGTTGGAGGTTACCTGATGAAGGCTGCCTGGTAACCCTTTGTTGCCCCAGGTACCTCACCACTGTAATTTAGGTATTTAGATACATCTCGGACGGAATCCTTTCCATCCGACCTTTTAATAAAGCACCACCCAGACCACTGATAGATTACAACAAGACTTGTGATTTGTCAGCATCTGGGAAAGCTACCAAAAGGCACAATATCGCCTATCTATGGCTGAATGTTAGCGACCCCTATTGATATTGCCACCAACAAGATTTCGTGAGCCGTCAGGCAACCTGAAGTCCAATTCATTTGCCCAACCGTGGCATTTCGTGTTCAACTTGAGCTCAATGGCCAACATGGGAGGCGCGCGTGCACGAGAGCCAACTCCTTCTTGTCCGTAATGGCGGATGTCGCATTGATGGTCTTTTGTGGTGCAAGGTGGAGAAAATCGCCTTCTGTGATACAGTACTCTCATGTGGCTTCCTCCAACCAAGCTCGAACGGCAGGCGTTCATTCTCTGGAGAGCCCAGTAGCTCAAGTTCGCCCCTGACAGCACAGGCGCAGCTCACAAACTCACCAAAGAAGTACTCTATACAGGACTTGGTGGCCGTACTGGATACCTTGTCGCCTAGAAAAACGAGGTATGCAGCGTCGGGTTGGTCGTTTACAGGTGTCACGCGAGCTTGACAGGCGTTGGTCGCCATTGGACATCAATGACATCGACCAGTGAAAGACTGAGTGTTCCCAAAGTAGAAGTCTACACGGCTGCAGAGTGCCAGGTTAACATCTTCTGTTTTCTCACATAGCGGTCGAGGCGGAACCCAAGTATTGCTACTGCGTGCTCGAGGCGAGATGGCAAAGTACTGTCAGCTGGATTGGCATCAACTACCAACAATAATAGATCAGAGACAATATTAACACCAAGCTTGCATCGTGCTCCAAGATGTTGTATTTGTTCAAATCACGGAGGGAGAAGGTCGTGCCGTTCGGCGTGGGGTCGGTGGTGATAGCCAGGTCGTACAAGGACTTTCCAATGGAAGGGCGATATTTGAATGTTTCGTACTATGGTATAAGAAAAGCGTGACTACCTCGTCTTCTCCATCGTCGCCCTCGCGAATATGCTATAAGCCTCGAAAAAACTAATGCAATCACTCAGCAGCACCTCGACCGTGGGCCCACATCTAGACGCAACCTCTCATTACAGCCCCTCCCCTATAAGTCTCCGTCCGCGCGCTCGAGAATTTCTTAACTATCAGGATACATGCAATAAGATTAGCACCCTATAATAAGCAGTTATATACTCACAAAGCAGCTCATTGCTTATTCCAGAGTTCTTCTACTAGAAAAATATCCTGAATATTCAAGTCCTTGATTGCGAGGTGTACGGGGACTTCTGGGGGTTCAGAATACTCAACATGAGGGGCCATCAGTTCCAGCACTGAGCCAAGACTCAAGGGCACCATTATTGGAAAACCGAAGTCCTGCACCAACTGTTGCCAGGCGAAGTTGGCCTGCGATGCTCAAGAAGAACTCCCTACCTGCGCGCAGGGTGTCATGCCAGGAAAGCGAGTACCGCTTTGACAGCAATTCCAAGGATATACCCAAACGGCGGCATATGGCAACCAGCTTCCTGACCCTTCTGTATACTAAAACGCTCATGTCGCCTATCTCGTGTCGCGCAGAGCTTGGCCAACGAGTTCTATCCCGTCACAACTTGGCAGAATGCCCCTAGAGCCACCTCATAGCATGCCCCTGACGCGAGTACGTGGTCAAGATTAATAGACAGCCAGTCAGTCGTTGGCACCAGAGGAAGAAGAGCCTTTCTTCCAAGTCGTTGAGACCGATGAACCTTCAGAGCTCCTCCTCTTGGATGGTCTGAGCGTTCCTATACAAATCCTCGATGAACTGTCTGAGCAGTATGACCCACAAAGACCATGCCGTACATATCTGTTTCAGTTACCGTCTGAACTCGAATCCTTCCTTAAACATGCAAGTTGGACATATATGCCATGGGTCTCATGCTGGATTTGAATACGAGCACAGTCCCAACCCACATCGTCAAGCTGCAAGAACTTCTCCTTCTTGGGCTGAGTTCTGCGATCAGCCACGTAACCCACACGAAGAAGGAGAGCCTGTTACCAACCGTAGGGGAAGAAGCAGGGCCGCCTAGCCTGGGGCAGATCGCTTTCTACCGTACCAAATTTTCATCAACTCCTATTCGCTGCCGCATTTCTATTTGGGATGTCTCCCAGGACGAATATGACGACCAAGGACCAGAGACACCTCGACTGGCAGGGCATGGGGAGGCAAGTGAGATATATCAAGTCTATCCATAACAACATGATCTCGCCAAAGGCTGCGCGCACGTTGAGAGGCTCATCAACATGGCCCGCCCGGGCAAGACCGGGCATGATACAGCGTCATTCCAAGAGCTCGCCATCACGAATCGCTTGGGGGCATCACTCATATGGGATACTGTCCTCCGCGCGCGAGGTCGGGGGTCAAAGGGCAAGCACGCCAATCAAATGGAGCAGGCTCAGCAGCACACCTCTGGAGCCGAGGACGGCGCGATGAACAGTTTCCTGTCAGCACCTGACGCGACATCCCTGGCTTCACATCTGGATCAGATGTCGCTTGAGATTCCACCTTCACAAGATCTCATGGGTGCAATTTGGACTATGTGGGATGGAGGCATCGACAGTCTGGGATACGACATCAATCGAAGCAGGCAATTTGGTACGGTAGCGCTACCGGTACTTAACCCCAAGCTATGGATAGAGCAGGCACGAGAATGACGATAAATCCATGACTTGCTGTGCGATATACACGGTTTGAATATAGCAAATTAGTAACCTCAGAACACAGTAGGAAAAAGACGGGGTTCAATTTTATCACATATGAGCTGTGATAGAGGTCTACCCCTTAACCCCTTTGTTACTCGGGGCTTAAGCTCTAATAGCGCATAAATCGGATTAGCGCATGAAAAGCCAAGGCTTTGGTGGGGGTGGGAAAGACGCGGCCAGAGATCCCCCTCCAAATAATTTCTGTGACTCAAGTTGACCTATCGCTCCGTGACGACGGATTGCGCAGCACACTCGAGAACCCATTCTGAACCTGACCCTCTGGAGGATTTAACGCCAACATGCCTACCATATCATGCGACAAATATGACCTCTTCGAGGCGCTGGGGCAGAAGTGCGTCCATGCCCCTCCATCGAGCCGAGCCCGGTGTCCCACCCGCTGACCGCGAATGCAGATACACCACAGCCGAGTTCGAGGACCTCTGCTTCGACTTCGGCATCGAGCTGGATGAGGACACGGAGAACGACGACAGACCGACGGTCAATGGCGTACAAGAGCCTCCCCAACTCAAGATCGAGATCCCCGCCAACCGATATGACATGCTATGTTTCGAGGGCATCGCCCTCATGTTAAACATCTTCCGCGAGAAGCAGTCCGTCCCGAACTTCAGACTGATACAACCGGCGGCCGGCGACCTAACGACGATCACGGTGCTGGAGGACACTACGAAGGTTCGGCCGCTGGTTGCGGGTGCCATCTTGCGCAATGTCAAGTTCACCCAGAAGAGCTATGACTCCTTCATCGGACTACAAGACAAGCTGCACCAGAACCTTGCCCGAGGCCGCTCCCTAGTCGCCATTGGTACCCACGATCTGGATACGGTGCAAGGTCCTTTCACGTACGAGGCGCGACCACCGAAGGATATCAGCTTCACGCCCCTAAACCAGACGAAGAAGATGACAGGAGAGGAGATGATGGCTTTCTACGAGAAGGACAAGCACCTGGGGAGATATCTACACATCATTCGGGACAAGCCAGTCTACCCAGTTATCTACGACGCCAACAGAGAAGTCTGCTCGATGCCGCCGATTATCAACGGCGACCGCTCCAAGATCACACTCAACAGCAAAAACGTCTTCATAGAATGCACAGCAACCGACGCGACGAAGCTGGACATCGTCGTCAACATGATGGTAGCCATGTTCTCGTGCTACTGCGCGGAGGAGTTCACCGTCGAGCCCGTCAAGATCATCTCGGACCACAACGGCCAGACAAGGATAACGCCGAACCTCAACCACCGGTCGCAGATGGTCGAGATCGACTACCTGAACGACTGCCTCGGGCTCTCCGAATCGCCCGAGGTGATGTGCAAGCTGCTTTCCAAGATGGCGCTCGACGCCAAGCCGTCCGGCAGCGACAAGAACCTGATCGAGGTGTCGATACCGCCGACGCGCGCGGACATCCTGCAGCGGTGCGACATCATGGAGGACCTGGGTATCGCGTACGGGTTCAACAAGCTGCCGCGCATGACGGTGAACAAGAACGTGGGCGCGCCGCTGACGCTCAACAAGCTGAGCGACATCGTGCGAACCGAGTGCGGCATGGCGGGCTGGTCCGAGGTGATGCCGCTGATCCTGTGCAGCCACGCCGAGAACTTCGCGTGGCTCAACCGCGCCGACGACGGCACCTCGGCCGTGCGCCTCGCCAACCCCAAGACGGCCGAGTACCAGATCGTGCGCACGTCGCTGCTGCCGGGCCTGCTCAAGACCATCCGCGAGAACAACCACCACCGCGTGCCCATCAAGGTCTTCGAGACGGCCGACGTGGCCTTCAAGGACGACACCGTCGAGCGCCGCGCCCGCAACGAGCGCCACTTCTCGGCCGCCTGGTACGGCCGCAGCAGCGGCTTCGAGGAGGTTCACGGCCTGCTCGACCGCGTCATGCTGACGCTGAAACAGGCCTTCGTGTCGCGCGAGGAGGGCCTCCCCGCCAGCGGCGCCAAGAACATGGACTTCGAGGTCCGCCAGGACCATACCAAGCGCGACGGCTACTGGCTCGAGCCTATCGACGAGGCGACCTTCTTCGGCGGCCGCGCCGCCGCCATCTACCTCCGTCTCGGTGGCAAGGAGGTCCGCATCGGCGAGCTCGGCATCCTGCACCCCACCGTTCTTGAGAAGTTCGACATCAAATACCCCGTCAGCACCCTCGAGGTGAATATAGAGGCTCTGTTATAAAATGGCGATGGTGATAAAGATGCGCATGTCACGTCAATAGGCGGCTACGGACCGAAGATGGAGGAATGAAATGAGTAAAAACCGTGGTGGGTATCTACGCAAGCTACTTGGCTACCAGATAGATGCAAATTCACGGCACGAGCTCGACAGGTCTCCACGTCATATCCATGGTTCCACGAAGTTCAAATAGAACGAGAGATCATCGTAATCATAGAGCGCTACTCAGTACGCAAGTGAGGTCTTCTTCGTCCCAGGTATTTTATGGTGGCTGTGCTAGTAGTACAGGATTGTTCTGTCCGTTTCTCTAGGTGTTCTCCAAAGAATACCGCCCACGCCTGTATCGATGCTATGCCATCCATGCCCACCCAAAGTCTTCAAGTTCCACCAGCGTGATACTTGACTCCTTCCAACCCGTTCATCATCCCAGTAACTTCACCATCTTCATACAGAATGGCTCAGGAGTTAAATCATCAGCTCATCTCCAGACTGCCCTTGGGCATATCCGAAAGTTCCTGCCCCCCTTTTTTTGGCGTGTTCTTTCCGCTGGCAGACGAGCTCCCATCGCCGCCTGAACCCCCAAATAGTCCGCGTCCAATATCTAGACCAGCAACCCCCTCCCTCAGCTTGGTAAGGTTCGTTGAGAAAGCACCCGGCGTATCAGCGCTGGCGCTATGCTTGAGACTGGCTTTCGACGTGTGGTTGGGCGTGAGGGCCTCATAAGCCGACTCCACGCCGGTCAGCACGCTCTTGCTCATAGGCATGCCAGGCGGCTTGGGGCTGGATGGCGGTTGGGGAGATCTGCTGCCATTGCTCGGCGATCCTGTAAACGAGCCCGACGACATGGCGTAGCTGCCGATCTTCTCTTCTCGTGCGGCAGCCAAATCCAAGTGTTCATTCATCTCCTCGTCGGTTCGTCCGAAGCATTGCGCCCACCACCGCACCTCTGAAAGCTTGGGGAAAATCAACCTCTCGCGACCGCTTTGGCGATCATCGACTGTGGGATCGTATGCCGGGTTGATAAACTGTTGCTTGCGGGACAAGAAATAGTCCCAAACTGACCTCGTCCTCTCGCGCGCGTGCGCGTCCATGCGAGCTTTCTCATTATTCCAGAGGAAACTGCCGTATTGCCCAGCATAGAGGTGATAGAGAAGACGCCGCAAAAACCGCTCACCATACTCAAATCGATTGGGGTGCTGTCGCAAAAGCTGGTAGGTAGCATCAAGAAACTGGTGGAAGACCGGCGAGATCTCGTTCGGCCGGGTAGCTTCACTAGCTTCTGGCGTCCCAGAGGTAGATTTTCTACCATGAGCTTGGTCATCTGGCGAGGCAAGACTATCAGCCTCCGAGTCGACACTTCCATCTGGACTACGGTTCTTGTTGAAGAAGCGTTTGGCGCTGGCAATCGCATTCTCGAAAGCTTCGCCTGCTCGACCATCGGACTCTCCAGGCTGCATAGTCGAACCAGCCAAAGCATCCCGCTCAGTGACAAACCACTTCTCATGACTTAGCGGGCCAGCACGTGTCTGAAACATATGCCCAAAAGACATCCAGTCCTTCTCAACCAGCACAACGAATCCGTCTATAGTGCGGTAGTAGGGATCTAGCATCAGTTGAGAAAGGGCCGATAGCTGACTTGTGCGGTCCCAGCCATCAGAGCAATGAATTAGGACATGCGAGTGCCTTATGCCGACCTGCCGTGCAATCAAGGCTGAGCCGTCAAGGACGCCAGTGATATGTTTTAGCCAACCACTTTTGGCGAGGATCTCGCGGTTGGGAGGTAGGCTGGAGATATCGCCATCTCTGATGGCGTCTATGACCGTGTTGAGGGATTCTCTCATGACGTGGATGTTCTCGATGTTTAGATATGCCTTCTTGGCGAATTTGTAGTTTTCCATGTTCTCAGAGCCCTTGCCAATCGCCTGCATCGCAATCGCGTTGATAGTGGGTCTTGCATCGACGATGAGATTGCTCTGTTGCGCGCCATATATCAGCCGTTTACCGGTTTTGGTGTCGATATTAGCGTCACCGCCGGCTATGAGCTCGTCCTCGAGGCGCTCCGTGTCCGTGGTCTCAGCATCTAGACTAGCTGCGCGTAAGTCGGCCTGGCTGGAAGATGGACTGGGTTCAGCCATGCCCTGTGAGTGCGCTTCGAGCGTATTAAACTCGACTGTGGCCGACGCAGAGAAACAGGCGCTGACAAGTTTCTCATCTTGAATACTGCGGTTTCCCCTGAAGCCAACCAAGGGCTGAGAGCTGCGAGTTATCGAGCAATTATTAAGGGAATGAAGATAGGTCAAGGCGGGTATCCGCTGCCTAGACCTATATGATCCGGCATACTTGATGACATTGTCGGAAATCTTGGAGGGGACGACCAGCAGCCCGGGGTAGGTTGGGGAGAAAGCGTAGTCCTTGTTTATCAGGGAGATCCTCCAGCCCCTATCCACCGACTTGGTGCTGATGCCTTGCCGCCGAAACTCAGCTCTCGGGTCATAGAAGTCCCACCCATTCAGCTGTTTCTCCCCTTGCAAGGGCTGGTAGCAGAAAGCGTATAATTTTTCGATCGTACCAAGGCGGCATGTTCGGTTGCGAATGAACTCAAAAGCTTCTCGCGCACCAACCTCATCCTTGAAGGCGAGGTTTATGAAGGTAAAGTCACGACCACGTAGCCGTATCGAAGAGGGGCGCCCCGTCACGCTCGGGCATGGTCGGAAGGTGCAGTGAGCTATGATGGGGTACGCGATGTAGGACTCGCGGGTCTTCGGCGCATTCGGCGGCGGCGTTACCCCATCAGGAAACACGTTCGGAGATGAGAATATGATGTGGTGATCGGTCAGACGAAGTTCGCCCGAGTGCTTCTCGCCATGTCGGATAGCATCGACGTTGGGTATCTGGATTATCGGCCTGGATCAGCACGGCTCTTCGGAAGGATACGCGTCGACTGGCTCTACGCGGAACCGACCAAGGGACTCTCCGTACATGCTTGGGCTGCATCTTGATTTCTCTGTGTACTGCAGGCAGAGAAGTACTCAAGGGAACTCAAGGGGGTTGATGGCGTGGCCGTTTGGGCTGGCGGCGCATTTGATCAGCGCAGCTTGGGTTGCCCGAAGGCTCACTGCAAATAGGTCTGTAGGTAGGTACAGCGAACGCGTGGAGGAGGTGTGACCGCTCGGCGGCTTCTAAGGGTTGAGCCTTGGAGTGTCGTGCATGGCGGTCGACATTCAAAGCAAAGAAGAGGACCGGTTGTGCCTGTTCTCTTGGTCGGCGGCCCCTATGATCATGGCAACACGTTCGAAGTGGGCGGGCACTTGTGACCGGCCGCAACGTCAGGTCAGACCAGCCGGCTCAGCTGATGCTTAATACGATATATGCTAATATCCCCCCATGACTAGGAACAATACCATACTTTGCGGTGACCACGAAGAATAGTCCCAAGAATACTCAGTCTAGACTGAAGAGGTTTGGGAACGGAGAGGTACATCCACTGAATATATTCCTGTATATGTTAATTCTTTCTAGTAGGCGTCGTTGTTCTTGTCTCTCCAGTACCTTGGTACCTCATGATACATGGTATATAAGCATATTAGACCCCCTGCAGACTGCAAGGCTGACAGGTCGGAGAAGACATGACCGACGTCACACTAGCCACAGCCCCCTGTCTCGTCAAGGACATCTGCAGCCCGCCAATCTTATCGTTCATGATAAGATAGTGGACGGTCTCAGCTGCCGGACCACACAAACCCTAAGCCAGCACAATTGCGCCCAAAATTCAAACAGTGTATTACCACTGTCAGCGCAACCTCCACCAAAGTCGGCCTGCTCTTCGATTTTTCGTGAGAAGTGCATCGCCCATCCCGCAGCTCGACCGACCGACCGACCACCATCAACCTCCTCCACCCCACCACATTTCGAGCAGTCATCAACCAAGAGGAAAATCAGTCAAGATGGCCACTCCCGGTGCTCAGATGTAAGTTGGCATCTCTCTTTCAGCAGACAGCGATGCATTTGCCAATTTCACCCGAACCGCCTGCCCCTCCATTCTCGAGATTGGAGGGTTCAAGTCGGACCTCACACAACGACCGACCCTGATCAACAGGCTGACATGTCGTCTCCCACAGTTCCAAGCGCAGAAAGTTCGTAGCTGACGGTGTCTTCTACGCCGAGCTGAACGAGTTCTTCCAGCGCGAGCTGGCCGAGGAAGGCTACTCCGGCGTCGAGGTCCGCGTCACGCCCACCGTCACCGACATCATCATTCGCGCCACGCACACGCAGGAGGTCCTCGGTGAGCAGGGCCGCCGCATCCGCGAGCTCACCTCCCTCATCCAGAAGCGCTTCAAGTTCCCCGAGAACAGCGTCTCCCTCTATGCCGCCAAGGTCCAGAACCGCGGTCTGTCCGCCGTCGCCCAGTGCGAGTCGCTGCGCTACAAGCTGCTGAACGGTCTGGCCGTCCGCCGCGCCTGCTACGGTGTCCTGCGCTTCATCATGGAGAGCGGCGCCAAGGGTTGCGAGGTCGTCGTCTCGGGTAAGCTGCGTGCCGCCCGCGCCAAGAGCATGAAGTTCACCGACGGCTTCATGATCCACTCCGGTCAGCCCGCCCGCGACTTCATCGACCACGCCACTCGTCACGTCCTGCTGCGACAAGGTGTGCTGGGTATCAAGGTCAAGATCATGCGCGGCTCCGACCCCGAAGGCAAGGCCGGCCCGTCCAAGTCCCTGCCCGACGCCGTCACCATCATCGAGCCCAAGGAGGAGTCGAGCATCGTCACCCCCATGAGCCAGGACTACGGTGCCAAGGCTGCACAGGTCCAGGCCCAGGCCGAGGCCGCCCGCGCTGCCGAGGAGGGTGGTGAAGAGGAGGCCGCTCCGGCCGAAGAATAGGCTTGAGGCGGTCGGTGCTGGACTCCTCAACCCGCGACAGGGGCAGTGGTAGTGGACTGAATGCGAAGAAATGGAGTTGGTTCTTCACGGGCAACTTTTCGGCGTCTTGATGATCATTTGCATTGCACGGAGGGAATATGAACAGACAAAAACGGATTCCCATGGTCGATTCTGGGCTGTAACGGTATCTACCCGCTGAGGAGAGCCGTAGACTGCGATATAGCAATCGTCACGAGTGAACACATACCAACGGTCTTGAGTTTGATAACTAGTGATGATAATGTGATATTCGACTATTCAGCTAGTATGACTCCCAAATACTGGTTACGTCGGTATTCTCCTCATGGTCGCCAAATTACAAGCTTGACTCGATCCTGGTACAATTAATGCGCTTTTTATACCTTTGTTCCACGATATGCATTTCCTTCAGTCAAGTCGATCTTGCTTCAGAAGGCAGGTATTTTCAACAACCATTGAAACAACACCGCCGCCGTCCGTATGACCTCATGCTATTAGCGTTTCAGCAGCTGCATTAGATTAGATATACTGTCATTGGCAGAGGTGGAATCCAACCATTCCCTGATGTGTTACTCGGAATGCCGTTCTCGCTACATGTCTCTGATTAAGAATACCTACTCACCCGACTTCATTGATCGTTCAATCCAAACCAGAGACGACTAGCACCACCACCTGTCACCGCGTCTTGCGGGCATTGAGCTTGAATTGCGTGCATACGACATCACGCCCACTCAATGTAGCCGTTCTAACTGCTGTCATCTTGCCCATGGATAGTTTTTGACAGCTTTCATACATCTAAAATGTATGTCGTCCAGTCTCCAGTGTGAAGACATACCCTTGCTCTCGTCTCGCATCACAAGACGTGTTTATCTCCCGTTGCTTTCCCATACAATACTCATACAGCAAGATATCAGGTAGACAGATAGATAAGACGATGATAAGAGGTAGACGAAAGCACACACCCAGGCAGCTTGCTGCTGGTCCACTTCCATCAACATTCACATGTCTTCCACACAACGCCGTTCCAGTGCCCACCAGGGCGGCGGCCCTTCCTATAAATGCGCCCCCAAAACAGATCAATGCTTCCCGGAACGCCCGTCATTTGCTTCCCATGGTTCCCTTTCCCTCCTCTTGAGGGAGATACGTAACTCCAATGTAAGAATGCCGGATTCCCTGTCGTCCAAGGGGTTCGTGTGACCCATTCAAATCTAGATTCCAACAAGAAGCCGTGACTGTAGATCGTTTTCCACCCCATGGAAACATTGCGCGTAATATGTCTAGCCTCGTGATGTGAAATGGATTCGCCGGTAAGAGAGAAATATACAGATGCGGTCGTGGGTATGTTGTTAAGGTCATGCATGAGTGATAGAGTGCTAATTCGCCTCTAAAACGAGTCTGGTACAGTAGCATCATCGCTCTGACGATTTGCGGTTGTCCATCTCGATGGATTCGTATTCCTTCCGTTGGTGTCCATTGGCGCGTGGCCGTCTTGATGACTCGTCATCGCTGTCTTCCGCGAGGTCGGTCAATCCAAACCCACCCGACGCTTGTTCTTCATCGTATGCACGCATCAATCCGTCTCTATCGGTGTGGCCCCTACTTCCCTCGCTTAACCGGCGATCCGTGCTTCTCCGAGCTTGCATACTGAGTCGCGTCTGAATGCTCGAGATCATGTCCGTCCCTCCGACATCGGTAGCCTGTCCAGCCAGCATCTTGGTTCCATGAGGATCCCGTCGTGAAAGGTTTAGCAGGTAGACACCGGTGAACGTCACAAGGAAGCCGCACAACAGCGAAAGGGTGTTGGTCACATCTGTAGTGTTGAATCCGGAGAAGAGGATGAACGAGGCGCAGAGCGTAGCTGTGGTAAAGGTAACGTAGTAGAGGGGGTTCACACTAATTCAACGTCAGTTTCACTCCAATACCGTCGCCTACTTCAGGGGTAACCATACATTTGCGTGCTGAATTGACTCAATGCCTTATTGAAGTAGTTCATCTGGGTTAGAATGCAGACCGCCGTCGTGATCATGAAGACGTAGGTCGAAGGGTGAGTGAACTGGTTGTTGCCGTTGAAGGTGAGTTTCAACGCAATGCCGAACGCCTTGACAGACATGACCGACACGGAGCCGACGGTCGAGCAGATCGAGAGATAGATCAAAGGGTTCTTCTTCCCGTGCACTGGAGCGATCCTGTAGATCATGACGCTCGCGAACACTGCTACGGCCGCGCAGTAGAACAGGAAGCCTTAAAACGGCATTAGTAATTACGTTTGCAACCACTCGTAACACTGCTGCTCTCTACTCACCTGGTTGGATGGCATAATGCAAGATCTGGTCGAGATTCGTGATGTCCTCATCTGGGGGGGCATGAAGCACGATAATGATGGCTCCCAACAAGCAGATGGCGCAGCCCAGTCTCCCCAATGTCCCTAGCTCTTCTTTCAAGAAGTACGAGCCCAAAACAGCCCCTATCAGGACTGAAAGGGCGCCTAATGGCGTTACCAGAATGGCTGGGGCGAAGGCATATGCTGCGAAGTTGCAAATCTCTCCCACAATCACTAAAACACCGGCCGTAAGCCTCGCTGCCAATCGTATCGTCTGGGGAAAGATGCTTACTGGTCACGATTCCTGCCCACCATATTGGGTTCTTCAGGTATACGAAACCATCGCCAGAGAAACCATGTTTCTCCTCTGATTGTATTAAACCCTGGGATGTATCAGTTCCGATTCGTCATGGTAGGTAGAGTATGTCGGCTGGAGGAGGTCCGGCCATGATTAGCTCGTGGTGGTCTGGGTTGGCGTACCTTTTTTGTGATGACAAAACTCGTGCCTGCGGGACAAAGACAGTTAGATAGATGTGTGCGATGCGAGTGGCAGGCTCCTTCTCAGGTGAATTCGGACTTACCAATGGCCAAACTTGACGATATGGCCAACGCCAATCCGATATACCTGTATGAAGGTCCATGTCAGCCCAGGATCGTAAAGGGCTACGACATTGTCGCATTGTCCGGGAGGCATGGCAGATGGGTCGAGGTGCCCAGGCGGGAGAAAGGGCAATCGTACTTCTCGTCTAACATCATCTTGCAAAGAATGCGCTGGCAGCGACCCTGAACGCAGCCAAAGCGGGTGTGATGTGGTCGGCGGTCAAAACGCGGTCGCCGACGATGATGATGGTGATTACTACCAAGGGTCGCGATCTCGCGCCGGGCGAGGGCTGTCGGTGATGGGGTTCAGGTGTGCGTTTGCGCGTGGCACCCTGGATCAGCAGATGCCACGATGGCCCAAAATAGCGGCGGAGTCGGCTGCGCCAGTCAGGGAAAGGCCGACGGCAGACAGTAGACGGGACAGTAGACGGTCGTACAGTCGTCGGTGCAGGCGTTGACACGGGACAGTTTGTCGTGACCTATTCGAGTCGGGTCATGCAGGGCATCGGCAATTGCAAATCGCCAGATGGTGGGCCGAGCGGCGAGGCGTCAAGGCGTCGAAGAGCCAAGGGATAAGAGATGCTTTGCGACAGTCGGTTAGGTTGGGCGGGGAGGTCCGAGGTCAAAGGTCAAAGGCCAGACAGGTTGGTTGAATGGAGGTTGCCGACTGGAGAGAGTGTTGCTTCGTGGTCTCTTTGCGCAGGCCGAGGTGCAGTGGTGCGAAATGCAAAAGGTTGCGAACAAGTGAACAGTGAACAGCACTTGAAGATTGAAGACCGGACTGAAGAGTGGTGGCAGAGTTTCAGAGGCCCACCACTTGGTTAGAGTCACGTACCCCTGGTGCGCCCTGGCTTGCAACGGATGTCTCTTCGGCGGGTAAACCTGCTGAAGCCTGTGACTGTAGCGGGTGCTGGAGCCAGGAACATCCAGTCAGCCACCCAGTCAATTGAAGGCAGGGACCGGGAAACAATGGGGATCGGGGGGACCTGGACCACTGGGGTTACGGGTACCGGTCTTTTACTCAACCTTGGAGGTTAGGTCTACTTCTGCCAGGTACAGTAATGTGCCCACTGATTCAGTGATTGGAACATTTGATCGGATTACTGTCTTCAAAGAGCCAGAAGAACAGGGATGCATGCAACCCTGGAAAATAGATAATGAACAATGCAAATCCAGATGAATGACGAGGGCCGCGCCGGGCAACTCGTATCTTACCTACCAAGTATGTACTTCCTCAATCAAACAAACACAGATGCCACCACTGCCGACGTGAAACATTGGCGGAGAGGCGCCAATGTTTTTAGCTGGAAGCTTGAGAAAATCGCCTGCCCACATCTGGCACATCATCGTGTCCCAGGCCCACAATGAGCTCGGTGTCCAGTTTGCGTGTCAGGCACAGCCTCATCGAGCATACGCAGTCGTGGCGCCAGGGGTCGGTCACATTGCACCTATCTTCCGTCTCTTGCATCTCTGCCGAGGGCTCTCATCCTATCCGTACCTTGCAGGCTTGCATGCAGCCTCGGGCGGGCGTTTATTACTCGTGGCCCGTGAGCCGTGATAGTTAGAACTTAGAACAGGGTGCAGGGGGCCAATCTTCAAACACGCGGAACACGCGGAACACGCCATTGAAGTGACGTTTCCTTGTCGGTGTTTCCTATCCCCAACGGCCGATCATTCATTGTCAAGCCAACAGCATGTAGTTGGCCCTTCATTTGTTCACTCGGTACACTCATATATGTTCTGCTTGCGACATAGGCCTCGTATTGGCCACCTAATTTCTGACTCGTATCGTCAATGCTGTTGACGGCAGAGGCAAGAGGCGGAGCAAATCTGTCTCCACTGTATAGATCGATATTGTCAACCTCATGACACAGTCTTCCGGTCATCCGGCTACCTAGGTGACACACTTCAAACTTTTATAGCTTTGGAAGTTCATTGCACGCGAATTCGAACATCAACATTGTTATACACCAAATCGCATGGACTTGTAGTTGTGTATTCATCCGCACTGCCACCTGATCTATCCACACAGATGACCAACAATTGCTGCCACGCCATCTTCAGCATCCTTCATGTGCTCCATACACGTACTGAGATACAAGTTGACACCCCTCTGAGAGCCATGATACTCCTACAATTCTGTTTGCGAACGCCTTACGTGAGAAGCCACCACCGTAGCACCACAAAAGGCCTGGGTGTTTTCCCGGAACTCCTGAACAGCCTAGATCCGCCTGACCAGCTGATGGATATCCTGGGTATAAGATATGACGAGACATGTGAAAGCAGAAAATCAGAAGCGACGCAAGATGCAAGCCGTAGCGCCCTACTTTCCCGGTCCAGGTCGGCGATTCTCTCACTCGCCATCATTTGTCGTTATGACTTACCGTTTTGGAAATTCTGGAGTCGGTGACCATTTTCCGAACCTGCTTTTGTTAGTAATCGAAACAGACTCTATGACCGGCACTTTGACGAAGAGCTCGAACTTGAGTGACCGCAGGCGCTGCAAGTTCGACATCAGCGAAATACGGGTGTAACGACTTGCGCTGCAAGTCTTTGGGGGAAGGCTGGGAGGTTGAGAGGAATTGGGGGTTGATGGCCAGGTCGCAAGGATCAAGACCGACGACGCTTGTTATCTGGACCAAAGTTAGTAAGGAAGCTACCAAACATACAGGGGGGTGAGGACATACCGTTCTCTTCACCTGCGCCATCCGACCCGTCCGCATCGTCCCGGGTCCGCTTGCCAAACGTTGCAGATGAGGGTGACACTTGTACCGTCTGCTTGGAAGTGGTCATGCTTTCCTTCTTAGCGTCCTCGTTTTCGGACTCCCAAGTGATCTCATCATCAACGGGCAACTTCAAGGATCCAGAAGCGCCAGAGCCGTGCTTCGATGGACTGGCGTCGTTCGTACCGCCATTTGCCTCATCGTCGTCTGAGTAGTCAATTTCGTCCTGGTCGTCGCCATTCAGTGTGGCCGTGGCGCTGGTGTTGTCTGAGTTGAGAAAGTCGCCAGCTACCGTGCCTGCCATGGCCGGGGGTGCCTGTTGGTTCATGTTACAAGCCTCGGTAGTGTCAGGCCCATTTTGCGGTTCCTGAACAGTGAGGGCGTGGTTTTGCAACGACTCGTTGGCCGGTTGATCTTGAAGAACATGAGTGTTAGTGTATGCACTTGTGGTTTCAAGGTGTTGGGGACCCGATGCGATATGGCGGGTAGGAAGTATGATGCGAGCGCCTGTCCTTAATGCGTCGAGATGTGGGGGAGTTTCTGTCCGGAAGTTGACTTGGTGAGACAGATGGGTCTCGACAGCACCATCGGACAAGTCTGGTCTTTCACTACTCCTTTGCCAACTTCCATCAACCAGCTCGAGCATAGTCTCAAAACAGTCTTCGCATTGACAGCCGCTCTCCCAGTCGCGAACAAAAGGGGGTACGGACACAAATGAGAAGGGAGAGTTACCCTGTGTGGATGAAGGTATATCGAGTTCTTCATCAGAAAAGTCAATCAGGTCATCCGCATGTGGGTTATCTCCGCCACCCTTGGTGTTCCCGTCTAGTTGTGCGGCTTCACCTTGGAATGTGTCTGCATCCGCTGGAGCATCCTCTACCGAAGTGTGCGATCGGTGATGATCTGTTCCTGCAGTGTTGTTGGCCCCCGTGGTCGTGTCGAATGCATCGGCATTCTCAGCGGCATTCTCATCGGCTTCCTCATCGGCTTCCTCACCGGCTTCCTCGTCGGCTTCCTCGTCGGCTCCTTCGTCAACACCTTCTAGGAGATGATATACTTCATCAACACCTTCACCATTTAGTGAAATGTCTGGATGCTGACTCGCTGATTCGCTTTCAAGCTCGTCCTCAAGCTCGTCCTCAAAGGGCGTCGATTCTCGATAAACAGCAATCTCAGAAAGACCTCTACCTGCGTTTGCGCTATCCAAAAGCGCCACGAGGCGCTGATTGCAGTTGGGTTTCACCATCAGAAAGGTGTACAGGTCTGGAGAAGATTCGGCTGCATCATTTTTGACAAGTCTTTCATAAAGACGAAGCACATCCCCGAAAGTGTACTTGGTGAGGAAATCATTTGCAGTAGACTGTAGCACAGTTAGTTGGATCTGTTCACCTACTGAGCGGGAATTTGTCCTTACCTCTGAGAACTCTAGACCAAGCCCGTCTACATGCAACACCAATTCATCCAGAGGAGAGATTTCCTCAGAGACGACATCCCGCAAGCTCGACATGAACTGCGAAAGGGGCAGATCAAGTGCTGACATGTCACTCAAGAAATACTGATTGGTATCATCATCTTCGGACTTAGCGAAGAGTTTGTAATCCGTTTGGCCATATGAAATATACATCTCATGCCGAATCGCGATCGAAGTTGCAGCTTCTACGGGGGAGTTGCCAGCAGCGGAGCCTGCACCCTGTTGTCCGGCTGGTGGTGAAGGATGTAAGTCCTCAACCTCGGGCTCTAAGCGAGCTGCCGGGCTTCCAGGGGCTTTGGCATCGCGCAGTTGGTCCGTGGAGGAACTTTCATCTAGGGGGGTTTGGTCATTGGTGAGCTCGGGGTATGAGGCCCCAGCTGAATCTTCCGGAGCATTATAATCGGTCGTAGCTCCGTCCTGTCCATCGTGCTCTTGTGGCTCAGCATCTTCTCCGTCTACCAGATCTTGCTCCAAAGGCACGGTGGGGTCCAATTCTTCCGCTTTTGCAGTAGCAATGTCACCATCAGTATCGTCATACTCAGTCTCGCCAACTTCATCGTGATGGTGGACGGCTTGTTCTTCTGCCTGGTTCCCAGATTTGGGCATTTCATGGGTAGGACTGGTGTCTCTGATGGAGGGCAGCTCGTCGGTGCCTTTGGCTTGATGGCTGTCAGGACTTCCGCTTTCTGGGATTTCCGCAGTACCTTCAGCTGTTTGGCCTAGCTGTTCCTGCTGCCCGGACGACGCGCTGGCTTCTGTGCCAATAATGCCAGAGGCCTCGGCTGCATCCTCGCCATGTTGGGATACCCCAAAGTCTTGAGATCCATCTCCTCGAGCAACATCTGTACTTGCTAAAGGCAGTAGGCCACCGTTGGCCACATTTGTTGCATTAGGATCTTGGTACACTGACTCATCCTGAACTTGAGCAACTGAATCTGCGAGGAGGTTCATTGATGACTCCTGCCAGTTGCTGTCACCTGGCGCGAGAGCCTCGGTGTTCATGTTGTCCGCGCCAGTGTCTGCGTCCTCAGCGTAGTCAATCTCAGAAGTATTGCGAAAGGCCTCGTCACGAGTAGAGTCGTGCTGCCAGAGATTCTCATCGGTGTCCCCAATGTCAATCCCGATATCGTTGGCCGCCGCGGCTGCCTCGTTGTGGTCGATATCATCGGCATCAATCATGCCGTACGAGGCATCGTCGCCTTCGGCCATCAACTCATCGCGAGTATCCGTGTTGAAGTTCGGGATGTCCTGCGCTTGGTCATAATCGCCAAGCTCCATGTCCTCGTCAGGCTGTGCAATGGGGAAATCGATATCTATGTCGATATCCTCACCAAAGCCGTGAGGACCAAGGTCGGTTGTAATCTCCATATCTTCGTCCGGCATCGTCGCGGTGGTTCCAAAGTTCAGTCGATAGTCCGATGATCCTTGGCTGTCAACAGAAGATAATCCTGTGATCTCTAGAAGGAAATGCAGTACTTGACTGGCTAGTAATCATCAAGATATGTTCCTCGATCGGTGCGCAACGGAGAGATATCACTGTGTGCTTTCAAGGTATGAAAGGGAGGCAAATGTCAAGGTGGGTCACGGAAAGAGTGAAAATGACGACTAGGTGGTGGCCAACACAAAGAGTCCCGCCAAATATGCTTATCACGAAGCTGAAGGAGGACCCCGAAGGTACTGTCAAAGGTACATTCGGAGATAGGAACGTGCCTATGTCTGATCTTGCTTTGCACAGGTGGTGAGGACACTGGCAATGATGCAACTTCAATCCAATGCGAACCAAGCGAAGTTGCTCAGTGTCGAGTATCGTGAAGAACCTTGTGCTTCGGCTGCGAGGACTTGGTATATCTGCGGAGGCAGGAAGTCGGGGCCGTGTTCGCTGTGAGGGTTGTGTTCTAGGAGAAGGCGCACGACGATTGCTTAGAGAAAGACGTGGGTCGACTGCCCAAGTGTACGGAATCGAGGACAGGGAGGTTTGGCTCGTCCGGCTGCCAGAAGAATGAGGTATTCAGTTCGGATCGTGGTTCAAAGATGGTGGGAATCGTTGGCAGGTGGGTAGAACCTGTTTGCGGACGGATTCACAGTGTAGGTAGTAGAGACTCCAGTCCGCGATGACGAGGAGACGCGAACGGCGGATGTAGAGCAGCCCTTTGTCGCGATGATGCGACAAAACGAGACCTGGACAGCTTTTTAGGACGTAGCTCGGCAAGCGCTACGAGGTAGTGACGGTGGGTCAACGAACTGCGCATTCCAACGACTCTGGATTCAACAGTTGTTGCGCTGAATGGCAGATATCAAAGTCAAGATACGATGGACATGGAATGGGACGAGGATGGGGATGGGGAGAGATGAAGGAAAGAGAGCCTCAGGTGGGTGACGGAGGTCCGTTCATGTGAAATTGGAAGGCTGTTGCTCCATTCGCCTTGCCGCATTCCACCCCAGCTGCCCAGTTCCCTTGCAGCTGCTCACAATTGAATCTGCACGGGTTCGATAAATGTGGCGCTAAGGATACAGTTCATTGTGGCTTGACCCGTCTAACTTCATGTGGCTTGGGGCACCACCTTTTTAGCTGTTACTCACTGCATGTCTGGTGTGTGTGGCCTCTGTCGATCTGTCTGCCACTGTCTGCCAGCGCCATCAGCGACGACCCCTTTGGTGGAACTGCCCTCGACTTAGAACACAACGCCAACCTTCTCCCACCCGTCTACTTCTCGGCGCTCGTACAGGTTCTCTATATTCAAGATGGTAGGCATAGCTTCTATTCGAATTGGCCCCTCACCGTACTGACTACGTTGCTTTCCTCCAGGTCGTCCTAGCCGCATCCATATGCACCCGTGGAGGGAAAGCTGTCCTCTCGAGACAGTTTCGCGAGATGCCCAGATCGCGAATCGAAGCCCTACTCGCCTCCTTCCCGAAGCTCGCCGATTCTAGCACCCAGCACACCACAGTCGAGCAGGACAACGTCCGCTTCGTCTACCAGCCCCTCGACGAGCTCTACATGGTCCTGATCACCAACCGTCAGTCCAACATCCTACAGGACATCGACTCCCTCCACCTGTTCGCCCAAGTCGTCTCGAGTACGTGCAGGACATTGGACGAGCGAGAGATCGTGAAGAATGCGTACGAACTGCTCAGCGCTTTTGACGAGCTGGTTACGCTCGGCTACCGAGAGAACTTGACCCTCAGCCAGATCAAGACTTTCTTGGAGATGGAAAGTCATGAGGAGCGGATTCAAGAGATCATTGCACGAGTACGCTGCCTGGCACTATCACATTTGGTCAACATACTGACACCTGCGCAGAACAAAGAGTTGGAGGCCACCGAGGAACGTAAGAGGAAGGCCAAGCAGCTCGAGATGCAGCGCAAGGAATCCGCACGAAACGTTCGCCCCGGCGCTCCACGGACGCCCGTATATCCTACATACACGCCGCCTAGCCGCCGGACTCCTGTGGAAAGCTATGACTCCTACGAAGCCGAAAAGAACAAGTCTTACAAGTATGATCAAGGGTTGGTATCACGACGCCTGGTGCTAACAAGCATATAGGCCTACAGCGATGAAGGGCAAGGGAATGCAGCTAGGCAAGAAGTCCAAAACTACGGACATGTTCGAGCGTGTGCGGGGAGACATGGGTGCTGAAGTCGACGATTCGCCTCTCGTGCCAGCCGCTCCTGCACCTGTTGCTGAAACCGCAGCGCCGCGGATGTCATCTACTTTGGATCGCGATGCGATACATATTACTGTCAATGAGTCGATTGGAGCGAAGTTGTCCCGGGAAGGCACAATGAACTCTCTGACCGTCAGCGGTGATCTCAGCCTACGGATCTCGGACCCGAGTTTGACCAAGATCAAACTTGATCTCTCGGCAAATGCGTCGCACGGTTGCCAGTTCCGCACTCACCCGAACGTTGACCGTGGGCTCTTCACCAGCTCCAAGACCATCCAGATGAGCAATGCTGCTCGCGGGTTCCCTGTCAACAACTCTGTCGGTGTGTTGAGATGGCGAGCCACCCCAAAGGCGGATGATACCAGTGCTCTACCCATCAGTTTCACTGTTTGGGTGAACAAGGGCTCCGGCAACAATTACACAATGACGGTTGAATACGAGCTTACAGGAGGTGACGTGCTCAAGGATGTGTCTGTTGTGATCCCCTACGCCACAAGCGAGCCCTCGGTTTCCAGCTTTGACGCTACCTATGAAGTATCAGGGGATAGTCTCGAGTGGGCGATTGGAACTGTCAGCGACGACAACGCGAATGGCTCATTCGAATTCGATGCCCAGGCAGATGACGAAAACGAGTTCTTCCCTATGCAAGTGCGATTCTCCAAATCGTCGCCATTCATCGATGTTGATGTAAGTTCTCCTAGCTCAACTTTGTGGGTGACATCCTTACTGATTATAATGCAGGTCACATCGGTCTCACTGTTAGAAGAGAACGAAGAAGTCACATTCTCAAAGGACATCAAGTCAGTGGCTGATAACTATATTGTCGAGTAGACGCGATCTAGCGTGGAGTAAGGGTGTCCCAGAAGGGTGCAAAACGCGGAGACGTGGCTACGATAGATTATAGAGTCGGTCGTAGGGGGCAGATCATGTGAATCAACTATGTGATAGTTCCATTTCCCACGGACAACCTCGGGCGTGCTTTATCTGCTGTGATGTGTACATTATAGAGTGGATGATTAATAAGGCAGTATCGCCTGGAGCCCCCGAAAGTCTATAGCAGTATGTCTGGAAGCAGGCTCTGTGCTTGTGTCTCGACTGCACACACTTATCACAGTCCCCATCTGCCCCGGTAACACTGTACGCGAGACTGTACATTAGCTCCAAATTGCTAGAGCGGGTCTCTGTTCTGCACTGTGCTTCTACTTTCGACAAGACAGCAGGCGCGTCGGACACCCAATTCAAGACACATACGGCGTCGCTTTCCTTTGGACTTGTACTGACAGCTGCGCAGAATCTGGGGGCCTCTGTACCATGTCCGACAACTATCGGCTTCTCCGCATGTCCCTGCTGCACGGGCAAAACCATGACTGAACCCATCCAGCTCAAGCTCGCCAGCGAGTCGCGACTGGACCCCAAGCCTCACGGTGGACTGCTGACCTACAATCCCAGCATTGAGCTTTTCGCCGGGGCCGCTGGACCCAACACTTTGCAGGTATGGCGATCGAACGGCCAAGTCGTCATCAAGAGCAGCCAACGTGGCGAACGCGAGGTGGTTGAGGCTGTTCGCTGGAAATCCGACGGTAGGGCAACCTCATCCAATGAGGCAGTTCATGGACTAATGCGGGATAGGCCAGTTCCTCGCCGTTGGATGGAGTGATGGCGTCGTGAGATTGATGGGCCTGGAAACCAGCAAGGCTGTGCATCAGATGACAGTACGCAAGGCTGGCCAATCCAAGATCACCTGCATAGGTTGGACGAAGAACAACGCTGGCAGGCGTCCGAATCCGGCAACCAAGTCTTCCGTCACCACCTGGGAGAGACTAGCATCGCAGGGACTCGATGCACACGGCAAGAAAGCGGCAGTGGATTTGCCGCGAGAACTCACATTTCTCGAGATCGAGACTGCTCTGCCAAAACTCAGCCCTCTGCCGGCATCGGGGGGTTCTGGGTACGTCTCCAGATAAATCTAGTCGGGCGCTTCGCTGACCATCAGCTAGAGATGACATGTTCGTCTTCACAACGCGAGCATCGCTGGAATCTCTATTTCCGCCCTTCTCCCCCGAGGAAAGCGACAAAGTCGACGTCATGATCGTCGGTACGGATGATGGCCGCATACATATCAGCATATACGACTCCTTCATCATCGGGAGCTTCAACTACACGCTGCCTCAACCCTCCGGCAAGCCCAGCTCGTTGCAGCTTTGCCATCATGCATCTCACCCTGACCTATCGACACACATGCTTGTCTTCAAACCATCCGGAGAAGACAAAACAAGAGCTATCTACCTTGTGCCAATGGATTTGACGTTCATCCACTCGTCACCCGAGAACTTGTCCCTGCTAGCATCCAAGACCACCACTCTACAGAAGTTACTGAGGTATGTCAAGCAGGTGCAAATGCACATGATACACGAGTGGCAGTCGACTCGAGAATTGCCCAATCGTTTCGTGAATAGTATCAACGAAACATTGCGTGAAACCGGGAATTACGGTGAGATGAACATTGGTCAAGCATTGTATCATTCGGTCGTCACAGGTCATACATTTCCTGAAGTCAAGGAATGGCTAGTGGACCAACTGGCTGAACGTGTATGTCCCCTCCCAGGAAGATAGCAACTGCGTATCACTGACAATCAGTTGCAGGGCCACAAGCGATGGGACAAGGCTGTTATCTCTGGCTTGCAAACACTCCGTGCTCTGGTTCATGAGAACTTTTTGCCCGCGCTCGAACGTATAGGAATAATCCTCAGTCGTCTGCTCGGCATCGCACGATTCCACGAATTGAAAGCCGAGATCGGCTTCACCAGTGCGCAGATAACGAAGGTTATGGACATCGTTTCTTGCTTGATGCTGGTGGGCAACAAGATTATGCTGCTTGCCATGGAGGAGCTAGAGCTGTTCCAAGCTTTTTCGACATGGCTCCGCCACGAGATCGACCGCCTGGCATCTTCTTCGATAACAGAAGAGCTCTCCGAGAAAGAAGCTACCATGGAGCACGGGAAGGTTCTGGCTTATATCCAACAATACCTGCCAGCGAGCCCACTCCGCCATTACCTCAGTAGTGCGCCTGCGGATGACGCAGAGCGCGACCGCAAGCAAGCTGAGGGTGGTACTTCTCTTTTAGACTTGCTAGAGAGACAACTCAAGAAACAAGAGGCAGGACAGCTCGACACCGGCACATTTCCGCAGGTTGAGTTCCTCTGCAAATATTTAGACAGCAAGAGCAGCAGCGTTTTTGAAGGGATCGCAGAGGCAGAAAAGCGGAGTGTACGATTCGGTTCACTCGCTATGATCGAGCTGGATCATGCCGTCTCTAGGTTTGACGTGAGACTGTCTGCAGTACAAGCAGCAGTAAGTACAACCATGTCAGTATCGCAGTCTCGGCACTAACACGCGGTACAGGACTCCTCAGAGGGTTTGACGTTTACAGCCGTTGCTACCGAGGTGGAAGAGAACCTTGGTAAGAATACTACACCCTTGCTAGCGATTCACTCCGATCAGTTAACATCTCTCTCAGTGTACATATTCCGCACCGCTACGACTATAACCAACGGTATCAGCGGCTCTGTCACGAAAAGTGTCACGTGCATAGTTCTCGGTAACGGCAAGGTGTTGGACCTCAAGTTCCTCTACGACGACTGTCTGCTCGTGCTATGGGCCTCCAAGGGTAAGTACATAGTTTCCTCCAATCAAAGCCCATAAAGCAATGGTATACTGACCCCTGAACAGGGGAGCCTCTGCGCCTCATCTACATACCGCACAGGTCCCAGGAACTGGGTTACCAAGCCTACACTTCAGCACGTAATATCACACCCCACGTACTCAGTAACGAGCAGGTCACTAGCTTGTTCTTGAACATGACCATGCCCTGCGAGCCGGCATTTGTGCCGGCGCAGATGGAGGTCAAGGAGGCCAGCTTTAACCGAGGCAAGCTGCCGCCCCGGGTCTGTCTGCTGGGCAGCGATATGCAGACGTACAAGATCTTTGCGCTGCCGGAAGATCCATTCCGAGTACCTGCTGCGGGAGGTGCATGAAGGATGTCAAGGGCAATGAGTGTCTCTACATGTCTATTCATATGACGAAACCAGCCGCGGTGCCAGCCGACATGATGCTATATGACAATCCGAATATTGAGCCAAAAACACTTGTCTGTGCCTTGTGGAGTTGTGATTCAGAAGCAAAGCTATCAGCTTGTCTGTTGTACACTCATTTTCGTAGATACCACGCAGCACATCCATCGTGGAACACCCGCTTCCACGACATGTCAACACATCCTTCACTCTTCCACGCACACCGACTCCCATTCATCCTCTCTTCCCCTTCTTGGACCACTCCCGCAGCACGTTCTTCTGTATCTTGCCCGTGCTCGTTTTGGGCAGCTCGGCGAGGACTTCCACCTCCCGCGGCACCATGTACCGGCTGATCGAGCCCTGGCTCCTCACCCACTCGAGCATGGCTGCCGGGTCCAGCGTCTTGCCCTCGCGCAAGGTTAGGTACGCCTTGGGCCGCTCGCCCCAGTGCGAGTCCGGCACGGCGACGACGCCGGCTTCCAGCACGTCCGGGTGCTGCACCAGCGCGCTTTCGAGCGCGACGGAGCTGATGTTCTCGCCGCCTGTGGGATTTGGCATCGTCAGTAGAAGCCTGCGTAACGGACTACCTATACCCTACGCCAATCCGTATCCAACCAAAACATGTCGGGGTGTTCACTCACCGCTAATAATAATATCCTTAGCCCGGTCCTGGATCTGCGCGCTTCCATCCGGATGCCACACGGCCAGGTCGCCCGAGTGCAGGCCGCCGCCGGCGAACAGCTTCCGCGTCGCCTCCGGGTCGCGGTAGTAGCCCTTGGCGCAGATATTTCCAAAGAAGACAATCTCGCCGATCTCATTGCCGTCGCGCGTGACGTCTATCAAGACGCCGTCTTCCGCGTCCGCCGGCTTGACGACACGGATCGGCAGGCTGGTCAGGAATCCGTGGCCCTGGCGCGCCATTTTGGCGTACTTCTCGTGCGGGGGCAGCGCGTCCCAGGACGGCATTGGGTAGCCCTTGGTGATGGGGCCGTAGGTCTCGGTCATGCCGTAGACGTGGACGGGACGGAGGTTGAGGTTTGTCTTGGGGCTTGGTTAGTTTAGATCGGATGAGGTAAGGCGAAGGGTGAAGAAGTTGGGAAAGGGGAAGGGGGAAGGGGGAAGGGGGAAGAAGTCTGTCATGTGCGTACCATCTGCTCGAAGAGATGCCCCGTTGGCGGACTAGCTGCCACCGTGACTCGCACCGGCTCGGGTAACCTGACTGCTTCTTTCGACGCGCAGAGCAGGGTTAGGACTGTCGGTGCGGCATTGAAGTGCGTGATGCCCTCCTCCTTGAGAAGTCTCCATATTAAGGGGTAGTCGATTTTCCTCAAGCAGTAGTGCGTGCCCCTGACAGCTGTGACGGCCCATGGAAACGTCCATCCCATTGCATGGAACCTGGTGATAGTCAGCACTAGGTAGTCCTTCCACCCCTATCATAGGACGCCTTTTCATACATTGGTAGTGTCCACAGGTATTTGCAGCTCCCATAATCGTAGTTCAGTCCCGACTCCACCACGTTCGCCAGTGCCGCGAGAAAGGCGCCTCTATGTGTGTACACGCAGCCTTTCGGTCGTGATGTGGTCCCCGACGTGAATGGGATAGCCAGCATATCGTCCTCATTAGCACATTGTGATTGCAAGCCAGCCCAGCCTTTGCCGCCCTGCGCTCGGTCGTACTGCAGACCTTCTAACACGGCCTCATCGAAGGGACCAGAGAGTTCTCCCTCGGTTGCATCGGTATCCTTTGCAAAGTTAGTCGGCACAAATCTGGAGTAACCAACATCTATCACGGTGAGAGTATATGCTTACCAGGTCAATTATGAACGGCACGTTCGGATGGCTCTTCTTGAACTCATCCAACAGCGGCGCGTACTCTTGATCGACTATTATCGAGTCGACCTCGGCAAAGTCAAAGATGTACGTGATGTCATCCGGCTTCAGCCTACACCGGTCAGTCAACAACTCCAAGACTTCAAAATCTTCCTCGAACCCCTCATCGACACTTACCGATAGTTCACAGGCACGATAACACCCCCCGCAACTACAACCCCGAAAATCGACTCCAAGAACGCCGGCGTATTCGTAGCCAGCACGCCCACTCGTTTGTATCCCCTCTTCAGCAGGAAATAAGCCAGGCCGCGGGCCCGGTCCGCAAACTCGGCGTACGACCGGCGAAGTACCTTGTCGTTGGCTGTGACGTGGTAGATGGCCGTGGCGTCCGGCTCGATGGCGGCCGCCCGCTCCAGGAAGTAGGTCGGCGAGAGCTGGTGGATATGGTGGCTGTGGTCGTAGCCGACGGGCGACTTGGACTCCGGGGAGCCGCCCAGGTGGCCCAGCAGGCTCCGAAGGCGCGACGTGGCGCCCGACATGGCTGGTGTATTCAACGGTTTGGTGAGACTGGTGTATCCCTCACGTGAGATGCCCTACGTCCCTCTGTGAGTCTATCGTCCTCTTTCAGTTCCCAGTATGTCACCGCTTGTGGTGTTCGTGCTTGTGCTGGGAAGCAGGTGAATCAGCTGCAGTGATATTGTTTGAATCAATAACGCGAACCTTGAGTTCAACTAGACGCCAATATGTATGTAGATGGGAGCCCCTGTCTGAGGAGACCCGATGAGATGCGGGCTCGAGGCGGGGGTTGGGGTCATTTGTCATTCCCAAAATCCGGGGCATTCTCCACCCCCTAACGCTTCCCCGCGGCGTCATTTTTAGTTGCCGTCTGGGGTCGGTCCAGTGGAGCCGTGTTTGTTGAGTGCCAGATGATCAATCTACTGTTTGCCATGATTACTTGACTGGTATTGAGTCATTCGAAAGGACCGAAGGATTTTGCAATCGAACCTTGAGGTTGATGGACTACCGCCGTCTCTGTTGTTGGATGAATAGGGCCATACACGACGCAGGATGCACCCCGTGGCACACGAACACGAGCTTGGGAGTTGGGAATAAGGTGAGGATCTTTGTTATATTCGATTCTATCTAAATCCGCTCATGATAGTGATACCCAGAGCCATGGAGCTCCGCTATACGGTAAAGCACACCGTTGCCAGATACGCAAGTGCTTACTTTGAAGATACTACTAAGCTTGGTCAGTGTGAGTGAAGCGAATTGGTGGATATGGATGTGAATAAGGAGGATGAGGATTGAAATGAGGACGAGGATGAAGATGGCAATAGGGATGAATAAGGATGGCAATGACGACGGTGATGGTGGTGATCATCCTCGACATCCAGACTCGATGCTAAAGACCGGAGGGTGGGGGGGGGGAGGGCTTGGGGGGCTTGGGGGGTGAAGATGAAGCGGGTGGGTAGTTGTCTGCATACCATCAGATGACAGTGGAACCTGTACGCTGCCATGGACTGATATCCAACCACGGCGTGCCATGAGCCCTATTTGCCACAAGTCCTTCTCTCCGACCAGTCCGTCTCTTCAGCCAATCCAACTTGGACCCCTGACCACTACTACTGCCCTAGAGATAGTATGCTCTCTTGACTTAAACGACCAACACCTGGTCTGTTTACGGTGCTCGCCCCTTCCCAGCTGTGCCGGCCGTGCGGTCAAAGTGACTGTGTGATCCGAAGTCACGAAACCGCAGAGTTTGCCGGGCCGGTCGCTGGATTGGCCGGCCGCCAGCGGTACATAGTGCCGTAGTAGGTTCTGCGGCAAGGGAAGTAAGAAGGAGTCGGCCGCGGCATCACGGATTGCATCCCATATTCGTCGAGCATCCCATATTCGTCGAGCAGCCCTTGCCAATGATCTCTTAGGAGCCGGTTTCCGTGAAGAGGGGCATCGGGTTCGTCGCCCTTCTCCATCATCTGCCTCATCCTGACCGCAAGGTCGAAGGCCGCGCGGTTGATCCCCCACCTCGTGCTGTCTTCCATGCCCCGTTCCTCATCGTCTGAAAGGTTCACGTCGTCCGCCGCAATCTTGAGCCATGTTGCCATGTCCCAGAACACCCAGGCCTTGCACACGAGCTTGTTGTGATGAGGGATGCAATACTTCTTGTCGTATGGGAAGAAGGACTGTCCGACCACATCATCCGGGTCGTCCAGATCATCCGGGTCGTCCAGATCATCCGGGCCGTCCAGCCAGCTGATCTTGTTGTAGAAGAACCAGGGCTCGTCACCTGAGACGGCCGGATCTCGCCGAAATAGGAGCGATTTCGTGAGTCCCGCATTGGCCATCAGTCTCGGATTGCATACCAATTTGAGGAAATGCAGCTTCAGTGGGCGGATTATGTAGTTATAAAAAATGCCCATGTCCTTGATGAACCCCGCGCGTTTGGAGCGTCCCCTCGAGCAGCTGTCCACCAGGAAGTCAAGGCTGAGAGATGCGAGCGCATATGCGAAGTTACTTGAATTTTGTGCTTGGAATCTCCGGTCACCCATCCGCAGATGCACCAGGCTGGGATGCCACAGCGGATCTTCCGAATACGAGTCGGCCCAATCCCCTCGGTCATGGGCCATTCGGGCCAAATGAGACTTATCCCAGTATGCTGTGTTGAGATCAGCTCGTAGGTCTTGCAGAGTGCTATAGTGTGTCATGAACACGTAGTTGGCGACACATGACACTTCCTCAATTTGCCACGGAGGTAACCCCCGAAAGATATACTCATAATGAGACTCCGCTGACCCGTTTGGGTGGTTTGGCCGCTGATAGAAGGTCCGGCAAAGGAGTTCGAACATCAGGAAAGCCCGCCTGAACCGTATAAGCTCGGTGTCAGAGGCCCACGGATGTGATGTTCCCCGGAAATTTCTTGTGGTAGTCTGTCCCCATGCTCCGCTCACTCGGAAGATGTCCTTCGGTCGACTGTATCCTGTTGGTGTATGTATCCTGGTGATCCAGTCGTCGATACAAAGATCCACCTTCGACATCAACTCCCAAAATTGACCGTATTCGCGTATGGTTCCGGGGCAAAGATGCGATATCTCACACTCTTTCTGGCATCGCAGCAATTCGCACACCTGATTTGCCTCACGTCGCTGATCGAAAGACTCCGGTGATTCGCCGTTGCGCCAGAGCGGAATAGAGAAGCACTTGATTGAAGGCACTATGCATCCTGGTGCCAGACGATGGCAGAGCCCGGATATAATGCCCTCCTTGTTGGATCCATGTGATTCCACAGTCAAACCATCCATACAGAACCCACATGTATGATTAGATAAGAGATTAGATACCAGATTGTGAGGTCACTTAGCCAGACCTGCAGGTCCAGCTAGACTTCCCAATCCAACCATCAGCAACATCATGACCTTGACCCCATACTCGAGTATTATGATTGATCGTTCAAGCCTGTTCCCACACTCCTCGCGTTTCTTAAAGGCGCGGTGGAACTCTTTCCGGGACGATGTGAAGGCCTCAAGATCGTCCGCGTGGGTAAGTAAATCTGCGATCTCGAAGATAATATCGGGCGGAAGGCTGATAATGTTGACCATTTTGTCTCTGGTGTGATTTTTCTCCTTGCCAGTGTCGTAGTAGTGTCAACTAGTATTGAAAGTTCTTCTGTCGGGGGATGAATCGCATGATTGGGTATTGTTTTGTTGTAACCGATGCAGCTCGTTGGGAGTTGCTCTGCGATCTATAGCTGAGAATGAACACGATCTGGTAAATAAATGGCAGTGGTGCAGCAGAGGACCTTTCGCAGGGTTTTGTATGATTGTCTTTTCCTTTCGGAGATATCTTCTGCGCGAGTTTAGAAGCCACCGCGCCAGTTTAGAAGCCACCTAAAGTCAAAATAGGGGGAGTATAGTCCGACTATACGCCCAGTCAATCCCACCCCATGTTAAGGTTTTGGTGACTCACTCGAGCCTCGCCCATAGAATCCAAGTGTGGACAAGCAGCATCTGATCCTTTGTCTCTTCACGCACTACCAAGATTCGAGACCCGGGACAAGGCGTATGGCATCGACTCGAGGCCCCTGAAACAATCTCGTAGCCTGGCGCGATGCTCTCGACGCTGTCCCACAGTGAAAGGTTTTGGGGTATCGTAAGTTCTAGTGAAGGGCCAACATCATTCAGTGTAGCTCCAAACCACCGCTCGTAGACAAACCCTTTCAGCCATAGTTCTCAAATGCATCATTAAGATAGCCCACGAAGCTTTTCCGTATCCTCCCGGGGCCTAGGTTCCCAACGTTCTCGAGGCCAATGCCGCCTCGATTCAGTCCCATGAAGGCTCTCCGTAGCCGTTGTAGCTGAGGCAGGCCGATTTTCTTCCCAGCCGGGAGCTCCACCACCAGTTCCTCGTTACCATTCGCGCCAGATTGCGGGATCTTGACATCGTTGCCGCCTTCGTCTCCTTGCTGGTCTAGTATGCGCTTGACAATCTCCTGGGTTTCGCGGTCGAGGACATACAGGTAATCCCCGCCCGCATCTCGGCCCCTCTGCACCGTCGCCTGATTGGGCTTGACGACCTTCCTCGTGTCGCCTGCGATCGCATCCCACAGGCTATCAAAAACTTGCTTGGCCTGCTCCTCGCCGTCCTCCCATATGAGCGTGAACAGCGGGCTATCCCACCGCGTCATTGCATTCGGCTCTTCGTACCGGAACACCAAGTTCTCCCAGTTCGCAGGCTCGTACGCTCCCTCCTCGTTGCCACCATCGCCGTCCCCATCGACATCATTCCCTTCCCTGCGCGCCTCCCCCGCGCCCTCGACAGCAGCCTCCCTCGCCAGCCGCGCCTCGTTGAGCAGGCGCGACCGCTCCCGCGAGCACCCGACCTGCAGCACGCAGCTGGGCGTGCGCACGGCCTTGGCCTCGCAGAAGAGCTGGTACCGCCATCCCTTGATGTAGTTCAGGCCGTCGAGAATGACGATGTCGCGGTCGCTGAGCGCGCGCTTGACGGCGCCGTACAGGCTGGCGCGCGCGTCCTTCTCCGAGGCGTTGGCAGACCGCGTGTGCGCCGGCAGCGCCGACAGGTCGTACACGGACCGCGAGATTGAGAGCGTTTGGTCTGATATCAGGTGCAGGCGGTACTTGGGCGCGCTGCCGCTGGGCGGTGCCGTCTGGATGCGTTCTGTTAGGTAGGTGTGCAGCTGTTTCGCGCGCGTTGTCTTGCCGGATGTGGGGAACCCGGTTACTATGATGAGCTATGAGAATGTCAGTCAGGGTTCTACTCCAAATGAATGTCCTCGGGAAACATACTGGCATGGCCGGAGGGAATCTAGGAGCTATAGAACGGGCTATGTCGAAGATAAAAGACGCATGAAGTTCTCGAAATCTTTTGACGTTCACATTAGACCCCGCGGTATCCCCACTGTATAAGCTACACCCCACCGCGCATCGCCAAGGGGCTAGACTGCAACTGTCCTGAGCCCAATTTCTACCCCGGCCGTCACCACCACCCTTTTAACGGGATGGCCAGGGATGTCCCGAGGTGTGTGTGGTCTTGAACCTGACTTCATCGCTATCACTTATGTCATTTGTTCACCAAAAAAGCTACTCCCAATATTATATAGGAGACGGATACCCATGTCACCGACGGAGGGTTCCCTTCTGCTACGTACGATCAGCGTTCTCAGTGCTGATTAATATCATATTCTAATGTACAGATCATTCATGGCCATGTCTCAGTCGGTACATACCCCAGACCTCCTACCTCTGTCATATGTGTCTTTGAGCTCTTGAACATACCTTACTGGACAGTACCTATGCCAGTTCTTGCACATACAACACCATTGAGCAGGATATCATCGGTACCTCTTCGTCCGAACCCTCCCAAGGCATTACAGAATAAACTGTCCTGAACAGAAGTGATGGGATGGAGAACGGCTTTCTTGCAATTCAGAACAGAGGTAATAGAAACACCACTGTATCAAGGCAGGGCTCATTGAGCGAGACGTGTCGCCCACCTCCGTTTGAGAGAAAGTATCATCGTTCAAACAGAGTGGCGGGGTGATAAACACTCCCCAATACTTTTGAGAGCTTAGGTGAAATGTCTGGGATGATATGGCATTACCGTTATGGGATTCCAGAGAATTCCGTGCGACGACATTCGAGTCTCTTGAGACGCTGGGGTTGGCCAAGGTACGTCAGATAGAAGTCAGCATGCTGACTCGCTGTGGCGTTTTTAGACCACGAAGTCAGATGCAACAACCTGTCAGCCAAGTCGGGATTTGTCATGCAGGGAGAGCCAACACGGACAATACGCAGCACATGGATCCACGCTTACCTACCAAGGTACTCAGGTAGTGTGGAAGTGCGCTCGTTATGCACCGGCGGGTTATATCGCCGAGCGGACACTGAAACAACCGTATCAGCCGATAACACAGAACCAGGGGTGCTTTTGAGTTGACGAATTTGTATTATCTAAAGAGCTCACAGCGACAAACATCAGGGGTAATAACCAAACCCTGCCTCCCAAGCTCCGGTCCCGAGATCTGGATATCATGAAACGGACATGCCAAGGAAACTCTTTCCTCATGAAACTCTATACAAGCAATGCGTGTCATCAACGTGCTGCTCTTCTCCCCTGCAACATCTCTATCTGATCATACATTGGACGACACGTAACCCTGATGCGCGTGGCGCTCCCGACGGCGCTCCCGACGTCCCTGGGAGTGGGCCCAGAGTGTCTTTGACGGGAGTTCTTCCTTGGGGCGGACGCTGAATGTGAGACCGAAGCCCTCGACGATGGCGATGACAATCATCTCCATGAGGACGGCCGTGCCGAGCAGGATATTGGGGTCGCCGCCGAACTGGCTGAAGCGCGAGTCGTGGCCGAAGACGGACTCGGCCGAGTAGATGATGCGCACGAGGATGAAGGGCAGGCAGATGGCGACGGCGAGAAGGACGCGCTTCTCGCCGGGCTCGGCGTGGGCCAGCCGCGTTGCCGTGATGACGGTCGCGGCCACAATCAGGATGTAACCGACGATCATGAGCGCGATACCGGCCTTCGACTTCGTCGAGACCTCGTAGACGCCAGTCTTGCCATAATTGCTGCCGGCGTCGCTTCCGCCAACGGCGCCAAGGATCAAGCCGACAAGCACGATGATCTGGATGATGCGCAGGGAGTTGGGGTTGAGCCAGCCGGCCCGTGCCTTCTCGACGCTCTGCAGCACGCGGTTGACGAGGCCCAGCTGCGTGAGGATCAGCGGCGACAGCCCAATGCTCTGAAGCGTTATGTAGCCGATGTACAAGCTCGTATTTTTCGGATCGTTGATAGTCGCCAGCTCCAGCGAGGCGCCGATGATGCGGACCAGCGAGAAGACTACGACGTAGGTCCAGCCCACGCTGCGGCGGAAGCCATGGCGCACCGAGAGGAGGATGGCGACGAAGAGGGCCGGCAAGTATACGGCTATCTCCGCGATGGATATGTTGTTGAGCTCTGACAAAGCCATGATTGTGTTTTGGAAAGGGGGTTAGATGTGTGAACTGCCAAGACGCAGTAAGGGTTGACGGTCGAGGTCAGGTCGAATCTTATAGACAATGTGTCTAGGCGATACTAACTGCAACTTGCAAGGAGGACGACGGGCGAAAGGCAGATCTCGAGAATGGTGCGGATGAGATGACGATGCTGTTGACGATGCTGTTGCTGACGATGCTGCTGCTGCTGATAATGATGGTGCTGACAGGATCGGGAATGCTCAGCTATACCAACATACCTACCTGGGCTCTTGTTATATATACCTCGCATGGCTGCTGTGCCGTACCATGACATGGCGGTGATGACTGAAAAAGAGGCTTCCATGTGGTTGGTCCACATGGAGGCATTCCATGCCTCGCACTCGCAATCCCAATTGGGAAGTGTGGAAGTGGTGGAGAATGACGGTGAGGCTGTTCCTTTCAGATGTCAGCCCTCGAGAGCGCGCACATGATCCACATGGCAAGACTGGCGAAAGCGATTGCGAATAGGCAGCGAATAGGAAGCGGCTATCGGTGCCCTGAAATACTGCCACGGCATCTGATTGGCCTGTTTGGTTCAGCAGCTCGAGCTAGTCAGCCAAGCCACAGCAAGCTTCGCTAAGATAGTGGGGCACAGACAGGGGCATCTTGACTGGCGTGCGTCTCCACTAGCTGACCCCCATAGGGCCACATCCTCAAAGCCCCATTACGTAGGTAACCACCTACACCTCGTTGCAGTTCTCGTTCTCCATGTCGCTCCCAGTGGACTGCAGCTTCTTTCTGCACCTGCGGCAGGGCTGTGTCTTCGCCATGCGAGGTTGGACTCCGCAGCGTCAGATCCATTCTCTTCTCATCCATGTAGATGTGTTGCTTGTTCCGTCAAGCCGCGCTCAACTCTTATTGATATGGCCCTTTCTATATGGCTGGCATTCCTCCCGTCTGCGAGTCGTTTCCGCGTTTGGCATTCTGTGGCGATGCCACGCTTGAACAACACACAGCTACTACGATGTAGGTCCATCTATATCTTAAGTGCACCATCTTCAACATCAAAACAGTATGTCGACTGAAGAGTCCATACCCAAAGCCTTCGGCATAGCCAGGTCATAATAGTCTCATTGCTTACGACGACACTGACACCCACTCAAACTGAGTACCGCTGATAGGCTGACTAACGACGACATCCATGAATTGACCCCAAACTCCTGCCAAGAGTGGACGTACTAGTCAAGTATACCATGCTGACATGCCAGTCTGACTCTGCTGTGCCGCTCGCCCTCCCCCCTTCACAGGCCGCCGCTGCTGGTCCTCGGACTCACGCCCCATGTTGGCACTTTTAGTAAGGGGAACGGAAAGAGCGAGATAGTCCTACGCGGCACAGCAGCGCCAGGTAGGGACCCATAGGCTCTTCTGTTTTTGGAGAAGAGGCAGCGGGGTGCACAATTTCGATATGTTTCGGGAAGATGCTGGCCTGCACACAAGTCGCACCATACCAGTCCAGTTTTGAGCCCTACTAACCAAGACATGCGTAGGACTCAGGTGCTCTCGGCATATTTGGGGCATGGTCGATGTTACTATTCGTCCGCTGACAGTGGAAGTCCACCGACAACCCCTGAGTTGCTCGATGTGCGGCTCATGCCGACCACAGCTTTGAGCACCTAAAATTTCTTCTTCAGATGCAGCTGGTGACGACCTTGATGGTTATTATGATAAAAGGCTAACGCTCGTGTCCCTTTGGGAAACAGGGAGACAACTGGTGAAAGCGTTTCCCAGCTGGACTACCAGCGCCTCCGACAGACTGGGAGCGGAATTTCTTCCTTATACGCCGCAGGGTGCTGTCGCTACTAACGGGTCCCGCATCTCCCGCCGGATCTTGTCCGCCGGTAAAGGCATCCTTGTCGAACGTGGATTCTAACTCCCTTCCTCCTCCTCTCTTTCGTGTGCTATCCGCAGAGCCGCGTGCCGCTTCTTCTTGGTGAAGGCGTTCACGTAAACCTGGAGAAATAACAGCCCCACGTTGAAGAAAGCATCCCACAAGAGCGAATGCAGGTTGCAGTGGGCGAATAGCAGGGCACCGGGGGTCGCAATGTACTGTACCACCAGAAGCGGCAAGATTCCATCTCGCACCGTCGCTAACACTTGCTGCTTTTTTTGGGCGCCGGCGATGATTGCCATAGCGGCGAGGTCAACGGCGTTCTGAAGGGGCACGATCTGGGGATTTTTGGAGACATCCGGTTAGTCACAGGGCCGTGCTGTTTGAACCTTTCTCCTTCCCTCTCATGGTGGCAGGGGGCAGGGGGCTCGTACGTACCATCAAATTGCTCACAATGATCTGGACTATTCGCATCCCAAGGCTTGGATAGCCCCCAAAGATGTTGTACACGACCCATCCCAGAATCCGGCCGACGGACACGCCTATGAAGGCAGCGTAGACCGCCGTCTTGGGGACGCGGGAGGTGAAGTAGGAACCATTCCCGCTGCAATCCTTGGCTACCCATGACGCAACCAGCTCCTGCATCGCGCCGATCATTGCGGCGATCAGTCTACTTCTCGTGGCCCAGGGCAGTCCGTATGATGCGAAATCCAGGATATCTGGGGCGGTCGCGACCGGGGCCACACTAGCGGTGGTGGTGTCGTTTGCTTGAGGCACGATTGGTGCTGGTTGCTCGAGGCTGAGCGGACGAGTAGGGAGATGTACTCCTGGAGTTCGGACTTGGACGCGATCAGCATGCCCGCATGGAAGGATGACGAAGAAAGGTGCACGCACCCGACTGCAAGGCATGGTTGAATGCCTGGAGGAGGACCCTCAAGAAGATTTGGAAGTTTGGGTCGTCGCTGGAGTAGAACTTGTTGAGCCCACGGTGGTCAGTGTCAAGCGTGACGACCCGGCCGTGACGCAGCAAACCGTGCTTCGGCCTGACAATCTGGAGCTGGGATTGAGCAAACGGGGTTTCCAGAAATCCAAACCCTCCTGGGTACGGACGGAATAATTTAACTAACCGATGTGATGGCCAGCTTGCCCATTTTCTCGGGGCGCATTTCTAGCACGTCAAATATGTAGGGCGGTCGGTCCTCGGGGTGGTTCTGGAGCACGTAGGCGTCGTAGAATTCGGACTCGAGGTCGAGGATGCCCGGACCGTCGACGGCCATGAACTCGAGCAGATTGGTAGAGGAACCCCGGAAGAAGGCCATGCAGGACAGGCAGGATGCTGCAAACGCCGCGCTCGTGCCCCTATGCGGCGCGCCGAGGAAGATGATGCCCTGGGTCATGGCGGCGACGTCCTTGGAGCGGGATTTTGCTAGCAGTAGGGCCTGATCAGTCACCCCCATTAGCCCGGTCATAGTCCCAATCGTTGTTCGGTTCAATTCGGGTCGTGTCTTGCCTTTTTCAAGAGCAGCCCGCCCCAACTGTGCGCGATGAAGATGATGGGGCGGTCCGGGTTGGCCTAAACGACATCGTGTCAGTGCCCCTGAGATGCAGCTCGGGCTGGCAGTGCTAGTTACTGCTAACCTTGTGTAGGCTCTCTATGTTCTCGAGCAGGTCAGACGCATAGTCATTCAGCTCCATGTAGGCTGTATTCGCGTCCCAACGAGTCTGATGGTTGATCATGGCAATCCTGACGTCCCGGAAGCCCTCGGTCTGAGGCAAGAGCTCCGAGAGCCAGCGGACTCTTGTCGCGTTCGATTTGTACGTCCACGCACTGTCCGGTCCCGAGGCCAGGCCATGAATCGCGAAAATACTGGCAAGATGTCAGGTCTGCCATTTTTTGTTGGACTAGCTCAGGTAGCCGCTGCCACCGCCAACCTACTCGACGGCCGCCTTGGATCCCGCATCGTACACAATCTCCGTCATACGCATGGGGTCGTGCTCAACATATGGCGTCCAGTAGTCTATGAGTGTCGGTACGAAGATGTGGACTGGCGTGAGGGACAGGCACCACGCGAGCAGCAGTGCGAGCCCCGCGAGGTGCAAAGCCGTCTTGGCCGCAAATCTGGCCATCTGGACGCTGAAGAAACGACATCTCTTGGGCGGTCGAAACTGGGCAACGATGAAAATGAGGTAATAGTACAAAGATATAAAGCTAACGAAGATCATCCTCCAGCAGAAGCCGACAGATGGCGACAGAATGATGACGGCGACGACCGCTACGCCTTTCAGGAGCCCCTTCTTGGGGTTGAACTCGTCGATAGCAAGGGGTTCATCTGGGGATAGGGGATCTTGCGACGTACGGTTTTCTGTCTTGGACTCCAAGGCTGGGTGTCCACGGCAGTGAGGTTCCCGGACCTCTGGCATAGTGTGTCTCTGCGTAGTTTGCAGCAATACCTAGTCCTGGTATACTGCGAGAGCCTCTAAGTCGATAGGGGGATCGGCGCGTCGGTACGCTCAAGGAGGCTGCGGCGGTGGGGGTAGAGTATAATAGGCTGCTCCTGTAGTACATACACTCACTCACACACACTCACACACACACACACACACACACACACACACAGACAGACACACACACACACACGACGACGCGCCATTGCTATTGAGAAGCTGTCAGACCAACCCGCAAACCAGAGCGGCATTGAGATATACCTAGCGATTATCGGCGGTAACCCCTTTCCTTGACTTGGCGCTTGAGCTGCTCGGCCATCTCTCCTTTCTCGCACCGCTGTCCAATCCATGCCGACTTGTCCTACTGTAGTGGCAGCTCATATGGAATGCGACGCACGTGTCACCCATGAGGTAGTGTTCATCACATTCTTTGCGCCGGAGTCGGCAAGTACAATAGCCGTTAGCGCTCCTCGCTGTGCTGCTGTGAGGAGGATCGTGATGGAAATCCACATCCATTGGCACCCACTTATTAGCTGGAGCCGTTTCCTCGTAAACTTTCGACTGGATCCCATATAGAATAATCCAGAGAGCGAGGAGTCTCCAGAATCGTGGGAGGTTATTGGTCTGATCCAGTAGCATCTCTGGAGAAGCAAAAAGTCCAGATGCGAGCGAAACACTTGCAGGGGCACACCCATAATTACCTGATTATATGAGCAGAATATAATCGAGTCGTCTCGATTCATCAGGTCTATTCGTGTTTGTCATCCAGTATACACGCCAACAGAGCTCCTGACCCTGTAGCCTTATATGGGCTAACTTTCTCGGGGGTTATCGCCAAACGCCGTGCAATGCTTGTTTTACCAGTTGTCAAAGTTCCCAAACCCACTCATCTTCGGCTTTTTCTTCACCGGCTCTTCCCAAGTGTCCATATCCTCTTCGATGATCTCGTCTTCGGCAGGTTGCTTATGCTTTGCGGCCTTGAGGTACTTGCCGACATTGGCATCGCCGCCGCCCTGGTCTACGGTGCCATCTTGCCTGATGCGTTTACCGGTCCACGTTATCCGGTCGTCCTCAGTCCCGCCTGTTCTTTCGACCAGGGCCTTTGCTTCCGCAGCTCTGTCGCGTTCGTACTTTTGCTTCTGGAATTCCTCGAACGGGTCCAGGTAGACGATGATGTCCTTGATGAATATCTTGTTCAGGGGCCGGTCTGAGCCATCTGTGTCGACCGCCTCCATCTTGCTCAGGACATCCATCCCTCCCACCACTTTGCCGAATATGGTATGTTTATTGTCAAGGTGCTTGACTGGCCGGTACGTGACGAAGAATTGACTGGAGTTGGTGTTCTTCCCCTTGTTAGCCATACTGAGGACGCCGCGCGAATCATGAGTCATTGGACCGTCAAACTCGTCTTGAAAGTTCTTGCCCCATACACTCGTCCCTCCCCGTCCAGTTCCTGAAGGGTCGCCGCCTTGGATCATAAAGTTCTTTATGTTGCGATGGAACGCAACACCCTTGTAATATCCTTTTTGCGCCAGCCTTGTAAAGTTCCACACTGCCCTGGGCGCATACTCGGTATGTAATTCGATATTCAGATCGCCCAGGTTTGTCTCCATGCGAGCGTAGCCTTTGATCTTGACCCGCTTGGGCTTCAGCATGTATTCCTCGTCTGTCAGAGTGGCCCGTTCGCCACTTGTCTCGGGTGTCAAGCCCGTACTCGTGAAACTCGCTGCGGCCCTGCCTGTTGTGTAGGCTGCTGCATTGTGGGCGAGCTTCTTGTCTTGAATCGTGGATGGCCTCATGCCATTATTTGTGGATGCTTTGGCAATGGCTTTCGACCGATTGACGTCCCCGCCGGCCTCCCGTTCTCTCCGCGCCCTCTCAACGGCTTCCTTCGCTCTTAGGACCTTGTCGCCAACTCTCCCGAGAGCATTGATGTTCACATTGCCTTCTTTGCGCTCCTCCTCTTGATCTTTGGTCAAAAGTGCGTCCTCGCCGTCCTTCAGATACTTGAACTGGCTCAGATCCCTGCTGGCAGCATTCTGTGGATCTTGGAGTGTGATGATGTCCGACCGGCCAAACTCGACATCGTCCATGAGATCCCGCCACATTTTTGCCTTGATGTTCATGCGTTCTACCGTGTCCCAAGCGAAAACATTGGCATAGGTTCCGTGTCGGATCGCAACGATATGCGTGTTGTCGGTAAAGACTTTGAACGTGACAGGGTCAATGAGTTCGCCTTTGCCATCGCTGGCCGACCCGTCGGCGCCCTTGCGATCCACGTCGGCATTGTGGGCGAAGTTTAGCTTTATGAGGTCGCGTGCTGCCAGCGGTTCCCCTTTCACAGGGTCGGTCTTGTGGTTTTCTAGCCACTTTGAAATGACCTCGACATCATATATGGTTCCGTCGGCGGTACAGACGGGATTTCGGAAGGGTTGGAGGCTCGCGGCGCAGAAGTTGAAGGGAAGTCGTCGAAAAGATGCGCCGCTCAAATGCGATCGGGAGCCGGTGTTGGCACCGTACGCGTCCGACGAGGACCACTCTGAGTGTGTGATATAGAGCTTGTCGGTATTTTTACCCATGGCCGAAGAAAACAGGCAAAGGGGCCTGCAGCAGAGAAGTACCAATTGTCGCAGCAATAATGACTGTGACGAAGTGGGAGAAGCTCAAAGTGCAAAGTCGCGGTCGCAAAGATGTGAAACTGGAAGACACTTGCTGTACCCATGTCATTATGGCGCTACCTATGTTGTTATCTTATCGCCGCCCCATAACTAAACACCGACTAGGTACCTAAGCCGTGACGGCGGGAAGGCCGGGGCGTGACGCAGGGTCTTGGCGGGCTAGGGGGCAGTTCTGGCAGTCTGGCAGTCTGGCCCGCTCAGCTCGTCGGGCGTGGTTGCTTGCGCAATCCATGGTGAATGGTCAGTGCTGAAGAGGGCCCCTGTATTTCTGAACCGCAAGGTAGCCAAGCTCCCAAATACTACAGACCTCATTTTGTTCCGCGGCGACCTGTCAACTAGGTGTTCCAACAAGGCTTGCCACTATTTCCATGCCTGGCAGATGCCTCAATAACTTCCAGAGTCGTTTCATCAGTCTTACCTCGCACCCGCATGGTTAAGCCCTCGAAGCTCACATCCACCCGAAACGTTGCGGACACATCGACCGCCGAGGCTGCCTTGCGCCGCGATCCCACGAACCCAAGACACCATGAAGGCGTGGCTGTCGGCGTTGGTGCTGCTGGGTCTGTCTCTTTGGACGTCCCAGGCTTTGGAGGTCCAAATAGTATGTTGCCAGTTCGCAGTCACTATCTCTCGCTGACCAAATTCCGTAGGACAACACGGAGGAGAACAGGCAAAAATGCGCTGGTATGATCATGTCCCTTACATCCAGCAGACTATCTATAGGCACTAACCTGGCAGCTAGGCATGTACAGCAAGTCAGATTGGGGCGGTCCTGAAGACCCCGTTATCCTTACCGTCTTCCCGAACGTAACTGTCGAAGGCGATGACGACCCGATCGTCAGTCTGGTGATATTCGAGTGGAAGGACGAAGACCTTATCGGTGTTTACCCTGACCCGGATGCATATCAAGTACGGGGCGATCGAATACATATAAATTGGAACAAAATGCTGACGAACGGAGTAGAAAGGGCTGATCTGCGACCCCGATAACGTGGCCAGTGGCCTTTGCGACGAGTCGAACCTTGGCGAATGGATCTTAGCAGCGAATGCTACTGGGAAGTCAACAAACCTGATCCTGACTCAAGCCATGCACCTCAAGTCTTCGTTGCCGATCAACTATCCCATCAAGAAGACCGGCTATTACTGCGTCGCAGCTTTTGGCTACAATACCGATGAATTCATGGGCGTTGTTGAGTTCCGGGAGGCTTACGGCGAGCTCCCCGCGACCCAAATTCCGAAGCTACCGTTCTACGGAGGAATCACAATCCTCTATGCGGTAGTCGTGGTGTATGTTATCGTACCATCGTTGCAAACTTGTGCCATTGCTAACTGGACTTAGCTTCTGGGGTTTCCTTTACTACCAGCACAGATACGACATCTGTAAGCAGCTCTTTGGATACAATCTTTGGGTGCCCAACTGACTTTCAATCAGTGCCTGTGCAGAATTACATCACTGCAATTCTCGTCTTCCTCGTAGTCGAGATGTTGATGACTTGGGGCTTCTACGGTAGGTCACCAATGCATTGGCTGCCTTCAATTGTACCGGCGACTAACTGTGGCAGACTATCTAAACAGGAACGGATCCAATGTTGGAGCCAAGGTGCTCCTCGTTGTGGTGGCCGTCTTGAATGCTTTCCGCAACTCATTCTCGTTCTTTCTGCTACTTATCGTGTGCATGGGCTACGGTGTTGTGAAGCCGTCTCTAGGCAAGACAATGGTATATGTGAGATGGCTGGCTATCGCCCACTTTGTGTTTGGTCTAGTCTACGCCATCACAAGTCTCCTGATCTCACCAGATACTGCTGGTATGTCCCGACCTCACACGAAAACTCAAGCTCGTACGGACTGACACTGCTTCCAGGACCATTCGTTCTTCTCATCGTGCTTCCATTGGCAGGCACCTTGACTGCCTTCTACGTATGGACGCTCAACTCGCTGAACTTCACACTCAAGGACCTACGCGAGCGTAAGCAGACCGTCAAAGAAGCCATGTACAAGAAGCTGTGGTGGTGCATTTTGACCAGCATTCTTGTAATCTTCGGCTTCTTCTTCTTCAACTCGTTCTCGTTTGCTTCAGCATCCGACCCCGACTACGTCCCCTTCCACTGGAAGTCGAGGTGGTTTATACTTGACGGTTGGTTGAACTTGGTTTATTTCGCCGATGTGGCTTGGGTCGCGTATGTTTGGCGACCCACGGCCAACAACCGACGGTTCGCAATGAGTGACGAGATTGCTCAGGACGAGGATGGTGGATTCGAGTTTGCGGACGTGGGAGCGCCAGACGACTCAGACGATGATGAGGAGGCGAACATCGGCAAAACAGACCCAAACCCGTACTTCGCGGCAGCAAACACGAGCCATGCGGCTTCACAGGGCTCGCAGAACAGAGCGCCGGCGAAACTTGAGTCACCGCGGGATTCGTTCGATGGGGAGACAATTTTCGCCGTCGGCGAGGACGGTGACAAATTCAGCGATGATGAGGAAGACGGGCATGGGGAGGGATCAAATCTTGTCGGAGCCAGGAAATAAGCTTTCATACCCCTTTACGGACAAAAGGAGCTGCTGGGTTTGAATCGACAGCTCTCTCCTAGGTGTGTGTTTCCATCATTGTAATATCACAAGATATTTCTCTGTACCTGGCGTTGGATGCCATTGCTTCCGGGTGCATGACCACTGGAAGTACGGAGCATCCTGGTATTCAATTGTCTCTTCCTAGACAGTAAGGATGCGAATGTGATGGGGGGCAGGACATTGTACGAACGCTCACATACCCGCGATGACTTGTTTTCGCTTGCGCACTTATAGCAAGGAGACATTGTGCAGTATTGTATATAATAAGAGTAAATTACGACTGCATTTCAGGTTACAAACGATATTGGACGATATTGGACGATATGGACGCATTCTTATACGTTCTAGGACAACCCAGATTGGCTTCGCTCATATGAACTCGAGGCATTATACACAGCAAAGGCTTGATGGATATACACGTAGACGAGACAAGAACCTCATACAACCAACCCTCCTCCCCTATCTGCTGGACTTCAGTTATCCCTCAAGCACCAACATCACCCCCAAACCCCACAGGCCTCCTCTTCCCGCCGTTCTCGGGCAGGATAGCCAGGGCCTTGTAGATCTTGCCCATGCCGCCCGGGGTGCGGTCCACGAGCCGCCTCCACGCGCTCTCGATCTCGTCCTTCTTCTTGTCGTTTTGGAGACCATCGGCCGCGGCCGCCGCTTTCTTCACTAGCATCTCGGCGCGCTGCGCGATGCCCATGGCGCCCAGGAAGGCGGCCTGCTCGACGGGGCCGTGGCACTCGACGCCGTCGCTCGCGCGCGTGGCGGCCTCGACGAGGGCGACGAAGTCGACGTCGGCGCTCAGGTCGACGCGGCCCGGGTCCGCGAACGGGCCGACGCGCTGGTGCGCGCGGATGCCGCGCAGCGAGTTCGTCGGGATCGTGTCGGCGGGGCCGTAGTCGAGGATCAGGGCGGCGCCCGAGGGGTGCGGTTTGGGGTGCTGCGGCGACCCGCCGATGCGCGCCGCGAAGTCCGAGGCGTAGAGCGCGGCGTCGGGACACACCTCGATGAGGGCATCGGGCACGGCCTTGAGGGCGCGGTAGCGCGGGGACGACTCGGGCAGGTAGAGCGCGTGGCGCGTTGGGGAGGGGCTGAGGGTTAGTTGGAACTCGGGCACTGCGGCGCCGTGCTGCTCTGATTTCGGCGTGCCGAGGTCGGCGTGCGTTGCGCCCTCGGGCGTGGGCGAGACGACCATTTCACGCCATTGGCGGGTGGCGGAGGTCGTGTTGGAGGAGGCGGAGCGGGGGCTGCCGCTCGTAGTGGGTGGTTGTTGCGTCGGCGGCACGTCGACTACCTGGAAGGCGTGGATGGGGAGGGCGTCGAAGAACTCGTGGGCTACGATGAAGGGCGTTTTGCTGGGGTCTTGCGGTATGGCCTTGATGGAGTCGGTCCAGACGATGGGCAGGTCCGAGTACTTGCACGTGCTATGCCAGCCGACTTTGGACTCTCGCATCGCGGCGTCTTCGCCGCAGAGAAGGTTCTTCTGCGCGACGCGGAGCTCGTTGCTTGCCTCGACCATGTAGACGGCGTCGATGCTAGATGCAATGTCTTTGAAGTTTCTGATGGTCTTCCAAAGCGTCAGGGCAATGTCAATATAGGGGAAAGGTATGAGGAGTACTCACTCGCAATACATCATCCATCAGAGTACCTCGACCAGGCCCAACTTCGATGAGCTCAACGCCTCGCCGTGGCCGTCCTTGGGACATCCATTCCGCGACGAACCAGATCCCGATCAGCTCACCGAAGACTTGTGATATCTCCGGGGAGGTGATGAAGTCGCCCTTCTGGCCGAACTGATCACGGCCTGCTTCCAGAGCTCCGGTATAGTAGCCGCCAATGTCTGCTGTAAGACACATGCGCATGTAGCTCGCCAGGGGTATTGGGCCAGTTGTCTAGAAGCATAATCAGCATTAGGCTTTCCCGAAATGAGAATTGCCAAATACATTGATGGCCTCGGTCAATTGCTTGGCCAAGGGCGTCGACCACTTTCGCTCCTCATCTCTCCTTATAGGCGTGGCCGATAAGCTGCGTGCAGATGAGCTCGGATAAGTGAGCTTCGGGGCGTGAGCTACAGGTCGCCTGGATGCGCATCTCAGCCCAGCCTGGGCTGAACGCACGATGCTGGACCGCATTGTTGGTCAAATTGGAAGAAATCATATGCCCATCGTGACGTGTTTCATGGAATCTGACGCTCATAAGATGGCGTTGAAGTGGCCGTTTTGTGAGTGACGCAGGTGCAGGAAAGCTCGAGCTCGGAGCTCCTTTCCATATTGAGACCTGGGAGAGCTTCAAAGATGCTTAAGTTTTGGGCCGAGTATTCTCCGGCCGTCGCATCGCAACCCTTTGGGCTTCTAATATCACAACGCCTACTTTCCACACTCGACAGCAACGGGCTACGAACTACAAAGTCTCCTTCTTTTACATATAACAGCTAGGACCTCCTCACATCGACCATGTCCGGCTGAAGAGTCCTCCCCCATAAACACACGATCAACCCCACTATCCGCACCCATCACAGAACCTCAACCATGGCCAGCAAATCCCGCTGGGCCGACACAGCAGATGATGCCGCGGTCGAGGCGAAGCTCAAGCGGGAGAAGGAAGAGAAGAAGCGCATAAAAGCCGAAAAGGCACGGAAAGCAGCAGAGGAGGAAGCCAAACGGAAAGCACAAGCCGAAGCCCAACAACGAGCCGCACAAGCCCAAGCAGAGAACGAAGCAGCGAACGACGACAACGCCAACAGACCATCCGCGAAGCGACGGAAACTCACACCCGAGCCAGGAGCTAACGAAGGCGAAGCAGCAGCCAAGACAACAACAGATGGCGAGAGCGCGAAGCTGCTGCGCTTCGAGGCTCCCGGCACGGGCACCTGGGGCCCCTCACGCAGCGTCGAGAACTACGACAAACTGAACGACATCGAGGAGGGGGCCTACGGGTGGGTGGCACGGGCACGCGAGATCAGCACCGGCAAAGTAGTCGCGCTGAAGCGGCTCAAGCTCGACAGCAGCGGCCGCGCAGGCCTACCAGAAACAGGACTGCGGGAGATCCAGATCCTGAAGGACTGCGCGCACCGCAACGTCGTGTCGCTACAAGAAGTGGTGGTGGGCGACGACACGACGCTGGGGCGGATCGAGAACATCTTCCTCGTGCTCGAGTTCCTGGAGCACGACCTCAAGAGCGTGCTGGAGGACATGCCGGAGCCGTTCCTGGCGTCCGAGGTCAAGACGCTGCTGCGGCAGCTCGCGTCGGGCGTCGCCTACCTGCACGACCACTGGGTGCTGCACCGCGACCTCAAGACCTCGAACCTGCTGCTCAACAACCGCGGCACGCTCAAGATCGCCGACTTCGGCATGGCGCGCTACGTCGGCGACCCGCCGCCGCCGAAACTGACGCAGCTCGTCGTCACGCTCTGGTACCGCGCGCCCGAGCTGCTGCTGGGTATCAAGACCTACGGCACCGCCGTCGACATGTGGAGCGTGGGCTGCGTCTTCGGCGAGCTGCTGACGCGCGAGCCGCTCCTGCAGGGCGCCAACGAGGTCGACGAGCTGACCCGCATCTTCGAGCTCTGCGGCATCCCGACCGAGGACTCCTGGCCTGGCTTCCGCCGCCTGCCGCACGCCCGCTCGCTCCGCCTGCCCTCGTCCTCCAAGCAGAACGCCGCCGCCACCGGCTCCGTCATTCGCGCCAGGTTCCCGCTGCTCACGACCGCGGGCAGCGCCCTGCTCAGCGCGCTGCTGTCCCTGAATCCGGACGCCCGGCCCTCGGCGAGGGACATGCTGCTGCACGAGTACTTCCGCCAGGACCCCAAACCCAAGCACGAGGCGCTGTTCCCGACGTTCCCGAGCAAGGCCGGCCAGGAGCGGCGGCGGAGGCGGGAGACGCCCAACGCGCCGGGGAGAGGCCAGCCTGCGGAGCTGGGGTCCGTCGACTTCAGTGGTATCTTTGCAAATAGGGAGAAGGAGGAGAGGGGCGGTGGCTTCGCCTTGAGGATGGTTTGATACCCTGCAAGCACGAACCAGCGTGGGCGCTCACGGATTGCACATGTTCGCTACTTGGGCTTATTTAGCAGCAGGTGACGATGTTGGAGATATGTGGTTCATTAAGTGCGATATGGTGACCTCGTAAAGTTCCCGATGCCAAATACATGTGTAGGCTGGTAACAAATCCCCCAATAGATTTGGACCCCATGCGAGAAGGTCAGACCCTGTCTTTGGTAGACCGATAAGGACCGACTATACAAGTATCAAGAACGCCCATACATGGTGTTTCCCGTCCCCAAATTACCGGTGTCGATGGATACCAAAATTCGACTGTCTTTCCAAGAGTATGTGCATGCAATCAATTTCTATCCGTGAATGCATATTTTCCCCATACCACCAACTCCCGATGTGAAAGGGGTGCACTACAGCAGTGCAGCGAATCCCATCACGTACCACGTGAAACTGAGTACAGTAATGATGCTCATCGAGACGGCGAAGCCTACTGCCTTACGGTCGAGGTCTCCGTTTGCCGCACTGCAAGTTGCACACTTCCACTCGCCCAGGTCTTCGTATGGCCTGCTCGTGTACAGGCCGAACTGGAAGCCACTGTAAGGTGCCAGATATCCGGCTTCGGCAGTGGCACTCACGGACGAGTCAGAGTCGATGATCAGGAGGGTGTACTGCGCTACTACCAAGGGACTCGCCACCGCGCTTTCCTGGTATTTGGCAGAATCCCACTTGTATGTTGCAGTAGGCTCAAACGTCATGTTCTGGGTGAGGGTCCAGGTGGCGCTGGCCACAGAACATGATACCATCACATCGATAGCAGTAGGAGTGCCCTGCAGAGAGGTGTAGTTCCAGACCCAGGTGATCGGATCGGGGTTGTCAATTCGGTAGAGTGTAGTGCCTGCCGTCGTGGCGGGCGTGATCATAGCAACACCACCAGCAGGATCCTCGGCGTCGAAGGTAGTGGATTTAGCATCACTGGAGCCGCTCTTGGTTTTGGAACCAGTCTGTGTTTTCGTCCCCGTCCCGCTTGATGTTATGCCACCAGTGTTAAGATTTGTCGTCTGGGGTTCATGGCTGTCGGCGGTGGTCGTCGAGTCCGAGTCCTTGGTTCCCGTTGACTCTGCACTTGTTCCTGTGGACGTTGGCTCGTCGGTTGTCGTCGCTGTGGCTTTTGTGTCGGCTGCTTGAAGCTTGTTAGTACCAAACGCACCATCATGATATATACCGTTTGTTTTGCTTGCACATACCAGTTGTTGTGGAATCGGAGTCATCCTGGCGAACAACGAGCGAGTCTATTTCAGGGAGCCAGCCGGGCCATGCTGATGCCAGTGGTGCTACAGCGAGGGCGACAGTCAAGAGTCGTCCGAGGCTTTGTGGGCGCTTCATCTTGTCTCAATTGATGGAATGCGGGAAGGAAACGGGAGGGAAATGGCGATATTGAGACGGGGTGCTAGACTAATCCCCAACGCTCCCACAAACGATGAATTCTCGATGACCGACGGAAGGACGATATTGTTGTTGCTGTCGTTTCCACGTCGCACGTTGGCTGGTAGGTCGGTAATTGGGGGCCCCTTTTCCGAGCTGAAGCGATGGTTGCACGACGCCGGGGGCAATAACAAATATCAGATGCACGATTAAAAAGACAAGCTGGACTCCTCCAACTAGTGGAAAGGCTGTTTCAGAAGAAAGCGAGTGTAGTAGATAGAAACTGAAGCGAAGGACGGCAGAGTAGCAGCAGAAGAAGAAGCTATCGCCAGTGATTATGATGAGAAGTATCAATAAGTTGATCAGCGAAGGGACGGAGAGATGGAGGGAGAAAGAGAAGGGCCAGGCTTGATTGATGATGACTGCCAGCCGGAGGAGCCAACCAGCTGCGCCAGCTCAGGGCACTGGCAGACTGGGCACCCGCTGGTGTGGGAGGCTCCAGTGCTGCAGGTGGCCGAGATCCCATTGGATCAATCGGCGGGCTCCTGGTGTAGCGCCTGACGAACACGAGCGTTGGCCCACGGCATTGGCGGGTGCTGGAAATGCTAATAACCGATCTGTCATGCACCGAAGATCTTCGGCGGCGGCGGAGACATCGCCAAGTGCCAGGGTGTCACCAGAAATAGGACATCCCCGGCCCGAGCGAGCAATGCACCTATTCAGAGCAGCAAGGCGGGAAGTCATGTAATATTCCAAAGAATAACAATGCCGCAATCACTACGCATCTGTCCCACTCGGGTCGGTGCGATACACTGGTATCGATGGCACTCTTCCAGGCAAGTTGTGCAGTAAATTGTTGCTGGAAAGTTTTTGAGATGCGTCGACCCGCAGATCGTATTCGAGGCTCGTGTTGGGCCCACAATTGAGGTGGCTGCATTGGAGTCTAGGGTATTTACTGTTAACCCCCATAGAAGGATAGGGTATGGCAGGATATATTCAACCCGCGAAACTCCAAAGCTGTCTGGGATTTTCAATGTTTTCATATCCGTTGACATGAATGATGATTGACCCTCATAAACATGCGTGCTGAAACTCTTTTGGATCTAGTCATTCTATCTATATACGGTGTACAAAAGCACTACCTTAAGCACCAAAGACATCATCAACTTCCGCCTCGCCCAAGAACCTACCTAAATATAGACATCCCAGCGAGTCTTACTCTAAACATTTCTATACATCAACGGAAAGCATATACGGACGGAAAACCGATGGCGTCATCCACATTCTTGAGGTCGTTTTTTGTTTCAGACCATGTTTTCCTCAAAGAGCTTACCTGTCTCAGGATCGAAGGTCTCCAAGATGTCGATGACGACGAACTGAACCTTCGTCAAACCACCGAAACCTAACACGGCCACCGTAGAAATTCGACCGACGGAGACCATTCAGCCTACTCGAGACATGACCAGACATCAGTATTCGACGTGTTGGACCGCATTGGGAAGCGTAGCCTTGGACTTGAGAATCCCAAGTTGAGATTCAACCCATATGGTGATCTGGCCTTCGCTTTATGGCTGTTTGCAACCCCGAAGAACAGAACTTGCAAGTCTGTTACTCTGGCCAGTGTGCTAGACCCTACGCTCGAAGCCAGCTTCGTGTGCCTACCTAGGTCCCTGCATATGTAGTAGACAACCGCTGTCTCATCCGCACCAGCCTTGCTCGTTGGGCTCAACTTCATCGAGCCTCCACGCTGCTCAACCATATTCAACAGTCTATAGAGAAAGTTTTATCTGACTAAGCCACTCTACACGAAGATTGAATCGCAAGTCACACGGGAGCTTTTCACCAATGGAAAGGCTGTATAAACAGATCCATTTGTCTGATACACTCAGGTATGCGAAGTATGACTGGCCCCTCTCCTGGTTCTATCTACATGCAGTTTGGGTGAAAGACATCCTTACCAACCCACCTGTACCGAGCTCACCTTCACGGACTGACGACTACTCACTTGAAGGACATGTTCCGAATCTTCTGTGATCATGGTATCGAAACCTACAACGACAGACGATGCTCTCTCCTGGAGTCATTGTATGGGAGCTTTCCATGCCTCATCAACGGGACTATATGGCTACCGGGTTTGCTTGAGGATTTTCCAAATGGTGGTCGAACTCATCGAACTAGGACATGAGAAGGGCTTCAAGCTATTAGCAGACGAAGAACAAGACTCAGCCATGCTGCCAAGCCCCGAAGAACAGGCTGCCAGCCTTGATAGCATCATCGGTCCGCTTGGATGCCTCACCAACGTCTAGTGACATGCTAACCATTAACGTGCTCGAAAAGCACATCATGTACTTACCTCAAAGCCTTTGCACAAGTCGGCGGCCTCGGGAGCACCTTCGTAGTGGCGGGGGTTACCAAGGCTATGCGGTTCGGCCTAGTTGTTTACCTATTTGCTGGCTGGAGCACATTGAAATCGGGGTTCTCACTGGCGTCTTACTTGGTATCCCATTCGTTGGCGCTGCTCCTAAACACCTCGGTACGAGCTCGACATAGGATTTGTGCCCGTTCGGAACACGCCGTCTCTCAGATGGGAAGTCGAAGTAAAGAGCATTGTGCTTAGAAACTCAACATTCTATTAAGTATCAGTAGGGTAAGCCACTTAAAATCAAAACAATTGCCGCTGAGGTGGTCATGAAGTCGTTGTGTCAACTGCCTGCATGATTGTATGTTGGTAGTGTCGAGGAACTATCGCGGGCTGGCACGAGCGTATCATGGGGCCAGTATCACGTTGCTAAGCCTCGGTCCAAGTTAACATGACATACCGAGCCTCCCGTGGTGCATCACGTGTGGTTTGGTTGGAAGCCTCTCGTGGGGGCGACGTTTTCTCGGCTCCTGTTGTTCATGTTAACAAATAGTCTTACTCTTGGCATCTGGCTTATCCAAAAGGACCTGGTGAGCTGTAATGGGCTCTAACGACAGTTGTTTCCTTGGATGGCAGATGGATCTCTCCAAACCCTGCTACCACCCATAGTCCAAGCAATGAGCTTTCTACCCCATACGCGGGCATTCTTTCTCCACGGTATCTGGATGGTGGGCAGTTGGGGCTCCCCGGTTATTTTTAGGGATGGGAAGGTCCTTCAATGTCGAGGGAGTGTTTGTTGGTTTGGCGAAATTGTAGACCCCTTGTATGGGAAGCGGTGTGCCAAGTTCCAGCGCTTAGGATGTACATACGTGACAGGTGCCGAATATTAAAACAGAGGCTGAGATGGAGCAGGGAGGTCCTTCGCCAGATACAAGAGTTCAGCAGAAAAGCAAGCCATAGGTAGAGTTCTATTGGGGCTTGGTGGTTTAGTGACTTAGGTACCTGCAGTGACCTAGGTGAATCTCACGAGATGGATGTTTTGAATGCGGATGGCAGCCTTGGCAGCCTTCCATGTGCCAGAAGAACCAACTGGTCACTGGTCAGGCTGGTCTGGGCCCTGTCAAGACGGGATGGACCTGATGCTGTTGGAACTTGGGAAGCTGGGGTATTGGCCCACTCTACCGCGGGTGCTCACCGTGCTTCCCCAATTGACTCCACACCTGCACCTGCAGCAGGCCAATGTGCGCTGTATCTACAGCGATTGTGCACGGGACAGTGATCCACTGGCCACCTGCAGCGATACCTTAGTGATCGCTGCAGGCCGGCTTGCGCGGGCAGGTTCGAACACCAAACGACGAATTTGATTTATCGGATTTCTTCTGCCACTGATCTGGCGCCCGCACCTCTTCCTGCTCAACTCTTCCCACCTGGAAAGCCGAGAGGTCGAGCATGCGAAATGGCCGCTCCGGGATCCAGCGCCGTCACAATTGATCGCACCTATTTCGAGACATTGTTGCGAAGGTGAGTCGCATCCAAAACTTATCTTATCGCCTCCTGTCCCGAAGCTCCCCTCGTGTGACGATGTCGCAGAGGCTGACCTGTCTTGACCTCCAGGGCCGAACATGTATGTTATATCCATGCCTTAGGACTTCAATGGCTTTGCAGGCCTTCTCACTAGATGGTCTAGAACCAGAACGATGGCCTCGCCGAGAACGCGTTTTCGGCCGCGTTGGACTCGTTCGTACCCGTGTCTAGAGAGGAGTATGACAACCTTCTGCTCGTTGCCCGTCAATATGGTGTGCAATTCTCCAAACCCTACACCTGCATGCAAGCCAGTCTTTCTGACAAGTACAAGCAAACCTGAAGCGGAGCCTCATGGGTGCTGGTGTCACTGAAGACCATATCACGGTAAGTACCAATTCTGTGGCTGCAACACGACTCCACGGCCTTATGGTTGCGCGTCTAATCCACGCGTGGAGTTACCTCAAAGGACAAGCTGACATCTGCTAGACCCTGATCCAGGATAACGACTACGTTCCGCCTGCTGGTGCATACGCGGCCTCTAGGCCCTCGTACAAGCGTGACGACACCGAAGACGGAGGAGCTCGCCTGAAGCCCATGTCACAAGCGCACTCGAACTTCCGACCATCCTCCAACGTCTCCTCGTATAGTCCGTTCCTCCAAGGCGATGGTGCGAACCACTACAACGGGTTCGGGTCTAGACAGGCCGGGAAGCACGACTGGGCTGAGCAGGAGCCACATGGCGATGAAGACACCCCTTCTTATTCGGCTGAAGGTCCAACATCCGATCTGAATAATGAGCGCACGTTTATGCCCTTCGGCCAGGCTGAGAACGCCCCGCAACGACCGCATTATGCTCGAATGTGCAAGAGAACACTAATGCTGGGTGGCCTGCCAGACCGAACCACTCATTGGGATGTGACGAGTGTCGTTCGTGGTGGACTGCTCCTAGATATCTTTCTCCGAGCTGCTGACCACATGTGCCTTGTTTCCTTCTTACACGAGGAAGATGCTGTGCGATTCTACGATCACGCAAGGAAGAATGATATCTACATCAACAACAAGAGGGTTGGCACCCTTCACGATTATTCCTGCTTGACCTGGCTAATGAGATACTATTAGGTCTTCATTCGATGGGCAGACCGTCATTTCCATCTTGCTGGACATGTCGCCAGCAAGATTGGTACTGGTGCAACCCGCAACATGATTATTCGACGATGTGACCCCAAGCATACTGAAGACACCATTCGCGATGACTTGGAGCACATCCACAATCTTGTCGTCATCAAGGTCGAGTTCATTGGGGGCAGTTGTTACATCAAGACCAACTCTGTGCACAATGCCATGTTCGCGCGAACGTGCATGATGAGCCGAGCGTAAGCAATGCTGTCAGCCAAGTCTTTCGAAGTCTCTAACCGCATTTGTTGCAGGACGTACAAAGGCTCCAAGATCGAGTGGGACGTGGACGAGTGCGAGCAGCCGATTGAGGTCATTCAGAAGATGCCACCGCAGCCCGTGCCGCAGCGAGCTCCCCCCAACAAAGCAGCTCCAGGGTTCCGAAATCGGTTTGACATGCTGCGCCTGGATGACGAGGACAACGATGAGACTGACGATAAGTTCGATACCTCATCCGAGATGCCTGGAACTGTGGACGTCACAGCATGACGAGTTAAAAAACGGTTGTCTGTGCAACACGGATGATGACTGGCGCGCGTGTATTGCCTTACTTGATTATGTTTTAAGCTGGTTGATGCTGGCCTGTCTGGGAGAGACCACTTCGCAAGAAGAAATGGAGACTGTGTGGTCCCAAGGATCGGTATGAAATTTGCAATGGGGAAACACTCCGAGTAGGGGTGACGGAGTTAGGGATACCCAGGTCTGTGATTCGTCATCAGGGAAAATAATGCTCCCATCCTGTAGGATGATCCGGAGCACAACTGAACAGCTTCAATTGACTCTACCTCTGCAGAACGGTTGGCAATGAGGCCAGCCACCCAGCCGCCTGCGAATAGCATTACTATTCACTCATAAAAGGTTCTATTACTTGCAAGTGTGTGTGTCTACATCTCCTATGCATGCTGGGAGACACGGACTAGAAAAGCTGATCTGGATGTGCAACCGGAGCATCTTTGGTTGCCGTTTGGCTGGTGAGATTGGCCTGTGATACATACCACGAGGAGAAACGCATATGAAAGCCCAACAGCCTCTCGGGCCTCGACCCCTCTGGAAGTTGGAAATCTGGTCGAGGAGACCCCCCAGGGCCCTTGGCCTTGTCCCGTCTGCCCCTCTTTGGATCCGACTCCGCGGCACCGGATCTATCCTGATGCTAAATTTAGTAATGTGGGTCGATATACCGTTCCTGGTGTTGCTCCACTAGCGGCCGTTCACACGCACCGGAAGGACGACAGAGACGACCAACATGAGTATTCCTACCTAGCCCATCTATATCACAGTTGTAACTGTTGGATATGTGACGCCTTGAGCTCTTCATTGACTGGGGAAAACGATACCCGTGCCCCGCACCACTTTACGTGGTGAGCCCTAGCGAGGTGGAAAGTGGTGCGGGGCACGAGTATGAGGGGCTCGCTGCACTTGGCCTTCAAGACATGGGGTGGAATTGTCAGGGTAGGGGGGACTCGTTGATTTGGTGGTTTAGTGCATGCTGGGAGTTATACTTGCAGTCTTTTGCTGGTAGGGGTGTTGGTGAATTAATAAGTAAACGTCTGGTGGGGGTAGCTGTGTTTCCTTGATGAGTGTGCACTGTGTTTAGAAAGCGAAGGCTTGGGCATGGTGATAACTGGCTTAGAAACTCTGTGCATGACCTACATATAACTATTGGGAAATAGAGATCCTAGCATGGGAAGAATATATCGTTCCCCTACCGTTGAACTGAAGACATTGAAGTGAAGAAGGGCCTGGATAAGCTCTGGTCGTTGAGTATCTTGATACCTCCCCGTCCGCAATGATCAGGAGCACGGATGTGTAGGGCATAGTCAAGCAAGCGTCTGCTTCGAAATGCAACCTCCACATATATCGTTGAAGTTACGTGATCTGGCACACGATACAGTTGAATGGTGACATATGTTATGTTGACGGGCATACCGGCTCGATATGGTAGCTGGGAATACTTTAACATCACCACTTGGCTAATCACGTTGACGGATAGGAACTTGTCTGGTGAGGTAGTCGGTGTGCTTGCTGAAGGCTCGGGCCAAGTTAGACAGAGATTGGCCGTCCGTCAGAGATTGGCCGTCCGTCAGAGATTGACCGTCCGTTGGTATACATGCCTAAATAATCAACCAGAACTGGCGGCAGAAATTGGGATCGTGTATCGAAGCCTCGACCTACCTCATATGTACGGTACTTCTCTCATTCAACTTGAAGTTGGCTCGTGCTGACTTTACATCCACTAGCCACATCTAACTAGTTCCTCCGCCACTCTGACTGTGCCACAATCTGGAGCTCCCCTCGGCCAGAACTGACACGACGTCGTGCGTTGGGCACTTGGGCCAGCAGTGATCCCCATTCATCAACCTGAACCTTCAACCCATCTGCCATTCATCGAGATCTCTCTCGTCAACAATAGCATTATTCGCATTCATCCCGAACCCTAAAGTCTATCGCAATAAACAAACATCAGTTATAACTGAGCGCAGCAGCGCTACACTTATGAGAGAGCTCCATATCCGGACACACTCTCACTGCAAAACGCACAACATCTCCGGTACCTTAATCAGCGCCTCGTCTGCGCCAGTTGGTAGCTTGTTCCGAGCGTTGTTCACAACAACTGCCCACAACCCCGCCCATATCTTGCGCACGCGCTCGTTACCTTCTGGCACCTCTGCTGCCTTGACGAGCTCGTCTCCCACCATCACTTCAACCAGTCGCCGTAGCTGCGGTCATGCCAGTACGCGGACGTCAACATGGCTCAAGAAAAGATGACACTAGAAGATTGTACGTAGCGCCAGCCTTCTGACAACATACTTATTATCCTTCATGGGGATGGACTCGCAGGGAACCACCAGCTGGTTGGATGCGCGATGTGCTGACACATATTTACAGGGCTGGACGACCTCTGCGTCCGATTCATCATAAACCTCCCGCGAGCAGATCTTTCGTCGGTAGCACGTATATGCTTCCAAATTGAAGAAGCACAATGGTTCTACGAAGATTTCATTCGGCCCCTGGACCCGACCCTCCCGTCCATGTCCCTCCGAAGCTTCAGCCTGAAGATGTTCACGCATTGCCCCCTCCTCGCCTCCTTCTCCGCCGATAGCCATCTCAAAGCCTTTGAAGAATTCATGCAGTACAAGACACGAGTTCCAGTCAGAGGAGCCATCATGCTTAATGAAGCGATGGATGCCGCAGTGCTCGTACGAGGTTGGAAGAAAGGCGCAAGCTGGAGCTTCCCTCGAGGCAAAATCAACTATGACGAACCCGACCTTGATTGCGCCGTTCGGGAAGTCTACGAGGAGACGGGATACGACCTCCGGAAAGCTGGGATAGTCGAAAGGAACGAACCGGTACACCCTCTCGAGGCCACCATGCATGACCAGCAGGTGCGACTCTACGTTTTTCGCGGCATACCAGAGGACACCGTCTTTGCGACGAAAACAAGGAAGGAGATTGGTGACATCAGGTGGTACAACGTTTCGGAGCTGCCTGCCTTTCGCAAGAAAAAGGGCGCGGGTAAGAATCAAGGAGCTACATCCCAGGACAAGTTCTACATGGTTGCGCCCTTCATGGTGCCACTGAGGCAATGGGTCATGAAACAGAAGAAGAACAATGCGCACAACGCTCCAGCCCCCAACGACCAGAACCCCTTAACCTTGCCAGAAGAGACCTTGACAGACGATAACGTTCTCGACGAACCGATGGAACCGCCTCTTTCCGGCACACACCCCGAATTTATCGACGGTGCAACGAGAGAGCTGCAGCGGCTACTTCAAGTCAAACCACCTACGCAAGGCTTGCAGTTACCATCTCCAACAACCAACCAACAGGCAGGACAGACCCTCATGTCACTCTTGCAACCCAAGATGGCTAGCAATGGACGTGCACCTGGACACAACCAAGAAATGCCTCGCACTCCGCTCGGTCAGGAACTGGCAGGAGCTCCTGAGCCCCAGACGCCCCAGTATCACCATGTGGCACACAAGTTACCTCAACCAAACTATGCAGCACCACCCGCATTTCCGATCGAGCCCAACGCCCATGCTAGCTACTTGCAGCACCAACATCAACAGCACCGAGCCCGGCCGCATGTGTATGTCACGAATGAGATCAACATTCCGCAACCTTTGCCGAACCCGCCACGGCCTTTACCAAACCCACCCGTCCAGCTGGTCCATCCTCAGCCGCTGCCATTGCAGGCACAAATCTTGCGTGGCATGGCCCCCTCACCTGCAGTCAAGGCCCCTGGCGCACAAGCAACACCTAATACAGGACACCTTCAGGGTGGCCAATACGCAGGCCCCGGTCCTCAGTATCAACCCCATGCTCATGGTGTCCACGGCATCCAACCTGAAATGAAGCAGCCTCAGCTGCCTGCGCACACAGCAGGCCTTCTGAGTGTTTTGAAGGGCCATAACCCCCAGCCGAACTCAGGCCCGCAATCTGCGCAACAGCCGTCACCTTTACACGGGACCATGAATATCTCCATGCAACAACAGCACCCGCAGACTGCGCAACAGCCGTCACCTCTTCACAGGACCATGAATATCTCCATGGAACACCAGCACCCGCAACGGCCATCTCCTGCGTCCAACGGTGGCTATGCTGGTCAATATGGCCAAACAAGCATGCCTCCTACCACTGTTGCTCAGGCGTCTTTCTCGGCCGCCAACGTACGTCTCCTGGCACCAACGGACAAGCATCGTGCTGGTTTGCTCGGCATGTTCAAGCCGGCGGAATCCACCTCATCGCAAGGCCATGCTGGTAGCGAGGACAAGGCTCTACTTCAACCGCAACCTGCGACTGCCCCCACTGTTCGTCAACCAGCTCAAACAGAGCAGTTGAAGCAACAACGAGTGAACCAAGGTCCCATTCTTGCGGATACTCTAAGAACCGCAGCTCAGGAGAATGGTCGACCGATGCAGATGAACCCCGAGACCAACCTACCTTTCGGAGCGCACGCGATACTGGCGCGCCCTCAGGCGGGCCAGGCATCGGCTGCCGGACCAAAGATACCAGGAAGAAACCTGAATGAGCCTACCCGAAGCCTACCGCTGCGTTCTCAGGCTAGTTCTACATCATCGACGAACAAGTTGACGCCCCAACCGGCTCAGGTCATGATGAAAGTGCAACACGTCGGACAAGCCTCGCCACCCGCTGCTCAGCCCCTGTCAGCGCAGTCTTACCCGTATGGTAGCACTGAAGGTCTTGCGCCCAACCCATTGGCGCTGTTCCCCAATCCTCCGGCTGCTTCGTCGCTTCCAATGCCAGGCACCGGCTTCAAGGCTCGACAAGGCTCAACAGTTGAGCAGAGGAGTACGCTGTTGTCTCTGTTTGGGAAGTCGAACTCGGGCGTCGAGCAAGACAAAGGAAAGGAAGCTATGACTCGCGAGCAATTCGGGGGCGGTGCTGCCCCGCGAACGCGGCTGGCGTCGTTCGCTTCTAGTGTAGGCGATGGCGCAGTGGATAGCAATGGGCCTCGGCGTGACAGTCCGTCGGCGCTCTCACCGGCGGATAGAAACTTCCTGCTAGGATTTCTGGAGAATGCATCTAACAATGCCGGCAAGCGTTGAACAGGGTTTCAAGGATAATCGGAATGGGCAGACTTGGGTTTCGGGTCTAGGAATGGTTATGCCCGTGGTCCGGGTGGTTCGGGCGATTCATCAGCGATCCTTGAGTACATAACATAGTAGTATACCCTGTTGTTTGACTCAGGCTTACATAGCATAACATTGATTTCTAGCACCTCCCAGGTCTTTTGCCGCTCCCCGTGACAAGATAGGTAACGAGACACACATATATCAACAGCGTAGAGTGAGTGGATACCATGTAAGGCGTCAAAGACTCAAAACACGGGCGCTAAGTAAATAGACGGAGCAGCGAGCGGGTGCCCCACCAACGGAAACGGGGCTGACGGGGTATTGTACATATGATGTAACCTGCAACAGACGCGTGCTCCGTGTTCATTCTTCAGCAACTTTATTCATAAAATCTAGCTTCATGCTACATGTACGACAACGCCACATTCAGCGCAAGCACTGTGATCTTCGTTACGTTACCTGGCCTTTGAACAGCCTACTTACGAAGCCCCCTACTCGAACTCGCACGCGCCATAGCTCTTGACACGAAGGCAGTCTCCAAACATACAGCTCTCTGGGGTCCGGCGATCATGGCGCGACTGACACATGAGCCCATAACGCCGCGGCGGAGCGTGTCCAACCCAAACTCGCTGACGGACCTCAACCGACTATTGGCCCGTCTACAACAGAGCATTCTGCACGCCGACGCCGAGCGCGAGCGCAGACTGCGGTCGAGCCAGTACGAACGCAATAGGGTCGGGACAGTACGTGCTAGCCTTGCCTACCCGTCAAACCCCCAGCCTGGCGCTGGCACTGTTCGCACGAACCAACAGCTCCCTCTGTTCTTCCTTCTGCCCACCCGTTCTAGCTCACTACTTGTACGTGCATATGTGTGTTGATCTAGCTGGCTAACACGGGGCTTGTGCCCATCGCGCAACAGAACCTCGAATACGCCCGAACCCTCCTCACGAAGCTGGAACAGGATGCCCTGGGCGTCAAGGTGCACGCGCGGCGGAAGGACATGCAGGCGGACCTGGACCGCAAGCGCGACGTCTTCGAGCGCGTGAGTGAGCGGCTGCGCGAGCTCGAGGACGCCGCCATCGATAGCGACGACGACAGCTCCGACGGCGAGGACCTGCTGGGCGCTGTCGCCACGCCGAGCCAGAGCCAGAGCTCCGACTCGAATCACCAGCGGGATGACTTTGGGAGTATAGCGGAAGAGGAGGGGGAAGAGGAGGAGGATGCAGATCAGACGGTCTTGCCCGAGCCGAGAAGGCAGAGCACTACTGCGCCTACGTATAACAGTAGCGAGGCCCCTCGCGCTTCGGGTACGGATTTGGATAGATATACGACTACTACAACATCACAAACCCTGCGCACTCGAAATACGTCCACCAGCTCCCAACCCATCGCCGACACTGCCTCCAGCAGCGCGCTGCGCAACGAACTCTTCGCCGGCGCCCGTCCCAAAGCCACCACCACCACCGCATCTACAACCGACCTCGCCACCACCACCACAACCACGGCCGAGGCGGTCCTGGACCTCCAGCGCGCGGAGCAGGACCGGCTGACGGAGTCGATGGTGGGCATGGCGCGCGCGCTCAAGGAGTCTACGCACCGGTTCTCGTCGGCGCTGGCCGAGGACGACGAGGTGCTGGCGGCGGCGGGACAGGGCCTCGACGCCAGCGAGAGGGGTATGGTCACCGTGTCGGGCCGCCTGGGCTCCCTGCGCCGCCTGACCGAGGGCGAGGGCTGGTGGGGCCGCATGCTGCTGTACTTGTGGATCGCGGGGCTGGCGGTCGTGGCGCTGGTGCTGGTTTTTGTTTTGCCGAAGTTGAGGTTCTGATCTTCGAGACGGGGAAAGGGAGTGGGTGGTTGCCCCTGAGTGTGAGGATGATAATCACTGTAGCGCACTATTACCACTGGAGGCCTTGCTTGACCATGCTGTTGCAAGGTCGCGAGCTGACCATGAGCTTGGCCATGAGTACCAGACTGTTGGCGACACCATTGGCCTGTCGGCCAAGATGGTGGTGGTCGAGGACAGAATCGTCAAGTTTGTGAGGTGTACTGAACGAGTTATGAAATCACGATATCTAAGAATATACGAGCATACCTTTACACAGATTGGCGAACTGTATTTTATGTGAGCTATGCAAACTGTCTTAAGAAGAAAAACGATAGTATTATCCAGTAAAGTTGTTGACTAAAAGGGGCCCGATTCAGTAATTACGGTGTAAACAAAGTTTTGTCAATATTGTGTAATTGGTAAAGCTGGGATTGACAGGTGGCGGTGGAGTGGTTCATACTGCGTGTGATGGTTTACGACAAGAAGATCTGTACTCCGGTTGAACGGCCACAAGGAGTAAGCTGCAGATGGAAAGATGATATGAAGTAGTAGTCATGAGCAATCGCATACTATATCGGTGTCTGTTTAACTAACCACAGCGAAAATTCCATCCACCAGTGTGAAGTGTGGAAAGCCGAACTTCACACTCGAACTCCACGTAAACCGTATGAAGGTAAAATAGATAGGTAAGGACCTTAACTTTAAACCCACCGACCGCAATATATGCGCAGACATGTCCGCCCACCAATATGAACTCTGATAGATGCCAGTGATTGCCGGAAAGCGGAAGATAATGCAATGCGGTAAAACCCTCACTTCAGCCCACCTGAACAAGTTGGGCACTTGTGGGATTGGGAGAGGGAGGAGGATCTTACTCCTCCTCCGAAGCCTCGGACTCATCATCCTCAGGATCCTCGGCCTCGGCGTCCTGGGCATCACCGACCCCAGCTACGACGCCCTGAGCCAGCACCAGCAAGCTGTTGGAGGCAAGCTCGGCCATCTCCTCGGCCTGGATGCCTGCAATGAGGGCCTTGCCAATCTCAGCCATCTCCTCATCCACGAACTCCTGTTCTTCTGCTTGAGCCTGCTCAGGCTGCATGCCGCCGTCGTCCGCATCCAGCATGATGTCGTCGGCCTGGTCCTGATCCTCGCCTTCGTCGTCGTTGCTGGTGCTGGGAGGGGTAAGCGTTTTGGAAGACTGCTTCTTCGGGGCTCCCGAATTCTTCTTCGTCTTCTTCTTCTTTGGCTGACCATGGTCATGGTCCTTGCCCATCTCATCCTCAGCTCCCGACTTTCTCTTCGTTTTCTTCATTGGCTGGCCACGGCCATGGTCCTCGCCCATCGCATCCTTGGACCCGCTACCGTCGACGTCCTCGCGGGCGTCGTCTTGTTTCGCGGCCTCCTTCAGTCGCAGGGGTAGTTGGGCCCTGACATTGCCGTCGCCGAAGAGCGAGGGGGTGCGGCCGTTGACCAGGCCCACGGGCTTGCCGCCAGTCTACAAGGAGAAAGCTAATCAGTTATTGAACACCTCACAGAAAAGGCATCGGACTTACGGGTGGCTCGTATTGGAACTTTTCGGCCGGCATGGTGCCAGCCTTGGCAATGCGGTCATCCCACAGCAGGCCCGTCTTCTTCTCGAAGAAGGTCTTGAAGTCCTCAAAGGCCACGTCGAACTTCCGCGGGGTCTCCTTGGTTCGGAGCACTGCCGGCTTGTTGTCGCGGTGCTTCTTCCAGAACTTGGCCGTGGTCTGGTAGAGGTGCGGCTTGGCGTTGGACTCCCAGAGCTGGATAACGTAGGTAGGGGGTTAGGACTCATGTTGTTGGTGGACGAGGGTGCGGTTGGGGGCAGGCTTACCGTCAAAACGTATTTCTGGCCGACGTCCTCGTTCTTCTCGTCGTCTCGGGTGAGCTTCACCTGGTACTCGAAGAACATGCTGTCTCGGTAAATGTGGTAGAGGTCTGTTGCACCCGTCAGTATGTATATCCACTTGCACCAGGTACCCAGCGCGCATGTAGTTTCAAAAAGGTAACTCACTGGGATCAATGTACTTAACCGAGAGGTCGAGGCCCTTCTGTACCTGCTGCTTGCGTCGCATCTTGGCATTGGACTCCTTCTGCTTCTCCTTGAGGGAGAACTTCTTTTCCAGAAGTCGCTTCTTCGCGTAAATTGAGTCCTCCAGCCAGTTAAGCAGGACGATGTGTGTGTGCTTGTTCTTCAGCGCCACCTTGACCTCGGGGATTTTTTTCTTGAAAGAGGCGTGGGTGCACAGCAGGTGCGTGACGCTGTTGTCCATCTTGTAGTTGAAGGTGCCGCCCCAGCTAGTCGTCCATTTGGCGACTTTAGAGGCGTCTTGCCATTGGGGGTCTACGAGGTCGCCACCGATCGCTACGGTGCAGTCCTTGAAGATTTTCTTGGTCTTCGTCTGCTTTTGTTTCCTGGGGGCCATTTCTTGATGGAGCCGTTTGCGGTAGGTCAACCGGGTAGCGGAGAGTGGTAGGAGAAAGTAAGGTCTAGATGGAGTAGGTTAGGATAAGAAGCAAATAAAATGCCAATTAAGTAGGTGTGTGTGGCGACGGAGGGAAGGAAGGAAGGTAGAAGTTAAGTTAAGTTAAGTCTTCAGATGATGCTGGTGTACGAAGTGTAGTAGGTGCCACTTGCCTAATTAGAAGTATCTGCCGGGGTGCGTGTGCAAGGGAAAGCGAGCAATGTGTATGCGCATGGGAGAGTGTGATGTGGGAGTGCGTAGATAGATAAAGGGGAGTAAAGGGGGGGCAAAGGTACTTACATGGAAGTGACGATAAGGTCGCAGCTTCGAGTATCGTGGACGACGCTATGGCCAATCTTGTATGGTGTTAAATTCGGATAACCTCGATCAAACCTATCGGGATTCCGATCGAACGGAGGAGATTGACGCTGGTGCTTGGGAGCTTCAGGCATATCAACCAACCAGTAGTGATGCAACTACTAGGTCCACGATATAGGGTTCAGTCATACCTGCCTGGGAGCCGCCTCAAAGGAGCATATGGTGATGATCTAGATGTTAGGAAAAAGGGAGTCTGTTCGGGTGAAGTTAAAGTAAGCTGGTATGTAAAGGCCTTCCTTCCTTACGTATCAGGGGGGGAAGGGGTATCAGCATAAACGTGCAACCTGAGGGCAAATTGAATTGAGAAGTTTCGGGGGCATGTGCAGCACGAAAGTTTGAATCCGTTCAGAGATCGTCCCTTGATGATATTGCCCAAGAAAGAGCAATTAAAAGATCATCGAAACATGGAGATGTGGGGAAGAGAGTAACTGATGAGCCCGTGCAAAGGAAGAGAGCAGACCATGGAAGCTGGGTACCCCTAGGTAGTTAGAAGAATCCAAGCATACCCGAGTAGAGTGGACGGGAAGTCACTTACCACCAACGAAGACACCATTGCCGCCGAGGTTACCGTTGCCGACGAAGACATTAACTGCGGAGTGGGACATGAGTCTAGGCCGCCGAGTACAACTGGATTCTATCCTCTAGGTCTCAAATCAGAGATCTAGTAGCAGGCTGGGAGAAACCCCCTTTCACCTATAACTCAAGTCTGAGGTCAACAGTGTCACGTGGCGGACGCGGGAACACGTGGAAGGGGTAAACTTCTCAGGGGTATCAATCATAAAATCATTGCCTATGCAGTATGCCATGCCCAAACAACTATATCGCTAAATGCCATCATGATACGACCAATGCCGCGCCTCCTCAAGGAAGATGCTTGTCCCTGAGGTTTTGGTCTGAACCCCTTTGCCATGCCTGCCTCTTAGAAGAAGGTGCTCTTTTTCTTAGAGATCTTCCCTTCTCCGCTTCCACCTCTCCTACGGCCAGGCTGGGGCTGGGGCTGTGGTTGAAGTTGAGGTTGCGGTGGTGAAAACCAGTTGCTAAAAGCACCCGGCCGCGGTCCAGCGCTAGAAGGCCGTGGTGCTTGCTGCGGAGCTTGCAAGTTCGGGCGACCCGGACCAGCCTGGTTACTCGGTGTCCCCGTCGTCCGCGTGGGGAGGCTTGGTGTTGGCCCAAAGTCCTGCCCTTCGAGTCCAAACTCCCTCTTCAGCCTCTCTGTCTCTCTGGCTACTTCTTCGTCGCGTTGCTTTCTCTCCCTTTCTTCATCGTCAAGCATCTTCTTGATGCGCTCCTCCTCCTCCTTCTCCTGCCTCTCCCGCTCACGCTCCTCCTGCTGTACGATGGCCTGCAGTCGTTTCGTTTCAGCATCGACCCTAGCATCCTGAGGCGGAGTCGGTTGTTGAGTGAGCGGCGACTGAGCCTTCGCGGGTGCCATGTTGCCCCCCGCGCCGCTCATTGCATAAGAATCTGATCTTGGCGACCCTGACCGTCCCGCCACAGGCCGTGAGTTCTTGCGCCTGTTCGGCGGGGCGCCGTTGAGGTTGAAAGAGTCGCGACTGGGGAAAAGATAGATTTCGCGGATGACCTCGGCGCCAAGTAGCAGGACAACCTCGAGGCCCTTGCGATCCTCTACCTCCACCCTCTGTAGGTTCGGCTCGTAGATGGTGACGCTCTGTTGCCTCCCGTGCCTGTACATAGCTATGGTAATATCCGGCTCCTTGCTTTTCTTGCCGCCGATGGACACGCCCGTCATGTAACATGTCATGTCCTTGGAGAACTTGCTGTCGCGTTTCCATTTGAAAATGATCTTGGGCGTCAGGCTGCTTGCCATGGGGTCGCTTTGTTGCCGGTCGAGTTTCGACGAGGAGGGCAGACGGAAGCTCTGCTGCGGCATCTCGAAGTCGAACGACTCCTTGCCTGTCCAGGTACTCTTCTCTCCCCTTATAGACACCTGCTGGTCCGGGTTGTATAGCTGTATGGTGAAGCCGTCGGGTATGATGGGCACGGGAGAGGGCGGGATGCCGTTCTGGGCGCGTATCTCGGCTGCTGAGAGGGTGGGTTGTTGGAACTCGGGCTCGATCAGGACCTCGGCAAAGATGACGCCCTGGGCTGCGGCGTCCCCAATGGCCACGGCATACTTGTTCTTGGCCTGCGGGAGAGCTGGGTCAAACTTCTGGATCGAGTATTCGGCGCCCAGTTCGGAACCGTTCTGGGAGAAGTATAGGAAGGTCGCGAGCGGGTTGTCAGACGATTGCCTGAAATAGAAGGTTGGGAGGTTCTCGTCGAGCATGTTGACGACGGTTATCTATTTGATCTAGGGCACCTGACAGAGACTCACGTGTTGATTCTCGGGGTGGATTTCATGTACAGAAGGCAGGATTTGTAAACTGAAACGTGTATCTTCGAAGTTCAAGTCGCAAAATGAAGGTAGGTGGGATAGTGACTAAGTATATATGACTATTAGGTATGCGCTGAGGAATGCACGAGGTCGCGGCGAGCGCGGCTTCCAGCTGAAGGGGCCGAGGGGGTGGTGGGCAGGGTGACGAAAGCAAGCTAGGCGTGAGTAACTAACCCACTATAATGAGGCTGATGAGACCGAAAATAGAAAGAGCCACTCTAAAAACTAGCAGTAAAACTGATTATAATAAGTTAGTACAAAGACCAAACGACCGTTGATGCAGAATACGCAGTCACAATGCGAAGCACGAAGCCGAGATATGCGGGTGAGGAAGGCGGGCATTCGCACTCCGTCCCACGCAAGAAAGCTGCGCCACGTTCTCCGTGCCTATCAAGTCGGGGCGGTGCAATATCTGCTCCCGTCAATATCCCCACTGGAGAACTCGGAAGTTCTGCCTCTCACCCTGTCTCCCAGGACTCTGAGCGACAGCCAAGAACAATCTTCATAAGCCAACGCGCGTTCGAACGCGAAACAGAAGACTTGACTCGAGCCGCCTGCCTGCCTCTTTCCTTTGGATATGTGAGGATCTTTTCATAAGGCAGTTTTCGTTTCCTGAAGTACTACTTGCTTGATAGATCCTTAAGAAGCCACTCCAGTCACAGCGAACACCACGCGTGATTGAGTTGTTGGCGTTGTGGACCATTCAGGTAGAAAAGGGGGAGGTCGCCGTGATGCTTAAAGCGACACCGGGGATCACAGCTGTCTCATCACTCGAATGGCCGATCGTACGTTGTGATTTCCCCGCGTACCTATGCCCAAGCCCATGCACACATTCCCCAACTCAATCAACCCATGATGGCGGTTTGCTTCATATGCTCGCGCAGTCCAGCAACCAGGAAGGAAGGTAGGCCGCGCTCGCCCAACACCTGCTCGACCGTCCGCGAGTAGTTCGCCATTTCTCCCGATGCGCGCCCGTCCTTCGCAGGGGCGCTATAAGATGCGGTGCAGGTTATGCGAGACCCGGACGACGCAGCCTTCGATCACCGGGCCTTACCTGCCGCGCCTCTCGGCCCAGTAGTAGGGCAGCCTGGCGTCCGTACGGTGACAGTCCCGGCAACATGCGGTACCGCAGCTAGCATCTGAACACATGTCGCAAGTCCGGGTCCGAGGGCGAGTACAGCTCCGGCAGCCGCTTCACTTTGTAGCTGCCGGTCGTTGAGCTGGGGTCGGTTCATGCTGTGCATGTGGTTCTTGACGTTGAGCCACTATGCTCGCTCTCTGGGGCGTGTCGGCCGGCGGCCCCAGTCTGTTGTTCATTTCGCATAAGATGGCCCGTGGCTCTGCCAGTCTACGGGCGGCGATGGTTCTCTGTTGGCTTGCAATTTGCAGTCTCAGCTTTCCAGCTGACGCCCTTCGCCAATACGTAGCGCCTCATGGTAGTGCTGGGTTGTTCATGGAGTTAATGGTGACGCTGTGTCCCCTTGATCCTGCAATATGTCCCAGGCCTAAGCCCCCTCTGAAGCGAGCCAGACCACAACAAATTACCTGATATTGTACTTCGGTGTAAGGTAGTTGTAATCTGTATGCGCAAGCCATGGGAACTCAGGCCCTTGTACAGAAATACACGAGACAAACCTCGACTGGTGAATTCCATGTCTGGAAGACAACCCCAGCCTCCAGAAGCAATTGGACCATCAACTCGACAGAATCAGACCAGATCTGATCATCGAATCGAGTCAAATCTTCAGGGGCCGAAAACCCCCTGGTCGCGACCGTTGACTCGTCTCATTCCGCCGCCCCAACCATCTCGGAAGCGTATCCGAGCTGGTTTCAGCCCCTGGGCATGCCAGACGCATCAACAGCCGCCACGAGCATTGTCCTTGAGTCCTTCACCCTGAGCTGCGGTTAGACACAGCCCTCGTTCAGACAGCAATCACAGCACAGAGAAGTCGGGGTTGAGCAAGGACCTGAACGGCCGATATAGTACTGACGATGTGAGGCCATCAAGCACTGCAGGTTCGCTTTTCCATCAGTGTAAAGGTAAGCTTTGATTAATTTGATTGTCTACCTACTTCCAGCGGCACCTCCCGACCTCCTAATGCATGGTATAGCGGATATGCTACGAGAGTTTGCCCTCAGCGCCGGGGAAGGAGTGAACGACTGGTCCTACAAGTCGGCTGACAGGCGCCAGGCCCATGCTGACCAACGCTCCCAAAAGGTTCTTGACTAAGGGTAGGTGGATGTGTTATATACAGATAAACGAAACGGCCTTGCATTTTGCCATATCGTGTTCCTCCCACGACACAGTCTGTAACTGGACCGCGCGGCTGGATGTCTTCGCAGAGGAATGTGCAAGGCTACCAGGCGCATTGGCCCTAAAGCAAGGCAGGAGAAGCCATGGCGGCTCATCACCTATAGGCGGTTTGCTGCGTCGCGCTGATTTGCCCTGGTATCGCCGGCATCACTGGTACCTCTCCGCGGTTCAGCGCCCTTGAATGCGCCCTCTTGACACGCCCTGTCTGCTGTTCTACCCAGCTTGTGACAGTACGGAACCGAGCCGGACGATCTTCGCTGCTCGTCGTGTAGACCGTATCTCTCCTTTCGTCGCTTCTATCACTCCTGGTCATCCAGGAGAAACGTGACACGGGGTGATTAGTAGTCTGTGCCGCCGGCGGTGGAGGCGTTGGGTTGTTGACGGCAAGCGGCGGGGGCACGATGATTTCGCCATCCCCAAATCCTGACGATATCGACGATAGTTCGCTAGCCCGGTATACCTGTCGCTGGCCGGGATTGTAAGCATCTGAAGGTTGACGGGCAAGCTCGGACTGGTTGTAAAACGGGTCCGGCATCCGTGACCTCAACGTTAGATTCGCGTCGCTGCTCTCCAGTGTCGCTCCATTGTCCGCCGGGTATTGATTTAATACGCTTGGCAGAGTCGATTCGCCCTGTTGTGGCTGTCGCATCACGCTCCTTTGAGAACTGCCCGTCGCCGAACGAGCCAGGCTGCCTGGTCCCGGGGAATATATCTTCTCGGCGCTATAGAAGCCCTCGGCTTGCATATCATTCAGCTCGCCCTTGTCGTATACCGGTGGTGGCTCGTTGGGCGGGTACACGCTGCTGTTAGGACCAGCAGCACCCATTGCATCCTTCCGCCTCCATGGAAACCTGGCACCCCTTGGCTTCTTCATTGTTCGATAGGCAACCCAGCCGATGAAACAAAATAGGATAAAGGCCCCTATCGCCCCTGCGGCAATGAGAAGGTGCTCTGCCAACGGGTCCAAACCAGGAGGCCTCCTATCCCTGTGATTTCCATGACGATCACCATTGTCGTTGTTATCTTGCTCTGCGCTCGAGTCACGCTCTGGCACAGCCTTTGTGGTGATCGGGATGCCAAAACTGGTGCCCGTCACCGTAGGTGACGCAGTCGCAAAAATTGGAAACGCAGTTATTGTGTCGGAGGACATAGTAGGCTCAGCAATCCCCTTCTGAGGCTGGAAGGTGTTTACTTGATCCAACGGCGTCGTGGTTAGGGTGGTCAGAATAGATGAAGTGATCGAGAAGGTAGACTCCTTCGGACTATTAGTTGCTTGGTCAACTCCAATGGGGGTAAAAGTTACCACCACTGGGGTGAGTGTGGAGATTGGTGTAGTCACAGAGCTTGCCGGGGTTTGCGATGCCGTTGTGCTGACCAAGGTTTCCGAGCTAATAGAAGTCACCGGTGCGGCAGTGGTAGTAGTGAGGGCATCCGTTGTAGTTATGGCAATGGGTGCATCGATAGCGGAGGTAGGCGTGATGATCGGCGTTGGTGGTGGAGAATTGTCGTTGCTGCCCTCATCGTCGTCACTTTCATCGCCATTATCTCGATCGCTACCCTTGTGGTCGGGGTCGGAATCCAAGTCACCGTCACCATCGCCTTTGCCTCCGTCATGATTGCCAGCACCTCCCGTCTCTTCTGAAGCGCTGAACTTGAGTCCGGGACCTCTATCCCCGTCCCTGCCGCCACCTCTTCCATTATGATCGCCATCTTCCCCATCACTACCGCCGTCCCCGCCACTGTCTCGTTTCGTCTCCAGAGTGAAGCGAAGCTCTGACCTCTCTGTGGCAGGTGAGGCGTTCTCATCGCTCTCATCGCCAGAGCCGTCGCGGATGGACAGCGCCGGCCGAGTGGCCATCCTCGCGGTCCTCTTCCAGCGTCGAATGTCTTCCGACCATCGTTTCTCATTCATAGGCGGCATGTTTTCGTCCACGTCTGCTCGACTTCCCTGAATCGCGCCACAATGCTCTGCATGTACGCCCCACTTCGCTTTATAACATGGCAGATGGGAAGGAGTCCGTAAACGAGAGGCTGGTGTCGTGTGGGATTACCAATAGGTAGCGGCGAATTTTCCAGGAACGACAGTAAAGAGAGTGACTCGAAATTATTGAAAACCCGAGCCTGGGGATTATGAGAAATGAATACAAAAGGCCCGCCTTGGAGAGAAGAAAGGAAGAGAAAAGGCCTGGAAGGTACAGAATGAGAGAATTTGATGTGGGAGGGTGTATCAGATCTATGAGGGTTTCTGCTGCTTGGGAGATCCGTGCCCAGTCGCTGCAACATCCCCTGGAGATTGAATGGGGCACTGCTTGAACAACCTGGAGCACATAGACAGCAGTTCCGTCGCGGATCCGGGTGTGCAACGTCTTCTTCCGCTACATTGTACAATATACGCACTGAACGCCACACATGGTCGAGCTGGCTCGAGTCACCTCAACGGGACCAACCGACGCTCGTGGAGCAGGCCTACCAAGCCGCCAATGTACCAAGCGTATGCACGGCAGCCGAGACGGCAAGAAGTGAGACAGCGCCACTGTCTAGGGTCCGTGTATGGACCCGGTACTCAAGTTCAAACTGTAGCAGCAGTTGTTCGGTGGAGTGTAGCTCCAGCAATCATGGCACCGACTTGTTCGAGTGATCACTCGCCATGGCGCGAGAAGCCCGGGGGATGCGTAAGGGGAGTCTCAGCGCGTGGTGTGGCCCGAACATGTCTGGGCAACTCGCTTCAGTGGCCCCCAAATGGGGGTTGTTAGGGGTTGGCTCCGTCGGTTTGAGACCCGAGGATAAAGAGACACACGATTCTCAATATTGGGCGTATTGCATTGACTTGAGGTTGGAGTTGTGACAGGGAGCCTGAGGGAGGTCAGGGGCATGTCGTCTCAGCAGGGGTGAATGTGGGCGGGTCCAGGGTTTCAACCAGGGTCCAGACCAGGGGCATCAACTTGCAACAGATCTGCGGGCGGGCGGCAGGTCGGGATTTGGCCATGTTGGGCCGCTTGGCTGGCCCTGATTGTGTGTGGCTGTATGAAATATCTGGGGTACGGGAAATCTATCGATTTTCCCTTGACTCCGTATGCCTGATCTCCCGGGACGGCGGTACCTAGGCGATGGAGGTAACGGCGATGCAGGTAACGGCGATGAGTTCCGAGCCTGAAGGCAAGGGTGCAGGGGTGCGTTCCCCAGGAAGATACTTGTCTCCTGTCGTCAGAATGCCAGTCATCAAGCTGCCGACGGCAACGAGAAAGGTATGCCGGTCCTCTCTCCCGCCTAGCCTAGGTAGTGTTCCACCATGGAAAAAATGATGATTCCAAGACGCACATCTTTTGGCAAGACCTGAGCACTGTACTCATGACGATCCGGTAAGCATTCAACTGTTGAAGGAAAGACACCCGGTGCTAGCTTCATAGCTTCGTAGCTTCAATCTGGACTGGTTGCGTGTTGCGATAATCATCGTTTACTCGAACAAATGGTGCAGAGTCTTTGTGATACATCGTGATCGGATACTGCTGCTGAGTTCACAGAGCAGCTGCCGCCCAGATGGCAGGTGCTGTGTGCCAGGCGGCACAAGAACCTACCTAATGTAGGATACCGATAAGCCCACTAGCATCTGACATGGCGTCTCCCCGAAATGGCCCTTGGTCACACAGTTCATCTACACCCTTCACAGCTGGTCGGAAGCTAAGGTAGCTCTTCGGGGATCCCAGATGCTTCATAGCATAGCAGGACTTCGCAGGCTGCACATCCAACTCGAGGGTCGACCAACAATGTAGGACGAAGTCGTGCAGTTGCCCGGGCTGAGGATCCTCGGCGAGCTCAGAGGCCTCGAGGAAGTGACGTTCCAAGGATTCTGATGCTGTGGAGCAGATGTTGAGAGCGAATATGCTCAGGCCGAAGGCGGCCGAGCAAGCAACTGGAGGCGGCGGCGGACAGCGGAACGCAGGCGACGACGCGGAGAAGAAAACGGCGCAGAACGGTTGGGGGTGGAAGACCGTGAAGGCATCTCGAGGGTGATAAGGCAAGCTTTGCGATTGGAGTCGTGCTAAGAGCTTCATTGTCACGATTGTGGGAAGGAAAATTGTACTGTATAGCATGGAGAACTCTCGATAGCACCTTTGCCGTTGGGACGGTCACCGGGTCTATACCAGCCCGGGCTTCACATCCCATCTGATCTCGTCTACACGATAGTGATGACTCTGCTCGGTATAGCCTCATCGCCTGGAGCATATGCACGGCCCAGACACCATTGAGGGAAGAGCTGGTGGACTCGCCATTCTTCTTCGGCTGCTCCGGCTGCATCTCGCTCAGGTTCCTCTTCTTCGTCGCTGACTTCAAATTCGCGAGGACACTCTACTTTTTCGTTGCCTTCCAAGGCTCGCACGGGTGTCGCGGCTCGCTCGGGGGCGACTTTCTTGCTGGATTCTTCGAGTATTGGAGAGACGTCGTGGACCGAGTTTATTCTTTCAGCAGAGCTTTCAGACCCTAGCGGCAACCCCAGTGATTTGGGCGACGCGGTCTTGATGCGCTGTTTCCTCGAAGCTGGCAGAGGATCGTACACAGTGGCGAGAAGTTGCCGTCTAGCATCATTGGGACAACTAAAGCGGCCAATGCGCACGTATTGACCAGTTGCCCCTTCGCATCGCATCAGGACTAGCCCAAACATCCCACTCTGTCGGCTGATGGCCGATTCCTTCTCTGCGATTCCTTCTTTCCACAAAGTTATTGGCAGCGTGAAAATCGCCGACAGTAGCATTTGCCTTGTAGGCAGGTAATCCAAATTAGTGGATATATAGCTGTCGTCTCTGCTTTCATTTGAGAATTTTGGTTTGAGCGTGCCAGAGGCGTTCTGATATCTTCGCCAGTCTTCTACTCCAAATCGCGTCTGCATGCACCAATTGCACCGCTTCAGCTTTCCACGTACCAAGAGTGAGGCGGACTTGACTGGTCCCATTGGCTGGGCTGTGTTCTCTAATATCACATCCACATGCAAGATCACTATGAGTAGATTATACTCGTCATGCTTTGCGAAGTTTACTCTCTCATCAACTGCAAGCCATGACCACGAGGGTGCTCGGCACAGCCGTGGGCGTTTGTTTCTTGCAGGCGAGATCCACCATAGGAGCTGATGGCCGAGACTGTTTCTCCAGAGACCAGCTACGTACTGATCGTGTAGGATTTCTTGGATTCTTCTGGCAACACCCGATATCGCAATGAACTTGTCAGTCCATCGGGTCAGTTTTGCTGAGGAAATATGCCTCTGCGGCGATGTACCAAGTCTCCAGAGGATTGTTCTTCTCAGCGCCAAACTTCCTCGGGCGGTGGCTTGTGTCCAATGGTGGCGGTCCTGCCGGAAGAGACTCGCAACGCCGAGCCGTACAACATTCAAAGAACATTTGATTCTCTCCGAATGATAGAACACGTCTAGAAAGAAACCGGTCTTGCACTGCCCAGGCGCGATTCGCAAGTGGAGAGTGCTCAACCTGGTCGGACCACAACCGCGCATCGATGAGGCAATATTGACCGCTGGGCTGGCCTTCCCACTCCAAATGGATACGTGGTACGGTCACTGACGCAGGGTTTCTGTCCCGGAACAGGCCCTGCGTAGAGTCAGAGGAGCTGTCTGCAGCGATCGTCAGCTCGGCAGCCGAATAGATCTCGGTCATAAGGTAGGCCTCATGGGCCCAGTCTTCCGGCGAGTCTTGTCTGATACAAAGAGAGTCAATCCACAAGTACCGGTATCCGAAGCAGTTGCAGACCTCAAATGCATCTCGGAAGGTTGCAGGCAACGTCGAGATAGGGAGGCCTTCGCGCAAGCTGGGCTCGGTATCGCGACATAGAGTGTACATCTAGGAGGCGCCCCAGCAGTGACTCAAGGCGACGTAGGGAACACCACCTGCAGTCTCTAGCTTGGCCCTATCTCTAAGCACAACTCTGCAAGGGTTCGATGAGAAGTCGCATTCCAGTAGGCGGCTAGGAGTTGCGACGGCGCGTGATTGCTCTCGATCGCATTTCCTGTGAAGGTGCTGGCACACGGAAAGCCACCTCTTTGCAACGGCCAGGCTGTTTGGAGAACTATTGTTGTTTGACACGTCGGACGCGGCTGCAGCTAGCTTATATGGTCGTGCTAATAATTTACCCACAACTGTTATCCGATGTCAGCTACAGCAGATTTGAGCACAACAAATAGCTACCGACCACTGAAGGGGAGAAGATAAAAAGAACTATGGGTACTGGTCTCCCCAATATTCTCATAAGAAGGAAACCATGAATCTTTGACAAAGTGTCTGGCACGGTTATCGCGAACGAGTGTTGGCCTTTAACGCCATGCATGTTCCGCCTACTGCAGAAGCCAAAGGCCCAAGCGCAAGACGAGCAGCCCAACAGGGCAGCATCCCGCACTGCACTCAATGACTCGGCATGAACGTGATAGCGGGTGTCGTCGAACCTGCCAAGGATGGTAAGACTCTTCTGACCCTTGAAGAAGGCTTGACACGATGAGCACAGTGGCGTCGGCGTAAACCTGAGAACACGGTCAAGTTAGGAGCGAGCGGACAAACGATAAGAACACATACTCGTATGCAGAGCGGTCCATTGGGGCGTTGCCAGAGCACGGGGACGAAGAAATGGCAACGTTCGTCTCACGGTGCTACCTTCATGTTATGTAGAGGTGAAAGAAATAGGATTCCAGTTCAATTCTGACTGGGCAGGAAGGCATATGCAGGAAGGGCACGCATACTTGGAGTGTGGCGCTGCGGCTGAGTTCATAGAGCACTTGAAAGCAGCTGCCAGTGCCTGCCACCCAGATGTGCAGATGGCGGGGCCAAGGCGACACAGGACCCCGCGACGGGAGTATCTGACATGGCATTTCCCCGAAATGCCCCTTGGTCGCACAGACTACCTACCTGACCGTTACACAACCTGACAACTACCTTACACACCATCTGACTTGGACTGTCGAATACCGGCAGTCAATTAATCATCCGGCAGTCTTCTCCGTCAGGATTTGACAGGATTTGAGAGGTCCAGAACATTGGAGACGTCGTCACGATGCCCGTCCAAGTCTCCCCACTTACCGAAGCAGACATCCCTGGTGCTGTATCTGCCATCCAGTGAGTTGACATGTCTCTGCTTCGCCTCCTATGTTACCGTTGAAATTATAGGCGTGTCGTTTACTTTAGCTTGTGATATTCGGAGTAAGTGTCGCTCATAGCAATGTTTGCTGCAGCTGCTTCGTCCATGGACCATTGAGTTATGATCATTTATGCTAACCTTGGCACACCACCCAAGAGAAGCTTTTGCAGACGATCCATACAACAACTGGGTTTTCGACAAGTCAAGGGTGAGCAGTCAGGCCCTCGTTCCGGTTGTCCAATCTTTACATGATATCTGTCCCGCAGTTCAGCCCGCAGCGCAATGCCGCGTCTCTGGGTCTCCGATGTCAATGGGGCATGCGGAACGGCATCTTCCAGGTCGCCAAAGAAGAAGGGAGCGATGAGGTACTCGGGGTCGCCTGCTGGCTGAGGCATCAGAGCGCAGGCCAGCCGCCTAGCTGGTATGACTGGTTCGAAAGTTGGCGGCTCTGGTTCAACCAAGTAGGCATGAATCTCTACTACGGTCGGGGCGGCCTCAACGTCAAGGTGAGTCGATCACAAGGGTCTACGTGAGAAATTCTTCGCTTCAGACAAGCTTTGATCTACCGGCCTACCGGCAACATTGCTCTCGCATTGGAAACTGAGAGGCTTCGAGAACTACGCTCGTCGACACGAGCTAGTTTGGAGCGATGCTCTCTATGGAGTGCCATCACGCGTGGGACCACTCAGCCGCGTGGCCAGTTTCAAGTGGCCGTGTCAGTACAGCGATCTCAACCAGACTTCAGCCTGGCTTTCTGGTATCGACTCTTTCATGCAAGCGCCCGCTGACTTGATTGATCTACAGCGCTACTACATATGGAAGGAGGCCCAGGCAAAAGCCCAGTCGGCTGTCTGGACCGACCCGCGAGGTTATTATTTCCTCAACATCATGGTCATCCTGCCCAAAGCCCAAAACAAGGGCATAGGAAGACTGATGATGAAGGCCGTCACCGATCAGGCCGATGCAGAGGACATGAACTGCTACCTGGAGTCCAGTCGTGACGTGCCCAACATGCAGATATATGGTCGGTTTGGATTCAAATTTGCCAAGGAGCTCGAGTGCAATGATGACGATACGGCGATCAATCTATTCGCTATGGTCCGAGAACCACACGCCGGGCCTCAGACGAATTGACTTGGTCATGCAATTAAAGAGGTCCTTCTCCATTCCCCCCTGGAATTGATGCACACGTTGGATCTATGTGTACCAATACCGAAGCATACGAAGCCACAGGCAGTAGACGGTCAGAGAAACAGGATGGTGGCGGACAAGCCAGCTTCATCATCATTATTACCAACATCACCATCATCCTCGCCGTCATTGAAATACGCTCATCTCATCTATGAGGCGATCTTGGAAGAACAAGAACACCGAATTCGATACTATGTAACCAAGGCAAACCAGTAGCAGAAAAGCTCAGGACTCGTTGGGCCATATATCCCCTAAAGTGCCACTCAAGCTCAAAGATCCCAGTGAAGTTTGCCTACATGTAGCTCTCTTACCAGTTCAAGATCACTGGCACTTGTCCTACCATCCGATGCGTTAGATCAACGTGCCGCAGCCCAGATGCTTCCCCCACACAGCACGACAAGCCAGCATTCGTTGCTCCATAGCTCGATACGCAACGCCTTTTAATACTTTTTCGGCCCCTTTGATAGTTGAGAAGGAGCAGTAGTCGGTCTTGTCATCAATGGGACATAACCCGTGCTTGAAAGACCGTCGTCTCTTGCACAGGCAGATAGCCCCATGTAACCTTACGCTCTATGTATGTTTCATGACAGGTAGGTTCCATGGGAGCCGCCGTCTGCCCGTGCAATAAAAACGATCACGCCAGCCATCCCAGCCGAGTCGAGTCAGCATGGAAGCGCCCTTGGATGGACATCATGTTCTCTCCGATGAAGACGCTGCGTCTACTGAATTGAGGACGCTGCGCACTATGAATATATATGAGTTCGGCCGTTATTGGTTGACGACGCGGGCTTGACGCCGTGCGGAGATGATCAAGCATATGGTGAAGTCGATATTGATCTTTCCGCCAGGCACCACAGCATATATCTGCAAGTAGACGACCAAATACCCACTAGACATCTGAGAATGTGAAAGGCTGCATTAATAATCATACACCATCCGAGTGCCCGGCCGCCTCGCCTTCTACGACTTGTATCCTGCTCTGATCTATGTTGCCAAGCCGCCCGTCGTCTATAGGTGTACAAGTTTATAGCGAGGAAACCAGTAGCCCCCCACTCTTTTATAACAGTGACTATAAACAACCCCCATAACTCCATGGAAGCCTGACGCGCGCCACGCTCAGAACCCCTGTACGGGGACGAGGAAACATACTTGTCTATCATTACTTGGGGCATCCAGATTCGAAACTCGAACCTGTCAAGGGGTATCTTACTCCCGAGAAACGTCCCGGCCGTAGACCTTGGCTTTGATCCAGTCCATAGCGACGAGAACCCGGTTGCGGGCTGCTAGTTGTTAGTATACATTACTTGCAGGAAAATGGGGGAGGGGCTCACTGCTGAAGCACATGCTCAAGTAGGCGCTGCGCCAAAAAAGGTAGGTGAGCTTGCCGCCACTAGCGAGGTTGCCGTTGAACCAGGCGACATCAGCGACAGCCTTTTCACTGCCGATGTATGCCAAGCTTCCCTGGTGCGAGTAGTGGAAAGGCTTGATATCCTTTTGACGGCGCAGCTGCTTCTCGAGGCTCTCAATCTCGGATGTGATCTCGGCTGCGTTGCCTGGTCTGACGTTCAGGCTGGAGCTGAGCTCCTTCACCTTGGTGTCCAGAGCCTCGGTCTTGGCCATGTTGTTGAACAGCCTTGCCAGGAAAGCACCTTCTTGGGAGGCCACTTGCGCAGTTGGCGCATATCCAGCCACGGCACAGTCACCAACAGCCCAGATGTCGCGTGCACCTTGAACAACAAGGTACTCGTTCACAGCCAGACCTCGCCTCGAGTCTTTCTGAGCAGGGATTTGGGACATGAGATCTTTGACCAAGGGACGGACAGCGTTACCAGTAGCCCAGACCAGGAGACCGTATGGAATGGTAATCAAGGACTTCTTGCCGTCAGGTCCGGTGATCTCGGCCTCGATAGTCTTGTCGGTAACCTTCTTGACCATGGTCTTCGTCTTGATCTCGATGTGCTCCTCCTTGAAAGTGCTTTCTGTGTAGTCGATAAGCTGCTTAGAGAACATGGGCAAGACGTTGGGCAGAGCCTCGACAAGAGTGACTTTGAAACGGGGAGCAATATCGGGAATGAGCTTTTGGATGTCGTGGTCGAAAAAGTCACGCAGTTCGCCGGCAAACTCGACACCAGTAGGACCACCACCGACCACGACCATGTGGAGCAAACGATCGATCTCGGCGGAATCTTGGTCCTTGAAGGCGGCAGTCTCGACACAGTCCATAATTTTGGTTCGGATAGCCTGAGCATCACGTATCTCCTTCAGGAAGCAGCTGTGTTCACGGACACCAGGGATGCCAAAGGTAGCGTTTTCGGCACCTACGCCAACGACGAGCATGTCGTAGGGTACCTCGGTCTCATTGATGGTGCCTTTGACGTCACTGTTATCCGAAATCTTGATGACCTTCCTCTCGTAGTCGATCTTGGTGGCGTCGGCCTCGTAGAACTTGGCAGCAGCCTTCTTGTGACGGAGAATCTGGCGCACGGGCTCCATGATGGAGCGGTGTTCGATGTTGCCGGTGGTACATGACGGGAGCAGAGGGGTGAAGAGAAAGTAGTTGCGCGGAGAGATGACAATAACGTTGTAGTTGGCACAGTCGAGCTTCTTGAGGAGAGCGACTGAACCCCAGCCGGTTCCTTTGAGGGTGCGCGAGTCAGCCAAGCTGCCCCGGGCTAGCAATTGGGCACAAGTTTACATACCAAGAACGACCAATGTCTTCTTCTCGGGATCGGGGATAAATTGCACGTCTGGATAACGATCTAAATAGCCATCGTATATGACAGCTCCCACAAGGCCTAGCAAAGACAAGTAGGTGCCACGCCACATCCACCTGAAGGTGGTACGAATCTTGCCCGATCTCTTCTTGGGAAGCGGCGGCGCATCGGCGTATGACCTCGTGAAGGTGAACTGGCTCGACACGGGTCGCGCCCTCGCGATGATGGGAGAGGCGGAAAGGTCGGGCTTTCGCGCCGATGTGGTGGTCGCGAAGTTGGCATGGGGTCTGGCAAGCTTGGCGACAGCTTCAGGCGCAGACAACTGTCTGGCAGCAGCGCCAAAGCGAGCCAAGGCTCTCGAAGAGGAAGCCATAGAGGCTTTTAGGGGCAGGTTGAAGACCACTGATGCGGTTGCGAGGTGAGAGGTGTAAAGTAGGAAGAGGGAACAAAAAAGATACAGAAAGCCAGAGGTGGAGCGGCAACTTGGCAAGTTTATTTGGAGGGCCGAGCAGCAGCAGAATGACATGGAGCAGCTGCAATGCGCCAGATTTTGCTCTGCCTAGCGCCTCGGCAGGAACTGAGCTGGGAACAGGGTGTACCAGATGACGCACGTGCGTTGACATGTACAGGAGCCACAGGAGCCACACGAGCCACAAGGAGCCGCGGGAGCTAATGATAATAATAAGACCCGGAGATTCGGGTATTGCTCGCTGTTGGTCTTCAGAGTCCCGAGTCTCCCTTTTATGTGGTAATCTGAAGAGCCCGCTATGCTCATGATACTGTACGACGGGATGGAATGAATAGATCTATTCACACCTACCTACATTTGCTCCCTGTCTAGCCAGTTACCCATTGTAGTACTTGTCTTTCTGTTGGAGGCAATGAGAATGAATAGCTCCCCGTCACGAGGCATTTTCATCTCCCCGAGCCGCGCGCCGCTAGTGCTAGGCGCCGCAGCCGGAGGTGACTTTCGTCTTTGTCCACCTGCATCCCTCGATTGACCATCGGGAGATCGGGAAATCGGGAAATCGGGAAATATCTCAGTTGTAATCAAGGCGTATCCCGAACACTATTATTACCCTATTCTTCGTATGACTCAGCCATCCCGTCTCAACCAACATGAATAAACCAACATAGATGATTCCTCTGTTCCTGCCGTTGAGCTGTGCCTCGCATCAAAATAGCCAGACAGATCCTCTGGGATCGAGCGACGACGCCATGCGTAAGCAGGGTCAGCTACACCATTAATTCTTCCACCCACCAGGAAACATTTCCTTACAGGTACTTGAAACAACACACAATTCGCACTGAAAGGAAGACACATATACACATGTGAGGGAAAGCAGTGTCGCAAGAATTCAGTGCTTACCTGTGAAGGTTGTTATGATCTTTCTTGGATGGGGTTCAACAGTCTCATCAACCAGGATGATCCGAGAGGGCAGCGCTGACATACTGCTTGGACCTTCACCGTGCGCCAGCTTACCTGCGAGGGTTTTTGTAGGACAACTCAATCTTCAGGACGTCCGATCCGGACGATTGACTGAAACCATCTCAAGGGTTTCTGTTGGCCCACTTCCAAGCAAGACAGTTGAGGGTACATCGATATAGCGCGGCTTCAGAGACAGACGAGCTGCGAGCTCTCACGATCGAAGAAATGGGGGCAACTCGTTGGTCAATAGCAAGTTTCTACAGTTGCTCCCCTTCATAGGAACTCCCACCTAGAGTAACTTCCCATTATATCTGGGTTGAGAATGAGCCCACCCCGCAACCCCCTTGGCGTATATGCACGCCGCAACTGCCAATGCCACAAGTGTCATCAACCACATACTCGAAACCCATCTTGCGATACAGGTCCCGTGCCCGGGTGTTGTGGGCGACCACCTGCAGCCAGAGCCCGCGGAAGCCCTCCCTGCGCGCCAGGTCGACGACGGCGTCGACGAGACGTCGCCCGATGCCGGCCCCTTGCGCGCTGGGGTCCACGTACACGCGCTACAGACTGGCCCAGTCGGCCTCTTCTTGTGTCCATCCGGAATCGATATCGTCAGTACCGCCATGGGCGCTGCTTCCAGTATCACCACCAGCACCCCGGTTCTCCCCGTCACCAACGGGGCGAAAACTGGGCAGCCGCAGCCCCATGATCAGCTCCCGCCTGACCATCGTCGCCATGCCCACCGGCTTCCCGTTCCCATCGCGCGCAACCAACGTGGCGTTGTTGTCTAGACCTAGCTGGGCCTCGATCACTTCTGTGTTCCAGTTCGCCTTCAGGTAGGCGTCGATCTCGGCCTGCGGGATCGTGGGCGTGGTCAGGTCTGTCGCGGGGGGCAGCGTCATGGGCCATCCCCGGCCCCCTATCTCGGCCAGGACGGCGGCGTCGGCCTTGGTCGCCGCATTGATCGTGATGCCATACTGCTTGGATGTTGGAGGAGGAGGAGGAGAGGATGGGGAGAGGTTCGTGAGACCCTTTGCTGCCATTGTGTCGGTTGTTTTTATTTGAATGTGAGGTATCGTGCTCGGCGCTTTAGAGTCTACCAGGGTTGTCTCGCCTCCATACCCGAGAACTTATACGAGTCTTATGCCCCTCTCATCTTGCCACGCGGTGACAAGGGACCCGTTTCGATACCATCCTGCCGTTCGAACACTGCCATTGTGACCGAGAACTCTGGCTTACGAGTAGCAGCACTACGAGCTGGCACAGGTGTGAGGAACAATGCTCCTGTTTCAAACATCGAACAGCGAGGACAAGCCCCTTGTCCAACCCTGTGTCCGGGCGCTACTCATGGACAAAGAGCCTTTCAGGAAGGCGTGCTGCAATGTTTGCTGAAGGGCAAAGCGAGAAAGAATCGTTCGTACATAGACCAACAAGCTATGGCGCCGAGTCCCGGTCTTTCTGTCTGTCCCATTGGGGAGGTCTCCTCGTGGTAAGAGTAGGGAGTGGTGACACCGGGATCAGGGCTCGGTAGCCTAGGTGTGCCTTTTGTTTCCATACTGACATGGGTAAGGCCTTGCAGTGCTTACCGGCACGATACACGATCCATGACCAAATCAAATACCATCATCTGTAGAGCGATGTGGTGCTTAAAGCGGGCAAGAGAAGAGAGTAGGAGGTAGTAACACATCGTCGAAATATCATGTCGTCCTCAGTCAGTTAAACAATGTCGTTATTCATTCTCCGTATGTATCCAATTGACCCACCCGCGCATATCCAAACTCGTATTTGCATCGCTCATCGAACCCCGCCTTACAAAGAAAGCTATGTACAAGCCCTTCGAACCGTCCGTTTCTTACTTCGACCACGACCGCCCATCACCCCCAAGCTCATGCGCCCCCCGGCTTCCGGCCGTAGACGTACCGCACCTTGATATAGCTGTGGATCTTCTTAGATTTGAGCTCCCTTCGCAAGTGCGCGAGCATCTCCTGGTAGCCGGGCGTGTTCTCGCCGTGGATGGTGTTCCAAGGGACGAGCGTATAGCCTATATAATGAGTGGGTAATGTGTCAATATCATGCTACATCGAGTCTAGAGTGGGTGGCGACAGTAAAGAGATGCGCAGTAACGCGGGATTGGGGGAATCGAATGAGAGGAAGAATATTGGAGGCGCGCGCCCCTGCGTGATGTGTATATAGAGCACTCACCTTCGAGGTCGTTCAGGATCGTAAGCAGTGTGTATTGCCCTACTTCAGCCATTTTGGGGTCGGCTGGCCATCCTCCGAAGGGGAGCTGTGTGAAAAAGCAACGTGTGTGAGTAAAATAAAAAACGTTTAGAGCCGCGATAATATGTCCTCCACGGCGGAACGAGACGACGGGACTTTTGCGCTGCGCTATCCCTATCTCCTCATTCATTTGATGGAGAGCCCCGGATAAACATTACATCCAAGTGGATGAGATCGAAGGGAAAGCACGACTTTGGATGGCTATGAGACAGGAGCTCACCTTGTAATCGACGACCTTGATATCCTCGAAACCCGCCTTCTCAAACCCAATCCTCTGCAGGTCTTCCTTTATGACCTCGAAAGAGTTCCCGATCTTCTTGCCGAAGTTCTTGAACAGCGGGCTGTAGAAAGAGGCCATGGCGCTATCCGGTGTGACAGTGCCGTCGTCACTGAGGAGGTCGACGTCGGCCTCGCAGGACTGCACCCAGCCGCCCGGGGTGCAGACCCGATAAGCCTCGCTGAAGAGCGCGTTCCAGTCATGGATTCCTCCGAACATGTAGCGTATGTGGACAAAGTCGAAGGTGTTGTCAGGCCAGGTCCACTCCTTGGTGCAGTCGTCGATCTCGAACTTGACGTTCGGGGGAACCCATAGGGGCTGGGTGGGTGAGAGGTCAATGCCCACTACCTCGGCGCTGGGGTAGTGGTCGGCGAAGTCACTACAGTAAGTGGTAAGTAAGTATATAATTGAGTTGAGTAAGTTGCCGCTCTGGCAGTAGGGGTGGTGTACATTGCCCATATTCCTGCGGCGGCGTCAGTGATATCTCATATCTCATATAAGAATAAGCCAAGAGAAGACACTCACCTGTGCCGGTCCCAACGTCTAGGGCTTTCTATTTAACGTCAGCCAACAGTTTCATCCATGTCCGTGGCCACAGGGGTGCAGTACGTTGACATTGTCCTTTATGGGCGCAAGAAAAAGCTTGTCGTTGAGCAGTATAGTCAGGTAATGGTGACTAGGCACAGTGTCAGTCTCGGCCCAGTCTCGTCCTCTCACATCTGATACGAAGGGGGGGTTTTTACGTGATGTCTATGGATTCAAGCTGCTGAGCATCGTTCGGCGTGAAATAGTTGGACTCGTGTCTCTCGCTATGGAATGTCCGGCCCTGCAAGGTCCGGTACTCCATGATGCTGTGCGAGAGCGAATTGGTGGAGCTGGCACTGCACACGTCACATTGCCTCAACCGTTACCAGACTGCCCAAACGAAGGGTCCAGGGTCATGACTTACGCATCGTAGCCCAGGGCCGAGTCTGCATCCACATATTCATCTGAGTCGTAGTCCGGCTATAGTCAACCATGGACGGTTAGGGCCCGGCTTTGACAGGTTGTCCCGCATCCATGTGTCTCATACCTCATCAGTCTCGTGGTGCGGCGCTGCCTCCAGCTCAGCTTGGGGCGGAGGCGGGGCGGGCTGGGCGGCCATGACGATATCGGCGTCTGTTAATAAGGTAGGTGATATGTGATAGGTACTTATATATATAGGTAGGCTAGAGCAAAGGCTGTCAACAACAGCGCAACACGACGCAGCTAGCTAGATGATGAAATAGGTACAGCCAAGAATGATGAGAAGCAAAAGGAGGAAAAGGCGGTATCTGATAATAATACTAGAAGATCCACGGGGTGGATGTTGGCAGAGCGAGTCGTGGAAAACCCGGTGTGAGAAATGGGGAATTGTGCGGGTATAGCGGGTATTGCGGGGCCGGTGGGTTACCCGCCACGCCACGCCAGAAATTTGGAGTAGAATGCAGAGAGATGCAGATGCAAACCAACAACATCTCGGGTTACTACGCTATATACAACCCTGACCGACATTACCATACCATAGAACAGCTGGCCGATGTCGAGACTCAGACGGGACGATCCCGGAGCTGCATCACGTACGTTGCGTCGTTGCAACGGTCCCGAGGTCCCCGACGAGCCGACCATGTGGTCAGTGGATCCATCTCGAGTGCTCCGAGTCCCCGCGCTCGGCATCCCTGTTTCGACACACCTGGGAATGTCTCGATCGGGGTTAGAGACGGGAGATGCAATGCCGAATAGGAAGTACCAACCGACCCTCACTCCCAGCCACTCCCAGCCACAGTGTACAGTGTCAAGTGTCAAGATTAGGGGTATGCACTGATCAGTACCTGGATTCTGGAAGAAACAAGTCTATTTACTGGGTGTGCCTCCTTAAACGAGCGGATGAAGATGGTTACGATGGCCGGCAACATGAATACGTACACCTGCCCGGCAAACAACCCACGCCGAGACCGCACACCATCCCTCGAGTAGTCTCCCATCATCGTCGTCCAGTTGGCTCTGGTGCATACCTTATCTAGATGCGTCCTTTCCCATCCGCGTTGCTCTCCGCTCCCTCCTACCCTTCCTTCTCATCGGTATCCGGGTTATAATCCGGATCACCCTCGTCAACCGAGATTACGCAAGTCAGCCTTTCGCGTCCGTGATTGACAAAGACGGGCACATCTTTCTTGCCGTCCGACGTGTAAGTGTATTTTTCCAATGCCTTTCCGCCTCTCTTGAACGCCATCCGCAGTCCCGCACCGCGGAGACCTGAAACATCGACCTTCACGGCGTCGTCGGGGATCGGAATCACCGCGGGAACTTTGGGTCGGTGAAGTCGGATCGTGGCTCTATTATCTGCCAAATGAACTCGTCGTCCTTGTCCAAAAATTTCGCCGTCACTGGGTCCTTTACTGGTCGAGCCGCCAGGTCCTGGCCAACGGCAAGGGCCAGGAGGGCGAGCTTGTCCCATGCGAGATGCATCTGACCCAAACGCAATATCAGTTTCGCAAGTAAGTTTTCCGACGAATCTCACAAGGGGGAAAGCTGCGGCGTACCTTGTGGCGTTTGAACCAAGTGTGCGAAGCGTTGGCGCCGGATGACAAATTGGGTCTGGCGATTGGGATTGATTGAAAGTTGATGGTGTCCTGTGAATGGGTCCTTGGGCGAATTGCTGCGTAGGTATGTAGTTGTGATGTGATACTGAACACCTATCATCTTCCTCTGAATTGCGCGGACAAGCTGCAGTACTTATAGCCAAACCCTGCCTCGGATCTACACCACCTGCTTTGCTTCAAATGGTGGACATCTTCTCCATCTCTTCTCTGTGTTCCCTGACCGAGACGGTCAGCCATAGGAGACATGGAAAATGAGTCGTGGATGCTCATTCACCATACCCCACGCTTCCACCTTTTCGCAGACCAATTCCTTCTCCGCGGGTCCGCCACATCTAGGAATAGGATGTATCTGTGATGGCTGACGCCCATTTGTGGTAAGATAGGGGCTCCACACCTAGGCTACAGCACGGATCTGCCGATGCCCTTGTATGAAGGAATCCAAGCATATACTAGGCATCTCCCCAGATCACAGCCTAAATTAACATAATTGTTGCTAAATATGGAACACACTTTACAGTGTCACTTAACGAGATGCAATGACGTATTGAAAGAACAGCTCATGGGGATCTTTTTGATCATTCAAAGGGAACGTGGCCCCTACTATATATACACCGAACTTCGTGATCATACCGCCGGACTCCTTGTACATGAACGTCATACAAACCAGCAGCGAATCCGACTACCTCTCTGGTGCAGACGCCGGCATCTCTCCGTATCTTCCTCTGTGTCTCGTCGTGTCATAAGCATTGATGACACGCGTTTGGCTTTCATCGGCTTGCGAGAAGGCATAGCCACGTTGCTTCCTCATCCGTTGCACTTGCCGGACCTTTCTGATGGCCTTTTGGAATTGCTCCATCCTGTTTCCTACCCGTTAGCAAATCGGAGCAAGCACCGATGAGGGACAATGGATGGACATACCTCGGCCGGTAATCCTGGATATTGTACTTCTGGATTTCCTGAATGTGGTGATATGTCTCTGGATAATACATCCTCTTGGCATATTTCCACGCAACGTCGCGGAGGAGACACAGGAGAGGCAATGCGATCGTCTGAAGCCAGAAGACCGGGTTCGAAAACAGTTTCGGTACCAACCCGTTATATTCCTCAGAGATCCCGACTTTCGGTGCAACGATTCCGTAGACGGCGATGAAGACGTACCAGATAGCCATGCTACCGGGAATAGCTATAATGTGATACTTGGTCCAGTTGCTTGTCACCAGAGCAGCTTTTCCGAGGACAGTAGCAAGGGTCGCGGCGTAAAGAGCCGTACCCCAGACCCAGTGGCCAGCCATTGTACCGTCGACAAGCTTGAGGTCACCGTACCAAATCAATTCCGAGAAGATGTATAGAATAAGTGAGTGGTAAACAGCATTGGCAATCCAGGCAGCGAACGTGCTGATCTTGAAGAATTGGTTCTGTTGCCCCAGGACGTATAGCTGCGGATATCTATCGAGCAATCGCGCTGATATGAACTGGTCCAGGATACCCAAGACGAGAGGTGGTAGGACCGTATAGAAGACGTTGTAGAATGATAGAGTCCAGGACTCGAAGATAATTGCACCGGAGAAGACGTTTTGAAAGGTGTACTGAACACGGGGTCAGCAAGGCAGAACAGAAAAGAACGAGAGGGAGGGGTAGCATGAAGGAGTCAAGAACGGTTGCTTCGTTTAGCTGTTCAGGATACAAGGTGGATGATAGAAACCCAAGACGAAATCAACAACTTACCCAGAACTGTGTCATATACAGGGCAATGTTCTTATAGAAAGAGAACAGGATGGTCTTGCTGATACGCTGATAACTCCACGCTCCGTGAACAAGAGTGAGTTTACGAAGAAATCGGAATTGACCAATTGAAATATCTGCCGATCGAGCAGCCTGAAGACCCTCCATACCAGAGATACCAACTCCGATATGGGCAGCTTGGATCATGGACACGTCGTTGGCGCCGTCTCCAATAGCGAGGAGTATCTCAGATGAGTGCCTCTTGACCATCTTGACAACCAAGGCCTTTTGTAGTGGCGAGACCCGGCAGCAGATGACAGCTTTGCACATGACAGCCAGGTCGTAGAAGAGCTTCTCCAAGTCGGCTTCGAGGGCATAGGTGAGGGACTTGCCGTCAATGACGAGGGCCAAGGTTTCCATCTCAATGGTCCCTTCAGCGTTGTTCCTGATGGCGTCCAACTTTTTCTGTATATTATCGCGGGTGGCCACAGCATCTTCTTCGTTGATTATGAGGAGCATCATGTCTTCGCTGAGAAGCTTGGAGCTCATACCAATGTTGATGGCTGTCTCTTGTCGATCTCCGGTCAGGACCCATACCTTGATATTCGCCTGTTGCAGAGTGTGGATAGTCTCTGGCACGCCATCCTGAAGACGGTCTTCGATAGCAGTTGCACCAAGGAGATAGAGGTCATGTTCGATGAGCTCGGCCACTTTGTCCAACTCCTCAGCTCGGTTACCACCTACAGTGGTCTGCGCCTTGTCAAACATGGCGTACCATTCCGTGAACTCCTGTTCGGGTATCTCGCGCATCGCTAGACACAGAGTTCGCAGACCCTCGGCAGCGTACTCTTCCAGATGCAGAAGAGTTTGCTCGACGTGAGGATTTTCCTCATGCATGCGCTCAAGGATTACTGTATCTGCACCTTTGCAATACAATCGGACCTTTCCATCGGGACAACGGTATATGGTGGACATTCGCTTTCTCGTGGAGTTGAACTCACACACAGCTAGAAGTGTGTACTCGTACTCCCGACCTTCCACCTCAATCATGACGGACCGGGGTTTGCGAGCGACGAATTTATAGCCCATATCTCTGGCGCCCTCGACCAGGGCCCCTTCATCGGGAGAGGCAGCCTGGTATTTGATCTCGCCACCTTTCTCCTCCTGTCGTTCCGGGATAACGGTATGGCAAGTCGAAAGAAGCGCCAAGAAGTGTTTGATGGCCTCGGAAGACTCATGAGACTTGATGTTCTCGCTGAGTCTCTTGAAGTCGTGAATGCCGACCTCCACGCCATCCTGAACCGTCGCTCTTCGGTCTTCGGGTATGTCAGTGGCATATTGTATGCCACTAATGGAGCACTGCTTGAACTCCATCATGTTACAGGTCAGAGTTCCCGTCTTGTCCGAAAATACGAAGCCGACCATGCCCAGCTCTTCGACCAGACTCGAAGTCCGACAGTTCGCAGGTGTGTCGGTTTGATCATGGTATATATCTAGGTCATCGTTGATCAGAATGCCATGCCAGTACTTTACCAACTCGACCGTGACAAAGAGAGAAATTGGAACCAGAGCCGAGAACAAGACCCAATATGTGACGAGGTCCTTGAAAATAAGTGTGACGATTTGACCACCACCACCAAGAGGATCGAGTCTTAAGTATGGTATCGTGTTTCCCCGTACTGATCGGAAAACAAGTTCACCAACAGTACATATAACACTGAGAACCAGCAGCATGCCCACGAGAGCAAGCACGAGCATATTGAGTTGGCGCTCGACCTTGGTCCGCTTGATCGGGGCTGCCGTGGCGTTGCGCATCAGTTTTGTCTCGTGGCCGGTGAATACGACTATGCCATGAATCCAGGGGGTGTTTCTTAGGGTAGCTCCTCGAAGTAGTAGCTGTTCGGGATTTAGAGGTAACTCTTTCTCCCCGCCACCAGCCTGCATCGTCAATGTCGCTTCGTACGTGTACAAGCTACTGTTGGGCTGCTCGGAACGGACCCTACCGCCTAGCCTACTCAGTTCCGCCGGGCTGACCAGCGCGGCTGTCTCCGGCAACCCTTGCTTAATCTTCAGGTTGGTCTCGCCGTCCAGGTTCGCGGTCTCGATATAACACAGTCCCTCTGGCTCAGAACTGGCGAGCAAACCCAAGTCGGCCGGGAACGGCTCTTCTGACTCGACTCGCACAATATCCCCCACAGCCACGTTGACCCATTTCGTCTCCTCGAAACTCGACCCCCGGAGCACCCTAGCCTTCGAGTTGTTGAGTGCACTGTCCGCTTGCTTCCTCCTATAATCCTCGACAAGCTCCTTGCCGGCAGATATGAGCAGCACAATAATGAGAGGGCCGATGGTAGTATAGCGGTTTGTTGGCGAGAGATTAGGAATTTGTTGTAAGGCGGCTGTGAACAGGAAGAAAATGTTTGCGAATTTGGAGAATTGTTCGATGAGGAATTTGGGGAGAAAAGTGGCAACGTTATATTTGGCGGTAGAGACATGGTTGTTCACGTATTTGTTGACGGCATTCGCGGGAGGATTGTTCAGGTGGATGATTCGAGGTCCAAGAGTCGAAGGGTCGGGCTTGCCGCTCCCAAAGCCAAACCTGAAGTTCTTCAACTCGAACTTCTTATTCTGTTGAGCCTGCGCCGGCTCTTGAACTGTCGAATCCTGTCGTCCTCGGCCCGGCTCTGTCAGAGGGAGATCCATCTCGGAGTAGCCTTTTTGTCCCATACCGAGCATGTTCCTGGCCTTGCCCAAGAAGCCACCGCCTAAGCCGAGCACACTATTGCGATTTCGCGCATTATCACGGCCCATTGGGTCTCCTCCTCCGTTCAGCGCTCCTCCATGTTGGTAGTACGACTGGCTCTCTTCGGGGTAGTCGTCGAAGTCGTCTGCGTAGCTCTGGTAGTTATGCAGATCCGAAGTCTGGCTGTACTGTCTGTCTGCATCGGCCAAGTAGGGCGGTCGGGGATTTGAGAGGCTTGCGCCCGACGGCGGGTTTTTTACGCCTGGGTGCGTTGTCTGACTGCCACCAATGAAGTCATCGTAGGATACCGAGGGTCGAGTAGGAGAGTCGTTGTCGTAGGCGTGGGCAAGTTCGTCATCGTTCACAGGCGGCCTCTGTCCGCCGTACGACGGTTGATCATCGAGGTCCAGAAGAAGGTCATTATGGTAGTTGGAAGCGCCTCCAGGAGGCGCCCTTCCCGCCATGTCGCGAAGGAATGGATGCTATGAAGGGAGAGGCGTTGGAGGCATGTGAGAATCCAGGAGAGGTGGAACGAAGAAGTGAGTCCGTCTGTTGAAGTTCCCCGTGATGCCACCGCAATGGACACCCACGAATAGATATTATTAGGCGACGGTTGAGTCGAAGGTATGTGTTGTCGCGGACCCGCTTGATCGTGTGCTGTGCTGGTCGGCAGGTGAATACGAGATGCGCAGGTTCGCAAGGGTAGGAGAATCGAAGACGAGAATTAAACAGCCTGGATGGGGATTAGGTGGTGCTGGAAAGACGTCGCATACGCAACAGGCTGTAAATGCTGAGATGGGGTGGCAGCAACCACCTGCACGGCAAGCTCGGAATGACAAGGCAGTGCAGTTTCCGGGTTGAAACGTAGGTTGTAGAGGGATAGATTCTCCATCCATCCATCCGTCGATGTGAGCAGTGACAGTGAGCGGGCGAGCACCCGACTGACGAGAAGTGATGGCTTGCTTGAATGAAGAGGACCCGCACCCACAGCCTGGCTAGCCTGGCTCGTGTGCCCGTAGCCCGCCTGTAACTACCTGCTGCACAGCCTCCCGCGTGCTACCACACCCGCTAACCACCTCGAACAAGCCCCAAAGGCAGCTGCAAAGGGGTATTGACGGGGCCGTCTGATTGGGCAAGGCCATGCCTTTGACAAGTGGCTGGTTTTAGGTGGGTACTGTGGGCCTAAGAAATCCTGCACGAACCTCTAGTCCGGCAAACTCCATGCCTGCCTTGTCCTCTTTCAATTCCATGACTTTAATCCAACTCGTCATCTTGCAAAGGATGCAAATGTATTCCGTTTTTAAGGCACACATACTAACAACGGAACGACGACGCAATATGTTGCATTCATCATGCATTTTTCACGGGTGTCAGTTAAATATTGGGAGGAAGAACAGGTCACATTGTACTCTCAAACAAGTGTATAGAAGTAAATGATCATTATTCCCAACCTTTTGTCGTAGAATGCAAAACCTCTGCGTTTCGACGTGGGAGGCAGCGAAAACTTGAGAGCCCCACCCGGAGGACGGTCTCGGTGCCCGGGCCAGCTAAGCAGACCCGGGCTGCCGGGTCCACGGGTAGGCCCACCTCTAGAAGCACATGCATATCTTCCGGGTCTCCGGACGTATAAGTGTGCCAGGGACCGTTCTTCCCTCCTAACGCAACCATGATTTCCCCGCTCGCCAATCCTGTGCGTATACTACAACGTCGCTAGATTCCCGATTTGATAACAAGCGACGTCTGGGCATGACGCCGCTCATTGTCATCTTCTGGGCCAGCTGGCCAACCTACGCAGCACCGGCAACTTGAACGAGGGCTCTCCTTGCGTCTGAGGTATCTAGGGCATTGGAACAGACCCGGGAAGAACCCAAGAAGACGATGACTATACTCGACATACTCGTATGGGTGTGATGGCCACATTAGACCCAGACGAGTAGTCCATCTTATAAAGGCCGAGCACGCCGATTCCACAATTCGCCCAAGCCTGCGGAGATAAGTGCCGTGGGCTAAACCTCGTCCACCCGCCGAAGACTGTAGGATTCGCAGGCTTGGGTTTCATATTGGATGTGGAGGACAGCGTTAGTGCCGATGGTTGGCTTTGAAGGAAGGAAGTCTTCCAATCAAGAGCTCGACGACCATATAGGCAGAATAATGTAGGCGTTCGGATAATGGCCAGGTGCTTTCCCAGCCTCGAGGCAGCGCGTCGTCTTATACAATGCTTACCACGTATAATTTTATTCACCGGTCATGGGAGGTTCCGTGACAGACCGTCGAGTTTAAACCAACCTACGCAGCAGAAAAGGGGGAAAGTGAATATGATACAGAAATACATACACCCCATGCCAGCCTCGATGTCACATCGCACTAGTTGGGGAAACATGATCTCTCAGATATGCAAAATTGGGCCAAGGCGCCCAGCTGTCGCCCAATCTTAGAAACCAGCAGAGTGTTACGGGCAGCAAGGGGTGGAGTCCAGTCAACCTCGAACCATCCGCGTCCCCGACTGCCGACTGACGACAGAGCTCGTATCCCGAGACACGCCTTTTCTGGGATTAGTCATTTCTTGTGACAGGTGGACGACACGAAAGGGGCCTCCAGCCAGCCGGACAGATCACCATGGCACAGCACAATTCTCTTAGCATGACCAGTTTTCGTTTTCCATCTGAGAAATTTACCAGCCAGGGAATCTCCTTGACAGGGTCTTGCAGGGGTTTCAAAACAGTATCTTGTCGCATGGAAGGTACTGGCTATACGGATGTGAAGGCATAGTTGGGTATTGCCAACATCAACTAAGCGAGTCGCACGTGTCTAGGTATTCAGCAGAATACGAACTGATCGCAGAGACGTGCCATTGAGCCCGCAAGACCTCACAAGGACGCCTTGGAGTCACCATCCAAGACACTCTTAACAAACTCCCCAATGAAACTATTGGTATCCTCCGGCTTCTGCACCATAGCCCAGTGCGAAGCCCCCGGAATGACCTCCTTCTTCAGGCCGCCCTCAAAGTACTTCTCCTGGCCGTCCGCCAGCCACGGCGGCAGTGCAGCATCAAGTTCGGCCATAATCAGCATAGCCGGCATCGCGAACCGCTTGAAGCGGTCGTCGCCCGCAATCGGGACCTCGTCGTCGGCGTTGAGCTCACGCGTGCGGTACCAATTACACGGACCATGCAGGCCGTTCCGCGAGTACTCGCGCACGTAGTGCTCGACCATGGCGGCGCCGACCAGCGGGCTCGGCCGGATCTTGTCGAGGTTCTCCTCGATGATGCCAGTGTCGGTGCTGAAGACGCGGCCGCCGTCGGCCGTCGTGCCCCCGTACATGCCGTTGAGGAAGCCGCGCAGCCGCTCGGTCGACTTGTCGATCATCTTCTCGGCCTCGCCGCTGGCGAGGTGCAGCTGGTAGCGGAAGTTGGGCATCTTCTCTGCGAACTGCTCCAGCGAGATTTTCACGGGCGTTGGCGGCATATAGGGTACGCAGATGCTGAAGACGGCCCGGATCAGCTCGGGGTAGTAGTTCGTCATGCGCCTGTGTCATCGTTAGAACATGTACGTGCTCGATTCCACGGCTAGTCGTGCAAGCCAAGGATGTCACCCACCAGATGAAGAAACCGCCCCAATCATGGCCCCCAAGAATGATCGGCTGGTCAGTAACCTCCTTGATAATAGCCGCCATGTGACCCGTCATCTTCTTGAACGTGTACTCCTCCGGGGCGTCCGGCGCAGAAGTCTGTCCGTAACCAAGCATGTCGGGCACCACGACCTGCAGACCCAGGGACAGCAGGAAGGGCACCTGGAAGCGCCATCCCATGGCGAGATCGGGCCTGCGAGCACTTGTCAGCTGCTGAGTTTCGGTCCGGGCGGGAAGAACGAAACATACCAGCCGTGGATGAGGAAGATGGTCGCTGTTGGTGTGCCCTCGGGCTTTGCCAGCATGTAGTGGTACGTGTAACCCCCGACGGAGGCGTACTTGTGCTCGACCCGCGGGTCGTTGGGAGTCAGGGCGTCCACGGCCATTGTCCTTCTCGTAGTCTTGGAGACTTCGATGAAGTATCAAAAGATAATCGGGAAACTGGACCAGGGTATGACGCTCGAGATAGCCTCAGAAACGTCTAAGGTTAGGTACTGAATGTCGACCTCCCTAGCGGGTGATTACGTTGTTATGAGATGCTTCACTCCAACTAGAGAGAGATGTAGTTGTTGATAGCCTATCCGGGATAGGCTATCCCACAATTCCCGCTACGAGAAAGAGGAGATGGGATAAGCTAAGAAGAGGTACGGATAGTCCACGTACGGGAAAGACCCACGCCTCTATATACCGGTATGTCAGAAGCGATGCAACCAATCAGTCAGTTCCGTCGGCCGCGCCAAGGCCCTTTGTGTTAGTATATGCGCCTTGCTGCAAGTGCGCACAGAGACTTCCAAATAATGGGATGGACTATCGTACGTGTCGCACGTTCGGTCGGCCGAGGTATCTCCACGTCTTCTACACTTGCACCAGTGTCTCCAATAAGGCCCCACTGAAGTTACCTTTAGTTAAGCTAAGTTAAGTTAAGCCAAGTAAGCGGATAGCCCTTTTAATTTATCTTAAATAAGTAAAGCCTGAAAAATCTTATAAGCGTAGATAAACATATTAAGGTTGGTGGGACCTATATATATTCCCGATTAGGTAGGTAGATGTGGTAGCGGTGGCTGACTAAGGCTCGGGATGGGGTGGCTCTTGGTGGTGTAGCTGTGGTAGCTAAAGTGTGGCTAGCCGGAAAAATTTCGCGCCTGCAGCGCACTTTTATAAGGCCTTTTAAGTAAGCTAAGCAAGCGAAGCCTTCCGTAAGCAAGCGCTATAGGGCCTTGACTTACCGTAAGTAAGCCCTGGGAGGGCTTAGCTTTAGGGGGTGCTTATTGGACACACTGACTTGCACCACATCGTTGCGGGATTCGTAGCGGTGGGCTTCCGGATGACCCGGTGTTCTCGGCAACTAGCCGAGGGCTAGCATCAGGTCGCCAGAATGCTGGACAGCCCGCTACCGGCGCAGTCGTTCCATGCTCGTGCTGCCTAGCCAGTCAACATTGATAGTTCCATCGTCGGCGCCTTCGACGCTCAATAGCCCTTGCAGCGACAATTCGTACTCAATAGGTATAGGTAGTCACTTAGGTAAGCGAGGCTTGAACGTGGTGAACACAGATGAGACGGCCTGTATAGAACACCAACCATGAACTATATAGTCAACCCTTTACAGCCTCAACTATGAACACTCCAATGTGTCAAGTGGTCATGATCAGTAGGTCACTGGACTATTCCCGAAACCTCGACACTTACAAAGACGCCATTGACCCGGGACCACGTCCGTAGACAAACGCCTATAACACCGCGCCTGAAACCTGAGCCCCCGAGCATACAAACACGAGATGTCCACACCATGGACGAAGAGCTCCTTCAGTAGATAACGGTGTCCTCATCTTCCTCGATCATAACGTCGTCTGCCCTATCCGGCTCTTTCTCAGGACCAACCTTGTTGGTATGATTGGGGGATGGGGATGAGGTGTGATTGTTAGTAGCAGGTTCGGGTTGGGGAATGTCAGTAGGTTGCTCATCATCAGATCTACCCACTGTCTCCTTGGGTTCAGGTGTTGGGGATCTGACTGTGATACCTAGTGCTTTCAGCCTCTCCGATTTACGCTGCTTGAACTCAATGACTTCTTTGTCAACGACGTCCTCTGCTCCCAGGATCTGGTCTTTGATGATGTCTTCTTGCTTCGAGGTGAGCTCCCAAGGTAAGTAGTACTGCCATGGTGGTTAGCCTCCTATGACCATGGCCTAGGGTGTGAAGATAAAACTGACTATTTTGGGTCTGCTTCTGGTCTGTAGATGGTGCGCCATCGCAAGCAAGTTGGAGTGCCGTGTCCGCATCTGCATATCGTATCAGCATGTTGACCACCAGTTAGTTGTCCCCTGCTGTGGGCCAGACTTACCACCTGCTCGTCGAAATTCACTTGCTCCACCTGCCGCACCACCCTGAGCTTCGCGAGCTTCTCTTCTCTGTGCTTGTCGTCTTCGGCTCGCTGCTGATGGGCTTTTGCCTGCTGTCGTCGCTCAATCTCATGTCGCCTCTTCTGCTGAGAGTTGGTAGTGGTTTGACTTAGTGTGCTCAGCAAACCACCGAATAACCGCTTCCCGCGCTTCTTCTCTTCCTGCGCCGCACTTTCTCGACGGTCCGTACTCGGTTCTTTGGGCGCCGGCGACCGTGTGGGAGGCTTGTCGTGGTTCTTGGCTGGGCCGTCATCCAGCTTGGCCCTCTTCGGAGAATTCGCATCCACGTCCTCGTGGGGCGTTGGCGACGAGGCCTTGCGCTTCTGCACAGCGACCTGGTTCGTTTCTTCTTGCGGCTTAGAATCCATGGTCTTCACCTCGAGATCGTGATCCTCCGGAGAGCTGTAGCCCGGTTGCATCGTCAGACACTCAGTCGCAAAGAACCAGTTGTTCGGGAGATCGTGGCCTACTCACGTTTCCATGGTTGACATAGTAGCAAGCTGTCGAGCGAAGAGCGTAGAAGACAGAACAATGCTCGCAGTCGCACACAATGGAGGAGGTCGAAGGTGAATGCCACACAGGGCGATAATCTAACGTAGACGCTATTCCATTCCTCAGGTTGACGACGTAATAGCGGAGACTGCTTTTGCAAGGCTGAAGAGGTTCTCCAAGAAAAGACAAAGTAGGTTGGTTCGAATTGGAACATTCTTGGCACAAGTGGGCCCCCCGCCAGAGCCCCGCCAGAGCTCCAGGGCTATTGTAGCGGCACACCTTGAGGGTCAACCATCAATTGAGCTATGACCACTCACGTACGGCTTCCAGAAAATCTCCAGACATCGGGTGGCAAGCAAGGCTGAGAAATCAGTTCGTCTAGTACGCCGCCTCGAGCCTCGACCCTGCGATTTGCTACAGACTCGGCAATCTTTCACCTCCGCACCCTTTTTCCAACTTACGGTTTGCGGAAATTGGCGATACGATTCACACGATCATAGCGACGACCTATTCCGACTCGATTCCACCTGCACGCCGAAACTCAAGCCCATCCACCTGCGCAAACCCAGCGTTGAACAACAGCAAAGATGTCGCGCCACCACCCGTACGTCCCTTCGCAACGCCCTTTCCACCCTCCCTCCCCTCCCCTCCCCTCCCCCAAAAAGTCCTTCCCTTCCGCAACAGAAACAGCCAACTAACCCTCCCGCAGCGACCTCGTCATGTGCCGCAAGCAGTCCGGCATCGCCATCGGCCGGCTCTGCGACAAGTGTGACGGGAAGTGCCCCGTGTGCGACTCGTACGTGCGCCCCACGACGCTCGTGCGCATCTGCGACGAGTGCAGCTTCGGCAACTACCAGAACAAGTGCGTCGTGTGCGGCGGCGAGGGCATCTCCGACGCCTTCTACTGCTTCGAGTGCACTCGCCTCGAGAAGGACCGCGACGGCTGCCCCAAGATCATAAATCTCGGCAGTTCGCGGACGGATGTGAGTTTTATTCTTTACCCCTGCGCTCTACCTATTTACTTCACTGTTATTGCCATTGAGGCTAACGTAATACTTCTTCTTCCTCAGCTGTTCTATCAAAAGAAAACGAATCGGACGGGGTACTAGCCCATATGTTGCCCGGGTCTGGGCTTCGGATGTTGATGGGATATGGGATTTACGCGCAAGCGAGCGTCTATGGTGCGCCATGTCGGCATAGAAAAATGATCTTGGTATCTGCATACGGGAGGCGTTCTGAAGTTACAACGGTCATATGGTGGGTAGAGTTGATACCCAGCAACTTAGTTGCGAACAATGAATTCATAGTTCAAAAGCACTCTCGTCTGCTTCAATGTGCCAATAATGCGAGCTAACCTGGCCGGGTAATCATAATGCATTTATCGTAATATACAGGATGCTGGTAATATACAGCGTGGTATTATGTACTATCAAACAATCATAAAGCATGCGCACTTCGGCTAAATGTAGCTGACCTTGACTCCCATGCCGGCGGTCGACCTGACCTTACTCCATGCTGTCCCTACAATGCGCTGGATGCGCTCCCTAATATCTCTTCGGCTAAACATGACAACGATACTGATGATGAAAGCAATGAACCTCATCAGAAGCATGGGATTGGCCTTGAACGAAGCACCCATCTGTCCAATGGCATTGCTAAGGTTTGCTAAGATCATGGCTGCCCTGGTCCCAAAACCCGGTGCTGCCACGGCTTTCTTCTTGGGCGTGGTCGACTTGGCTGGTTTTGACACTGCGGAACCGTTTTTGGTAGGCCGGGCTTTGCTGGATCCAGGGCTACTTGGGTTCTGTTCAATGCCATAGTCGACTTCACTCCCTTCTCGTCGTGCTCGCTCCTCGTCTAGGCGTCTTCGTTCACGTGCTTCGTTCTCAGCTCTGAACCTTCTCGCCTCCTCGAGGTCTTTCTTCAACTGGTCCTCTTGTCTCTGTCTCTCTTCGGTTTCCCTCCGCTCGGATTCCTGTTGGTCTTCCTGCAAACTCTGCAGAGCTTGTAGAAATGCATCTCGTCTCTCCTCGTCAAGCACAGAACTGACACTGATGAACTCCCTGGCGTAGTCCCACTCGTTATTCCGCAGCAAGACATGGAGCGTGTAAAGCTCCAGTATCTTGACTCTGGCGTTGAGGTCTCTCGGCGTATCAGCACCACTAGCCGCCCCTTTTGATGGTGATCTGCGACTCCTCGACGAGTACCGGGATGAACGGGTTGCTTCGAGTCGTTTTGAAATATCGAGGTTTGGTGTATTTGATGCGGCTAGATAATTTTCCAACCGCTTCTGGTTCAGTGCTTGTGACCTAGCATGAGCCAGCAGAAGAGTCGCCCTGTAGCATAGAAATTAGCCTCACCGAACGGAACTTGAGTGGTAACCCTGAGAACTGGTGTCATCCATCAACTCAACGGTCAACGGACGCACCACCCAACGACCAACTTGACAACATATCGATTATCCAGCAGCTTGCTTCTGTTGGCCTTCATCACTCGCTCGGGATGAGTCACAGCTTCCAGATCGATTCATCCTACCCGCAATGGTTCCGCTTGGACCATGGGATATGTCTTCCTCATCTGCTCTTGTTCAAGACCCCACCGCCCCGTCTGTACTTGGCTTGGACCATCCCAGATACATGTTCCAATCTCTCATTGTCCGAGTCTGTTTATCCAGGCATAGCCTCTCTCCCGCGCATTCTTGATCCCAGCCTCCACCGCTTGACACCGAAGTCGAGCCAAAACACTGCCTGTCCTGCGCGCAACCAAAGTTCATGCCTGGAGACCACTTACAGGTTGATGACCACGTCAGAGTCGACGTCCCCCTCGACACCGTGGTACCCGAACTGTACGACCTCCTCCCAGACATCACCGTCCCGGACCTTATTACACAACGCCCGCCACTCCTGGGTGCCAAAGGCGTCTTTGCCCTCGTCGGGATCCAGCTCGAGGATGGCATTCAGGATCGTGAGGTACAAGCTCCACACCTTTGTCCGCGTCGACCTCGAAGCTCGGACAATGGGCGCGGATTCCGTCAGCCCGCTCGCATCGGCACCTTCGGTCGACGGTGTGATCAGTGGCAGGACTGTCGATAGGGCTTCGGGCAGGCGGCGCGTCAGGAACAGTTGCGAGGCCTGGCGGTACGCCTTGGATATATGCGACGGCGAGTGACGCGAGCTTGTCGATGATCCTAGTGACGATATCGAATTCGACAATATGTGCGACGACCCGAAGCTGTCGGAGACGGTAGGACTCAATGTCGCTGAGTAGGATCCGTCGAACGCCATGGTTGGTAGGGATGGAAGAAGTTCAAATGCGAATGGGCACCGGCATTGGCATGGACGCGACAAGACGAGCGATGTGCCTTATTAAACGAAGTGGGCAACTACTAGTAATAAAGAAGAGGGGACGGACGTCGAGTGTTGGACGTGACGACAGTCAATTCAAATTCCAGAGCCACATGGACATTGCTCAACGAGGGAGGCTTGCACTTGCACATACACACCTCGCCTGTTGACGTGCGGATGGTGGGCTGTTGTCTGGCATGTGGGACTTGCTCGGCGAAAGTTGTGGTGAAGTCGCAAGCTTGGTCGAGGTGAATGTTTTGCCTCGGCTCATCTGGGCAGGCGGGCAGGCGGACAGGGTCCACCAGGACTGACCGATGGGCTAAAAAAGGAGTTGCCCGATTGATGCAGGCGCCCGGCGCTAATCCTAGCTGCCTCCAGGGCTGGCTGCTCCCCAGCTCCCCAGCTCCCTGGGGCCCGGTGTTGAATACACGGATGCAAGCGAGTTCAGATTATTTAGGTTGACCAGTGTCTTCTGTTGTTGTTGTTCAGCGTACAGAGATTGATCATCTGTCTTTCTGGTGGGTCAGATGCCCTGTGCGTCTCTGCCCCACTGGAGATATTCCGGTGTCTATTTCCGGCTCCCATTCAACACCCGGGGCCTCTCATGGTCCACACCACATGGAATGTCAACGACATCCAATATCCAGCTTCAGGTGTTGCACTTGCTGTTAATGCAATTGGAACGGGGACTACTTCTGTTGTACATCACCCAGAATCAACCTGGTGAAGAGCCATATTTTCTGATTCCAAAGCCACATATGAACAGATGATCACCGCCGTGCCTGCTTCACGATGTATATCGATGTCATCTCTGTTGTTGGCAGTACCTACAGACCAATGACTCCCATGCCTGTCACCACAGTTTGAACTCATAAAAGACACACTTGATGGCAAGAAGACATGCCAGCTGCTACCCTTATCTCTCTTTCCGCAAAGAAATTGATGCTATCGACAGCATGATGGCCAATACAAGCCCGTAGGACAACGTACCATTCAGGTAACGTTCTGTATTGGCAAGACGCGGATGTTCTGCTGCACCTCACCAAGCTGCTGGTATATCTGGATCGATATGCTAACGTTGTACAATCCAAGGCGAAGCACAAGGACGACAAGAAGGGTGGGTGCCTGTGTTCCCGGGCGAGCTGCGTTAGCGATCAACCATCGCTCATGCTGAACTGAGCTACGGGCGTATACAGCAGTCATCAGAGGAAGCCCTGCTGTTTAGGGGCAGCACGAAGTCTTCTTCCTTCTCTGGTGCCCACGGAGAAATGACATCTCTGTAACCTCTTGGGGACGAGACCAGATTAATCCCCTGCTTGGGCGACAACAAGCCACTCCATCAGCAGAGTTGAACTCCCTCTTCGGGACAGCAGAAGATAGAGGCTATACCAATAGGTTGAAATCACCCTGCTTGGGTAGGAAGCAAAGCAATCAGACCTAACAGCCGCACCCCTTCCAGGGGTAAGCGAAAGCAGCTGCTAGACCGATGCAGCGATTCGATATGTCCATCCGCAATACGTGGCAATGGCTGACCCAGCTAAGACTTTGTGGAGTGACTTCATGCCCATATCCGCCTGGGACTTGTCTTCCAACTTCGTCAAGATGTTTTGCGTTTGTGGGCACCTACTGCGCTTGCAGATTGTTACCAAGGTTGTCAGAGGAAGGTACTACCTCTCCAAATCAGCGCTTGCTGAGGCAGCAAACTGCCAACATTGAATGGTTGATGTTCTGGCAGCTGGCACTGGCGGCTTTGGGGTGGAAACAGTTGTTGCTTAGCACCAGCAGATTGTCGAACATAAGTGAGTAGCAGGCAGGCACGCTTCCATCCCTCTGCAACGCCTTTTCACATTTCCACCATTCTTGAATAATACACTCATTTCCTTGCTGACTTAATGCAGACCGCCGACCTTCTTTGATCGAAAACCTCGCACCGAACAACTGCCTTGACTTGCAATATCCTCATGACGCCGGGGTAGTTCAAGACTAACCCCTGTTGGCCTGGGGAGTCTGCACTTCCATGCACCCACCATGGACATCAACTCGGGGAATTTCTGGCCTATGTTGCCCTCTATTCTCGAAGCAGCGCGTACGGCTCGCTATGTTGCGATGGATCTCGAGATGACGGGAATATCAACCACTTCTGAGCCATTTCCTCCGAACATCTCCGTACAAGATGCATATACTCGGGTCAAAACTGCCGCTGAATCTTTCCAAGTCCTCCAGGTCGGACTCACATTCTACAAGTACAACGTGGTAACGGGCAAGTCCTCTATATTTGCGAGAATCTGAACACATGCTGACAAAAATTACCCTCAGCCGAATATCATACTCAGACGTTCAACTTCTCCCTTTCTCCGATGTTCCCTAAGAGTTCTAGCTCACGGCCGTTGACTCAATGCCTCTATCGGAAGTTTGCTATCTCAACATCCAGTTATGAGTTCCTCGTGGATCACAAGTTCGACCTTGCCAATGCTCTCGATCTTGGTGTACCCTACTTAAGCAGGGACGAGGAACAACGCGCGAAGCACTATCTCTCTACGACTCGTCAGGTTGATGCAGATGTCAATGTTGCGGCGCTGGATGGTGCTTCACAGGAGTTCTACAAGTCGTGCCGCGAGCAGCTCCGTTCTCTTGTGAATCGAGCCGTCAATGGCGAAGTTGCGATTCAGTGGGGAAATTTTTACAACACGAGTAACCTACAGATCCTAATGGTCCGGCAGCTCGTGCGTGATGAGTTCCCCCATTGTATGGTTAGAAAGTACCGTTTCCAGGATGTACATCATTGTCTTGTCCGTGTAGCAGACGATAATGACAGAGCCAAGGTTAGTCAGGCTTCTCAACCACGACTGCCTACGACTGCTAACCGTCAGAACAGGAAAAGGAAAAGGAACATGCGAGCATCCAGAGGAGCTTGGTCGAAGTAGACAAGTGCTCGGGATTGCGCCTCGTCTTCGAAGCGATCAGTGGCGGGGAGTTTGCCTTCAAAATCCAGCGCGAATGGATCAAGCACGAGGGTGTTCTCCAGGCGTTCAATGGGCATTACGACTTGCACCGCTGCGAGGAGCAACTCCAGCGCGAACGGCCAGTCTTGGTTGGGCACAATCTGTTTCACGACTTGGTATTCATATACCATACGTTATTCGGGAAGCCCCCAGACAGCGTCGACCATTTCCTGAATCGCATCCATGAGCTATTCCCACGAATCGTCGACACCAAGTACCTCTTCACGCGTACGCGAACCCAGATGGATGCAGATCGTCCCTTGGATCAGGTGTACAGCGCTGCGAGGGTGCATCAATTCCCTACGGTCAAGGAGATCGAAGGATATGGGTACAACGAGGCCAAGTCTCACCAGGCGGGTTACGACAGTAAGTTAATTTTATTGTATGCGTCATATCGGAGCCCATAGCTAACTGATTGAGGCTTCATGACCGCCAATGTCCACATCAAGCTCTGCTACCTCCTGTATAGCAGACACGAGCATCTAAAGCTGAAAGAGGAGGTCACCTACCAGCCGGGTCCCGACAGAAACGCCAAGGGGAAAGCAGCTTCGAAGCGGGACACAAGGTATTCAATCAAAGGGAACCAGTATTAACCACACATGCACTGACTAGACATACAGTGCAGGTAGGGGCTACGACCCCAACCGCAGCCTCCTCGACGACGACGCCCGACCTCTCACGGAAGCTACTGACAGGGATCCCCTATGGTATCTGCCGCCGCTCATTCCATCCCGTAGAGCGGATACGAAGAAGCCAGACCCGGAAGCTGCGTCAGCTAGGCCTTCTGCGAAGTTGCCCGTCGAGGCAAATGTCAGCCTGAACGAGGTCCACCTCCTGCCTCTGTGGACCGATCCCTTCTGGAGTGTGTATGGCAACAAGACTCGCTTGGCGGGTACTGTTGTCTCGTTCGTGTAGCGCTGGGTTGGGAGGAGATTGTGTTGTTCGTTCGATCGTTGGATGCATTTTTGCGTTCGTGCGTGAGGGCCTCACGAGACCCTTGGCAGTAGTATTAGATGGACGGCTATGCATGGCCATGCGTCCTACTTTCCGGCCACGTGACAGCCATTTCACATACAAATAGTCCATCCAGCTAGACACTAGAACATGATCAATACATGCCATCTTCCACCTTGCCACACTCATATGTATTGTAGTACCAGCGTTCTCTCTTCTGTAGCCAAGTATTGTATTTTCCGCGGAGTGGTCTTTGGATCAGCAGCGAGGTGCTTGAGGATAACCTTACAAAAGTTCTGATGACTGGAATGGTTTCCCATTGACTGACTGACTGATTGCTCTTATAACGTGTTCGCTACGCGTGTGAGGTTGCGCATGTAAGATGGGCACCGAGTAGACGGCTTGCGAGGTGTTTATGTCAGCATTGGTTTGTAGCCCTGCTCTAGAAGACCCAACCCCTATCTGCGTACGACTTTGTATCTCTCGGGGATTGGCTTCCACAGCTGGAACGTCAGAGGCGACTAACACTGAACACGAAGTCTATTATAAGCTTCGAAAGTTCGTACTACACATCTGAGATTGAGTATACGAGGAAATCACGCTCGTTTGGGGATCTGTGCTGAACGTCCAACTGAAACTCTCGACGAAGTACGTCACGATCCCCGTTGAAGTTAATATTGAGGCTGATATCGAAGCTCCTGATGATTCCCTACAATCTCGTGTCCATCCAGTTCGATCAATATTTCTAGCCACGGCTGTGTGCTTGAGGCCTCATTCATTACCGACGGGGGATGACGGAGGGTATATTGGCAACGTCGAGAAACAGTGCAGATGATATGAACGTGTTGCTCTCAGTGAAATACCATCATGCTCATCAACGAGCCGGTTTCGCTTGTGTATAGTCAGCTTGTCAAGAGCAGAAAGTAGTTGGGTGTACTGAAAGCATTGAGTCTGGCGTCTCTCGCAGCGAAATAGTCTTCGTACAGATGATTTACATTGTCTAGATACAACGGTTGGGTGTAAATTACAAGCGGCTTTGACACCGCGGGGCCTGGCACTTATCGGTCTGCCATCATGTTTCTTACAGCGTGGAAGTATCGTCCTCCCAACTTTTCCTTGACCTCCTCCTTGGTCAGCCAGTTGAAGTCGTCGAGTCCCAACTTGTTGCCCTTCAGGTCGGCTTGGCCGGCCATGATCCTTCCCTTCAAGAAGAATACTTTCTCGCCTTGCTGCTTCATCGATGTGTCCTCGTTGAATTTGGGGGGAGTGACAAGGTGAGCGACTGGCACGCGACCGACCATCCAGGTGTTCATATTGACACCTGCCGCGGACTCCAGAGCCCTCGATGCTGTCTGTGTTCTCGTTAGAAGACTTTATTTGGAGGCTGGGTTGAAAGTATTCACTCGCCTCATGTAGATGCTCATTTGTCGGCACATCCTCGCTGGGAAATTGCCATTTTCCATCACTCCTTCGTACAACCAGGTAGAGGGTCCTGTCAAGCTTGCGATCTAGCCGCCGAACGTCGTTCGTCTTGTCCGCCTCTGTGATCCTGTCCATCGGGCTTTCGACGGGCACGATCTCGTCCGGCTGTGCTTCCTCGCCATCTTCGGTCACTCGGTTCTCGGCATCCTTCAGCAGGATCTCCCTCACCCTGTCCTCGCTACTCAACGTACTTCCGACCAGCAATTCGTCGTTCCACGCATTGCGTCCCTGGGCATAGTATCTGCCAAGCTCCTTGGCTGCAATCTTGCCTCGCTCCTCGAACTTGATTCTCCAGTCGAGATCGGATGCTGTGTCTTTCTTGTAGTAGAACGTGTGTCGGAAGGGAAGGACCAGTCGTTCGTTTAAGCGTTTCTGGTAGAAGAAGAAGGCGTTTTCGAAGGGGGTAAGGGCTCGGGTGATCAATGGCGCGCGGGTGAGGATGATGCCACTCTTTATGCGGTATTCGGCCCTTCGGGATGCTGTGAAAGGGGGGTGCGGTTGCGATTCGGTCGGTTTGAGATGATGGGCTTCAGCTGTCGCTGTCGCGGACGCAGCGCCTGCGGAATAGGAGCGGAACTGGGAATATCTGCAGCTGACGCAGATGGTGTTAGGCTGTCCTGCGGGAGGTTAGCATGGAATCTCCTTGTGTTTGTGAACAAGCTGGGTGCAGACGTACTCCGCAATAAAGTAGCGGCAACATTGCCACCTCTACTGGAGGCCGTCATGCTCTGTAGATGATACTGCGCTTCTTCCCAGATGGCTGGGGAGAACTGCGGCAATGATAATGGTGCGACCTTCTGGATTTCACGGGTCCAGATCGCGCGCAGGAGACATTGAACTTTTTCGGAAGCTCCCCTGGCTGGCGTGCGTGGCGCGCGGCTGATACACCAGCCACAATCTCTGGTAAGCCACAGGAGAGCACAGTGTGGCGTGGTAATACTTTAACTGCCATCAAGGTTAGCTCCAGTCATTAGCCTAAACAGGTGGGCCTGATCTGGTCGAGTCTCGAGACGTCATTTCTCTGCTACTCGATTTTTGGGGTCGTTTCAAGTTCACCTCTTCGCCTGTTAACCGCGACCTAGTATGCCACCTGTATCACTACAACCTACAGATGCCTTCGTTATTGCTCCCGCATAGGAAGGGATACGCCTTTGACCCAACTGGATGAAGCTTCTTCGCAGCAGCCCTCGTCCGCCAGCGGCCATCTCGACCTAACCATTACTGCATTCCCGTCTCAATGCAAGCCTCCGATTGCGCCGACGACCTGTGTACGGCGCCGGGCTTGGCCGGTCCATCGGCGCTGTCAACAACGGTGTCCCTGGCCCCGTTCATCGTCACCTTCTTCGCCGTTTCGACCCTCGTCCTAAGAAAGATATTCCCTCATCTGGCGCGCATCCAAGGCTCTCGCGATGGCGAAGACCACTTCCTGCCCTCGGATGCCCCGCCAGCTCTTCAGCAGGCTCACACCGAGCATGGGGCCAAATCATTACGAAGGCAAATCGCAGCCGGCACCTTCTCAGCCACTGTGGGATTAGCGACTGTCCTGGCCGAGTTGATTCTATGTGAAATATCCGAATTAGTCGACCCCCGCGCCCGAGCGACTGCGTTACGAATCACGGTCCCCACTCTTCTCTTCCTCCTCATCGTCCTGATACCCTTCCTCGAACTCCAGTCGTTGGTCGCCGGTTCCGGTTGGTCCTTCCAACGGACCTCTAAGGGTCGGCTTCCTCGCATTGCCTGGATCCTGCAACTGGCCATGTTTGGCATCTGGATATTCCTATTCTGGTCGCTTGGAAACCTGGTTCCTGGGAGAGGCGATGCGCTGCGGCATCCAGGCACGCACATGGAAAGTTTCGCAACAGAGGTTCCTTCGAATAGCTTGGCACGCGCCTGTCTTGAGCGTATCGGGGTCATTGGCATTTCGCTCATGGCACTCCTTTCCGGGTTCGCCTCTGTCTCATCGCCATGGCATACCTTTGGAGGTCGAGCATCGCGCCGCCCAGTGACAGACTCTGATATTGCCCGCAAACAAGCAGGCCTGGATGCTACCAACGAGATGCTTCTGACAAAGCGTCATCGTCTGCAGGCATTGCAGCGAAAGATTGCCGAGAACTCTACCTCCGAGAAGCCTGGATTTGTCACCAAGGTTATCGGTAGTATCCGCGGAGGAGGCGACGCCTCCGAAATACGCGGTCTTCGCCTGGAAATCTCCGGACTGGAAGCGATGGAAGCGAATCTATCTTCTTCTTTGAATGTGCTCCGCTCCCGGCAGGCTCAATCTACACGAGGGGCAACAGCATTGGGGAAGCTTATGCTGGCTCCGACGTATGTATTCAGTGTCTATTGTGTCTATCGGATTCTAGCGACGACTCTGTCGACCCTTCGTCGTTTGTATCATCCTGCCGCCTCATTCTCTTCTTCGGATCCCATCAATCGTCTTCTTGGCCTCTTAGCAAAACATTGGGATCCGAAGCTCGACCAAATTGCCTGGGCGAGGCAAATATCATTCCTCTTATCCGGTGTCATTCTTGCGGCGAGTGCAAACAGTGCCTTGCAAACCTTTCACCTCTTTGCCAAATGGACGCCAGGACTCCTATATCAAGCACAGGCAAACTTGGCCCTTCTGATCGGGCAGATCAGCGCTATATATGTAATCTCCGCAGCACTACTCTTACGAAGCAACCTTCCAAAGGAGGTCGGCAGTGCCGTCGGTGACGCACTCGAGAGTGCGCTTGAGCCCGGATTTGTGGACAGGTGGTTCGAGGGCTGGTTTTTGTTGGCGAGCGTAGTCACAGCTGGTGGTATCTGGTTGGGCGGTAAGATTGGTGAATGGGGCGAGGACTGGGACGACATAGGAATGGAAGAGATGGGCCAGAAACGGTCATGAGGATAATGAAGCCAACCAAGTTTGGATCGACTCATGGCCTTCTCTATTTTTCTAGTGACGCTCTTCTCACTGTCTCAGGCATTGCGTGAGGTAGGCACTGTACACTCGGTTGGACCCACGCGTCATACTACAGTCACATTCATGTGGTTGCTCGGTTGCATAGGAATCATTCATTTCTCTGCAACGTCGCTACTCAGGTTAGACGTTGTGCCGGGCTTGGGCTTCGCCGGTTCTGCCCTGTATCATCGGCATACATTCTGCATACAAAGAAGTTGATCGGAATGGACAGAGCCCGAAACACAAGTCTTCCCCGTGGTCAACTTCGCCTGAGTCAATACCAAATTGGCATCAAGTCTTGGAAGTCTTTATCCATCCCACACCACTTCTCGGTTCTTCACATATCCTCCGCCATTATCCAGAGAGAGCAAAAAATGGTTCACCCTCCGGGACGGGTGTCGTCTCAAGGCGATCGGACGATGTAAGGAGCTTGCAACGTGCCCTGTGGCTCACGTGCACCTGGCTCGCGTGTGTTTCATCTTCCACACCCTCGCCTCCTTGCCATGCCGGTCTGATGGTGCGACAAATCTTGAGTGGATGTTGACGATGCCACAGTTCGTTGTTTCCGTAGGGAAGGTCACCATTAGGGTCACCTGTCACGTTAGCATCGCGGCCCTCGCAGAGAAGACTCTGCACCCAACCTTCCTCAAGATGGTGGACGACGTCTTGAAGTGGGGTGAACCGATAGCCTGGCGGATTCGGATCGGCTCCCTGCTCCAGTAGCAGCTTCAGGAGTTTGCCCGTCACAGTTCCGTCGTCATCGCGTTCCTCTCTGTTCTCTTCTTTATGTGGGCTATAGGGGTTTTCCTCTTTGCCCACAGTATAGGGGTCCTCGAGCGCAGTGAAGATGATGTCAGGCTCTTTGTGGAAGGTTGCGCCCGCCTTGATGAACATCTCGAGGAAGCCGACCCGTTTCCTTGCCACGCAGAGTCTCAACAGGGTCTCCGGGCGCGAGTTTCCCTTCAGGGTAAACTTGTCGGTCCATACCGCCCTCTTCTTGTTGACGCTCAAATCCTTGAAAAGCTGCTCATCATTCAAGAACTTCTGCGCAAGCTCCGGCCATCTCAACAGAACGAGGCTCACGAGGATGCGTGTCTCCGGCTCGACCAGTTTTCTGTGATCTGGCTCTGTCTCCTCATACTCTTCGAAATCGCCGAGTATCGCCCATCTTGGGAACGCCGCTCTCTGGCCTGCGTTCCGCAAGTCGGTCAAATGCATGCTTCCAGGTCCGAGGCATGGTATCAACGCTTTCCAAACGCTTTCTTCCTTGACTATGAAGGTGCGCTTATCCCTAAGCGCTCGGTCACCCGTACTCAGGCAATACTCCTCAAATCGGGTTGGGATCCCTTTCCGCCTGTTGACTTCAAACTGCTGGAGACTGTTGAAGACAACTTGCATCTCTAGCTTCCGAATAAGACCAGAACTCAGGGCGAACTCCTTCGCTCGCCCCTTGGCCGTGCTGGATGCAAAAAGGTACTCCTTCACAGTGTAGTGGGCAACATCAACCCTCTTGGAGACCGATTCCTCGTCATGGCGCTTATACAAAGTGGCTGGCTTTCGCTTCATGTCCGTCACCTTGATCAGACAGCCGAGAATCCTTCGCAGGTTTTCGATTCCATATCGATGCACCTCCCCTCTCAAGACATTGTGAAGCGAAGCTTGCACAAGCACTTCAGCACTGGGGATCCTCGAGGGAGGGCTGCAGATGAGCGCCAGAGCCGTCCGGGCGAAGCCGCGATTCTGTGGTGGTATCTTCAGGAGCACCTTTTCGTACGTCTCGAAATGAGTTTCTGGAAGGTCTGCGAGAACTTCGCGTACCTGTGCCTTGTCCATGTAGAGGCGCTTCAGGATGTCAATTTGACACGCGACCCATCTGAACCTGGTGGCGATGTCGTTAGTTATGGGCAACACAACACGAAGGCAGGAAAATTCGTCACTTACATTCCTCGAGCACCTCTGGAGAGCAATTCCTCAACTTCCGCTCGGAATCCCGGCGTCCAGCTCTGGAACAGCTCGCCTGCCCCTACTTGCTTTTTGACGTATATGCGGATCGCCTCCATGACCCAATTATTTTCCATCGACAATTCCGTATAAGGCTTCACAGCGGCCAGTTCTGACTGTACGTCCAAGTCCATCAACTGGCTTTTCCGCATGGCCTGCGTGGCCACGATAGCATCGCGGATGTCCTTCTCGTCGCGACTGGTGATCAGGAGCGAAACATGGTCATATTTTGGGCTCGTGCCAGTCTCGGTCAAGACACGAAGCAGCTTGGTTCTCGGTTCCTTGCTTTCATCCATCGCGTCTACGATAATGAAGACCCGCCTGAACTGTTTCGATATCGCGTGGAAACAATGCAGGAGTCCTTCAACAGACAGATCGCCGTTCCGCCAGAGATTCTCCAACTCCTGCGAGATGAATCGGTTGGAGCTCTGTGTGGTCAAGTCTCTGATAATCTATCGCAGTAGAGAGCTGGTTTCGTCTTGGTTCCGGCCGTTGAAGCAGTAGTAGTAAGAGAAACCCGTAGACTGGCAAGCCAATGCAACAGCGTCGATCAGAAACGACACGAGTACGGTCTTTCCAGCGCCGGGAAGGCCAGAAATCCACACAAACCGCCGATTAGCATCCGGATCGGGGTCTGTTGAACCCCCAGCAAGCCAGTCGCTCCACAGCTCAGATTTGACTATCCAGTCACACGTTTCATCCTCCTGCTTGTCGCGCTGCTCTGCGTGGTACTCGTGCAGGTCGATGTTGGGTTTGAGCCATGCAAAGGCAAGCGCGCTTATCCTTGTCTACCGGGAACGTTAGCGACACATATATACAGCATTGTGCTGGACATGCGGTGAGCTCTCACCGTCCAACGTTGCTTCGACCGCTTGGATCTCCTTCCTCATTTCGCCGAGGTTGAGTCTGTACTCCGGTCAATCATGGCTCATCAGGTCGCTACTGGCCTGATTTACGGGTTGTCGGTTCCCAGCCACAAGGCGAGTTGGTCCTTTTGTGTCTTTAGTTGCCTGAGCAACTTGTCTGCTTTCGATTGGTCGAGCAGCGGCCACTTCCACCTCTCCGTGCGCGAGACCATGCGCTTCTGCTTGCCCGGTGATTGTCCCGGCATCAGAGGGGACTTCTCGTCATGGGCCCTGTAGTGGGGGGATGTCAAGCTAGTAGGGCTGCTTGCCTGAGGAGAGGAGGGACGATGGGTAGTCTCATCTTCTGATCGACAACTCGCCCGGCCGAACACATAGTGGCGGGATTTTGTAGGCGATCTATTGCGCTCATCTGTTTCCATCGGGTAGCCAAAAGACAGGTATTTGCGCTTGAAAGACGGTGATGTGGTCGAGAACGCGTCGTCCTGTATGATTTCCGAGGGCTCCACGAGCTGTTCAAGAGAAAGAAGGATTTCCTGGCATCTGATGAGAGCGTCTAGTAGTCCATGCTTGCTTTCCTGGCTGGTGTCGGTCAAGATGAACGCTTGGAGAGGCTGTAGGATGCGTTGAACATCTAGAATCTCGTCCTTGATGCTCAAGATCACCTTGGGGGCATCTATCACGTCGGCGACGTATTGCCAGCAGTGCTGGCCGACCTTGAAAGCCGAGCTGAGTGCTTTGGCTGCAGCAGCGAGTTCTGGAGTCATCTTCCTGGCTGATATCCCTGTGATGGGGCTGATGAAGCAGAAGAATGAATGATGTAGGAGGGTTGGTGTTGAGGAGCATGAAACCGCTTCAAATTTGTGGAAGGACACGCTCGCAAGTTGCCGGGGGATCAGGGGAATGTTCCTCGGGAGACAGGGGCCAGGTAACACGGAACTTGCCAGGCAACTGCCACTTCGCGAGATCCGGACGCGTCGGCCCTCGATCCAGAGTTGATGCCTGTGAAAAGGGGTTAACTCTCACTCACGAGACAGGGGTTGACTAGATACTTACTTGCCAATTGATTGTGTAACACAAGTCACCAGTCTTCAAGCCGGTGCGAGTTGCTGATGTGTCCACGAGCCCATCAATTTATGCCATGTATCACAGCAATACTGTATGAATATAGGCAGAATGGACGTCAGGTATGGGCCACCTGCCAACCTAGGGTGGGAAGCCCGCCCATTTTATGGTACACGTGCAGGCCTCTAACAAAGCACATATGCAGTCATCTCAAGCCCCTTCTTCATGGCTGTTCAAAGCCTTGCATGTATGCCATGCAGCTGCTTGGCCACATATGCAGGCCACTTTCTGCTCATGACAAGCGTTGAATGCCAAGTATCTGGTTTCTATAGACGGCATTGTCCGCTGGCCTTACCATCATAAGACAAAAGTAGCCAAGTAGCCGCCTTTATCACTACCTAGGCACGAATGCAAGATACCCAGGGTATCGTTAAGCAATGCCACCTACTTGCGTTCCTAGATCCCGTACCAGTAGCAGGCAGCTTCAACGTGACGTCGGCTCAAAAAGACACAAACAGCCAAATGACGTTTCAGACATTGCATGCAAAGGTCCGATGACATAAAGCAGTAAGGTGGAGATGGTTCCTGGTGGTTTGTCGAATTAGTCGTTTTATACAATGGAGCTTTTTGACAGATGTCAAAGGCTACAACGAAATCACCCGAAACGCATCCAAGTGAAGTGTGTTTGCAATTAGCGGCACATCGCCCTTGTAAGGTACTTGCTCTTGCTTCAAAGTGTTACGAACCAACGAGGCGTACAGGGAATGAGGCCCGCTGGCAGGCCCAACAAGATGGACAGTAACTGGAAGAACCCGGGAGAACGCACGGGCTAGGAAACGTCTAGGTCACGTGATCAAGACATCACGTGATGGATAGCTTGGATAGCGAGGTTATCCAACATATCCAGAATAGCTTGGATAGCAAGGTTATCCAATATATCCACCCCATCAGTGAGGGAGAGATTGGATATATAAGGATGGACATTTCTTAGCTAGACAGATAGACAGTCTCTATCTCAGTGATCAATCTAAGCATTTTAGCCAACCCTTAGGTGAGAGAAATCTCCTGATGACTCGACTATTCAGTGAACCCAGTTCAGACCAAGCCCCAGTATCTGAGTGTCTTCTAGTTGACAGAAACCTCTATCGTCCTTTGTGTTGACTTACCTCAGAACATAAACCCTATAGAACCCTTTAGCCTCATAGGTTAGACGGCTCGTCACACCTCATGGTGCTCGGGTTCCAGCCTCTCATACTGCATATATCTCTGTCTCGCTCGGACTCGTAGCAGCCACACTAGTGAGGCAGGTAAGTAAGTCATGGACCAAGTCTGAAGTTGTCTGTGGAAGTTGAGAGTCTGGCATATGATGTAGCTCTTTCACCAATGATATCAGCGACCATAGTCGTCGAAAGAATCTGCCTTTGTGTGACGAGCCGTCTAACCTATGAGGCTAAAGGGTTCTATAGGGTTTATGTTCTGAGGTAAGTCAACACAAAGGACGATAGAGGTTTCTGTCAACTAGAAGACACTCAAATACTGGGGCTTGGTCTGAACTGGGTTCACTGAATAGTCGAGTCATCAGGAGATTTCTCTCACCTTAGGGTTAGCTAAAATGCTTAGATTGATCACTGAGGTAGAGACTGTCTATCTGTCTAGCTAGGAAATATCCATCCTTATATATCCAATCTCTCCTTCACTGATGAGGTGGATATGCTGGATATGCTCCTGATCCATCATATCCATCACGTGATGCTTCTGATCCCGTGATCCGTCCCCTTCGTATGGTCCGTGCGTTCTTACGGCTTCTTCCTATTCCCGTTCTGTCCTGTTGGGCCTGTCAATGGGCCTCGTCCTTTGTCCTTCTTGTTGGTTCGTAACATGAGGCTTCATTGGAATTACTTCCTGGCTTCGCATCTTGGTGTGGGCTCTTCATGCGCTCTCCCGCCACTTGACTCCTATATCTTGAATTATGAGTATTCCAAAAGTCCAGCTAAGAGCCTGCGATGTAGTCCATGTACGACCTGACTACCATAACGGCGGGGGCATGCAGATGGGACAGCCCCCCAGATGGGACAGTTCCCCCACCAAAACACAACATTTGCACCCACACACATCTCTATCGGGATTGAAGCTGTAGATATCGTAAATATATCGTCTGAATCGTCTTTTCTTGGTGTTACTTCCAATGTGGAATTTATTAGGTGTCCTATAGCGGGATGTCCCGTGGCGGGGGTCGGAAGTTAGCACGTCCGGCCCTAATCTGAGGGGTAATGGCCGCGCCCCCTATCCCCTCTAACCAGGCAGAAGTTCTGCGGTTCTTTTTTTCCTTTTTTTCTGTAAGCATTATAGGCTTCAATATATCAAAATGGCGCCTTTATATACCGAAGAAGACCTTACTGAGGCGATAGCCACCGTAAACAGTGACGATCTGTCCCTTTGAAAGGCTGCCCAGCGCTATAGAGTACCAAAAACCACCTTTTCTCACAAAGTTAAAGACTCCACAATGCCTATAACTGGCACTCAGTATAAAGGACATACTCATAGACAGAAGATAAGCCTTGTTCAAGAAAAAAAGGTGGTTTTATGGATTCTGTACCAAGAAAAGGCCGGCTATGCCCCTACTTATGCCAATGTGAGGTACATCATCCAGAAGATCCTACAATCCCAGGGAAAACCGCCTCATCTTGAGGGCCATTACATGCAAAATTTCATCTGCCAGAACCCAGAGATAAAGACCAAAATAGGCAGAAAACTTGACTACAAGCGTATCAATGCTGCCATTCTCGACAACATCCATGGCTATCATGACTGCTACACAGATTTCGACTTCATTAAGCCCAAGAACCGCACAAATATTGATAAGTACGGCATCATACAGGGCCGGCAGTACGTATGTCTAATCCAAGCGTTTTTCAGACGGCTAACCAGGAGGTTATAGGTCTGATAGCCTTGTAATAGGCAGTTCTAGCTCAAAAGGGGCCAATATCAAGTCTAACGATGACCGCACGTGGACTACCGTGGTAGAATCGATCACCGCTACTGGGAAAAAGCTCCGGTCGCTGGTTATCTTCAAGGCGAAGTCGATACAGACGTAGTGGTTCAAAGAGCAGCTTATTCTCGAGCATCCCGGGGTGGCAGACTGGATAGTGACTTACTCTGTTAATGGCTGGTCCTTGAACGCGATTGCGCTCAAATGGCTTAAAAAGGTTATTTTTTTCTTACTTCTTAATGTTAACTATATACTAAATAATCCCCTAAATCTATCTGCCAGATACTGCCCCTAAAGACCCGGATGAGTTCCGCCTGTTGGTGCTCGATGGCCATAGCAGCCACTGCTCAGATGATTTTATGTATCTGTGCTATATAAACAACGTCTATCTGAGCTTTTTTCCTGCCTATACGGTAGGTTATATCTTTAATTAGTAATTATTCCGCTAATAGGGGTAGTCTCATATCTTCCAGCCCCTAGATTTGACCGTTTTCTCTGTGGTGAAGGCCGCCTATCGCCGCCTCATCAACCAGCTCGGTCAGTTAAACGATTCGGCCCCTATTGGCAAGATTAAGTTCCTTTCTTGCCTGGCGAAAGCCTGTGACGAAGCTACTCCTGCTATCATGCGTTCGGGATGGCGTGCTGCTGGCCTTTGGCCCGTAAATAGGAACAAGACACTGGCCAACGAGCATGTGGTAAAGGCAGCAGAGATACAAGCAACAGCTGCTACTATAATGAACCCTGAAACCACCCCTGATGCCCTGGAAGCCCCTATATCAGGGCAGGATATAGCCCTGATGTTGTTAACAGTCGTGGAGACCCCTGAGCAACGAGCAGCAGTACGCGTGGTCGCAAAGTTATATAATGAGATGGTGATTGAGTTAGCCATCTTGAAGCTGCAAAATGAGGCAAAAGACAACGAGATCGAGCGTCTACAGTCTAAAAAGCGCCATAAGGCCCTCTAGGAAGAGCCTGATCAATGGCTATGGAGGATAGGAGACGTTATTCAGGAACAGATCGAGCATACGGAGGCCGCACAAGTGCTGATTGACCAGCGGGCGGAGAGACAACGACTTTTGCGCGAAGTGCAGAACCTGGAGACCAAAGAATCAGAGGAATCGCCTTCTGAGGACTCCCTCTCCTCTGATTCAACAGATTTAGAAGATCTAAACGAAGGGGTGATTGTTGACAAAGAGGGTGAGGGGATGTCTGACGAGCCGGATGATGAAGAGGAAGAGCCCATTGTGATGCGATCTCAGCGCCGAGAAATCCGCCAACCCGCGCTACCGCTAAAAGCACTGGTATTACTAAAAACACCAAGAAGAGGCGATTCTTTTGATATATATACATTATCTATAGCCTCCATACCAATGGGGTTATATGTGGGTGCAAATGTTGTGTTTTGGTGGGGGAACTGTCCCATCTGGGGGGCTGTCCCATCTGCATGCCCCCGCCGTTAGTCCTTCTCCACCGTAGCTTGTCGAAGTCTTTAGACATATACCTGCAGAAGACAGAACGAGGTGGTACGCTTCTTTGACCTTATCATCACAGCCCGCTGTTGCTTCCCGCCAACACGTCAATCAGCAAGCGTTCGATGAATCTCGAGATCAAGAAGAACAGGATATTGCGCTCAACCGGGAGTTTCTCGAGTTAGTAAATTTATGGGATAACACATCACCCAGACAATGATAGGGGAAGCAAGATAACCTCTTGAACAGAACACATATTAGGGCCATCATAGGACAGCTTGGTCCGAGTCCCTGAATATACTGTGAATCGTATCGCAAATCCATAGCATCTGTCTCTCGTGATATGTTATTGGCCGCATGTGACATTGCCGCAGCTCCCTGGACAGGCCTATGATGCACGCGCGCATGTTCCGGTGCGGCACAATGATGATCCCCTGCTCGTGACTCACCCAGCCTCAGCGCCCCAACCTCACTACACCGTATCTCCTTGACATAGCTCATCCATTCATTCATCCACCAGGCGAAGCCCATCAGGTTTGCTGCGAAGGACGGCTGGGTCAAGCCAACAGAAGACAAGCAAACCTCCCGTTGCGCCCTATCTGTCGACGGGGGGCTCCGGCCTTCTCACGCCATGACCCTCTCATGAGCATATCGCCCATTTCGCTAGACCGCCTGAATTGTCTATCCCAGCAGAGCCCAGCTGCCATGCTCGGTTCTCTTCGTATTGCCTAGCATGTACCGTGTGACTATGCAGGCAGGCAAAGACAATTGCGACCTGCTAAGCTTGGATATATTCACTCATAATTCTGTTTCGATTTGCTGTAACCGTCGTAGCATCATCGACACCATGCGGCACAAGAATTTACTAATTTATAATTACGAGCAATTGAAGGAGAAAGCGTCGTGCAACTTTGTTCTTGAATATATAGATTTTAAGGTTAGGGTTAGGGTTAGACGAGTAGTTGTAGAAGGCCATCCCAGGGTTGCTTAGAAAATCAATTCTCGCTCTAGCGGCTACGAGGGGCAACATCACAGCACGACGGAGCGAACATGGGAGAGACCTCTTTGAGTCCCCTCCCAGGCTCGAGCATACCTTCATGGGATGTTAGATGGGACGGTGGGGTACGAGTATGGGCACCAGCTGAAGGGAGCAATCTGGAAGCATCGTTCTCACTGTCAGGGGTAAACCGCCGTTACATGGCCACGACAGTCCAGCTATTGGATCAGATCTCATTCAAGACACATCAGAGTGCCACTCGGACATGGGATCATCTATTGCGTTCTTGATCACATTGCACCTTTGCATCTGAATGGGCTTCATCCGGTCGGTACCCCCTGTGTGGTGCCAGCCGTGCACAGTGGCATGAGTGATTGTAGCACACAATGACAATGTACCAAGTATCAGCCCTTCCAATCAGTAGAGCGAATTGCGCCATTGAGAAACATTGCAGTGAAAATAAATCTGTCGACAATGCCTTAGGCACTTAGCCCAGCCCCCTCCCCTTTTGAGAGCAAACACCATTGTGATTCACCTATTCTTAGGTTTACCTCGTAACCTACAAATAACTGGCTGTAACACCACGGAAAGCAACACCTTCTTTCCTTTTTCCAACCATCTTCCCAACGCGACATCAATTGCAGACTATCACCGCTCTTCCGTTGCTTCTAACATAACGACTGGCTAGGTACCTTGCTGCAACGACCCTCCTCTTTACCACGCCCACGCCATCAGGCAGCTACTGTTCTGCCATCTTTCGACTTCACGACTGGCTGGCTCCTTGCTGCAAACATACTGCCTTCTCTTCGACTCAGCTCAGCTTAGCTTCTCTGTACCTGCGTAAGTCCTCATCGCCTTACGAGTTCTCTTCGATCTCTGGTCGTGTTTCGGCATATATCCTCTCCCTATGCACCACGCACGACTCTGCTCCTGTCGACTTTCCTACCATATATCAGCACCTTCTGACACAAGCTGACCAAAGTTACCAGCAAACAGTAACTTGCCTTTCCGCTCAACATGTATTCCCCAAGCAGCTCTTCGGTAAGCCAATCTACCCTCAGCTCCTCAATCACGAGTGTCCACTGACTCCCCCGTCCGCAGGAGGACAACTGGTCCAACACCCAAGGCTCCGACGAGCAGTACAAATACGCTGATATCGTAGCAATGCGCAGAAGCCTACTTGCAGATTCTCTACCTCTGCCTTGGACTACAGCCCGCCGTTCCCTGCCATCGCCCATCGGCAGTGAGCGAGGCACTTCTCCACATCTCACCCACCAGGACCATATCAACAATGTCACCAGCTTTCCAGTCTCCGAGGAGCCTGTGCAACAACGTCGAGTGGATCTTCCGTGGCGGCCGCGCCGTCAGCCGCAAGCTGTCATGCCCCCTATTCGACAACTCCCGACTCCCCCACCCGGAAGCCCCACGAACTACAAGGGCGACCTGAGCTTGCCGTCGAACCAGTCTGCAGACATACCCGACTCTCAGAACGTATCGGTATACATCGTCAACCTTCCCCCGTATTGTAACGAGCACATCCTCCTAGGAGCTATCCGCGGGATCGGCAAAATCTTCGCCTGCAACGTCAACTCACCCGATGAGACTCACTCGACAGCCGCGGGCAAGGTCGTCTTCTGGGACCGTGCCGCCACCGACCGTTTCCTCGACAAGGCCGCGCGGGGCCAATTCCAGATCGGCAACTACCTTCCGGAGGTGAAGATGAACCGGATCCGCGTCGCTGCACAGACGCCCAGTAACAAATCGCGAGTCCTACAAATCGACGGACCGCGCGCCATTGCCAACCAGGCCTATCTCGAGCGACTGTTTCGTGCCCACTTCAAGTACGACCTCGACGAGGTCGTCACGGTGTCGCAGAACAGAGATAACGGACGCACCTGCCTGCGAATTTACTTCGCGTCCTTTCGCTGCCAGGCTGCGGCGGGATTCAAGGTGTGCTCGCAGGCCCGCATGGGTAGCTTTGATTACACGGCTGGTATGGACGAGCACGAGGGGGACATGTGGCGCAACACGCAGGTGCACTGGGGCCCGGATCCGTGCGCGATCGATGTTCCCGATATCGAGGCGCGCCCGAAGTCTGCTTCATCGAACTGGAGAGCTCGTCGGGCCTAGGGGTCCTACATCCACTCTATGTGATGTAAGGGGGGTACACATCCAACCGGATTTCTGATTTCCTTGTACACTGACCCAGCAGGATTCACGGAGTAGCGTTGTGGCATAGCGAGGGAAGAGGTGACGGGATTGAGATATATGTAACATTAAACCCAGCGATAATTAACTTAGATGATAATGGTAATGGTATATATTTGGAGGACCTTTCCTGCTTCTGGTTACATCAAGTGACTACCTTGATCACGCAGCGCTGGCGCTGGTGGGAAAAGCTCTGGCTCACGCGAAGGCATGTCAAGTCGCGCCGAGGGCCCGACACGCTGCCAACGACACGCATCGGATCATCCAATTTATTCGAACGGATTCCTTTCGGTTTGACTTACAGTAGTCATTCAGCGACTTGGCCCTTCCTTTCACTTCTCCCTCCCCCATCCCCCTTTCCCCCAACTCGTTGCCGTGACTCAAAATTTTCCTGCGGCATATAAAGCTCCAGTTGCGACAGAGGTGGTCCTCTCGTATCAGAACAAAAAGGGTATCAGTAAGGTGGCCAGAATCTTAAGCGCTCGATAACTAAATGCACAAGGTCAAGACAACGGTTCCCTCAATCCTCCCCGAAAGGTCAAGTTTCTAGGCTCAGGCTACCCCTCAAGGTTCTGAAAGCAGTTTGGATTGAGATCGGGAGCTGATGTGTTTGACGAGGCGCACAACATGGCCTTTTCGAGGTGAAGCATTCTAGCTGGAGCCGTCTTTGGGATATCCTATGTCTACAGTACGGGAAACTATTCAGGGTCAGTGTTAGGGCTGGGGTTGCTAACCCTAACCATATCCAGCTATGCTTTGCGTACATATGCTAGCAATCCTTCCCCTGCTCCCACCTTCTGCAGAACAAAATCGATCTCTCGCTCAGAGGTCGTGGACGAGGAGCCCAGTGCGATAGTAAGAGTATGTCGGTGCGCTGACGGACTCGCTGGCCGAGGCTAATGACAGGGTGGTATTGGCTGCTGTCACTGGTTTTCGCAGTACGCCTCCAGCCAGGCTGATGTGTCCTGGTATATCTGGTACGGTGACACCTTTTTCAGGTGGAACTGAAAGACTTCAGGCTGCCGTCACCGGGTGGGTTGCGGATGTGGGCGTGGAAGGGGGCACTGAACTGAAGAGGACACGGAAGATAGCGCGGAGAGGGCGCCGGCGAAGATGCTGCTTCAGTGGCCCCTTCCACGTGTTCCGCGAAGAGCAATGAGAGACCCGAAAGATAATATGCCGACCTCTTTGGTTGGGTATGAGTATAGTAGTAGTGAGTCACTGGCTGGGTTATGATACAGTGAGATCGTGGCTGCTGTTGTAGCCAAACCGAAAAGGAGAAGGGGTCTATGGTGGGATAGTATGACCAGCTACGTATAGAAACGGGCAAGCGATAAATATGCTCGTAGCTGTGGTTATAGATTGGCTCAATTGTCAAGATTGACGTCGGACTGTCTATGAGACGGGAATTTCACCGATGAATCTGTATCAGATGTTACGCTGCGGCTTCATGGGTTTTGCTACACAGGAAATGTAGGTGGAACATTGACAGGTACGGAAGATCCTCGGCGCGTATGACTAGAGCCGCGTGGATGGAAAGTCAAGGCATATCCATTCGGGGTGGACAATGCATTGCTCCAATTGCAATTCACTACAAGCTCTGGCAGACAAACGGGGACATGTTTGGCGAGTTGGGCAAGCAGTGCGCGTTCAATTTGAACCATAAGACGACACAGTTTACGGGCCTCTGACGTATGCTCAATCAAGTATATTCATACTACCATCAATCTACCTAGGGATGGTACCATCAATCTACCTAAGTGGGAAGCAATGTCGACAGTCATCTCGTGGCGGAAACCTCTATAACGAGGAACGAACTCCCTGCGCTTCCCAACTGAAAGGTCAGGGGTAACGGAACATATCCCACGACGCCTTTTGGGTGGACGGCTCCTCTCTAAGGAACCTACATGTTGTAATCCTCAGTCTCATAATCGTTTCTCCAGGTCCGGGGACTCGCCACCTGCGTAGCCATCGAGCTCGTGCTGGGGCTCTCCTGGGCAGGTGTCTCGTCGACGTCATCAATCAGGTCAACGACCATCTTGTCAACAACAGACTGGTCGTTCTCTTCCTCTACTTCGGCAGCATCCCTGGCTCCATACCGCTTCAGAAGCTTCTCGATGTCACGTCTGGTAATATTCACCAGGTCACCTCCGTCACCCCAAGGAGGGACAGTTGTGGCGCATATCTCCAGGGGCGTCAGCAGGCTCATTTTGCGGAGTTTTGGGAGGTCTTTCTCAGGTTTTGCGTCTTCATCCCAACCAGAAGGTAACGCCCCCTTCGGCATGCCCGTTCCATTAGCGTCTGCACCTTCTTCTAGAAGGGTCTCAACCCAGTCCTCCTCAAGGTTGCTGACGGCAATCTGCAGCGGCGTGAAGCCAAACCCAGTGATACCACCTCGGGACTTCTCAGGAGGTGATGGTCGTCCATTGACCGTGCGTGGCTTGGGGTTGGGGTTGGCGCAGGCCCCGAGTAGATCCTTCAGGAGCTGGTGAGTCCTGCTTCCGTTGGTATCGTTTTCGTAGAGCATGTGCATTGCAAGGTGTAGAATCTCGTTCTCACGGTTGAAGGTGGCTCCACCACGAATGAAGAGCTGCAGAGACTTTTGCTGTCGTCGACGCACGCAGAAACCTAGAAGAGTCTCCGCATTTTTGCCCTTCAGCTTGAAATCCTGTGTCCAGATTCTGGTCGTCTCGGTCCGTCGCAGCTCCTTGAATGCAGAAGTCTCAGTATACTTCTCTGCCAGACCAAGCCGGTTCAGAAGAGCAAGATTGGCCAGGACGCCAGTCTCCTTTGATTTCGGCAAGAATTACCACGAAAGGAGCTTGTTCCACTGCGGAAATTTGTTCTTCAAGGCCGTTGTGATTCCCCTCTGCTGCTGTCGCAGATGGGCCAGGTGCGGGGAGTCAGGAGCCAATGACTTCAGAACCACCTTGCGCAGTTCCTCGTTGCGAATAATATGAGTACGTCGGGTCATCACTGCATTCTCCGTCATCTTCAAGCAGTACTCTCCGTAGCGGCTGACTAGGCACTTGCCACCGTCCCGGCGGAACAGTTCCAAGTGACCGAGGCCGTTGAAGATGACCGTCAAGTCAATGTTGCGGACAATGTCCTGTGACAAGGCAAAGAATTTAGCCGGCCCCTGGGCCGTAGTGGGATCGAATAGATATTCCTTCACTGTGTAATGAGCCAATTTGACTTGGTGGAATCTGGTCTCGTGGTCGCGAGTGAAGCATGACGGGTGTGCGTTTCGTCGCTCCGACAGCGTGATCAAGCAACCGCATATATCTCGAAGCGTCTCGACAGTGTAGGCAGATATGTCACCATAAGGGACATTGTAGAGCCCTGATGACACGAGGATTTCCGCAGTATTGCTACAGATCAATGCTAACGCCGTTCGAGCGAACTCTTGGTCTCTTTCGGGAATGTCGGTCAGGATACGCTCGTAAGTAGCGAAAATGTCCGGCGGCAGAGATTTGAGAGCTGTCCGAATGTTCTCGTTCTCTCTAATGCGTTTGAGGACATCGAGTTGGCACACAATAGGTAGACGATGTTGTCTGAGCACTTACATGCCGCGCGCCTCTTGTACAAGCTTGTCCTCCACCTCGGCGAGAAAATCGGCGTCCTTGTTCTGCCACATCCGGACCCTGCTGATCTCACCGTGCACGAAAGACTTGATGTCCTCCCGAACACTCTTGTTCGACATGGATATCTGTTCACACGAGTTCCCGACCCCGCGAATGGCTGCCGCGATGTCATTTTCATGACGGCTGGTGAAGAGCAACGATACGTTGCAGAAGGCCGTATGGCGCAATGGTCAAATGCGCCTGGTTGTGTTCTCGTTTGTGCGGTGGGCGACGAGAACAAGTGGGTTCGAATCCTGCTATGGCCCCCTTTCTGACCCGGCTTGTGCGAGTCGACAACCAGCACATGACAGTGGAGAGGCCCCATTATCGCAGAGCCTGATAGCCAAGCAGCTTGTCTCCATAATACCCACTCCTGCGAGGTTTTCCCCCTTGTGGTTTCCCTCGCCAGCAGATAACAAACACCTACTCCTCCACCCACCAATGCGACATATATCGAACGGCTACTGGAACGATATGTACACCAGAGAACTGAGGTTCACTGGGTCGCTTTGTCACTAGGCAGGAGGTTTTTCTGACGGAATCGTGCTTGGATATTGACTAAAACCATCTGAACACTCCAGATTGGTACCGCTACAGCGAGGATAGGCTCGTGCGCGGATCTGAATGTATCTAATTTGACACCTCTACAACCTTGCGATGCAATGGCTCTGGGAGGCGTGGTTTGCACTACTGAGGAGCTACCCCCCACGTTAAATACAAAACAAACAAACAAACAGATACGTTGCAGAAGCGTTCGGCAGTTCCGAGATCACACAGAACCTTGATCAAAGAGTCTCGGGGCTTGCTCTCATCAACGGCATCGACAATGATGTAGACGCGAGTGAACTGGTGTGAGATTTATTCCAAGCAGTCGAGGAGGTCTTTGACCGAAAGCGCGCGATCTGATTGGTACGCCTCATGAAGTTTTGTAGGTACGAGACGGCCTGCTTGCTTGCATAGCTGGCTCACGGTCCACTTGAGGAACGGGACAGTCTCATCTCACACTCTGGAGTGGAGGCAATAATAGTAAGCAAAGCCACAGGATGCGCAGTGTTCGGCAGTGCTTTCGATCAGATACGAGGCCAAGACGGTTTTCCCAGCGCCAGGGATTCCAAAGACCCAGATAAACCTTCCGAGGCCGCCAGGGATGCCGCTTGGGTCAAGCCATGTTAGCCAAACCCGAAAGCGGGTTATCCACTGCAAAGTACTGAGTTAGTATTCGCATTTCAAGGGTACAGTGGCAAATATTGGGGACTTCAAGCCGTCTCGAGGTCGTATAACTCCCATTGACGAAAAGACAAAATCCCTGGATAGGAGAAAAGGGGTGGGAAATAACTCAAGATATTGCATACCTGGCATGTGCTCGGCTCCTGGAGGGCTTTCTTCTCGGCATGTAGATCTCGCATGCCGTCGCCCGAAGGACATAGGAATTTCAAGATGGCCCGCTGGTCCATACCTACACTACGTCAGTAATTGGCTACCGTGCTCGTGGAGTGATACTAGTCAAGCGCTGCATTAACAGCCTGCATTCCTGCCTGGAGGTCGCGCACGCCGACCTTTACCACCTGGATATCTCTCCTAGAGCCAAGTTAGTACTAGTACGGGACAAAAGATAGAGGGAATGTTGGGGTTCTGTGACATACGCAAGCCCGTTGGTCAATGCCAGAGTGGTGGTGTTCTTGAATGACTCCAAGTCGGAAAGGATCTTTCTGACTTTGCGTTCCTTTCTTGGCCAGTTCAAGTCGTCCAGAGTGAGTCGGGACATTGTGGCCCGTAGACCTCGAGGCGACGCGCTCGACTCTACAGCAGTCATTCTTGGACCGAGGAGACTCATCAGTTCCTCGATGGTGCTGCGTGATTCAATGAGGACCCCATCTGGCTTCGCCAAAGTCTGAATGGTATCGGTGTCCTCAGGATGGGTTGTGATGTAGCACTCCAGTGATTGTACTTCAGTCAGGAAGACTGAGACTTGGTTCCCGATACGACGGAGATCAGCTGGCGCGTCGCGCACAGAACCGATGTATTTGTAGCACAGCAGGACAAGTTCTTTGGTCACCTTCACCGGTGAAACTATGCCGCTGATGACGCCGATGACATCCGCCATCTTTGGGTATGGTAGTGAAGGAAGTGAAGGGGTGGGATGAGTAGGTATCGTGAACAAACCAGTCAAGCCACAGAACGTGTGTTGAGTTGGTTGTGTGGAGACAGTGGTCAGTCCAGCACAGGATGTGAGTATTAGAAGAGAAGGAGAAGTGTCCAGAGGCTCCTGATCCAAACGCGTTTAAAAGAGCGAGCGGACGCGTTACTTAGGGTATTTGTGAGGCTGCCATCCGCGACTGTCGTCTGGGGTGAGCAGTCTCGAGCGTGTCCCTAGGTGATCAGGGCGAGGCCCCAGTGCCCAACTGAACTCATGATCCACGGGGAGGTATGAGGACCAGCCATGGTTGCCCAGTTCCGCCTCGTGAGTTATTCCTACCACCATTCTGCCATTCTCAGGGGGGAACATGCGCAAGGCACAGTGACCATGGCTGTTCCTGGGGTTCAACCCGCTGCCCAAGGAAAGTTGCGACGGCAACCTGAATGATCCTAGCGTAAAATGTTCTCAAAGCCACCAGATACGCAGGTGTCCAGGCATCGGCTCTAGGAAGCACGTTTAGGTCTCTATGTCACAGATTATCAAAGAACTTAGCTCTTGGGACTGATCTCCCAGCCATAGCTAAATCCGCTGGGCTCTAGGCGACTTTATTAATGGGTGATAGAAACACCGTTTTAGTGCCTGAATCCGTGTGTACTCGGGACGCAGGACCATAATAATCTGCAGACGTCTCCTCTGATTTCGGTGTGGAGATGGTGAGAGAGAGGGAAGGATGCTAGAGCGAGAGGTTGAGTAGAAGAGGGAAGCGGACGAAAGAGGCAAGCGGTGAGTGAGATATTGCCGGTCCCGCATTCTACCGCCCGCCGCCCTCCACCACCTCCTCCGAACCGGAGTGCCGAGGTACAAGTGCCTGATTAGGTACTTACCCAACGACACGTTGAAGCCGATCGCAAATTGCTTTTAGGCGGCCGTTATTGACATTTGCCTATCATAGGCAGTCCATACCTGTTAATTCAATGATACATTCAACTTCCCCAGCTTCGCACTGCTTTTCGATACATTGATATACCCTCTCTGTTCTTCGTTGTCGCGCCTCTCCGATGAAATAGAGCTAGATCCATTACATTTGGACAATTGCGAGCACCATCATAGCGTCCTAGCCTGTTGCTTCCATTATAGCTAGATCGAAGGAAAGAATCATGTCTTCGACCGAAATCTCGACTACGGACCTCCCGACCGGCGACCCGGTCCCGTCCTCGGCCGCGCCGCCAGCCCCGAAGCCCAAGCCGTTTCCCCTCCGAGAACTCATCGCCGCCACGCCGTCCAACCTCGATGCCTTCCTCGCACACGTGCAGCGCTGTCTGCAGACACCCTCGGGCATCGACACCTGCCTTCTCTTCCTCTGCTACACCTCGCGCCTCGGTGCCTCCGTGCTCGCCTCGGTAACCCAGCCCGCCATCCAGCGCAGTGCCGAGAAGCTGCTCGCACTAGCGAACTCCCTCCCGCCGTCAGCGACGCTGGTCCTCAACGCCAAGGTGTTCCCCTCGCCCAGCGTGGCTATCATACTGGAGCTGTCGAAGCGCCTCAAGGCTTTCAGCGCCCTGCTGAGCGAGACGCGCACGTTCTTGCGGCTGTGGGGTCTCCTGGGCATGTACTTCTGGGCACGTCGCCTGATTCTCCAGTGGCGACATTTGGCGACGAGCAGCGAGAAGGGCCAACAGAGCTCTTCTGACAGGGTCGAGACCAGCATAGCGTGGACTCAGTTGATCGCCTGTGTCGTCTTCCAGGCCCTGGAGAACGGCGCATACTTATCATCCAAGAACGTACTGGGTTGGGCACCCGCGACACAGGGCAAGGCGGCCCGTTGGAGTGCACGGTTCTGGGGGACCTTTGTCGGTATCGAGATCGGGAGACTGTTCTACGAATCGCACAAGCGCAGCCAGCGCACCCGCGCCGAGAAGTTCGGCGATAAGAGCGTCGCGGTCGTCGTGAGGGAGGAGAACGAGTGGACTGACACGTGGCGCAAGAATGTCATCAGGAACATGGCGTGGGCACCGCTCACTGTTCACTGGAGTCTTGAGCAGGGTCTCGTCAGCGAGATGGCTGTCGGTGCTCTCGCCAGCATTCCTGGCTTCCTGCAGATGAGGGACCTCTGGAGGAAGACTGCGGAATAGGAAGGGTCTGCTCTTCAACCTTGATGAGAGAGAGCGAGAGAGAGAAAGAGAAAGGAAAGGCGCTGACTGAGGCGATTATGTGGGCATTGGGAGACTGAACTACTTGCCGCAACATGCATTGCTTCATGTGTGCCAAAATAGCACGCAAGTACATATGTATGATGATGAATGATCAGAGATATCCTCGCATGAGCCTGAAAGTAGATATACTCAACCACTTATGAATAGATGTCTGGAGACTTATAATATGGAGCGAACACTATACGTTCTAGCTGAGCCTTTCATCCTTGTCTCGGACCGCCAGTGGGAAGCGAAAACAAGATGTTTCAATACTCTAACCCCTCTAGAGTCGTGCTCTCTCATAAGAGTTCATGTTCGACCTCAACGTCGTCTACCAGAACCTCTACAGTCGCTCGGGAAGACTCGAGATGTTAGCAACCAATCCGGCTTCCACCGAAGTCTCAAGGCAACTTTTCAACCCCTATTGGTACAGTGCCAAGTCGCAAGAAGCACTCAGGTCTCCCAACGCGGACTCCTAGCTAATTTCACAAAGTCCAACCTACTTTAAACCCTTCAAGCTCTGTCACGCCACTCTTGACTACACCGAGCTGAAAAATCGTCGTTGACCGGTGACTGCATTCGTGGAAGCGGTCCTGTCATGCCTGACTTGAGATTCCAAAGGAGTAGAGCGCTCCTTGAAGGACACACATCCCTTGTGTGAAGAATATCTCTTTTTAGACCATATCTGATGACGTGAGATAGAACGTGAGATATAAAATGCGAATACAAGCTGATTGACTGCCATCTACATAGCGTTGTTGCCTTGCTAGTCCGCTGCCATTCATCAGCTCGTTAAATCATCTGACAACCACACCCATCCTATTCACCAGGCCTAGCTCCCTCAACATGCAAACCCGCGCACTCATCCTCCTTGCTCTCACCATGGCTCTTGTCTACGCCAGACTCTGGAGAGGCGTAAGAGACCCTGCCTTCCCGCCCCTTGGCGCACAAAAGACAGAGACATCATCCCACCAACTTCACTCCAGTACTGCTCGGACACCAGGCAGACCTGCACTTTATCAATCAAGGACAAGGACGGCCAGACCACCGAGGTGGTGAAGGACTGCTTTTCTGGGAATATAAGGTAAGCAGCCCTTGGCCTCCCTCTACGCTGTCCCGTTTCATTAACCAGGTTTTCGTAGTGCAAGTTGGCCGGCAATGTGTGCACTTGGACTGATGTGCTCTCTGCAGGCAAGGAAGCGGAGGCTATTTGCAACATCGTATGGTCAGTCGTGTAGTGCAAGCAGGGGAATGCACTTGCGCCGGCTGCAACGAGCATTTTCAGTTGCAAGTAAACCAAGTGACCGGCACGTGCACAGGCAATCCGACTGGGGAGCAAGGGAAAGAGGAAATAAATTCATTGAAAAAATAATAAGAAGAATACCACTGGATATTAATTGCCTTGAACCCCGTTCTCCCGGGGAACAAGTTCTAGGCTCTGGACCCCATGCACCTAGATAACCAGGGCCTCTGGACATTCTTTTCAGGAAGAACTGCCGAAACAGAAAACCCCTAGGCCAACCAGGCTGACGGAAAAAGTTGCTTTCCTTTTGCATTATATGCCTTGCTCCCCCCGTTACTAGGCCCACCTATCCCAGGCATTAATGCTGCCCTAAACCTTCCAGCCACCTTTAGTTCTACAGTGACCGGTATCTAGTATAGAGAGAACAAAAAGAAGTAAATAAAGAAGCGGAAGCGGTTTCGTTGGCTTTAAACATCATCAAGTCCACGTTCAATCATGCAAGTCGAGTAGACCTTGGAAGAACGGAATGAGCCCTGACAAACACCACTGATGTACCTCGCCTGGCGGGAGGGACGACGAGAAGGACAAGATCATGAAGGTCGACATGTATGATGGGAGATGGACAAGTCCTGTTCTCTAGTTCCGACCCATTCAATTCCCTACCTGAGCCCCCCTATTGACAATATGATCGGCATCACAGTCGCATCTAGGACAGCTCTATCAACGACCTGCAACGCAAACCACACGCCAAACTCCAGGAGTATTGTCCGATGGCTTTCAGATGTCAAACTGCCAAAAAAAGCACGTCGACAGTGGTCGCATCCGTCCCCAAGCCATTCTGTCGACCTTCCCGACGGGGAATTGAACTGCAAGGGTCTGCATTCTCGCTTTGAGGAAACGCCTCTCCCTTCCGTGCCGCCGTTACCGGATCCGAAATCTTTGGCTTGCTGTGACCTGTCAGACAACTTTGACAGTTATGACTACCCAAGCCGGCGTCCATCGCGGCGCAAGTCCCCCATGCTGCCTTATAACTATGTTCTTTACTCCGCCGTTCTGCTTTACTCCTTCCCATTTCTGCGGTTTTGACGACCATGGACTTCCGTCTACTTGTGCCGATTAGCGTGCCCTATGCCACCATCTACAATACTCGCACTCTCACGGCGCATGTCGCTTGTGTGCTCTAGCCTCGCTAGACCGCAAGCGACGTCGAGCAAGTGACTCATGCATGCTCTGACTGGGCATCCCAGATGCCTCTCTCGCTTCGTGCAGCTGCATGCTTGCCGAAAGATGTTCAACTGCTCCATGCCGAAGCTCACTGCCGCGAACCATACTTTAAGGTCCCAAGGACTCGGGATGCATACCGTTGGCCACGGTCTTTAAGTAACGACGACTACATGTATCCCGGGCTACATCCCACAATAGTGACACCGGAGATGGATGTCGAGGACCATCACCGGTGCGCTTGAGACTTCTCCTAAGAACACGACCCAAGATGCGCACTTCCACTCTGGCACTCGTCTTCGCGGGCGCGGCCAGCACTTTCAAGGCCACGTCGATCTCGGCAAACTGGGCATATCCATCGTCCTGACGCCCGACACCATCGGCGCCAACCCAGCCATGATCCTGGGCCTACGCGTGACCTTCTACTTTTCCCAGTCGAATAGCATGACCGTACACGGGAAGCACTGAAATAATGTACCCTGGGCCGGGTCAATGACAGCGCATTAGCATCGTATCTCTCGACACAATAGGATACTCTGACTTTCTATTCCAATAAAGAAGAAATCCGAATGCACGGGGAGGGGGGGGAGGGTGAGTCCTTATGTACTCGTACTTGGCAGGGCTCCCTGTGGAGACCGGCCTCACGGTGCATTAGTTCAGGGGTAGACCACAAGCATGGCTGCCATTGTAGTATCCCAATACACGTAGGAAACGTCGTGGTTACTTGCAGGTAAACATTCAATTTTCGGAGGTATCTTATTGTTGTTTATTTCACGAGGGATCAAGAATCAACGGGTGTGTAATGTTCCTTGTCCTCCCCTGTGGTAACGTGTATGGATCGCAGTTGACGTAGTCATGGTTATCCAGAACATGCCACACGACCGTATCTAATGCCACTTCTCCAGTATCCCAAAATCCATCGTTTCTTCTTGCTGTAATACAACACAACGGTGCCCCATGATATTCCAAAACCGAACGCCTTGCAATGCGGATATCAACCCAACTGCCAGCCAAGCACCTCCCCCCTTTCAAAACATTATGATACACTCATTACTGCTTCGTCGTTGTCGTCGGTGTATGCGCGAAGGCAAAGCTTGATCGCTACCGCATCAGGAAGGCGGCGACCAGTAGCATAGCGACTAGAGCGGCTGTGTCGTGATTTGACCTCATCGATACCCCCAAGCTTCCGACAATTACTGTATCGAATGGACTACCACCTCCCGAGCTTCCCCTGCCCGACCCTCCATCATCTGAGTCGTCCGGGTCGCTAGAGGGTGCAGATTGCGTGGTACTGGGTGCTTCTGTTGAGGATGTAGTGGTCTGGGTAGCGTCGCTCGTGGTTTCGCTTGTGACTGGTGTTGGTGTTGTTTGCAGAGTGGTGCTTGTGGTTGTGGGTGTCTGTTCACTTGTCGATCGTTCGATTGTTGATTGGTCGACTGTTGATTGTTTAGTCGTTGATTTGGTTGTTGGTTGTGCAGTCATTGATTGTACAGTCGTTGGTTGTACCGTCGTTGGTTGTACAGTCGGTGATTGGTCGGTTGTTGATTGTGCAGTCGTTGTTTGTTTAGTCATCGAGGTCTCATCCTTCGAGGTCGTCGTCGACGAGGCGGTTGTTGTAGGCGTTGGACTTGGCGTGGTAAAACCACCTCCTGTTGTCGACGGCTCTACGGTCAAAGTGACAGTGGTAGCAAGTCCAGGACACAAGACATCGACCAATTGGCCAAGCAATGTCAATCCGAGCAGGGATCTCGGGTTGACGTCGACATCCTCGCAGGCAGCATTGATGCGGTCTGATTCTATTTGTAGCCCCTTCGCGCAATTGGACGAGCATTGATTTCCATTTGTAAAGTCACTCTCGGAACATCCGGCTATGTCTCTACCGTAGGCTGCTATGCAAGAGAAGGTAACTTGATTCGATGTGATGAGCTGGAAGTTCTCTAGTGAGAGGGCCGATGTTAAAGAGGCCATGGCCAGGAGTCGTGCCAGTTGTAATACTCGCCGTCGCGATCGTCGATATTGCGTCATGGTTGAAGTAAGCTATCGTGGGCGTCTGTCTTGGAACGGGACTCCCGTCGAAACTGGTATCGTGAAGATGGTAGAATCCTATCTCGATGGCTGCGTGGCGGATGCTGGTACGAGGAACCAGAGTTCTGGAATTGTTCGAGAAGAGCCTGAGTGAAAATCTGAAAGTCCTGCCAGACAGCTATCATAGAACAATATGCAATGTCCGGCCGAGTCAATGGTCGAAGGCGCAGATCTGGGCCCGTGAGTGCGCCGAAACTCAGGTTGTATCAGAAAGCTGCAAATGACGGGATAGTGATGGCCTTGTCCAATGACGGGTGACTGTGAGGCCTGGGGAGTAAAATAGCCCGAGTCAATGCGGCTGTCGAGTGATGTACCGTCCTATGCTTTGATCTCTTGGCCTGATCGTCTGAAGTCGAATGGCAGGTTCGCGGTGCCTTGGTTATGTTGGAGATCCTTCATGCTGGGGCTCACTTGAGCGAGTACGGCATAGATAAGCGAAGAGTACAACAACCCTTGGTCAGGCCAAAACACGCGTCAACGTCGCCAGAAGCTCGCCAGCCTAGGGCAAAAGATGCTCGGATCTTGAGATGGGAAAGGAAGTCGTTGTGATAGAGTGAAGCTGGCCCGCAGCCGAGTTGGGTACCGGCTACCAGACGAGATGCGGCGGAAAGGCCTCGAATGGGAGAGCGGCAGTGACGAACAGTCACAGGCACTGATCCTGCCTACTCGAAAGCCACTCGATATGATGATAAGAAGACGCGACTGAGTTGGAATGACGAGTTGAAGGGTTTGCATATGGCAAGTCGAAGGAAGGTACAACGCTTCCGTATTGTGTTTGTTGTCAGTTGCACAGATGATCATCCAACAGACAGACGTAGCAGCAATGGTGTAAACGGCCACGGGCCACGCGAGAATGAGAGGAGGAAGCAGGGAAAGAAGTCCATACGAGAAAGAGAAACACCCATGAGAAACATACCTCCTACCTCTTACATTTTACCTCCTTCCCGCGCGGTGGTCAGGAGTTGGTGAGTTTGCCTGTCAGCTTGTTTGGGGGTCCGTCTTACCAAATCTCCAGCTCCAGCCCACCCCGGACTCGTTGGCCGGCCCAGATGGCCCTCGCCAGCCAACGCAGGCAGCTTCGCTCGTGGCTTTTGTCTCAGCATCTGCAAGAGACTTTCCAAAACGTCCAAACAGACTTTGGGACGACTGTCCCTTAAAGGGCCATGTGCGCGAGATGGGCCAATGACCGAGACATAAAAGATGTCGAACGGAGGAAACGAAACGTCGTGGCGTTTGAGGTGCCGGCCGAGGTAACTCGTGCATCGCAGCTGATTGGTGCGCAGCAGCTGCCAGGCCTGCAGGGTGCTGCGCTGACCTCATGGCGGCTGGACCGAGCAAAGTGTTGAGCCACAACTGGAACCCGATACAGTTGTGGCTTTGTCGTCTACCCAGCCTCGACCGGCGTTAGCAGTGCATTCATGTTCAATGTCAGAGACGAGAATGCCCTCATGTTGGGATGCCCATAGACTCCAAGGTGAAAACCTTCGTCATTGGACTATGTTATCCCGACAATCTGTAGGAACGTCTCAGCCTGGATGAACTCATTCTGAGCCATGCGTACGAGCAACCAATGATCCGTCGTTTTCGGCTGCAATGATGAGATACGAGTGAGTCATTGGCCGACCGTCCTACCAACCATCCTCCATGCGCGGCTTCATCGAACCGGTGTCATTGTCGAGGCTGGATTCCCTCAAGGGTAGATAATTAAGAGCAGCTGCTCAGGAACGCAGACATGTCATTCAGTGCGCTCCTTCAGTTCCACAGCACACCAACTCTCGAGTCACCAACATTTCGAGAGAGAGAACAATCGCTTCATTGAATGTCAAGCGTCTTCAGCTATTCCGGGAGTATCCAGCCACATCACAGATTACAGGTTTAATAGCCATGGACTCTGCGAGTCGCGATAGGATTACCTCCAAGGTCCTCAAAGACCTGGAAGACACTCGTTTCGCGGCATCGGCTCTGAAGGCGTTGTCGGGCGGTTCCGCCAACTTCATCTACCGCGCAGATCTTAGGACAGCTCTGGATGACGGCACGAGAGAGGTGCTCATAAAGCATAGCGAAGGCTACGTTGCCAACCACCCAGACTTCAAGCTCACCGTAGCTCGCTGTGTGAGTTTGACCGAAGGATTCTTGATTGTCGCAATGTGCTGATCAATTGGAAGCGTATTGAGGAAGAGTGTCTGAAAGCACTATCAAAGTTGCCAATAGTAGGCCGCGAAAGCTCAGGCGGCTTCAATTTCATCGCACGGACGCCCAGGTTCTACCACTTCGACGAGCAGAACAACACACAAGTCCAGGAGTACTTGCCAAACAGCAAAGATCTGAAGACATACGCTTTGAAGGCATACTCAGACACCACTCCAGAGACAGAAAAGACGCAATGCGTCCAACTCGGCAGAGCCCTGGGCAAGTGGCTGAGGAACTTCCACACTTGGGCAGCGTCACAGCCCGAGTTGCGAAAGACAGTCGCTGTAAATAGGGAGATGCAGCAGCTGAAGAACAGGATCAACTTTTCGTGGCTGCTAGACCGAGTCACACAGTTCCCATCCGTTCTGAGCGATGCGCAGGAGATCTTCGAGGAGGTCAAGAAGATGGCTGCTGCGGAATTGGAGGATGAGAGCAGACTGCAAGTCATCCACGGAGATTTCTGGACTGGGAAGTAAGTTACTGCGCAGTATACCACGCTAAACTTCGGTCCTGAGCTGATGACTACTCAAGTATCCTGCTACCGGACTCCCCGATAAAAGAGGGTGTCGACATCCCCATGTTCGTCATCGACTGGGAGATGTCGCAGATAGGAGTGCCGGGCCTGGACGTCGGACAGATGATCGCCGAGCTGTACGAGTTGAAGCTCTACAGGAGTATCGAAGCTGGTCTCTGGATGGTCCAAGGATTCGTGGAAGGGTACGGGATTGTGAGCGAAGACTTCGCGTTCCGCACGGCAATACAGGTTGGAGCGCACCTGGTGTGCTTTGGGACGTCTGTTCAGGGCTGGGGTCCGCCTGTACAGGTCGAGGTTGTTGCTCGCACTGGAAAGGAAATCATTGTACATGCCTGGAGGAAAGATCGCAAGTGGTTCGAAGGTGGTGATCTTGCGTGCCTGTTCAGTAAGACTGAGTAGCACGGCGGCGAGGAGGACACGCGGAGAACATGAATTTAGAAAATGGGTGTATGCGGTCTACTTTCTACAGGCTCAATTATCATTATAATTTCCATGGACGTCAGAATTTCTAAGTGCAGGCGAAGCCCTTATTTGTGGCCTAGGAAAGCCTCTCTCGCCCACATGCTCAGGGGCGAATAGCCAGCTTCAATCGGTGAAAATTTCCCCACTTGCGCAAACCCGAAAATGAGTCAAGTGAGTGCCACCACCAAAAATATCAACCTCCACCATCTCAACATTCTAATATCTACAAGGTATGTCAATCGAATAAGCTTTTGAAACTATAAAACGAGGTTTTGGGAGTTCAAACGACTGCACGATGGCGACCGAAGCGGCGTCGCCGCAGCCCTGCAACCGGTGCAAAGAGCAGCCGGCCACGCAGGAGCTCCGGACGGAGCAAGTGTGCAAGTACATAACGCCGCTTCCTACCCCTTTTGCCCACCACTCATATGTGCCCCTTTTCCCTTTCCCCTATATTACATTACACTTGGACAAACCACAACACTAACCTCACACGCAGGACCTGCTTCGCGACCTTCGTCGCCACAAAGGCCGTCAAGCGCCTCGAGGTGCAGCAGCGCGAGACGCGGGGCACGCGCCCGCCCACAACACAGTCGCAAACACAGCCTTCTCACCCTCATCCGCAGCGCTACCTCCTCGCGCTCTCAGGCGGCCCGTCCTCAGCCGCGCTCCTGCACATCGTGTGCTCCAACGCGCGACGGCAGCAACAGCAACGGCATGAGCGCAAGGGCAAGCAGAAGCCGAAGCCGCGGTTCGAGATCGTCGTCGTGCACGTCGACGTCTCCCTCTCCCCCTTTCCCCAGTCGCAAGAGGTAGACTCAAACCCGCTACTTGACGGATTCCGCGCCGCGTTCCCAGACGCGGTATTCCACAGCATTCCCCTTGCAAAAATCCTGGAATCCCGGTCTATCGACTGGAGTTCGCTACCTCCCCTGCCCCCTGACAACAACGACTCCCTCACGCCCTCGCACCGCCTAGCATCCCTCCTCAACCGCCTGCCCTCCCCCTCGTCCCGGTCCGACGTCCAGCGCTTATTCGTCCGCCACCTGCTGCTCAACGCGGCCGTCGAGCACGCCTGCGACGTTTTGTTACTAGGCTACAGCACGACAGCGCTAGCAGAACTAACACTAGCCGAGACGGCCAAGGGCCGCGGGTTCGCGCTGCCGTGGATGGTGAACGACGGGGTGTTCCCGGTGCCGCGCAGTCTCACCCACCCCAGCACCATCACCATCACCATCCCCATCCCCGACACAAAGACACAGACACAGGAGAGGACAGAGACGATAGAAATCCCCGTCTACTCCCCCCTCCGCGAGCTCTTCCGCAAAGAACTCCGCGCCTACCTCTCGAACGAAAACCCCGAGCTCGCCGCTGTCGCCGAGCGCCACACAGAGGCAACAGCGTCAGCCTCCGGAAGTGGCGGTGGTAGCGGTGCCGTGGTCTCGCACCGCGACCTCAGCATCGACGACGTCATGGCGCGGTACTTCGCCGAGGTCGAGACGGCGTACCCGTCCGTGGTGGCGAACGTTGTGCGCACGACGGGGAAGCTGGCGCGTGGGTCTGTGGCGGGTGGACAGTCTCGGGCAGGGTCGGGAGGTGAAGATGAAGACGAAGAAGGAGATGAAGGAGATGAAGAAAAGGAGACGCGGTGCGGACTGTGTAACGTGCCCCTGGATGCGGCGGGCGATGAGCGGTGGAGGGGCGAGATAGGAGATGACGAGATGCCGGCAACGACGGCGACGACAGCGGCGTCCGGGACTACGGGGACGAGGCCGCGGGCGAAGTTGTGTTATGGGTGTGAGAGGTCGGTACGTGGGTAGCATACCGGGTAGCTAATCTTCCGTCTGAGTCAACAAGCACCTCGCTCAGCAGCAGCATGTAGTGAATTTGCCGTTCGTTGGTGCTATGTGGACCGGTTGGACGAGTGCTCTCATCGCGATGTGGTGGGAGTCAGTGAGTCTCATCAGAGCTTGGCTGGGCTAGCTAGATGTTGTGCAAAGAGGGTGACTGAAAAGTAAGGCCCTAGTTAGTAAACACTAGATAGGACGAAATATGTATACCTAGTTAAAGGATAATAACGGATGTCCTCGGGCCCTACTGGGGAAAGCTTCCAGATTCATCATCACAACCCCATATTCATGAAATCCCGAGGTGTGCCCCTGCACAGTTGTGTTCAAAAGTATCAAGCCCCTATCCCCCAAAGGAAGAGATAAACCAAGCAGGGCCAGAAAGCCACGAATAGTGGGTTTTGTTTATGTTATGTCTTAATACGCACTTTTGGATCCCGTCAGGCCCGAGTACATAACGTGAGTGAAGGTCCTGTATACACGTATTTACTACACCTGCAACAATAGTCTAGCAGGCGTGAGACCGCGTAATCAGCAGTGGAACCAGCAGCAACTTGTCGGTAGATCCACTGAAGAGCGTCTGGATGTCTCAGGTGGTTATACAGATTACAGGTTGTCTCAACTGCTTGCTTCAGTACCGCACTATCTGCTGCGCGCATTCCTGTAGTCTACATTTGTGGCCATCAGACCAGAACATCCAGAACAGGCCGACACCTGTCTATTTCACGAGTTCTTCCTTCTTCTCTATAAGCAGCAAGACAGGTCGCACCCTCCACCAGTATGAGAGTCATACAACATATCTTTGCAGATGCGGCGCTACGCGGGCCAGTCTATCTTCCACAAGCGCGATGATACAAGCTCCATGGCTACCTTGCCCTGCTCCTCTCTGTCATCGTCCTACCTTGACTTTCAAGCCTTCCCCAGCGCCGGATCAGGTAGTAACCTCTTCTCGACTTTGCGTAGGAGCTTATTGGTCTGCTCTGCCAGGCTAAGCGTCAGGATGGTGTGCGGTAGGATGCGGGCCAGGTGAGGCAGGAAGCCCTTGTAGAGGGCGAGGAAACCCTCGGTGCGAATCGTCTTGCCCAGGCAGTCGAAGACACCCTTGTACAGATTGCCGTTCTGGTTGTAGAGACGCGACATGACCGTGTCTGTTTCTGTTGTGTCAGTACATCGTTCTCCTAAGTTCCGAGTTTTTGGGGTGGCTGTTGATGAGCATAGCCAAGGGGAAAGGGGGAAGGGTAGGAAGTCGGCGAATGCAGAGACAACGTACCAGGTGGGTGCATGAAGCAGCACACCACAAACCCCGAAATGGTACTACTCGCGAGGTGCAGCGGCGCGCCCTCCTGCATGCCGAGATGCTTCATCAACCTGCGCTTCGCAAAGAAGTACGTTGGCAGCTGGACAGAGCTCCCAAAGCCCGTCCGTATCATGGCGGCGCCCACACCCCTATACAGCCCCCTCACACCCTCGGCCTTGTAGATCTGACGCATGCCGTCGATGGCGTTCTTGTAGCGGTGCTGTGTGCCCACAGGCCGGAATGGCGAGAAGCTCTGCAGGCGCGTTTTGACCAGGAAGAAAGGGGAGCCCGCTGCCGCCCCGATGATGCCCGACGATGCGCCGCAGAACATGTTGATGGCCAGGTTCTGCTTGGCCCCATCGCTCAGCACCAGCGATGCCAGTCCGTGGCGCATCGGCTCGTAGAATCCCAACCGGCACCCGTTCAGCAGTATTTGGTACACGTATGCACAGCCCAGTCCACGGTATATACCTCGAACACCTTCGTTCCGCACGATGACGCTCACGCCATGGAAGGGTCCCTTGTAGTGGTGCGGCTGGTGGCCTTTCGTCTGGAGCTCGCCCTGGAGCTGCATCCTGTGTTCCAAGTTTCCTTATCAGCGCTACTCTTTCTCTTTTGTCGCAACTTGATCCGCAGATGTGCACATTTTCCCGACGCGTTATAGGGCATTGGGGGCGCAGCTGTCTGGAAGGGCACAACAGAGAGATGTCGGGAGTGCATACCGGATCTTGACCGTCTCGAAAGGATGTGTGGCCGTGACGGCACCACAGGCGGCTATACCGCCTGCTATGAAGGCTCTACAGATGCGAGTTAGCCCGCAAAGATTTCGCCGTGGTGTTTCCATATGCCATACCCAGCAGTAGTCGACATGGCGTCGTTCCGAGACTCCCAGTCACAGGCCGATAGCTTTGTCGGGCGGCCCCGGGGCGATGGTGGTGGTCAAGGGGGTCGGAAAGCTCTGAACGAGTCGGCGCGCTCTGGGTCACCGCATTGATGGTAGGAGCTTGTTGGTGCTGGTGTAGGGACAATGGAGGAGTTATGATAGAATCCAGAAAGCAGGAAATCACAAAGTCATTGGAGACTCTGACAGTACCGAGAACGAGACTCTGACGGTAACGAGAGCGAGACGCTGACTGTACCGAGAGCACAGATATCGTGGAGGAAAAACTACCAACGAGGACTGAATCGTGGTGAGGTGTGGCGTCAGCGCGAGCTGCTGTTGGTGATCACCTAGCGAAATTCCCTTCTCTGGGCGCATCCGAAATCGCAGCAGCTGGGGCCCACTAATTTTACCAACTAGGTACACCGTACCAGGTAATGTTTAGCTGCCGTTGAGTGAGCACAGACCAAGGGGCTCGCTCGCCTGGCAGCCCCTGGCATACCTAAGACCTGGCTGCCTCGGAAGGAATGGCGTCACTCCTTTCCATTGACTGGACCTAATCACTGGACCTGTAGGCTGTGACTCGTGAGGAGGGGCTGGAGTCAAGCTGGATGAGTTCAATTTGTACATACCCGCTTTTGCTTCAACAGACCAATCTCAACATACATATGAGCTGCCCGCCTTTGGAAAGGGGTCAGTGTACCATGAGCACGGCTTCCAGTTCTATTTGTGTATGGACACACTCTTATTAAGATGTCTCAACAGTGCTATTGTGCCTACTCAAGTACCTACGGTAATCAGCGGAGAGCGGGGGCAAATGGGCTCTCCGGAACCATGGGAGTACATGTGCAATCATGAATTTCTTCTCTTGAAGACTTGGCCATTCTACCTCGTAAAATCTCCCTATGTCCACAACTTCGGTCCGGGGACCCCGAGTAGCATCGCCATCGAGACCCGTGCATCGGGGGTCTGAGTCGGCTTCAACCCAGAATTAGGCATATGAAACAGTATATACGATTTCCACGGATGCACCTCGCTGAAAGACAAGATGCCATCTGTCCTTAGTAACAATCCCATACCTGGTATTTCCCGAGACACCTTGAATCTCATGACCTTGGAACACCTCTCTGTGGGTTGTCGCGGCACATAAGCCGCTCCATTACAAACGTTCCCTAACGCCGGCATGTTGACTCTTCGCCGTAGATGCAGGGTTTTGCAGTATGATCGTGTCAATCCGATCTCTTGTTCTCGACACCTCTCCAGTCCGTAAACTCGAGATGCACTCTTTTCCGAGACGACAAGGCTCCTTTGAAGCTTCCAAGCGCAATATTGCACTCGCCTCAGCTCCTAAAAGGGTTGATGCAGTAGAGGAGTCGACCTAGGCCCTATGCTAGTTTGGCTCCTGCTTGCGCTGCCGCGTCCAAGCTACTCATCCCATTCCTCCTCGTGCTCTCGTGGCTCACCCGCGCGGGATTTCCATCAAACACCCACGGGCCCGCGTCGTTCCGCGGCGTGATCGGCCCTTCTCTGCTGTTCACGAGAGGGTCAATACTCGGCGACGGTGTTCGCCTCTCACTAGTGCTCGCACGCGGTGTCGCATTCGGTATAGGGACGGGTTCGGTCGCGGCATGTCTCAATGGACCCGGCGACGCCGCCATCGTTCCGTGGTCCATTTGAACGGTCATGTCGCCCATATCGCAGGGGACTGGTGATTGCGGTTCTCCATCCCCATTAAGCTGTGACACTGGTGACGCAGGGCCTTTGGTGGCTTGGGTGACCGCCTCTTCGGACTTGTCCTCCTGAATATCGTCCACACCCGAGTCCAGCTGCTGCCAGTCATCGGAAGGCTCGTCGACTTCAGCGTCAAGATCCGCAGTAGCTCGACAGTTTGGACACATGAATATAGGCCATGAAGGGCCGTGTAACATCTCGCGGATACACTTGAAATGCCAAGTATGGGAGCATGGTGCCACAAACAGGGATTGACAAGGCTGCGAGGATATAGGTTAGCATTCAACAGTGCAGACATTTCCGAGCACTTTGACAAAAACGTACTGCAATCGCATTTAAACAGATAGAACAGTCTTGCGCGTGTGCTGAAGAGGATGCCGACGTCAGATCCCGCAAGCGTTTGTGGGTTGTCATACTATCAGCCGGTCAGTATTTCGCTGCAAAGTAAACCCATAAAGGTAGTCGCGAAAATCGACGGTAGCCTGAGTGCCATATGATACTCGTTGGCCGGCTTCCAGGACACCAGGACCAGAATAACGGGATACCTACTTGAAGGTGTTCGGCTTCGTCTGCCAGCCCCGGTTCAGCTCAATGCGCATCTTTACGCATCGATAGATCATCTCTTCGCCACCCTTGAAGTCGATTCCTAGTTGCACGATATCGCCGTCGTTAATAGGGTACGGTTTCGACTCGGTGGTGGGCGCGCTCAATCGGATATGGTTGAGAAATGTGCCCGAGGAACTCTTGACATCTTTGATATACCACTTGCCCTTCTCGCACCAGAACTCGCAATGCCGACGGCTGACGACCTTGCTCTTAAAGCCTACCGGAGCCGCAGACGGCGTGTTGGTGGGCACGGGGGCATGGTTCTCGCGCTCGGAGTAGCGACCAACCTTGATGGTCTCCTTGCCTGTAGGTAGCGTGCGTGCGATCGGGCTGAAGGACAGCGAGGGCCGGGTCGACCGTGGATCGTAGAAGGCTGAGAAGCGTATGGCAGGCAGCGAGTCCGGGGACAGGTCGCCCGTCGTGGCTGATCGCGTTCGCGTCATGGCTGGCTCGGTGGGTCTCTCCGTCTCGGTGACTTCGGCGCTGGGGTCTGATCCCGACCTGGAATGTAACAGAGCCTCAGCGGCGGCTTCCGAGTACTTGGTAGTCCGGCGGCGAATGGTGACAAGGCCCGAACTGCTAGATGGCTCAACTGTTGCTATAGAAGATAGTTCCGGTCGTTGAGGCGCGGCGGCATTTGAAGGTACGGGTGTCGCCGTGGAATTCAGTCTGGCGACGATGGTGGAAGGGGCCGAAGCTCCTCGGACGAGAGGTGAGGGTACGGGTGCAGATCGCGAGGTCGGGGAGTCGCGATTGTTGTGGTTCGAGTTGTTCGAGTTGGGGTCGCGTGACGAGGTGTGGTAGCTGCGAAGATGGATCAGGCCTCGCAGTCGGCTCCCTCTGGCAGATGACGTTGTAGTTGTAGCGGGTGAGGATGTCGAAGGAGTGAGAGGCGGGAAGAGGCCCGGCGACGGGGGTGCAGGCTGGGTGAACATTTATTACCTAAGTGAGGTGGGAGGCAGGTATTGAGAGGCTCCAGCTGCTGACTGTCGTTTGAGAGAAGTCCAACAAGGTTGTTCGAGAATAATGGGCTTCAGAGACAACGGGGGTACATGTGAGAATGGCACAATGGCACTGGAGAAGGCTATTGTCTTGTTGTCTTTGGACTCCTGGCAGGCCTGAGGCTGCAAGTCTGGGGAACGTCTTGCAAGTTGGACTCTTGGGTTCTAGGTTCTAGGTGGAGCTGGAGCTGGAGGGTGGGAGGATGAGAGCCTGGAGGGTGAAGAGGGGTCCGGAACCGAGCCAGAGCCCAGATGTGCATGCAGTCGAGTGCGGAGTTGGGTCGAGGCTTGAGTAGATCGGATTATTGGAAGCCGTTGGAGAGACGAAGACCAGTCACCACAGCTAGAGTGCAGTCTACCGTCCGCGTCGTGCAGGTGGGTGGACGAGGTGTGGACGGTGTGCTGGAGGCAGGTGACGGAGGCTGAGCCGTGATGACGGGCAGTCTTCGGGCCAAGGACGGAACGTGTACTAAAAAAGTACCTTAACATGAACGAACGTCGATACAACCCGGGCTGACCAGGTTGAGATTTAAAAGAAAACAGAACCCGGCAGCTGACGACACGGCCCTCGGCTTGGAAGAGGTGAAGAAGGTAATTAAATATCGAGGTACAGGCGTGCAAAGTCAACGGGGCAGCTGCAGGGTTCTCCAGGGTAGTTTAAGGTGGACGGCATAGCGGCATGACCGATGGCTTTTGGGGAAGCCACTGAATCGCCACATGCGCCTCGCCCATCGCCTCCCCATCACCTGCACTACAAACATTGAACGCGAGCACGCGAACTTTTCATTGTTTATCGATGCATGTAGAGCAGACAGGCACTCATCATCAAGTGACCGTTGCATCGCTCATTTTCAGTTTGGTTTCAAGGACGCTTTCTGGATCTACCTACATAGGGCAGGAGGGCAGGCAGGAGGGCAGGGCATCCTGCAGGACCCCTTTTTAGGTCACGTACGACTCAGTTTCCCGAATCATGACATGATCCGGATATGGCGGATTCATCCGTCCGTTCATGCATGCATCGCTCACCGTACATGTGGTCACCGGCCAGTCTGCATCAGGTATGTTCAACCCTTCAACTCGCCCACCATCTACCTGGGTATACTCTCTACGTAGCTGGTCAGGCACATACGATCTTGATACATTTCAAGCTGAGTATTTCTTCATCTGAACCCCTGGCCTCGAGCTGTGCGGTGCAGTGCAGATAACTGCCCGGGTTTATTAGGTTTACCATCACAAAGCAAGTTCTATGCATGGCGTTATGTCCATTTACATCCCAACCGATGCCAACCTCCAGTCATTCAACATCTCCCGCGGCCAGTCTAAAAGGCTCAAATACCGACTATCAGTCTGTTCTAGTCTCTCAGTTATTCTCTCAATGCGGTACGCTCCAAAGTTCCTCACAAACCACAAGTCGTCCAGCAGCAAAGTGCCAACGAGCCAATGCGCCGCGATTGCATAGGCGAGCTCGTCGTGTCCCATCAGCATCTCTTCGAAGCTAGAGGGCATTTCCGTCGTCCAAGAGAAGATGACCCGCAGGCGCCTGGGAACGCAGCATCCGATCACGTAGTCCATGACCTGCTGCAGTTCGTCCACTGCCGCTGTGTACGTTCTGGTGTCTGAGTGAATGGAAGTCTGTCCGGACTCTGCAATAGCGGCCCGGAGTGTGTCGATGGCGTCCCGGTGAGAGCGCTCGATGGAATTCAACAGCAGCGTGGACCGGTCGTCGAGCATTGCCTGGCTGCAACAGGTGTCGTGCATGGGCCGCTTCGGAGATCCATCCTGCGGGAAAGGCATCAGCTGGAGGTGCGGCTGCGCGGTCGCTGTCCAGTTCGATCCGAGAAGCGAATCCCCGAGGGCTCGGAACCCTCGCACATGGAACAGCCACTCGCGCGTAGGGCTGGAGCCGTTACGGGCGAGCATCAGCCCACATGGGATCAAGAGCAGGGAGCACGCCAGCAGTGCGTCAGGGCTGGTCGTGCCCTGCTTCGACATCGACGTCCGCAGGTACTCGAGTGATCTGCAGTAATGAAGCTTGGCTGTGGCCGAGTAATCGAAGGTGCTCTCTCCTAGCTGAGCGCCATGAGAGCTGGCACACCACAGCGCGCTCAGCGCCATCAGCGCATGCGAGGTTGCCGGGTCGTTGTGCGCCACCGAGGGCACGGCGGTCTGCCACATGTCGGCGTAGGCAGGATCGCAGTCGGTACTGGCCATCGTCTTGCTGGCATGGCCAAGGTAGTACTTCCAGAGCAGGCAGTCTGGGACACGGCCAGCTAATCGGCGAAAGGCCGTGGCAAAGCCCGTCTCTTTTGCGGCTGACCCTGCCGCTGCCGGCCAACTGCTGAGCGACCACATGGAGATGGCGTCTTCGGGGCCCAGCGCGGCGGCTCCGGGATATGCGCATGGGAGTCCGCGGATCAAGCAGCGCTTGCAACGGGGCTGCAACTCGTCGCACTGGATACGAGGCCGGTCAGCAACGATATGGTCAAGCTCGGCAGGATGCTCGAGCACTCTCGCGTACCTTGACATGACTCCGCTTGCATCCATGACACCCCTTCCGCGACTTCTTGTGCACCTTCTTCCGGCGGATGCGTGGCTCGCGAGGAGCGGTCTCCCCCTCGGTGGACAAGTCAGCAATCCTGGACATTTCGGGCAACGAAGCGAGAAAACGAAACGATGATATGCGAAGTATGCGAAGCCACGAGCCATGCATGGGCGATATGGGTCATTTTATTTGCGTGCGGATGCGGGAGCGTCGTCGCCGGTCGGTCAGGTCATGTGTCGTTGGCCGCTCACAAGTCCACGTAAGCTTCGCTGCGGCACAGTGGCACGCACTTACAAGTGTTCAGCAGCACGGGAAAGTATGGGCTGCGCCTCATAATATTCTGGTTCTGAACTTCTGAATGCGAGGGTTAAACGACACGTGCATTAGCGCTTACAATTCACCGGTCAGATGGGGGGACGCACGCAGTTCGCAGTATGGGCGAGAGAGTTTACTTTGCCGCTTCACTAACATTCCTGGTAGCAAGTTTGCGCGGAATCTGGTAGTGCAAGATTGCGGCCATGATATACCCCCTCGAGGCTCAAGTTGGCAAGCTTCACGACACAGAGTGTGCCGCTTTGCCGAGCAATGGCTGGACGCAACCACTACAGCCGCCTTTGTAAACCCGTGGCCACACGACATCTGCACCTCCTTTCGAACAGCAATGGTCAGGAATGCCCTACAATTCCCCAGCAGCCTTCGGCCGAACAAGCAGCGTAGGTAGCACAGTCAGTTGGCGAGGACCAGAGTTGGGATGTTGGAGATATGTATTTGCATGACATCTACTGCTCCAGATCACTAACAATCCGCGCCCGTTCTCATCACTCCTGACAGAAGCAGCTCGTACACGAGATCAGTCGGCAGAGAAAAGTTGGTTGGCATGTGGGAGGCATCTTCATCGATTGATCACGCAACGTCTTCTCTTTGATCTGCGCCGTTGGTTCTTCTGCCTGATATCTGCTTTGACAGGTCCCGTACCCATGCGGTCACTCCTGGCCTACGCAATGCTCGTTGGCACGCAACTGTTGGTCGAGACGTGCGAGGCATCTCTAATATTACATCACGGGCTTCTTTTCTCTTTGATGTCACTGCCCCGTTGGTCCTTCTGTCTGAAGTTTTTGCCATGTCCCCGTACGCTTCCGGTCACTGTCAGTCCAAGCAGTGCTCGTCAAGAAGGCTAGTTGGCAGGCAACTTTTGGTTGGGACGTGAGAGACATCTCTAACGATTAATCACGACCTTCTCTTCTCTTTGATGTGTTCCATGCGCCCTGCTGATTCTTCTATCTGAGATCTAGTGCCCAGTTCTCGGGCACTCTCTGGTCACCCTGACCCGAGCAGTGCTCGTCGCGAAGGCTAGTTGGCAGACAAGTGTTGGTTCAGACGTGACAGATACCCTCAACGATCGATCAAGACCTACTCTTCTCTTTGATGCACCCTGGTGGTTCTTCTGTCTGGGATCAGTGCCCGGATACGCGCACAACCTTCCCAATTCCGGACACGATAGCAGTGCTCATGGCCAACTGGTTTGGCAGTGTTTGCAATGATCACGCCCTGCCTCTTCCCTTTGGTGGGTTTCGCAGCTTCGTCCAACTGCCGCACTTCTCCTACTCTTCGGGTCACTCATGGTCCGGGCAGTACCAACTGCAAGGCCGTTGGACGGACGAGTGAGACGATTCTCTTTCTTCTCTTGACAAGCTTCCCTGGATCTCTTGCCTTCTACCTACCGCTTCCGTCGCCAACTGAGGGTGACTGGTATTGCTGGCCAACACACTCCTCTTGCTGCCACTCACAAGACAGACAACATCCAACAGGTAGAACCCAAACCCATGTGCAGCCAACCTCGAAAAGTTCTTTGTGATGTTTCTCTATATCACGATGGCGGTCGGCGGCCTTCGAGTCCTGGTGGTCTTCGCCATGGAGACACCAGAGCTTTTCTCAGATCTTTCGTACTAGCATAAAGGAATTTCTAGGTATCGATCAGAAGGGAAAGGGAAAAGGAAATAGCAGGAAACCGACCGGTCAAGGCCCACCTGACGACTCCGCACCATCTGGGTCAGGCAGCCAAAAGGATCGGCACCCCATATATTACTTCGGTGATATACCACCGGATATTTTCTACGTGGAGGTCGAGTCGGTGACGGTTGAGATCTTACGAGTCTCGAGCTCCAGTGCCGCTTATCACGTCTGGGTCAAACTTAACTTCAAACACGAAGTGTTGATCGGTACCCAACGGTATTGCTCGGCGGCCATCAACGCAGAAGGAGGCCACATGAATCCCCACAACGAAACACTACAAGATGTCCACATGCAGCTTAGAATGCTTCCCAACAGAGGCAGATATCGGAAGGCCACGTTCTCCTTCACCGTCAATAAATTAGGGCCCCACTTCGTTTCAGATTATCTTTGTATACTTGGACATACCGGCATCGATTGCTTCTGGTTTAAACACCGCGATGGGATGATATACGGTTGTGTGGACCAAGTGTAAGTATGCCCCTGCCGAAGAGTATCAAGCTAACGCAGACGTCGTCACATTGTTCAGGAGCTCTACCGGTTCCAGGAAGCTGGATACATATCCAGCGATATCCACACAGAGGAGCACGATGACCGGTATGGTGGCCATCGCGATCGCTTTCGCATCGCTCGGGTTGCCAGATCACTGAGAGGGCAGTCAATAATCAGCGCACTCATGTACGATGCCAACGGCAGACCATTCAAAGCGGTTCGGGGTACGTTTCAGAGTTATGATAGAGTAGATTCGGGCCCAATCATCGGTCCGCTATATGAGCGGGAACCAGCATCAGCCTAGCCAGGGACGTTATTGGGGTGTTGCTGCTTCCGTTCGTTAGATTTCCTTTGTATCTCCTTTCCTATCGGCGCTGGGTGTTTTTGCTGGCGTTTTCTGTTTTACCGTTTGGATTTCTTTGTGGCAAGGACAGGAGTCAAGGGCGTTACTGGTACTTGCGTTGTGTTCATAGTTGTGGGCCTACCGACTGTCTTGCCTTCAATACCATTTCTTATGTCTGCTGTTTCGTTTCGCTCTTGTTCAAGATGTGAGAAATACTGGCGAAGACAGTGCGGAATATAAAACAAGGACGCTGGAGACGTTGACGGTGGGGGTGCGCGGGGGTGGAGGAAGACATCATAACCGAGCTGAGGTCAAGATCCAAAAGGGGTACGTCTGCCCCGTATTGAGACGAACCAGGCCCGCGTGCCGCCAGGCGAGGACAGTATGCGCACAGGCTATTTGGGAGACGAGAACGGCACCGCAATGTTTTTCCACGAGTACCAACCCCTAGACTGATAGGTAGGTATTTCATTATCTGCTTATTATGCTTCCCGGAAGCGCGATACACATAACGTACCCCCTGTGCCGTCCCCCAGGTGCCACCTAGCCAGGACCTACTCACCAGTAAAATCGTTGCTTCTTTACTTTTCAACTACTTGGTAATCTGAACAGGACAGGAAACAAGTGACCAACAAGTAACCACCAAGTGGCTAACAAGCTCACCTTGAACGACGGATACGTCAAGAATAGCACATTCGTGTGCTGACCAGCCTATGCAATGCTTATGCGAGGGCTAAACGACACCGGCATTAGCGCTTATAAATATTACGATATAAATTAAGTGCGCGCAGTATAAGCGAGGCAGGAAAAGGAGTACTTTGTTGTTTAATTAACATTTCTGGTATTAAGTTCGCGGGGAGTCTGGTAATGCAATATTGTGGCTATATACTCCTCGAGGCACAGGTTGACAAGCTTCACGACACCACAGGGAGGCCGGCCGTGATTTGATTATTGAATTGTCACACCGTGTAATACTCAGACCCTGTGACCGATGGATGCTCAATACGATCGCTATGCGATGCCATAGCCTGCAACTGACTGTGTAGGGAAAGCAATGAGTATAAGATGCTTCGACAGTCAACAGGAGATGGACTTCCTATCAGCAACATCATCAGCTCGATCGTATACATCCAGAATCCCAAAGAACCCCAGAACCTCATCAAGACTCTCATCAAGACTCCATCCCAACAGCCGGCCACCATGAAATCATCACTCTCCCTCCCCCTGGTGCTCGCCGCCCTCTCCGCCGCTTCACCAGCCAAGCGCGCAACCAACCAAACCTTTACCCCCAACTGCCACGACCTAATGCTCAACGTCTCCGTCACAGCCACCAACTACAAACTCGACGTCCCTCGCGTCGACAGCAACGCCGACGTGGGCAGGTTAGTCGACGAGTTGGACAGACGCACGGCTCCAAACACCACTCAGCGCATCATTGGCAAGCTCAACATCACCGACACGTTCTCCATATACGCCCAGCTCTGCCTCCCGGAGCCTGCGCAGGATAAACACGTCCTGCAGATCCTCTCACATGGAGGCGCCTTCGATCATAGGTACTGTACGTTGGAAATCGCACAAGCCGGCCGGTTAAGTTCGTGTGCTGACCAGCCTGCGCGATGCTTTGCAGTTGCCGCCGAGATCGATCCAGCGCAATACTCGTACGTCTATGCGGCCGTGATGGCTGGATACACCGTCTTGAACTACGACCGCCTCGGCAACGGGCTGTCGCAGAAACCGGACGCGTACGACATCGGTACGTATAGAAACGCCCCTTGCCCCTTTTTAAGACCCTAGGTGTTTTTCTCTTGAACGGGCTTTGTTGTACCCCTTTCGCTCTTCTTCTTCTTGTTCTTCTGGAGCCTGGCTGTCATGGTTCCAAGACGAGATGCTGATACACTCGAAGTGCAAGGCGCTGTGTCAATCGAAATCCTCCACAGCCTGACAAAAATGGCTCGAGACGGCACCCTGCTGTCGGCGTCAATAGCAGGATATCCAAGCCTCCCAAGTACGCTGCCTCCTTTGGCGCCCTTTGATAAAGTCGTCCACGTCGGCCACAGCCTGGGTTCGCAGACCACCGCCGCCTTCCTGAAGAGGTACGGCGCCGAGTCCTCGGGCGCAATCCTCACGGGCTTCACCTTCCCCCTGCACTCGGCACTCGGGCCGGCGGGTATCTATAGCTTCGAGTACGCCGCGTCCAACAATCCCGCACTCTACGGCGCCCTGGGCAGCGGCTACATCGTCCCCTCGTCCCCGACGGTCCTGCAGAGCCTCTTCTTCCACCGTAACGGCACTTCCGACCCGACCGGCTTCACGGACGAGGCTCTCGCGTACGGCGAGAGCATCAAGCAGCCCTTTGCCATCGGCGATGCCTTGTCCGCGCGAGGTCTCCTGGATTTCGGATACTCGCCGAGCTTTGCCGGGCCGCTGCAGTTCTTCCTCGGGGAGTTCGACTACCTTGTGTGTGGGGGCGACTGCAAGGGCAATTTCGACCCGGATTATCCCAAGTCCGTCTATCCAAACGCCACGGCCATAGAGACGTATGTACAGCCTGGGGCGGGGCACGGAAACGTGCTGCATCTGAATGCGAATGCTGGGTACGCTGTTTCCCTTAAGTTCTTAGAGGAGAATGGGCTGTAGACCGATGGAGAGGGGAGTCGCAGTCAGGGGCAATCGAGGGTGAATTCACCTGTGATTGCAAATCTGCCGCCAAAGACCAACGGCTGGACTCTGCCCTATTTCTCATGGAGTTCTGGGTCAAATTCCTCCATTGGTATGAAACTTTGAAGTAGCATAAGGGCCAACACACTAGGAACATGAATCAATAGCAGCAACCTGCAGCCCATCACGAACTCTAACTGCTCCATCAAGGGCCTCCCGACACGTCTTTCTTTCTTTCCGTTGCGGAATATGACCCCTCAAAGTCGACAACATTCTCCACCGTGGGCATCGTAGATCCTGTTACCAAAAATATTAGCATATAGATATGGTTATATCGCTTCAGGTAATATACAACGTGACTTACTGCGAGAGACCGGCTCAATGCTGTTACTACTTTCACCAGAAACGTGGCGTGACCAACCCTCCCTTTTCCTGCTAGTATCACGACCTGTTGTGTGGGTTTTGTGGCGGCTGTCTTCAGCGCCAAAACTTCTACCGCGCCCATCTTCATAACGAGTGACGGTGACACTGCTGTTTGGGACGCTGTCGCTGTCTCGTGTAACAACCGGCATGGGTTCCTCGTCGGATCCGATCACAACTTCCTTCTTGCCAGTGTCATCGCCGTTCATCTCCTTTCTTCGGTCCGGATTTTTCTTGTCCGCTGTGGCCTTCGCGTTCGCTTCTTCCAGCCTATTCGCCAGCTGACCTGCAACTTCATGATCTGATGCCGAGTCCGGCTTCGTGTGCCGGATGCGAATCCGTGTTTTGGGATAGGGGTCTCTGGGATAGGGATAGGGATAGGGGTAGACAGACTCGTCTTCACTCCCTTGGACCGAGCTGGGAATGCCGATTCTGCTGTCATGGATGAGTCCCCTGTTCATATCCTGCTGATACTCTTCAGCATTGCGCAGTCTAGAGTCCACGGATTCGTACCGCCTCGTTCCCAAGCGAAAACGTCTGCGTGCCTTCACACCTAGCGCATCATTATGTGTATCTGCCTCATGCTGCTTTTGCTCCAGAGCCAGATTGTGTTCTTCGATCACGACGCGGATCAATGCTGCATCCTCGTAGTCATGATTGGAGGCTGCACGGGCGAGTCTGTCCTGCAACACATGCCTTACTCCATAAGCCTTTGTGATTGGAGAACGGAGAGAATTGGGCGAGGGCTGTGGTATCTCTGAGTACCCATCATTAGTGATTTCCGCGTAGGAATCTGTCCAGTCATCATCCTCTCCTCCCGAACTGTCAGAATCATATTCACTACTGAGTAACGCGCCATGATAAGAACGGGGTGAGGTAGCTTGGGCCGACTGGGCAGCTTGTGCCGCCGGATGGAAATCGGTCGAGGCGGGACCTCGTGTCGCGCCAAGTGCTGCTGTCATCATGTCAGCTTGAATTATTCAGTAGAGAGGCTGCTCGCACGGCTGCGCACCTTGTTATGGCCTCCGCCTTCATGTCTGTCTTCGCTACGATGCAGAGACTTCTGGTGTTTCGCCTTGTCTGGCTCGGCCTGGCTGGATTCTCCTACGCCACTCTGATCCCCCGAGGAATCACGAGCCAATCTGGCTGAGGCTTTGTTGCTTCCCTGAAGGCGAGATACAGATTGACGACCTTGCTTTAGAGGCTTGGGCTCAGCTTTCTGCCGGTTTGTGTGTAGCCTTGTGCGCCTTGCATCCAAAAGTAGCTGGTCCGCCTCGATCTGGTCTTCGGCGTCTATCTGTAGCTGACCAGATGCCGTCATTCGAGTTGTCTCAAATTGTCCATGTGGTCGGCTCTGGTATCTTGCCCGCCAGAAAGGTAAGCTGTCGGAGACCTGATCACGCGCAGGAGGAGGAAGCAAAGGAAATATGTTTACTGCCTGCGAAATGGCCCTTGCTGCGCGATCAGGGTCCGTTTCGAGGCTATGCAGCATCATGTGTGCGGCCCATGCATTCAGGAAAGAGAACGTAATTGTCGAGGAAGTAACTTCCGCAAGTTCGGTTCGTAACTTTCTCCGTGCTTCATCGGTATCGGAGACTAGATAGCTCGAAAGCAAAACCTCCAGATATCCAGCCATGTCGGCTTGGACTGATTTTTTCAGATGACAAAGAGCTTCGAATTCTGACTTCGGATCCGAGGACAGGTTAATCAGCTGCTGCCAGCATAGTGCAGCCATTTTATAGTCGCGGAGTTCCGTCGAACTTCTCAGAGCAAGCTTGATTGGGTTAGTGAGCACAGTGCTGGAAGCCGTCTTTCTCCAACCAGGATTCTCGGTCGCGATGGGTATGTATACGGGCAGGAATGTACTATGCTTGAACGCAGGCAATCTGAATCCATTCGCCGAGAATAGATAGACGGAAGGGTTGAGTACATGTTCATGCTGAGCTGCCGTCCGCGCAGCCTTCAAGAAAATGAACTTGACGTATTGGCGACTTCTTAAATTTTCAAGATCATGTTGGTTGATCGAACGTGCCAGTGAGAGGGCTGAGTCTAGGCAGTACTGGATTGTGGACATTGGGGCGTTGAAGGTGCCTACGAACTCGAGGAATAAATTAATGATCCCTAGTAGAGCAAGGGTTGTTGATTCGTCATACACAGGCGCCTGCCAGTCGTTGATAAGCTGATCTAAACCACGTGCGAAGTCCATTGCACCAAGGAGATCACTTAGGACGGCATTGATGTCTCGTGTGTAAACCATGGCCCCGATAATGTCATGAAGGTCCCATATCCTACCTTGTCGGAGAAGGCTGATGTACAGGCTCGTAAAAAACTGCTGTGGGAAGAGCGTTTTGAATTGCTGGTTGAAGTCAAGACCATCTTGGGTCAGAGGCGTCTCCCTAACCCAGTAGGCGACTAGGGAAAGGATCCTGATCTAGTGGTCTGTTAGAATATCTTACTATACTCTGTGGGTAGACCCATACCTCGGTAGACCCTACGGTCGAACCCTGTAGGTTTAGTGACCGATGGGTAAGTTCAAGAGCTCTGAATATTAGGTTGATTTCTTGGACCGATAGGACTGACTGGTGCGATCTTGCGATCCCTGGATCAGTCTCCAGTAGAGATCCAGAAGTTGGCCTCCATTGGTGTCCAGTAATGAGTTCGTGGATCCACCCATGAGATCACAGTCCAGTTCAAGCAACGTCTTGTAGTCCCCTTGTTCCAGAAGCATCTCTCCGTATTGAATAAGGACGTGTGGGTTCCCAATATGTACTCGTAGGTTCCGCTGGTACAGTGAAATCGCATCACCGAACTTCCCGAGCCGAGAAAAGCGAGCGAGTTCCTCGAGATCCATGTCTAGGTCGATGTCTGCATCCAAGTCTAGATGGACAGTCTGATCTTTACATTGTGCCGAGTCCAGAATGACATCGACATCCCTGATAGCATCCAAGACGGACGCGCTGTCACGGTTGGCAGTGTAGTGGGGTGCTACAGGCCGTTGTTTTGGTCGTCGGCCGCGTTCATGATGTGTAGCATAATAATGTGTAGCATAATCAGGATTCGGGTCAATCCCTTTCTCGCGCTTTGCGATCACATCAAAGGGCGAAGAACCTCGCGTTTCTTCATCGGCGTCGTGATGGAGCCCTGCTATCGCCAGCTCCTTTCCCTTTGCCATGTCCCTGAGCTCGATACCGCGCGCGGGGCTGTATCGACTGGGGAACAGCTTAGACAGACTCCAGGGCTTTTCCTGTAGCCCATCCCGCGTGGGCGTCGTAAGTGTCTTTTTCTCGCGGAAGCTTGGTTGTCTCGGATCGTATTGTCTGTCCATGGCAGAATGCGCGATGACGGTAATGGGGGGGTTGGTGGTGGTGGTGATGGTGGTGGTAACTAGAACGAGTTCCAACACAAAGCAACTCGGCCCGCCGTCCGGTATCTGATGTACCCCGATGCATCCACATGTAGTACCTCGATTGCCTTACCAATTCAGCAGCGACCGGTTGCAAGGCCACTCACGGCTGTATGGCGAACTGGTTCGGCTGGTGCGAAGGAAGGCAACGTGCATACAGATACATGCATCGCATATGGCCCCCAAATTGCCGGCCAGGCCCGCGTACAAGGCACAGCGGTATCTATCGTTTCGAGAGCAAGTACTGTTGTATGCGGCAATTTGCCGGTTGGGGGCTTGTTCAGTACTCGTTCCTTGCACGATCATTACCCCCATACAGTGTACAGGCACTCCGTGTTTCCAGATGAGGGGAGGAGGGGTTTGTCGTGAGCGCCTGTATTTCAGCAACTCAAATCCCCCTGATTGTCAAGGCTACAAGATAACGACTGATTCGCGTGGTTAGTTCGCGTAGCCCGACTCTCAAGAATTTCTCATTAATGCCATGGCACATCACCCGGAGCTGAAGAGATTGAAGAGAAAGTACGAGAAATATGATCTCGAGCGATTCGACCACTTTCCCTCCACGCAAGCTTCAGTCGGAGGAGGAACAGTTGGAAAGGTCCAAGTCGACTGTCGATTTCTCTTCAAAAAGTCGCGTTGGGGCGTGCTTGGGGAACCGAGTAGCCCCGCGGGCATCATATACATGGACTTGAACTTCAGTCAGCCAAAAGACTGCCGCCTTAAGAGTGCTACGGTCACAGTGACTCTCAATGATGAGTCGCCCATGCTAGGCCAACACTCAAGAAGGACTCCCCGCGATGTGGCGCCCCCTCCGCCGCCTTCGCCGCCCATGCTAAGCCGACATAGAAAGACTCCCCGCGATGTAGAGCCGCCTTTGTCGCCTTCGCCGCCGGATTTGAGGGAGCTCCAGCACTATCCATGGAAGACAGTCCCGGAAGAGCATCCAGTGCAGCTAACACCATGGTTCGGTCCTCACCATTTAGCCGGGCAGCCTCAGCACATGTCGAAAGTGAAGAGGTACCATCTCAGGCCGCACGTCGAGGTAGGGGGTCTTATGGGATTCGGGGGGATTGGTACAGACTCAGAAAAGACCTTCGCCCAAGAAAGTCGCTGGACGTTTGCTGGGCAGCTGTTACCGGGAAAGAGAACTTGTGCATACAAAGTCCTCGAATGGGAACTCACCGAGAATGTTCTCGAGCAACAGTCCATACGGAGCAATGTCATCCACACGGCTTTCTCATTCCAGCATAGCGGTGAGCCAGTCTACATGCGAGTCGAAGTCAGCGGCAAGCTCGAAAGCTTGAACGACAGATTCAAGCACAAGTTGAGCAGATTCCCGACGAACCGGAACAAAGATGAGCGTTGTGTCACGACGCTCATCAACTTCGGTGACTGCCATCGATTTCGACAGCCGCTGGACGAGTTGGCCCAAGGCCTGGCTCTTGCCATGCAGGAAGAAAACCTGAGAGAAGTGCCTATCGTGGTGCCCAACCCTCAGATAGCATCGTTCAAGGAGGAGAACACGGCAGCCGGAAGGCTCCCAACCGATGCTGCTGGTCGCACCCCACAACATCAACAAGGTGCCATCGATGACCAGAACCAACACCTTCTGGAACAACAATCGTCGATGCTACAATCAATACTGGGTGGTGTTATCGAGGAGGACGTGGCTTCGTCACATAGCGACCCCACAGAGCCTACTGAAGCGAATCTCGCCAACGCTTTGGTCTCCCTTGAAGCCATCTCAGCCTTACGAGGTCGGCCTTTGCCATCGACTGATAGCGGAAGGCACACGAGTGTTACTGGTACGACATTTCGAGCAGCAACGGACGCCCCGGCGCCTTCGAGCACATCCTTGGGGGCATTCTCATCGGCCGAGCATGAACCCGGAGGAAGTGGCCAGATAACATCGAAGCCACCTGCAGATCTCGATGCTATGAGGTTGATGGAAATCTCCGGGCTCCTGAAAGTAATTCAGATGATCGTCGTCGTACTACAGTTCTGTGGTGTAAGACTCACGTCTGAGCCTACAGACGTACGAGCTCAAGGAGCCGACATTCGTGGGAATAACCACAGGCAGTCAAGAGAGCGTGAGGAGGTGGAGAACAAGGGTCGACGTGAAGGTGAAAGACATCGAGTTCAAGATTCGTCCTCTGGGCTTGGCCGGAGCCATGCATGATTTGCCACTGGGCGTTGTAATATTAGAAACAGCTGTTGACATGGCAGAGATGCGTGAAGTGGTGGCTACACATTAAAGATGGCCTGGAGCACAGACCACCTTATGTACTTAAGCGTTGATTAGCGCGGTCTGATAAGAGATCTGATAAGTAAACATTTCAATCGTCATTTGCAAACCTCTCCTGCGCTGCCGAGTAGGTATCTTGGTCATATCTGTTGCAACGCGACTTCTTTCAGTATGTTCCGGGCATGTTCGTCTAGAAGCCTAATCAGGGGCTTCGCCTCTCCAGCGCGATCTTGCGCGAGGAATTCCCGACCGCTCCAGACCCGAACACTAGCCACCGTTAAGGTGCCAGACGCGAAGGTAGCTGCCACTCGTCACTCAGTCCGAGTCGCAGGAACAACAGGTACTGATTTCGTGTAGGAACCGACGGAGCTTGATCAAGTGACGACACTACCAAATGGCGTTCGCGTCGCGTCTGAGGCCCTCCCTGGCTCCTTTTCCGGCGTGGGGGTCTACATAGAGGCCGGGTCAAGATTCGAGAATGCCCATCTGAGTGGTGTGAGCCACATCGTCGACCGCCTCGCCTTCCAGTCGACCACCAACAAGAGCGGTGAAGAACTGCAGGAGACGGTGGAATCTCTCGGGGGTAACATTCAGTGTGTTTCCTCCAGAGAGTCCATGATGTACCAGGCGGCAACCTTCAACTCTGCCATTCCGACCGCAACCGAGCTTCTCGCAAACACGATCCAGAATGCCCAGATCACCGACGAGGAAGTTGCGCAGGAGCTTATCACGGCCGAATACGAGATCAACGAGATATGGAAGAAGCCGGAGTTGATACTGCCCGAGTTGGTGCACATGGCCGCGTTCAAGGACAACACACTGGGCAACCCACTGCTGTGTCCGATGGAGCGCATAACACAGATCGACAAGTCGGTTGTGAGAAGCTATAGAGATGCATTCTACCGTCCAGAGAGGACGGTAGTTGCTTTTGCCGGAGTCGCTCATGCTGACGCTGTGCGGCTGGCGACAGAGTTCTTTGGGGACATGAAAAGCTCAGGACAAGCATTGTTATCAAGATCGGGTTCAGAGACCTCCATTGACTCGCTGTCAAGCGCAAGCGAGTCGTCCTCCTCTTCGGAGTCCTCAACATCCGCATCGATCACCTCGTCCCAGCAATCTCCGAGTCTGTTATCCAAGATACCCCTTTTCAAGAACCTCTCTACTTCGGCAAGCAACAACGCCGCAGTCCTAAGTTCATCTGCTTTACAACCAACATTAGAAGACATGTCTGCCCCGGCACACTACACTGGCGGATTCGTCGCACTCCCTACTCAACCACAATCTCCAAACCCCTTACAACCGAATTTCACCCACATACATCTCGCTTTCGAGGGACTACCCATCGCCTCCGATGACATATATGCCCTCGCCACGCTGAACACTCTGCTTGGTGGCGGTGGTTCCTTCTCTGCGGGTGGCCCTGGCAAGGGTATGTACTCACGGCTATACACCAACGTGCTGAATCAGCACGCATGGGTTGAGTCTTGTATTGCCTTCAACCACTCTTACACAGATTCCGGTCTCTTTGGGATCTCCGGTTTGTGTATACCCGGCCGCACCCAACACATGTTGGATGTCATGTGCCAGGAACTACGGGCACTCACATTAGATACTGGATTTGCAGCGCTCGGCGAAGCAGAGGTACAACGTGCCAAGAACCAGCTGCGATCGAGCTTGCTCATGAACCTGGAGAGCCGAATGGTCGAACTGGAGGACTTAGGAAGGCAAGTCCAGGTACATGGCCGGAAGGTGCCAGTCCACGAGATGTGCCGGAAGATCGAAAACCTGACGGTCAAGGACTTGCGCCGCGTAGCCAAGCAGGTTGTCGGCGGTCTAGTGCAAAACAATGGCAAGGGGAGCGGCGCGCCCACTGTTGTGTTGCAAGAGGCTGACGCACCTGGTGTCTCGGCGAAGCAGATGACCTGGGAGGAGATCCAGGATAGGATATACAGGTGGGGACTTGGCAAACGGTGATGGATACGTGCTGCTCTGTTCGAGGAATGATCAGAAATTCATCCCACCTCCAAAGCTGGAGTTGAGAGCCCCCGGAAGCGACATTTATATTGCGTCTATCCAAGATATGCTCACCAGCTAATGTATAAGATGTGTATTATAGGTGGTGGAAGGTCAGCCTGCTGTACCGCGATTGGAAAATGTACATCAATTCATAGAAGGCAATGTTGCTCTTCTCATCTTCGTTCTCCGCATTGCCGTTGTCGAGTGCCTGTGAAGCTGCCTTGTCGTTGGTCATCTCTGTGTCTTACACGTCTTGTCTTTTCGTTCGTAACTCCACTGAGTCAGGTTCAAAAGAACATCCTCTGAACCGAACCAAATGATTATGGTCAGCGCAGGTATAGTCGATGCTCTTTGTTGACAAACCTGACGATGACATTGCCCAGGAACTCTCTAAAAACTATTAGACCCTGCAATCCATGTCACCACGGACACAGAGCACGGATTTGATATCTCAACTTTCTCCTCCTTTCTACTTTCATGATAGAACCACCTGTTCCAAGTCTCTAAAGAGCATCCTCACCCGCTAGCGTTCTCGGATACCCAACAAGCACCTCCCCTCCTCCTTCCACCGCGAATTCCACAAACCCACCCATGACCTTCCCCTGAACACCAAAACTCCCATCCGCCCACACCACCCCGCCCTCCACATCGCCCTCCGCAGCCGGCAAGCTCACCGTCCCGTTCGTGCCCCCAGGCGCCCGCACCGTCACCACGAACCCCTCCCCATTCGTCCCCCTATCCCAGCGGACCTTCAGCGACCCAAACGGCGTAGGCACCTCGCCCTGGGCCCAGGTCAAACCACCACCCGGTCTAGGCCGGACAGCCCACTCCCGAAACCCAGGCTTCACAGGCTTCACGCCTAGCACGTATGTACTCAACAGCGGCACCACGCCCGTCGACCAGCCATGCGCCAAGCTCGTGAACCCGCCCTCATACTTGCTGCCACCGGCCCCGATGCCCTCCCAGTGCGTGCCGGCCGTCTCGTTCGCCGCCATCCAGCCCCAGGTGCGGCGGATCTGGTCCAGCGCCCCATCCACCCCGTCCACCGCGTTTACTCCCGCCGTCTCAAATCGCGCAGCAATCTCGAAATACGAAATAAAAGGATAAACCCGGTCCGCAAACCCAGCACCCAACGCCTCGCCGGCAGCATCATAGAAGGCGTTCCCATAGAACCGCCCCATGGCGCTGGACATATACGCCAGCGCAGACGCCGCCAGCGTCGCGTTGGCGACGCCGGACAAGATGGCAAGACTATTCCCATCCTGGGCGTGCGCCTCGCAACCAGCAGCAGCACCATCATCGCACTTCCGATCGAAGAAAGCCCCCACAGCCGGATCCCAAAGCCCGTCCACCACCCCCCGCGCCACGCGATCAGCGCGCGCCTTCCACCTCCTCACATCCACATCCCGGCCGCCTCCCACGAACCCCGCGAGATCCGCGGCGCGCCGGAGCGCCAGGACGTACAGCGCGCTGTAATAAGCCGCGGACCCTTCACGCGGCACGAATGCATAATCGCCATACCCATCAGGCCTTACGAGCAACCCCGTCTTATTGTCCATATGCGCCGGATAATACGCATCCAGCACCCCAACCAAAGCCGCGTAATGCGTCTCGATGAACGACACGTTCCCGCTGTACATCACATAATCAGACCCCGCGACCACCCACCAGAGCGGGTAGTCGAAGAGTGGTAGGGCGTAGTCCTGGATGCTGGCCGGTGGGATCCAGCCGTCGGCGGCGCGTTGGTGGGCGGCCAGGTCGTCGAGGACGGTGCGGACTGCGGAGATGGAGGAGGAGATGGTGGTGGGGCTGCCGTGGCTGAGGTAGCTGGTCAGGCCCGCGACGGCGAGGTCGCCGACGTAGGGGTCGCGGTCGCGCTTTGCGCCGTCGTGGACGACCCACTGGTTGAGGAGGGAGGGGCTGGCGGCGCTGCGCGGGTCGGTGTCGTTGGCGCGGAAGACGTCGGTGCACACTTTGGCGTGTTGTGTTAGTGGGCGATGGACTTTTAAGGGGATGAGAGAGGTCTTAGGGTCAAGGGGGATTTTCTTGATTACGGTCATTGCCCAGAAGGATCAAATAGGGGTTGGCTTACTCTCAGTCGTATACACCCCATCAAACCACCAATGCGTCAGCGCCGCATCGGAGCACTCGAACCAGCCGGTATACGAGTCCAGGGTGCCGCGGAAGCCGGACCAGCGCAAGGTGACGGCATTGATACTCACTTCACCCGCAGAGGACGTGTAGGGGGCGTCGGCCGGCAAGGCGTCGAGCGAGATCTTGACGTACCGGAAGCCGTGCAGGCCGTCGGAGCACACCTGGGAGCCGTACTCGCAGCCCCACTGGTTGAGCCAGGTGTAGGGCTCGTTCTTCACGGCGATCTGGGCACGTCAGTTTCGTGAGTGGGTACTGTAGCTTCACCACCTGGAGGCCGGGTTGGCCTCAAGGAAGGAAGGGGGGGGGGGGTGGTTGGACGGTCTCACGAACCTGATCCGTTCCGGAGGGCACCAGCACTGGCGGGTTCTGCAAACTTCATCAGCCCCAATTACTCCCATGTCCATTATCTTCCCCTTATTCCCCGTAATCCCCTATCCTCTCCCATGAACCCCAAAAAACCACAAAGGACAAACTCACCCCAGCCCCTTGACCCGCATTATCCGAGCGCGTGAAATCGCTCCTCTCTCCCAAAAACTCCAGCGCCTCCGAGAATGCCAGCCGCAGTCCCGGAAAGCCGTCCGAGCCGGAGGCCGAGCCGTTGACCGATCCGTTGACCGATCCCGCAAACTCCACCGCCAGCAGCCCGACCACATTCTGGCCAAAGTCAAGCACAAGCGACGCATTTTCCCGGGTGGAGGTTTCGCGCCGGAGGATGGTTGGGCTGCCGCCGCCGTCGTCGTCGTTGCCCGATGCTGCGAGCAGGCCGGTCGGGTTGCGCACGTCGCCGCGCATGAACTGCATCAGCACGGCTTTGGGGCGGACGGTGCTGCTCGCCGGGGCGCGGACGTATTGGTGCCAGCTCGGAGTGGTGGTGGTGCTGTTGTGGTTGTCATCGTCCGTCTGGGCGACGACCAGGGCGTGGATGGTGAGCCAGATGACTGCGGTTGAGAAGGTGGGTGTGAGCATTGTCACGAATAGGCTAGCGGATACGGGCGAATTGCAGACTCTGTGACCGGACTAGACTGGGTTGGCTATAGGGCGAGGAGGAGGGAGTGTAGGAGTAGAAGATTCAGCGAGCAAGCAAGCAAATAACCATGTGGCGTGGGAGAGATGGCAACGTAAGCAGGGACCCAATACGATACGAGATGAGCCACTCCCATAGCACATAAGCGAATGCACTCTACTCCTTCGCAATCTGCTACTCTGACCAAGAATCTCGAGGAGATGAAAGCAAGTCCGTATCGGGCAATATAACCAAAAATAGACGAACATAAAAACTCACAGCAAGTGAGGAGACCAAGCAAGCAAGCAAACAACCCGACTCGGCAGAAAGCAACCCGAACGATTCTCGGCTGCATCTGCATCTGCATCTGCGGCTGACGGTGATCATCATCCTGCAGCCAATTCCCAGAGTCGCATCCGCATGCAGCAGTGGCTGCAGGCCGGGAGCTGGGCCCAACAGCCGAGGACGACGAGGGGAGACGCTTCTCCGCATAGGTGCTGGTCTTATAGGCCGAGTCGGAGGTTGCTGTCTGTCGCCAACAGCCTCTATCCGCGGTGGACTGGTCCAGGGTGGTATAGTCGAGGAAAACACCATTTGTTGCATGTCAGACCCCGAGTCCGAGCCCTCCCTCCGCGATCTTGACTCTGAGGTCGAAGTTGATGTTTGAAGTCCAAGTCTTTCCGGCCGCAAGATTTGTAGGGGTAGACACCTGTATTACCGAAGCACAAGGCACCCGTGGACGTTATTGTGCTACCACATGGTTGCGTATGCAGCTTCGTCGCAACGAGGAGTATTGACAATACCCTCCGCTGAGACATTCTGAACCACCACAGGGAGAGGGCGTCCTCCAGCTAGGAGATTAGTTAAGACCCTCCGGTTACGCGTGGGAATAAGCGGTGTCACTCGGATATGCGACATAGGTGGTCTCAAATGCAGAAGTCATACAGTATTCTTTTCCATCCTAGCGAATGACCTTATAATGATGGGTTCACAGTCAGTGATTGTGCCACCAGGTCCCTTCTATAAACACCCTGTACGCCTTGGCAAAATGAAGCGCTTTTGTGCAAATTACAAAATTCTGTTAATTGTATGATTCCATCGACACGCTGTCAGCATCTTATGCGATTGATGTCACCGCTGCCGCCTACGAAAGACGATGCATAGATAACGCTGTGTGTTAGTATGTACTCTTCTCAAGCTGAGCGGATGAGGAGTCGATCGATCATTGAACTTTGGCCATTCTCTTGGACATGCTGTACCTGATGTTAGCTGGTGTCCCCAGAACTTAAGCGGGTGGATGGTCTGTTAGAAACTTACAAGTCGTAGAAGGCGAACTGGCTTGGGCTACTGCCGAACTCGTATACAAAGCGGGATGCGAGATAGCTTCCGAAGATAGCGCGTAGATATGCGTCTGGTACACGGTCGATGATGGTGTTCAGGCCGACCCTGTCTATAAGCAACTTGGGCAGGGCATCAGCAAGTACCGATACTCGTGTCTTCTCGTCCTTCCACAGGTCGGACCTCTGCAGTTCTTCATCCAAAGTAGTGATGGCCACAGACAGTGTGTCGGACAGCACAGAGCGTGGCGTACCACTTTTCTCATTTTCGCGCCAGATTGCCTCGAACTCAAGACGAGCGTTCTCGCAGATGGTCGCTTGCACCTGTTTGACATATGCCTTGTAGAACTCGGGTGCTTCGCCGTCATCGTTTTGGCACATGTTCTCCACGAAGCTCTGATCATCGAAGCTAAGAGACGCCAGGACTTCAAGCGATGAAGAGGTTACTCCACCCTTGTTAGCGGACGCATCCTTGAAGAGAACACAGCCGGCCTCCTCAAGACGCAGTTTAGCATCCTGGGTGATGAAGAGGTTAGCTCCCTCCACTATGTAGGGAATTGTGGTCTTGCCGTCCTTGATGATTTTGGCGACCGACGAAAGATCAATCGACTCGGGACGTCCGCCACAGGGCACGAAGCAGTCTGTGAATCCAGATTCCCTCAGATGGAAGAAGTTGCGGAAGCCAGTGCCACTGCCGACAAACTCTCCGTTTGGCAACGTGACGTTGGTGTCGTCACAGAGGACTCTGTAACCGTCCTTCGACAGCTTGGAGATGTCGAAGTCGGAGATCATGGCACGCTTCTTTGCGAGGCGGTATAGCTCCTCCTTATCGAGACCCTTGGGATCAACGAGTACTCCAGAGCCATCCACAATCGAGGTGTACTTCTCGTTGCTGAGAAGGATCTCGTTGCTTCCTAGATCGCCATCCGGACCGCCGGTCTGCATCTTTCTTACTGTGGAAGGGTCCAGCTTCAACTTGCGGTAGATGCCCTTGACATATTCGCGCACTGACAGGGTCGTCATGCCGTAGGCGTCGTGTGGAATACCACCTAGCTTCGGCGACTTGCCAGTGAAGAAGGATTTCCACCACGGTGCACCACGCTCGCGCGCATGCATGGTGGCCCAGTTGACAAGGTCGGCCGTATTCTCATCTGGACCCAGGAACAGGATCTCTTGCTTGCGGTAGAGGTCTACGATCGGGTTCTTGATACCAGGGGTCTCGGCAGGGAGGAGGAGATCCAAAATACTGTCGATGTACTTCTCGAATGCCTCCCGCGCTCTGTCTTGCTGCTTGGCATCAAGTAGGATCACACCCTTGGAACCGCCTTCGGGAATATCCTTGTTCTTGCGCTGTTGTGTGCTCGCGAGGCCGTAGTTCTCATCAAAGAGGTTCCTAGCGTTGATACCGTAAGCCTCCTTGCTTCGAGACTTGACGATCCGGATACCACCTCGGGCAACGTCCTTGAAGCGCAGATGGAAACCACGTGCCTCTGCGCTGATTACGAGGAACATGCCATACAACCGCTTCGGATACTCATACTCAGGCAGGAAATCCGGGTTGAGGCGGAAGCTCAGAGCCACCTTGGTGGGGGTGAAGTAATTGGTCTTCAATATGGCGTTGTTGAAGATACGGAAAGCCGTCATGACCATTTCCTCATGCTCGTTGGACACTTCTCGGCTGATCTTCTCCTTCAGTCGAGCATCCGACAAGATTTCCGTGGAAGGGGCAGGTGCGATTATGTGCTCGTCAAAGCCAGGTCCAACGGCCAGATGGACGCTAGCAAATGCAGCATACAACGAGCGCACCAATCCCGGGTACGATGATATGATCTCGAGAATGTAGTCCGGAGTGAACGTTTCGGTTCGGAGACGACGCTTGAGCTTGGAGAGGATCTCGGCATGCGCGGAGCCATTGGCACTCAAGGCTTGCGCGATGGAAGTGTACTCGGGGCCCAGACGGTTGAGGAAGTGCTGCACGAAGACCCACACACAGTGGCCGTAGATGGTCTCTTGGAGACTGAGGGCACCGGATGCGAATAGAGGATGGAGCTTGTTCTGGGGTATGCAGTACAGCAGGGAGATTTCCTTGGTGATCTGGTGAATCGACTGTTCGATCGGCAGCATGGGTTTGTGCTCAAGGTTGGTAGCCGGCTTCAGGTATATACTCATGACCGTGATGCCGTTGGCGAATTGCTCGACGTACTTCCTGGAGCTGGTAACCCCATAGTAGTGGTAGAGATCACTCAAGGCGCTGAAGATTCCCCTGGCAGTACGCGACCGGAAAGCGACAACAAGACGTCTCTCCTCAGAACCTTCGATGTCAAAGACCTCGATGACTGGTCCAGTCCTGTGGACAGCCAGCTTGATGATGTCGCCGTATATCTGTTTGGTATTCTTTGTAGCCTTGGTCAGGAACATCCGGTCGCTGATCACCTCGAGACGGGTCTCATCCGGTTCAGGTTTGGAGTCCACAAACTGGCACTGGTAGACGAAATAGCACCTCAGAGAAGCCTTGGACACGTCGTCGCTAGACACCGCCCCAGGAGAGCGGAAGGTCTCGACACGGAATCGTTTGCTGGTGTCGGCGTGATCGAGGTACTTTCCCTCTAGTCTGTTCTCGTATCGCGGACCTCGCAAGTTGGACTGGCCAGGTACGCTTGTGTCAATGTAGATGGCATGATCGGCAGCTTCCATGTCCAGGCGGATTTCCTGGCGCTTGTCTACGCGAGCATGGGCAGCAATTTTGGCTGCGTACATAGAGGTGATATTGGTAGCGATGACCTCGACGTTTTCCAATTGGAAGTAGACATCGTCGATACCAAGATCATTATAGAACCAAGAGATCTGCTCGTCCACGTGCGAGGCAGGAATCCAGTCCTGCTTCAGGATGATGTCCTTGACTGCAGCTGGTTAGCGGAGAGAAAGGATTTAGCTGGAGACATGACCGGCTTACCAGCTTGCTGTTGCTCTAACTTCCCCTTGAATTCAGGCGCAATGTAGCCGACAGTTGCAGATCGCAGGACCCGGTGTCCATTGCCACCCGAGCCGAGCGGTACGGCGAAGTGGGTGGGCTGGGGTGAAGGATGCCGAGACGGCTGCTCGCTCTGAAGCTTATTCAGCTGCTTGTGAGCTGGGCTCGCGACTGTCCCGTTTGACGCCATGGCTTTGGTCTCAAAGACCTGAAAGGGCTCGAGAGGGTCTGAGTACTCGGGAAATCTGTCAAGCGGCAAGTCAGTAGTCTGAAGGGCCAACATCTTGACTACCATGGCAGGAGATGGTTGAGGGGTATGAGATAGAGGTCTATGACCAAGACAGTTGAAGAGTGAGAATCACAGATGACAGGCAAGTAACTAAAGGGAAGGCCCAACATGAAGAGATAGGAGCAGGCATATATAAAAGTTGGGGAACAGTAAGGATGAACCGTGATGGACAGTGTAGAGGTATACAATACGGTGTGCCATTGGTACAAGTCGGGTGTGGGAGGGGCTCTAGTGAATGATATCAAAATACAAGTAGTGATGTGAGCAACTATGGGAATGTTGGCCCCATCAGGGTGATTGTGTACACGGCATTCAGATTGCCAGGGTGTTCCCGATAGGATCCATTAGACGGCCGCATAGGACAGTAGCGCAGCACGGGAAGGGCCAGCTGAGGGCAATGTGGAATGTGAGAAACCCGCGTGTCGTAAGAAACATCAAAGGGGTGGGGGGTGACAAGCAGTGACAAGCAGTGACATGGAGCGACAAGGAGGATCCCTCACCGTTCGAGCTTTAGGGAGGTAGTGCTGGGAGGTGCTTACGGCGGATCTCCTGATAAGGAAATAAGGAAAGCTGGGCAAACAGGCTGAACAATGAAGAGACGTACCGGTGGTCTAGGTGAGGTATGTAAGGGGTAAGATAGATTTCCCCGAGTCTGGTTCACGGGACGGGCAGGTCCACAATTGACTGGATCAACGGAGGTGTAGATCGACAGGCCAATACTCAAGTAACCGGATACCTGTCTACCGCAAGTCTGGAATGTATGGCAGGATAAGCAACTCGGGAAAGCAACTCGGGAGCGGTGGCGAGGCGGTTGGACGATGCACCGGAAAGGCGGAGTGGTGGCCGAGAAGGGGCTTTAAGTTGCGAGTGGAGGGGTCGAGAATCGAGATGGATGCTGGTGACCCAATAAGCTTCAAGGTTTGGAGTTGGTTGCTGCTGGTCGGGGCGTACAGGAGAGGTACCTGTAGATTTAGGACGAGGGGAGTTTATATTGCAGAAGACGCAGTGGATCGACGCGTGCAGATGTGTATGAGTCGAATCCTAAAGGTCTCAACTATGTGGTGCCAATTCGTGCTGTTGTGCTGTCCCGCTAAGCCTCACGAGACTTCCAGGTTGGGTGGAGGGGGGGCGAAGGAGTGGACAGCTATCTGTCAGCTTCTGAGTCCTGACCTCGCAAGGAATAAGCAACTTGACAAGTGATACACACAGCCCCGTGCGTGTGTGCTGAGACAGTAGAGGCTCAAAAAGAGATGCAATGTTGATCTTCAGACAGCCCGGTGGACAACTAAAAGTAATTAGGCACGGGGTCCAAGGAGTCGGGTAGGCGAGGCCGAGGATCTACCACGTAGTAAAAGATAAGGTAAGGTAAGGTAAGGGGATGATGTGGAAGCGGGAGAGCCGAAAATAGATGCTGCCTACGTCCTCGAGTCCACGACAGGAGGTATAGGTAATTAGTTAATGTACCAGGGGAAGGAGACACTAATTGTGAATGCCGATGTTGATATTCGATGCCGATGACGACCAAGAAGTCGGAAGAAGCGGCCGCCTCGCTACATATATATATACCTTGTACCGGGCACAGTATGCAGCGTCAATTGAGACGATGCATCCCATCGTCAGAGCTACAGTACCTCTGTACCTAGACTCAGCAGACCTAGGTCCTAGGTACGGTGTTGCACCATCGACAGCTATCTACATTAGGTAGGAACAGAGGCCAAACAACCCTGCTGGCCCTGCTGGGGAGTTATTGATGGAGCTTTCTGGTCGTAAAATCCAGCACGTTCGACACACGGACAGAGTCTTCCACGACGGTGTACAAGACAGGCATAGTGCTGCGGCTACAGCTGGAACGGGTGGTGGGCGGTGCTGCAATTGGCCCAGCGGGACGGTACCTGAAATACCTGAAAATCTATGACATCCAATTGGGGGTGGTTTTCACCTCGGGTGACATTGAAGGTGAGAAGTCTTCTTCTTCTCGTCGGGTATCGTATGTGCATTATGCACATGGGCATGTATGTACCTATAACAGGAGGATCATGGCGGCATGGGTGAATCCAGCGACAATACTACTGCCTGGAAGTCTGAACGGAGAACACAGTCCAACCTGCCATCACATGCTGTTGTTTTGGAAGTTGGAAGTTGGCAGTTGGAACTGCATGTGGGCATTTATTATTAGTGGATCACCGCATCTCAATGATTAATCGTGATACTGTACTTAGTACATAGTACATAGTACATCGATGCAGCTCCATTGATTGGCTGTTGCTTTCACAATTAATTGACCTATTGGAGTACATGTATCTATGGCGGTTATTTAAGGCAATTGCAATTGTGAGCAGTTGCGCAATCCATATCCACGATTACCTTTACAGATGCTCGAAGACATCGTTCACTTCCTGCTTTTCGACCTCTCAACAAGGGATCTGCCGCACTGAGCAGTGAGGTGTGTGTCACTTGTGACTTTACCAGGTTGTTCCTCCGTCCTGCTCGTTTCTTATCTTGGTTCTTCAGGTCTGAGGGAGACGTCATCCCGGCTCCTGATGGAACACCGCCAGACGCCCCAAGATAACAGACCTTGACGGACGGCTCGTTGTCGGGCTCGTGCATCGACACTTGGGACTCCCAGGTGACCGCGATTCCCTTACCGCCTCTCCAATGTCCATCCTCCTCGCCCTGGCCCCTGGGATCATAGATACGAGACAGGCCAATGCGACCCGTGACTATCTCGGCACGTGAACCGGCCAGGGGTGGGAAACAGTGAAACACAACAAGCCAGCCAACCACCAAGAGACGGGTTGACGGGTTCACGATGGTCCAGGGAGTTGCAAAACTTGACATATTGTGACGGCACGGAGATGCAGAATGACGGCTACAGATTCCTGGTCCGGCATAGTGAGGCGTCTCAGGGCGTGGCCCGGCTACAATTTGACTGGCGGGTGACTGGCCACTGGGTCCATTGCCCCGCGATCCTAGAGACGTCTTCTCGTCGCCGGACCTTCCTCTAGGTTTGTGGGCTCGTCGGCGCCCAGACTCCGCTACATTGACTAAGACTTATGCAGCTTGTATAAGTTTCCTTACCCCTTTTCTGGTTTCTATTACCCCCAGATTACTCGATCGCGGCGTATATTTGCTCTGTTGTCCCCAATCAAGCCGCAACGAGGTCAGCCGGATGGACGCCAGGCGATCTGAGCCCATCTCGTGATATGTTGTTCTATTATGCCATCTGATGTTGCAGCTCTTGGCTTCCCCGGGTCCCCAACGACTCCCCCAGGTTCCGAGTTCTCATTACATACTCGGTGACTCCACGATACTTTCAGATACTTTCATCTAGTCGCCCGACTTTATGGCGACATATTCGCCGATGACAACGCCACGACGGCCGGCAAATACTTCAGTCCATGATGAATTGGAGACTTATTGCGGAAGCTTACGCAAAATTCTCATCATGTTTGGTGACACCGCAGCATCAATCCCTCGCCAGTGACCGACGTCCAGAATAGGGACTTGATACACGGTCCTCAGCATCGTCGAAAAGCAGATGCCGATATGTTCAAGTGCCGCCCGTCCTGGTCATTCGTCGTACTTCTTACGACGTGATGTTGATGATGAAGTAGATTAGTCTGCACTTCCTTCTCTACAAAGTTACGGGCAGCGGAGGCGGATATCGGCTCGGGAAGAACCATCGGTTTAGCTGGCCCTGCCCAGCACTCTATTTTTACATCGCCGCCCTATCCAGCCCAGCTAGGTCAGCCCGGAAACCTCCAGGCTGTGGCTGTTACGCCTTGATCAATGCTCCGTGATTACGGTGGATACTTGTAGGCGCCGTGGAGCGAGCGAGCTAGGAGGCGATAAGCACAGCCACTCTGGTGGAAGTTAACCTGGCCACAATCATCAACATGTAGACGAGGAAAAGAAGCAGAGAAAAATAAAAAGTGTTACGTCCCAGCCCCCAGAATCGAACCCTCACCCTGTAAAATTGTGGGGGCTTATCCCAATACGACGATTTGGCTCAGCCACGTGGATTGTGGCTGACTGGGAGACGCGCCACACCAAAGCCACAATGACACGAACCACCAAATTCAATACGGCCACCACCTAGAACGCTTTGGAACGAATCTCTCACAATGCAAGCTGTCTCTCTCCATGCAGCAACCACCAAAACAACTTTCTCCATGTCGTCCCACCGCTTGATTGTGAAAACTCTACTACCCGTGACCCCATTCTCGTATGGCATCGAAGGCCACTTTTGATTTGTGGGGATGCCGAGAGATCCGCTCGCATCTTGGGGCTCCAAAATACCACATGGCAACATTGACGATGTTGAAACTGATGACAGCTAATAAGAACCGTCCACTTCTGCCGGATGTGCGCATGTTGCAACCGGATGAGCTGGTTAGCCGTTGTGGAAGGCCACGCACGCAGTTGCATGCATATGTATGTCATATGAGCAGGACATCAACGGACCGCATATATACCACCTCGCCGTGATGTTCTCTCCGTCTGCCTCGGAAGAAGTGCAGACTTGTGGGATCCCGTCCTTGCACTGCAGAGGCGATCCTCTACATTATGTCCGACATGGATACACAGGCAATCTATGCCGATCGTCTTGGGAAAGCTTGACAAAAAGCTTGACACAGAACGGTAGCACATTGCGAGTTTGCAGGTAGGCTTGCTCCGAATACTTGCCTAGCACAGCACCGGGTCCTACCTCAACAGCAGACCAACGGTGTAACAGTGTAACAGTTGCTTGAGATGTCACCCTCGTGATTGTCGATATATGATCGATGAGGTGTTGACATGGAACATCAAGACGATGTTTCGGTCCCGTTGAGCCCCACCTGCACCTCGCGAATTCGAAGCAATTGAGTGGGTGGAGCAGCAGATCGCGGGCGACGCGGGCGACGCGGGCTATGGCGGGGTTCCAACTTTGTCTGAAGCTCCAACTCACTCAGAGCTCTGGAAAGTTGAAACCCGTCCTTCCCCTTTCTCCAACGACACTATCCACCTTTCTTCAACGATACCATCCACCTTACTAAATCCAGTTTGTCTGGTATGAGCTCGTGTGTTAGTGGGCGTCATTCGTGTCATCCGTGTCGTTCTACAAGGTGACCAGGTAGCTAGGGTCACGAAGGTCACGAAGGTCACCATCCATCCTATCAATGAGTTCCCCGTTTGACCCGTCTCGCCACTCGAGCCTCCGTGCTCAGGCTGAAGTCCTTGATGGAGAGGACAGCCTCCGCCACCTGAGGGACGAGTTCCACATCCCCTCCAAAGCTGATATCAAGAGGCAGACGCTCGGACAAGAAGGTGAGAGCTGCCTCTTCCGGCCTGCATCACAATAAGGGACATGTTAACGAACTTCCGTAGATCGTAGCAATGCTAGCCACACCGATGAAACGGCAACATGCACCTACCTGTGCGGGAACTCCCTAGGTCTGCAACCCAAAAGAACGGCAACTCGCATCCAGCAATACCTCGGGACGTGGGCGACGCAGGGAGTTCAAGGGCACTTCAAGCCGCTCAAAGATTCTCCGTTGCCCACATGGCTTGATGCCGACGCGCGAGCTGCCAAATTGATGGCTCCCATCGTCGGCGCCGACGAATCGGAAGTGGCAGTTATGCAGACCCTGACGGCGAACCTGCATCTACTGATGTCAGCGTTCTATCATCCCGATCCGAACGGCCGACACAAGGTCATTCTCGAGCGCACGGCTTTCCCCAGCGATCATGTAAGCAGCATGCGCCCTGTGACAACTCAGATGGTGCATCGGCTGAGTTGATGTCGTAGTTTGCTGTGTTGAGCCAGATCCGACACCACGGGCTTTCTCCCGAGACTTCCATGGTGACGATAGAGTCGCCCTTTGCGGAAGATCCCGTCATCAGTACCTATGACATACAGTCGCTCATCTCAAAGCATGCCGCAGATACGGCACTCATCCTGCTGCCGGGTATCCAGTATTACACAGGTCAGCTATTTGACATCCCTACGATCACAGCATACGCCCACAAGCACGGCATCTTCATCATATGGGATCTGGCTCACGCCGTTGGCAACGTGCCCCTTTCCCTGCATGACTGGGACGTAGATGCTGCCGTCTGGTGCACCTACAAATACCTCAACGGCGGCCCGGGCTGCATAGGAGGCGCGTTCGTCAACTCACGAAATAGCCTGGTGACGACCACACTCACAGATGAACAGCCCGAGCGCGGCTACGGGAACCGCCTCTCAGGCTGGTGGGGGAACGACAAGGGCACGCGTTTCGCAATGGAGACCAGGTTCCATCCCGTAAAAGGCGCTGCGGGTTTCCAACTCAGCAATCCCAGCATCCTTGATATCACAAGTGTCAGCGCCTCGCTGGAGGTCTTCGAGCTCGCCGGGGGCATGGTACCAATACGGGAGAAGTCTAAGAAGATCACCGCTTTTCTGGAGCACTGCCTCTCCACCATGTCGGAGGAGGCCAAGAAGCTGTTCAGGACCATCACGCCGTCCGATCCGGAGCAGCGCGGCGCCCAGCTCAGTCTCATGTTGGCGGATGGCCTGCTGCACCCTACGCGGAAGGCGTTCGAGGACCATGGTATTGTTGTCGATGAGCGGAAGCCCAATGTGATACGGGTCGCTCCTGCGCCGCTGTACAATAGCTTTCAGGACTGCGTGGCGTTTGTCGAGGGGTTCGAGCAGGCGTTGCTGGCTGCTCGGAAGTCTGTGTGATCTTGGCCTGACTGAACGGTGCCATGGGATTGAATGAACTTGAGGTTATTCAGCGCTTTCGGAAGCTAGGTAGATGGCCAGTGGTCGAATAAGATGGATCAGTGCCAAGATAATTTGAAATTATAACGCTGTAGCGAGTATCATGATCTCTCAAAGAAAACGAAGAGTTTCCCTTTCGACTTGATCTCGTACCCTACCTGAGCTGAGTGCGCTTTTGAAAATTCCCAAGTAAATAGCCTTCAAAGCCAGCGAGGCTCACCGGAAAAAGTGATCTGGTCTAAGGGGATTACCTTGCTACTTATATTCGAAGGGTATAGCCTCTCGACCAATATCACGGAGCATGGATCGATGCCCTTGATATTCACCCCACATGTATTTGCGAATCTACCCCTTATCTAGCTGCCGTGAGCTCAGTCCGAGTTTATTTGGAGCGTGTAGGGCCTTCCCCGTCCGAGAACTAAGGGGCTCGCATTATGATAGAAGCTTCTTACTGGTTTAACAAGTCCTGGGTATGATCAACCCTCGTGACTCTGGATTATGACGGGCACGCTGCAAGCGGGCGTCACTGCTGTGTTCTATAAGGTGTTGAGAGGGATAGGTAGTGTCCATCGGACTTGTGAGTGGAGGACTGCTTATCGAATCATCTATAAGCCTGGAGCTAGGCACTAGAATATACCCAAGACCTTGTGGTCTTGTCGCTCAAACTGGTCCTGCAAGGGGTATTCCTAAGGCTGGTATCGAGCTTGATGTTCCCAGCCCAGGAGGTAGCAGCAACATATCAGACGGTTTTTTCATACTTATTAAGGCGCCCAGGCTATAGCTGCTAGCTACCCCTTTCATGGTATTTTCAACGGCTAGACTAGTTCTTGTCGTCCTCTGACATGTCGTGCTGGACAGGCATATCTAGAACACGCCAAGGGTCAACTACTACCGTTAGCAACCTGTTCACAGCTTCTGAAGTCTCTGGGGTTCATCTTATGGACTCAGTACTATACTTGAATAAGGTATACATAACTCAATGAGCGATATGACTGCACAGCCGTGTCACGAAGGGTCCCGATCTGCTGCAAGGGGAGGTGGAGATTCAGATTCAGGTGACTGGAACTGCCGGCGACAATGCAACTAAGATCTTGGCGTCGCTCGCTTATCGCGTGGAATGGTTCCAGAACACCTCTGGATGTGGCTGATGCTGTGGCGTGCCAAGGGGCCAAGCCAATCAAAGCAAGGAATTCTTCCTCCAGATTGTGGCGGTGTAGATGAGGTATGTGAGCTATGACGTCACTGGTACTCCCGTGAGACGTGCCAGTCCAGCCATTAGGTAGCCATCGACATGTGCCCAGGTGGTGCGAATAGGCGACTTCCAAGGCTATTTGTTGCTACAATCACTTGGCCAACACAATCCATTTAAAGTACGAGAGAACGGGCCTGACCTACACTCCCACAACATCTTTTCCGAGCACCTACGACAGACTGCGATCCAGAACAAACATCTCCATTTGCAGCATCAGGAACATCGTGAGTACCCGCTGCTGCTCTTGCTACTGCGCTGCAGGCTGCAGGCTGCAGGTTTAGTTGACAGGCGACAACGAACTGACCTCTGCATTTCCAAACAACAGTCCGTCGCAAGCAGACGTACCTCCAGACCACATCTTCCCAAACCCAAACAAGAGCAAGCAACGATGCCTTTCTTCTGGTCCAAGGTACGTGTGCCCAGCTGCAGTTCTCTCCGCGACAGGCCTTTGTCCTTCTTTTCGCTACAGTCCCGAAATTGAGCCTCGGATCGGGAACAACATGCTAACGTCTACGCGCAGAATTTCGGCGGCAGACATTTCGGTACCAGTGTTAACGCCAACCGCCAAGGCGTGCACAGGGGACCGTGGCGATTCAGCTTCGGCAAGTTCAACTGCTTCAAGGCGTAGATTTGCTTTGTCGTATGGCGATGGAGGGGTGTGCGATGGTCGACTTGCCGGCTATGCACAGTACCATTCCCACCTCGCAACACGACAAAGCCCACGACATGAATGACTCCTTGCCTGGCCAGGATCACAAGGGACAGGCAGTTCTGGATGGATGGATGTGGATAGGCGTATGGGCGAATGGCGACGGAGACACGCACTTACGAAGACACGATGATATACCTGCCCTCCGAGCGCCCGTTGCTGGCTAGGATGTTGGCACAACCAGTGGAGGGATGGATAGACAGTTGGTCGTCAGGAACCCGATTCACGACAGCATGAGATCTTTCCCGTTTGGTTTGCATTGCGTTTGCATTGAGACAGCAGGCTTGCGGTTCTGGAATGCTTTCGGTTGATTAAATCGAGATTTCTTCTCCCCAACACACTTCACATTGCACATTTGAAATGGTGACTTGATCTGAGAGCCGATCCATTGCCTAGACGAGCCCATTCCTCTTGTCGATGATCAATGTACTCGCCAAACCCTCGACATCCTTTACTGCAACATTCTCTTCTACTATATTTGTCTGTCCAGGCCCCACGAGATTTGAACAAGCTTAGCATTGGAGTTTCTACATCATTGAGCAATCTAATCAGAGCTCGGCCGCGAGATATTCGGGCCAGAGATGTATCTCTGTGAGGGCACAATTTCACTGCACAATTTCTAAGGTGGGTTTTGATACTCACTGCATACATGTAATCCCTAAAGCGGTATGACTCGGGGGCTCAGACCTAAACATATATTCAGTCCACACTCCCAAAGCCTGACCACACTAGGAGGAAGATCAAGACCTCTTTGACTGTTTACTAGCCAGCTACTCTATTGGTAAGGGCATCTTATGATACGTCCCTTGGACGGCGCGAAGTAAGATCTCATAGAAGCGGCCATGGTAAGGTAACCCACCCAAACTGGCATCGAACAGAACGGTACTAACCCACCAACAGTGCTTCGTTGGGGTCAATTCCCACAGGTCCTCCGGGTGCCCCTTGTTTTGCATCGGAGATAGGATTATGGTGGAAGCCACCTTCCCTTGAGCATATCGTGGACAGTGGTAACAGCGCCCCCTTGGGCGTCAATGCACCAGGTCAGGGAGGTCCTTCTGCATCGGAGATAGGTGTATGGTGGAAGCTTCAAGCCACCTTCCCTCGAGCGTATCGTGGACAGTGGTAACAGCGCTCCCTTGGGGGCCAATGCCCCAGGTTATGCGGGTCCTTCTGGATCGGAGATAGGGAAATGTGGAAGTAACCTTTCGTTGAGCGTGGCGTCGACACTGGTAACTTACCTCACCTTCAAACCATGTTGGTCCCAATGAGTCAACCAATGCAGTGGCATTGCCTCCCATCATGGTAGTTGCCCATGTACGACGATAGGAGACTGGAAAGGCCAGCAGAGCGGAGGGTCATGTTGACAGTTGCTCTCGAGGTGCAGGAACTCGATGCCTCCTGACCCCTTGCAGGTCGAAGGCAATACTCACATGTGAGCGAGCATCGTGTAAACAGCCACGAACACCGGGCTGAGCAAGATACAGAGTTTCAACATAGTTATAGAGTTTGATGTGAACAGCTTACCCGAATAAAGACACTCTTTTGGAGCAACCCTTTACTGCAATCGGAAAATTCCCCAATCCTTCTATTTAAAAGTCTGCAACCCGACACTGCTGCAGACTTCTCTCCTTCCCTTCTAAACATCCGCCCCCATTACTCATTCTACCACGATACACCACTTCAACCACCATCCATACCACTACCACTCTATCACCATCCATACCACTGCCACTCTATAACCATCCATACTACTGCCACTTTATCACCATCCACTGCCACTCTATCACCATCCATACCACTCTCACCATCCCCACCCCTACCACCACTACCACAACTGCACTTCGCTGCACGTCCACACTAGACAATACTCACCTTTGTTTCACTCAACAACTGGCCGAGGGTATCAAAACCACTATCCGACACAATAGAACCTCGAGGTCCTATTCACCGGGTTCCGCATCGGAACCAGCCACGCACACAAGATCAGTCAGTGCCCTCAAGGCAAGCCAACGTCCTCGAGCTCCATGAGCATCCCTTCGTGATGGTAGGACAAGCGGCCACACACTGTATGTACATTTTCGAGTCTCTGATTGCCCCATATGGCCATGTCCTGGGCGCGAATTTCCTCTTCTAGCCTGTGTCAAGAGCCTTGCTCCCGAGACAGACACGCATTATGACTCCCTTTTTCTTGGCACAACATCTGAAAGGAGTAATGACTGACTGGCTCTATTTTGCTACCAGGGATGGGCTGCAACGACTGGCTGGGCAACAAAATCGACCTACTCATCCGGACGAACGATATCCACCGCATCACGGACAGCCTGCTCCAGCTTACATCGTGGTCGACGATGGGGGGCAAGGAGAAGAGAGACGCCGATGTGCTCCTGGTACGGGAACATCCAGACTGCGCATGTTTCGCATGTTTCCACATCCTGCGCCTCTGGACCGAAGACAGCTACCACCTGTACATCGACAACGAACGGATGGTTCAGGTATACGCAGAGACCTTCATCCAAAAACCGGAATACCGCAATAGCTGGAGAACCTATCTGGCAACCCAATCGGCAGCCGAATCGACCATTCACCAACCGAACGCAATGCCCAGTGTCCTCGAGCTCTTCGTCACTCTTCTGCCGGATCTCCTGACCGCATGTGTACACCATCAGGTCTTCTCGGACAAACAGAAGCCAAACTCGAGGACGACACTTTCAACATTGCCATGTCGTTGATCGAGTTCAACCAACTGTACGAGGTCAACGACGTCAAGACACTATTGCACTCGACCAGCCATCCTGTGCTGTCGCGCCTAACGACGACGCTGGAGACAGCAAAAGACACCGAATCGGAAGAAGAACGAAGCTCGTCGCCGGATGGGGCTATCAACAAGGGCACGAAGCGCCCACGCCAAGCTCAAGAAGAGTCATCACCGGGTGACATCGCCAACAAGGTCAGGAAGACGGCACCGGCTTCGGTGAAGGATCAAGGTACGCGCAAGCCCAAGCCAGCGCCGATAGCACTACTGACGATGAGACCAGCCAATAGCGATAACCCGGGGCCGCTACCAGCCAACAAAGACAAGACGTGACAATTCGACATATGGTCTGAAGCTCGTGTCGAACTTGCAGACCCAACCCTCAAAGTATTGTAAGCGGTTTTGGAACAAGAATTATGTGCCCTGTGGGCGCTGACGGGAGCCTGTCCTGTCTTATACCACCACCACCACGAGCAACGGCTGAAGCGATTTTGCTCTTCCAGAGACTCATCAAGGTCAACCGCTGTTCCACCGAGTGCAGCAGTCGAACATGCTGGAGAAAGCGAGTTGTGTTTGAAGAGGAGCGAGGAAGGAAAACGTTCAATGTGGGCCAGTGACTGGACTAGCGAGGGAGCTGTATTGTGATGGTTTTTTCCCACTGGGTTTCCCATCCTTCAGCATAAAATGCTGCCAAATGCTACATGCCTCCCACTGTAATGAAAGAAGAACATTGTTAGGCGTTGGTTTAGGTTAGTTCTGGCATGGAATCGAAATGGAAAGAGGACCTAGATAGGATATCGTCCACCGAGGATGGCCCTCACAGACAGACAGACAGACAGACTGCTGAGGTGCTCGAAAGCCAAATGACATAGGGCATGAGCGTAACAAAACACTAATAATGCTATTCGCTCCCAAAACATCACGGACTTTGTGTGATCAGCTTTCGTGATGTGATGGCGTGAGTTCAACTCCCCGGACCCCGGGCCAGCTGTGACGGGAGTGAAGTCGCAAAAAGATGGATGTTGTTCGAGTCGGCGCCGATCGGGAGCCTCATCAACCCGACAGCGGTTACGGCGATCCAAGCGCGCTAACAGGCAGACAGGGCGTAGGGGTCCTTCAGCGGCCACCCCGCACTATCGCATCCGTCGTCCCAACTCTTGTAGATTGATAAGAAACTCCATCACCAAAACATTTTCTCCGTGACGCGCCGAGACCAAAAGATCGTGAACTTTTGTAACGACACCGACTTCCCTCGAGTACATTCTTCCTTTTCCTTGCTACAATCGTAAACATGTGGTAAGTTCGAGCCTAAGTCTAGTATCTCATTGCTGTTTCCAGTAACCCAGCTGACACCAACCTCAAAGCAAGCACATCCTCAACGCCCAGGTGGCGATCCGGTCACCATGCTGTACGTCCGCCCACGCTCCAACCCCACGATCCAGATTCCCAGAATACATATATACAAAAGACGCACCCGACCAACACAAGCGCCCGCGCCTGCCCCAACTCCAAAACCCCACGATCCGAGCAGCAAAACTTCCTTTCGCCCAACAACAAGCCAGCCTCCCTACCTCCCTCCCTCCCACCCACCAACTAACCTCCCTCCCACCACCACAGGCAAAAAATGGTTCGACTGCGCCGAATGCCACCACGAGCAGGAAAAGCACCCCCTACAAGAGTCCCTCGAGATGACGTTCGCGTGCAAGAAGTGCCGCAAGTGCTTCCGCAAGGACGCGCAGGAGTTCGAGGAGGCCGACGAGTACTGCCCGCACTGCGACAACCACTTCGTCTTAGAAGCCGTGACGCCCAAGCCGTCGCTGCGCGTCGAGGGCGAGGACGCGCGCGTCGACAACCGCATGCTGCGCGACGAGCGCGTGGCCCCCACCAAGAAGGGGGGTGCGGGGGGCGGCGGCGAGGGCCCTTTTGCGGGGCGGACGATTTTTGATGTTCAGGCTGAGGCGGATAAGTTGGGTTGAGGGGGGCTGAGGATGGGCTGGGAAAACGACGATAGGTATATGGGAGGAACAGAGGTCTCGCGTGGTGTGTGTGTGTGCGATGCTCGGGATGGACACACACCCTACATGACCGACAGCCAGGCCAGACGGGACATGACATGACAGGACAAGCCGCGAACATCACGAGAGAACAAATGTCGGGCCATGTCATCGACGATGTGGCATTTCAAGCTTAATGGCAGTCACCAGTAGAGTACGGAGAGACTCCTGGCCATGACCTGTTGAGCATCCGCGTACTTTAGCACACCGATTTTGGTCCGCCGCCTTATGTGGTACGATGGGCGTGATAGGACAAGATGGGGAAGCATGGGTCGGGTTGCAGAGCGCTGAAATTCATATGATACCACACTTTTAGACATCAGGAGACCCCAAAAGAACAAAACGGCTACCAAGAAAAGGACCGGAGATCAATGCACGCATTTATCTGCTTCTAGTGTGATATCTAGGTGGTCAATCCGTCAACAGAACATTTGGGATAATCACCATACCTCAGCGATGATCCCAAGCGCAATTCGTGGAATCATCACCGCATCCCTGACTATCCCACTGCAAATCATATTGTACAAGATACCGCGGGCGACGCTTCATGACCCGCGCTCTATCTGCTCAATGACTCTCTCTGGGTCTGAGCGGCAAAGTCGTGCTGGATGGCCCGGACAGCCCGGACTCCTAGTCACTGCCGCCCTCTCGCTCCTTGGGCAAGAGGGCCGCACTACCGGTTCCAGGTGTTCGCCCGGTCTTCTTCTTGGCCGCCTCCTCCTGTTTCTCCTGCTCGATGTTCTTCACGTAGCCCTCGATGTCCTCGACCGGCAGCATCTCGATGGTCTTGCCGGGCGCCATGATGGCGATCTCGATGTTCTTCGCGCCCGTCTGCACCACCTCCAGCAGCGACTTTATGGCCAGCCGGATGGTCGCCTCGCGGTCCATGTCCTCCTTGTAGTTCCGCTCCAGGAACTCCCGGACCGTCTTGCTCGAGCGTCCGATGGCGTTTGCTTTCCTGACCTGGTGTTAGCCGCGTGTGTCCCCGTAGTCAACCCCGGAGACAATGGTGTCCTCCGGCGTATAGAGCGTACCATGCGGAGTAGATGCCACTGGGCTCGGTCTGGTAGAGTCTCGGTACGGTGGTGTTCTTGTCAAACCCAACGACCATGGTGCTGATGCCAAACGGCCGCACACCACCGCTCTGCGTATACCGTTGTTGCACACCGGCGATGTACTTTGTGATATACTCGACCGTGACGGGGTCCTCGACGGTCAGACGGTGCGACTGCGCCTCCATGCGCGCCTTGTCGATCAGGATGCGGGCGTCGGCGTTCAGGCCGGCGAACGCGAGGCATACGTGGGTGTCGACGAGACCGATCTTCGAGGGGGTGATGCGTGTGTCTTGCAGCTTCATCGCCGATCGCTTCTCGCATCCCAGGACGACGATATCGCTGCCCTTTACGCCGACGGCGCAGGTTCCTGGCACAGCATTAGATGGATGGTTCGGAGGGTTGGACGGCGAGTGGTGGGCTGGTACCTCTCTTGACGGCTTCACCGGCATATTCGACTTGGAAAACGTGTCCATCGGGACTATTGATTGTTAGGAAGATGTTATACCCGAGATGCTTGCGCTTGACACGAACCTGAACACTGTAAGCGGGAAGGGTTAGCTAAGCTGCCAGTCAACTTGGATATAGCGTGAGAAACATACCGGAGAGCGCTCTGTCGTATCCTGACGCCATGGTTGGAATATGCTACGGGGAATGGAGGGTCGGTTTAGTGGGTGGTGTCGTGAAGAAGGTTGTTCGTTGATAGCTGAAGCTGAGGACGTCTTGATCTCAATTACGAGGTGCAGGCGGTTCACAAGGCTGCCAAAGTTACGAAGCTCCCAAACAGCAGCCACGCTAGGAGCTCCAGCCATGTCGAGCATGAAGCTCTGGGACTGGGCGGACCCGCTGAAAGCTTCAGCCACATTGTGCACACAAACGCCACACACGCCACAGTTGTTAAATAAGGGGGGTTTGCACCAGACCCGTTCGACAACTCGCCACGACTGTATCATATTTTGGAACGGTAGGATATGAACTAGTGTTCTGAACGGTGTATCATGATTGCGATGTCTTTTGTGGAATGTGGCTTAAGTTGTTGAATTGCTGGGGTGTTGTTTGCAAAGTCTTCCAATGTTTCTAAAGCTGCGGTGTACGATTAAAAGGGAAGACACGATCCTTGCGTGTGAAGGACGGAGCGGGGGTAGTCTGATGATTCGGGTCTCAAAGAGGATAGGAAGTGTGAAACCACAATTCGCTTTGGCCTGTGTTACCAATAACTTGATAGCAACATAGCATTATTCTCCTCGTTGTTTTCTTGCTACCAACAGGGTCTCGCCGGATTCCATGCCAGGCTCTAGTCAAGCAAGAGACTTAGGTTCCAACTCAGCTTCGTTGGTATCAGGCCACGCACCATTAAGAATGCCTTGTCAACTCTAGCCAGGTCTCTGCTAATGAGCAGCAAGAGGGCAGAGTAGTTGATATGAATCACGTAAAAGCCACGTTCGAGTGCATTTGAAGATCGGTATACTCCTCGGAAGTTATTGTATCAAGCTCAAGAGGATATGTATTCCGAGGGACCCCCTTTTCATGATCCTGGGAACCGAGTTCCTCTTAAGGTAGATGTGTCATGCTCAAACAACACTCCAACTCGATGCAAATCTCTCGACTTTTGGTTTAAGAAATTCCCAAGCTTTTATACGTATGCCTACACGCAATCTACTTGTACACAGTACCGTCTATACGCGAAGTTCTACTCCCAAGACCATACCACGTACCAACCCAGCAAGAGACCCTCTACGTCCAGCGTTGTCTCTCCACCCCCTCCTCTCACCCAAACCGCCCAACCTCGTTCCATCGTTTGTCCCTCAACCAAGCATCCATCTCCCGGCCCCTCGCCTCCAACCTCCCCCTAAATCCAGCACACCACAGCCGCTCCATCTCGCCGTCGCCAAACCGCCTCAGCCCATTATAAAAGTTACCGATGACCCACAGCGGCGCGGCCAGGAGGTCCGGCTGCCCCGTCGTGCCTAGCGCGTAGTCAAGGCCGCGACACACGTTGGCGGCGAGCGCCCGCGTCTGCGGGAGTTGGTACTTGCGCGGGTCGATGCCAGATGGCAGGTCCGGTGCTGAAGAAGAAGAAGAGCCCTCTTCGGCGCCGGGCTCGAAGATGACTTCGAGGAGGGCGTAGATGCACTGGTGGAAGCCGATGAGGACCGCCCACTTGTAGATGTGCACGAGACACATCAGGGGCGAGGCGAAGTGCAAGACATCGGCGAACGGTGCGTGGGAGGGAGCATTAGTCATGGAGTCCGCTACCCAGTACAACGAGCCCTGGCCCGAGGACTCGGCTTTTTGTTGCACCACGCTGTACCAGATTTCGCATTGCGCCTCGATGTTGACGCAGTTAGCGAGGAGGTCCTTCGCTCTCAGCCGGCGGGATGGACTCGGCTCTAGTGACGTTATGCGGTCTGCTACTGAGTAGATCGATGGTAACAATACGACTATGTCGAGGAGATCGTCGAGGGGTGTCCGGGGATGGCGTTCCCATGGCACGACCGTCCACTCGGGGTTGCATAGGAAGGTGGGCTGACGGTTGAGCAATGCTGCCCAAATCTAACATCTCACTTAGTGACAGTTCAATGATTGGGCGTGTGTACTCACAGCGCTAGGCCGATAGACCCGGGCAAAGAAATGGTGGGCTGGTAAGTCCTGATAGGCTGCTGGACCTGGTTCACGAATCGCATCTGCCAGCCCGTCTGGGCTTTTCCCCGCCGGCTCGTTGCTGTAAATAGAGGAAGAATTGTGCTGCCATGATCATCAGTGATGAGCGATATAGCGTGGTGCTTTCATCTTACCTCGTACAGGAACAGGAACAGGCCCTCGTCTGAAGTGCTTCCTGCATTATCACTGCCCCGGGGGAGTCTCATCAAGCAATGCGATTTCAAGTTAAAGTCCTCTTGGCCAAAAGTCGGAGTCACATCGAGTGGTCGAGAACCTGTCAGCGACAGGGCCACTTCGCTTTGTTGTGACGCCGAGCTGTTGCTCTGGAAGGCATCTTCGAGGGTGGTATGACGAGCCACTATTCTGATCCAATGAGTCCCAGCAGCAGAGTCCAAAAGGAGAGTGTCGTTCCACGCAGGTTGTCGAGGCTCGGCGGCAGTGAGTTCCAACGTCTCTATCATTTGTGGTTCTTCTTCTTCAGTCTGGTCTCCCCTAGACGCTTGGGCATTGCGCGGTGGGTGGGAGGCGCATCTGCCTTTATCGTCCGGCGTGCCCACAATGAAGACGGTCTCTCGTTCGTATCCGCCACATTCGCGGCCATAATCTGTGCACCTCTTGCAGAACGGGCGAGTGTTGTCACATTTGACTCTTCGGGACCTGCATGTGTTACAGCCTATTGCGGACGTATAGTCGGTTAGAGATAGGTCGGCCGTGCAGGTCATGGCTTTTCGGGCACAGGCTTACCTTTGTACTTCCCGGGCACGCCAACCATCTTGCAATATGTACCCTGAACATCCTGTCAGTGGTAAGACTACGGCTGGTTACATGATCAACATACCAATGTGAAGGAACAGTTCCATCAGTATGGGTCTGCCACTCGATCGATGTTTCACCCTCGGGGCCTGTTTCGGGCGGCGTGTATGTCTTGGAAGGGCAACTCAGAGGCAACGTCGGGTATGATCCAGCCCAATATGTCGGGTACGCTTGCAAGGATGGTTGAGACATCTCGAGACGAGCCGCACTCCATATATCTACCTCCCGGAGCTTGACCTCAAACATTGGGGTTTAGCATCACGAAAATCCGGACACATATGGAGCTGAGCAGAGGATTCCAATACGAGAAGATCAGCTATAGTAAAGCTGAGGCCTTTCACGAGAGCAGCACCGTTCAATGCCCTGCAAGAGCTTCCATACCGGAGGCACGAAGTGATCCTGCCAAGAGTGTCCTGGGTATTTGGCCGACATACCAGGGAGGCACACGAGAAAGTTGTAACCCGGTCCTGTTCGAAGTGCCATGGGCAGTCTGCACCTGGTCAGCGGGCCTGCAGAGCTCACGCGAATCACGGAGCGAATCACGTCTAGCGCCCCTGGAACCAACTCCCGGCGTTCGCAACCGGCACCACATGGGACGAAGGCGATGCGTCCCGGCCGGTAGGGCTGCATGGCATGACATAGGTGGGTGGGTTCCTGCTGCTGGCAGAGGCGTGGGGCTGGGTTTCTATACCGAGGCTTGATTCGACATTGTCGTTCGTGAGGTGTAATTGGCGTTTCGTATTGCGATGGACGAGGCCACGATACGAAAGAGCAGCTGGAGGAGTCTGGAGCGCCCGCCAGGCACGGCTAGCGTCAGCTTCGGACTGCCGCCAACTTGCCAAGTGCCCCGGTCGACGATGGTCACATCGGGTTGTTGGCGCGCCGGGTTGTCGCCGCCCGTAATCGCCTATGGGATCCCATGCGGTTGTAGCTCGTGTGGGGGGTTGAACTTGAAGAAGGGAGGCCGTGTTCGTCGGAACCTTCAGGGGGTCCCTGCATCTGAACCCAGCAATCCGGGTCCAATGGTCCAATCCCACTCCTTATCCCTCCAATGAACGGACTTGGGGGCCACTTTTCGCAGTGAATTCGGCAGCCCGCCCGTGTTCGACCTGTCAATACGGAAAAAAGAGGGACCAACCAACAATGACGTGCGGCTCAAATGCTGCAGCTGCAGGTGCTCTTTCCAAAAATAGCTCGCGTCAACGTCCGACATTGGTTTGGTTTCCCGAACATCAACATTCTCATTCTCGTCGAACCTCTCGAACGGGTTTACAGCATCCATGCTCCAACGCAAAGCAACCAAACAGAGCCTCCGTCACTGCCGAATGATCTACCCCAGCAGGATTGCCTTTTTTGAGTGACGAATAAAGACTGCTGCAGCCAGTGCGCCGAAGCTGACCAAGGATATCAACCTGCCAGCCACACCCTTTCCCAAGTTACATCGCTTTGCCCATGCGATTGCGGTCTGATCCAAGACCACTCCAGTGCGGTGGTATTCAGAAGCAAGCAACTTATGTCCCCGACCAAAAAGCCAAGGCCTGGGTATATAGGATCCTGGGTGAACACAAGTGTGTCTGTCTGCTCAAAGGCCGCCAGACAAACACTGATGGAAAAGGCAAGGTTAAGGAACATACCTACAATAGGAGCCATGCATAGCCGAGCTCGATGTGTTCGTTAGGCCCATTGGCGCGCCATCCCAAGCCGGCGAGCTCCCGACGGTGGAAGCGCCACTGGATTATGTATACGTTTTGCTCGGCATTCACATTGCGGTCCTGTGAACGCGGAGCAGCTACGAAGGGTCGAATCCCGCGAAGTCACTACTCAAGTGTCCGGAAGTCATGCGGAGAGTACCGTAAGCAGCGTCATGTGGACAGCTCACTTCAATTAGATACGCAAACAGCTAAGCTTTTAGAGAGGCCTGATAGGATGCCAGCGCACCTGGACCGGACCCTCACATGGTACGGCTAATTCTCTCCTAGACACAACGTACAGCTCGGCCTCTCCGATGTTGTACAGGTTCCGCAAGATGGATTGCCTGCGTTACCATTGCGATCTGTTGATGTCTCCGGAGACACCGCACTGGCGGCACCGCACCGGCTTCGAATAACTTCTCTTTGTTCGTGGATACCAAATAACGAGGTGGTACGAATAGGTAGCTGACTCCGCCAGCTGCAACTTGTTACACAGTAGGTCACCGTAGGAGACTGAAGCTATCGGTCAAGATGACTCGTTACTCTTTATCCTTGGAAAGCTCATGAGTTGAAGTCACAAGCTGCTAGACAAGGGAAACATATATAACCGCGCCTACTTAGAGCACTTCATCAACTTACTCGAGTCACTTTGCACACATACCGTTTCTCCTCGGAGTACTGGGAGTGCAACCGACTAGGTCATCGCCTGCTTCTACCGTTTCATTCAGCACACGCCCGAGAAGGAATACAGCATCGGAGAGGCTCGGGCGAACTTCTTAATGCAGATCAAGACGCTCACGAGAGAGATGGACGACGGTGGGTCGTGGTTCGTAGACGAGACCTTCGGCCTCGTCGACAACCGTATCGGATGGGGTAACTTACCAGGTATGATCTGGCTCGGTGAACGCTTTCGAAACCCAGCTCGTCACTATGGTGAGCCCCACCATTGGCTGGATTCGAACCTATAGAGATGTGTATGCAGATACGTACCTCTATACAGTACGCGACATGCCTCTATAGAACCACTACACGATATGCATACGGGCCTCTCTCCCTTTCTCACGTATTGGTACATCGATGTCGGATATCGACAGAGCCAGCACGATCGTTCTCCTTACTCACGCGACTTAACGACTCAGACAAGTGGCATCTTACAAGAGCTTGGAAGGGGTTGCATCCGATTCGCTGCTGAGATGGCTGACAGTATGCCGCCTGACCTGTGCACTTTTCGACCACAAAACTGGCGTCACACAGTGAGCCTGCCTCGCGCGACTAAGAAGGCGTTCGCTACGACTACCTATAGCTTACATCTACGTCGTGCCCCGTCTTCCTGTCAAGCACTCGCCAGCGTGTGCTACAGTCAAAGCTAAAGTAGTCGGTGCACCTGTCAGGGTCTCGAGTGCGACATGCCTTGTCCTGTGGTATGCTCGACTCCGCGTGACTTTCTGTATCCAGACGCCGACCATTCTTATCTCCTCCACTGCCACCAAGCCGCGGCCGCCACACCAGCCAGCGGCAAAACACCCATAAGTGCTATCTTGCCGACCATCTTCCCAAAGGCCAGCGTCCACATGATGTGGTGGGCGACGATGAACTGACTGGCATCGTTTACTCGCGGGTACTCTTCACCCGGGACCTCCGCGTCCAGGAAGTCGCAAAGGGGCTGCCAACCCTCCTGCACTCTATACTCCAGCAGCCTCTCTTTCGGCACCACTCGCCTGACCAGGTCGTAATGGTCTGCGAACGCCTGCCGCGCCTGGCTGTCGGGCGATACGAAGTCAGGCGACTGGCCCGGTACGCGAAAAGCAGCAGGCATGACAACTTTCGCGTGATCCCAGAATGGCCGTACCAGACTTGGATCCCACGGTGCCAGCCACTCCCAGTTCCAGGCCAAGATTTTGCCTGCGGTGCTCTGCATGCTCTTCACCCAACCGTCCACATCCCTCGTACTGAGCACGACCTTTGCGTCGGGATACGCAGCTACCAGCTCCTCCACAAAGGCAATACAAGGTACGTCGGCCACTGCGTCGTAGTTTCCCAGGAGTTTGTCGAATTCTTCCTTTCCCCATTTCTTCCCCCTCCCATTGAACTTCGCGTTGAGTCCTTCGGACCAGCAATCCAGGTTCGTTCTGGGACTGCCCATGGCGACGGCCATGTGGTAGGGTGCGTACCCCAGCTTTTGAAGGGCCGTGAAGAGGGACATTGTCCCCGTGCGAGACATTCCTAGGCAGAGGACACGCATCGGTTTCGTGCGCGTCCCGGGGTGGGAGTCTATGAGTCGCCCGGTGAGGGGGTCTGGTTTGAGGTTGTAGAGTTCCTTTGTGAGACGGGCGTGGAATGTATCAAGGGTGGTGGGTTGCTTTGAGGCGGTTGCCAGCTGGGCGATGGTGGTTGGTTCGTCTGCCATGTTGCCGGTCGTTGGGAAGGGTAATAGGTTGAGTGTTGGTCAATAGTTGGAGTTGGAGATGGAGAGGAGGAAGAGTGAGGTGATACAGTGATACTTAAGTTGGTGCCATTAGGGGGCCAGGGGCCGTATACTAGTTATGGTGCGGCTGAGCACGACCCTTGCCCGCTCTAGCTGTAAGAAGGAGTAGCGCTTATGGAGGTACTACTCGTTCCCCGGGTTGCTTGGTCATCATCATCTAGATAAGGCTTACTATTATTAATGTTATCCTGCGTTGGTCGCCGTCTCTCATGGTCACCGTCTCTCATGGTCACCGTCTCTCGTGTTCGCCGTTGTGCCCAATGGCCAGGAAAAGATCAGGAGGTCGCGCCAACCAACAACCCCGGCTATTCCAGCTACGATGTGAGAGGGTCTACCCAAGCAATTCGATTGACACAGACAGCTTTATAATCGGTAAGCCTAGAAAAATATCCTCTTGTACTTTAATTTGGGTGCGTTTCTCACCAAACCAAAGGTATCTTTTCGAAAAGCGACGGGTTAGGAGGGTTAGGATCAGGGTTAGTGGTTAGGGTTAGCCGAGGGTTTAGGGGGCGGTGCAAGCCCCCCATATGGGAATGTGTTCTTGAGCGACGTGGTAGTGGTGATGGTAGTGAAAGTGGTGGTGAGGGTATTTTTCTAGCGTTACTGCTTTATAATTGTGTCGAATGGCTCGGAGTAGGAAGTGACGTAGTGTCTTTGATGCTTCCATGTATAGTAGGTAGTGTCGGCCCGGGGTGTTAGGTTGTCATGGTCGCCGGAAAAGCGGAACATTGTCGATCGTTTCGAGCACATACATGATCCATCCAGCTGCCTCCTGCTCGATGCCTCCATTGCTTTGGTTGAGGAAGATGAGCCTCGGAGTTCGTCCTGGGAACTACTACCCCTTATCGGTACAGTACACCAGTCTCTCCCGGAATGATATCGTCACAACCTCAATCGTCTGTCTCACCGATGCACAACATCGCGGTCAGCAAGAGCGACTCCAGCGGCCCAGCCCAACCCCTGAGCTCCAGCGCAATTGATTCGTCCATATCCATTCGAGGGAGCTCGAACCCTGCCACCACGCCCTCATCCAAGAACAGACGCGCATCCGGTCCTTTCCAGCTGCATACCAAGACCTCGGAATAAGGACCCCGGAGTGTGGACCCCGTTGTAAGGGCCCCGGAGCCCGTGGGCTGCAACACAAGGTCTCCCCGGACCCCAGCCATCGGTCCTCCTTCCTCGCAGGCCAGCAGCTCAAGTGTGCTCATGCTCAACGCCCTCCACTCCAACCACCGCGAGGGACTTGGGCTATTTGCGCTCGCTGGACACCGTGCCGCAACCTCAGCAAGGTCGCCGGCATGCATGCTGATAGCCAGCCGTGACCGGGCAATGTCGCCTCAACGCTGATCACATCCAGCTATCCGCGGTGAATGAGGCGCTTCCTGAAGGTCGCGACGGGCGAGACGAATGGACTACTGTCAGGCATCTTGGATGGCGTTCACCTTTGGCGATGGCGAGGTCCACAGCGATACTCACGGCAATGCCGAGGACTTGAGCTGAGTCTGCCTGAGATGGCCGTACACGGCGTGGCGTTCGTACGAGGCGGTAAATGGCGTACTTGGACACTCGAGGCAGCATCTTGTCTTGGTAAACAAGAGCAGACCAAGACTGTTCGCGGGGTCAGCATACATACATCACACATGCCGCGAACAATATCCGCGAGTGTGTGCAGTGTTCATTGCTTCGTACTAGGTAGCTATGGTAAACTGTAGCGAAGTGCTTCTTATACGTACAGTATGTGCATCCATCTCTCTTGCTCCAGGTTTTTGGGTAGTATCTCAGACATTCAACCTCGACTTTTTTTGTATCCAGCAACGAGACAACAGCCATGTGGGCAGTTGTACAAACCATCAAATTTTCTGAGCATCATTCCTTTTTCAATTGTGCCGCATCTTTCCATCGTCACTGCACCTTATAGCACGTACTCGTTGCAGTCCCCTGCAGAAGTATCATACCCCATTGCTGGCTCCGTTCAATCTGAGCTTTTCCATCATCTCCGACGGAGTGTCTTCCGACCGAGTCTCGTCGACTCGACCCATAAAGGAGAAGTACCAGGAGGGCTGTCCGTGCCGAATTCGACAGCCCTTGTCCCATTGCTGGATCTTGTTATGGCGCCAATAGTCCCAGTCTCCACCACCCTCCTTGAACTTGTGCATACAGTCCAAGCATAGCCCTTGAAATCGGCTGTGTATGTCGGCCACGGTTCGGCTGACCACCAAAGCGAGATTGTATGATGTACTGTCCTGTTCTCCGGTTTCTTTACCCTTGCAATCGCTGCAGATGTGACTGGCGTATCTGGGTCTCTCCTGTGGTGCATTAGGGGTTGGGTCGTTTGATGCCGTGGGTCTGGCTACGACGTGCTCGGTACCACCTTCTCTTTGGTCATCAGCCTCATGCGAGTCCCGGCCACCACCATGCGCAGCTGTACCATTCGCGCTACTGTGAATGCTGGTCGTGTCATACATCGTGGTACCGTCGGTGACCGTACCATCTAGGCTGGTCGTATCGTTCGCGGTGGTCGCACCAATCATGGCCGCACCGTTGGGAGTCCTGATGTTGGGAGTCGTGCCGTTGGGAGTCGTGCCGTTGGGAGTCGTGCCGTTGGGAGTCGTGCCGTTGGGAGTCGTGCCGTTCGTGGCCGTGCCGTTGGGGGTCGTGCTGTTTGCGGTCGTGCCGATCTCAACGACGACAAGGTGAAACTTCTCTGTAGAGCCTCGAGTAACTTGTTGATGGGCTTTTTGCGATTCTCCGATGATCGCGCTGGGAAGCCGCCGCTACTGACCAGAGCTTTGATGAACGAGAATTGAAACACCTTCATGCATTCTTCTTCGTCGCATGTGACGTTCTGCTTTGGGATGCATGTCAGGTTTTCCTGTATTCGCTTCCGCAGGCTACTCTGCGCGGCTTGGATCTGGCCTATTGCGAAAATTAATGAGCTATTGTCCTGTAGATAGAGGACTGTGTAAAGCGAATGTTGCCGGACACGCGAGCGACGGGCTCGAGTATGGGCAATCGAGGTGGTAGTTTTGGGAACAGGGGAAAGCATGATAGCACCTACTCAGGATTGGATACGGAACTCCCTTCATGTAAGCATCGCGAACTTTGGTCGGATTCTTGTTCTCGAGATTAAACACGGTCTTGTATGCCAACATTCTCGTGATTGCGTGGATGATTTCGGGGCAGTCAAACCAATAGGCAGGGGTCAACATCTGTAGCATTTCCTCGTTGGTCATATCATCGGCAGATGACTTGTTGTGTAGAAACCAGTCCTGGACCCATTTCTCGAACCAACTTCGTAGAATGGACATATCTTTCGGAGGTTGGATCTTATACTCGCGGCTCTCTCGGTCCAGTTCGAGACCGGTCTTTCTAGCCTTCAGGTATCTCTGGCCAAAATGAATGACTCTCCACACATCTCGGATATCCAGCTTGGAATCGGCATCGGGCGTGCCGTGATGAAAAACATCCATCCAAAGCTTCACAGCGGCGATGGACTCGTCCCTGATGACAAGAGCATGCGCTTCCGTCTTCGTGTCCGAGGGGTCTTTGTCGATGAACTGTTTCACCTTCTCGAGAGAGATTTGCATCGCTGCGGTTCTTCGGGTTGGTCGTTGCTGATCATGGCGGACTATGACGTCGTAGTCAAGCTCCTTCACAAGAAGCTGATCTTGCCCAGAACTGTCGACGACGAAGTGAGACTCCATGGCTGTGGTATTTGGGGCGGCAGCTATGTTTCCGAGGATCGCAGAGAAATGAGACGAGGAGTGCGAACAGGCCCGCAGGTACACAACGAGGACGAGTATGCTGGTAATGGTCGCACAATAAGTCAACTGAGGCTCTCAAGTGGCGATAAAGATGCAGCGTAGAGTCTCGGGGAAGACGCGTCGAATTGGCTCCAAACATACCCAAGGTGAGATCCCAGCAGACACAGTCGCGATCAGGGCGTATGCACAGCGGCGCGATCTACCAGAAAAATATGATCAGGCACGGTCTTCTCAGGCAGTGCAAGCACTCAAGCATATTGGGGGGTATGTACTCACATCGATGGTACAGGGCTAGCAGAAGACTCCAAATGATGGCACAAGCCTCTGAACCTGAATGCGACGTCTTGTGTTGATGTGACTGTCTCGGAAGTGTTGAAAACAAACTGGTCCGCAACCCGCGTGGTCTTCGAGACAGAGTGGTCGGTAGGATGGGCGGAAAACGAGATGGACCTAAGGTATGCGGTTTTCCGGAGGAAGGTTGGTTGCACTTTCCAAATTACATGTAGGAAAGTAGGTAGGTACATGTAGGTACCTATGCACCTGCACCTATTTAAGCACCTTCCTTCAATGTTCTGATTGCTCCTCCGCAGTGCCATCAGGCTCGGGACCAACCTTGGGAGAAGACAACAAAGAACAGTCTGTTCGATGAAGACCTGGAAATTAGGTAACGATCTGTCGTACGCAGAGCTATCCCCATCGTATGTTCTCACCACACCCCCGTACTGTCTGCCAGACAGCATCGCCACCAGCAACGTAGGTAACACATTAAGACAATATCGCTTGATTGATGCATATGAATCTGGCCCACTGGATTTGCAGTTGTGTATCAATTAGAATGGATATATCGAACAAATTAAGTAGCAGCAGCAGTAGTAGCAGTGGCGGTGGCGGTGACAGACCGAGAACGTGTTGGCTGTGAGAAAACGAGACCCAGAACTTCTGGTCATCTACGCGAAAACCCCAAGAAGCGAGGCCAGCACCCAAGTGACCACCGCCTGTCCGCCTATCCCTAACCACATGTTCCGACTAGATAAATCGCAGACGGCGGGCCCCTGCGAAGGCTATGATAACGAAAGCCACTAGACATCCCACAATGCCAAAAAAGGCAGACAGGCTGGGCTCGTCCATGAACGGCACGTGGACATTCATGCCAAAGAGGCCTGTAACAATGTTGAGCGGAACGATGACAGTGGCGATGAACGTGATCTTGCTGAGCCCCGCATTCGTTTGTGTCCCCTGCGTGATACTATCAATAGTCAACTGAGCCAGGTAATTGCTGTGGGCACGGGACAGGATCTTCTCGAAGTGCGTTAGATTGGTCATCATGGTGACGACGTGATCCTGGATGTCGCCCAGGTACATCCCGATGTCCATGCGTGGCGTGACCTTGTAATTCTCATTACAGCGCTTGGTGAAACCCTTGAGGACGTCCGCCTTGCCACCCAGGACTCGCATAAGTCCAAGGGTGTTCTTGCGAACACCGCCAAGCTTCCGTAGAAACGTGTGCATGTCATCAGAGCGTGCTGTAAACACCGAGTCTTCAATCCCTTCAGTGAGAAGCTCGATGCGATGGATCGCCGGCGCAAACGAGTCGACAATGTTGTCACTGTCCAGGTATATCAGCAAGCAGTACATCACGGAGGTAGAGACTAATCAACTTACATCAAGGCATAGCAGATCCAGTCACTGCTCAGAGACACATACTCCTTCAGGCTGGAGATCCTCTTTCGCACCTGCGAAGCATGTCCATTAGGCTGGAAGCTGAAGCTGAGTGTGCCCTCGCGGAAAACCACGACATAGATATTGTATGGCTCGTAGTCGGGTCCGTCTTCTTCTTGAACGATGTGGAAGGAGCGGAAGCAGGCGAAGTAGTATGAGGGGAAGAGCTCAATCTTCTCTCGAGCCTCCTGGGTGGTGATATCTTCAATTGTCAGGGGATGTACACCAAAGGCCTTGCACAGCGTGCGAGCCTCTTCTTCCGTTGGTCTATTGACATTCAGCCACCAGACTCCGTCGGGCTCGTCGCGAGGGAAAGTGAAAAGACTTCGCACATCCTCTCCAGGTAGGACCAGGTCTCCGAATTCTGCAGCGTGGACTGTGGACTCCCATGCGGAAGAAAAGAGGCTGAATCGGTTGGGGTCTGATTGATCTTTCTCAGTCGAAGCTTGGCCTTGCGCGGGTATCTCGGTCTCGATTTGCGCTGCAGCTTTCTCATCAACATCCAAGGAATGGGATGGGATGTTGAGGATATCGCCGTCGAGCGTCACCATCGGCACGTCATTGTGGCCTTGCGAATCGGGCCGTAGGTTCGGGAACACTCGACCGGCCTCCTGAGCCTCTAGACTCTCCCTGTGTGCGGCATTCTCAGAGGCAATGAAATTCTCCAGATAATCAAAGTCGATATATAACTGATCATGGCGGTGCTCATCTTGCATGGGAAAGCACACGTCGTCTTCCGCAGTCTTGTTGGTCGCCAAGCTAGCAGCATCGTCTGCAACAAATGTGGGAGGCCTGTCATGTCCGGATCGTTGGCTTCGGTGACTGTTTCGACTCTGAGCGGAGAAGGTTCGGTGTAGGCCTTCGCCCTCATCTTGTCTATGACCACGATTTTCTGAGGTCGAGAGCGCTCGTTCGCGACGTCGAGCCTCAGCAAAAGCTTTGACAGAGTTCGGTGGTGAGACGCTACGTTCATTTGTCGAATCGAAGGTTGGTCGTCGGCTCCGGGGAGCAGCGTGTGCTGCGTCACCATCATCCTCGTCTACGATCGCTTCTTCGAAGTCTCGAACCCTGACATCCGACGGAGAATAGGGAGAGTATGGACCATCTGGATCCAGGTGCTGGCGGGAACCGTATAACGTGTCCACGGTGCCACGTCGGGGACGATCCGTTCTCTGCACCGAAGAACTCTGGTGGCGATGATCATCGAGCTCGGGAACAGGGGTGTCATAGCCCCTGCCGGAACTTCCGTCGTGTTCAGACATCTCAACTCTTCTTGTGGTGGTTGTCTATATTGCGCGGAAGAGGGTATTGACGTCGATCGATATCGACAATAGGACACTCTATACAAGGCAATGAAACTGATACTTGAACGAATAGAGAAAAAGCCTTCCGCGTGCTGGTCAGGGGAAGGCGCACATTCTGGGGGCGAGCTCAGTCGAACAGCATTCGCAAGTCGCAGCAGGCGTGGGCAGCACGCCGCCTGCAAGAAAACTCGTTGTTCGACTAGAGCAGTGTGGGCTGAGCACAGCACTCGTAGTGTGATATGAGATGAAGTTGGCAGGGGAGGAGTTGCTGAAAAGCGATTATTGGGACAAAATGGCTGGTGGCGACAATCCAATTAAGGAGGCTTCTTGTTGACGCCGCTGTTGACCCAGCAGAGAGGGCCGAGTAGCGGGCGGGAGAAGGAGAACTTGTCGCTATTGAGGCCCGCCAACTTGGTGGTTTCGGGTGGTATTGCGGGATTACCGCGAGGAAGAGGCGAACTCGGGGTGGAAAATGTCGCAATGTGTAAATGTCGCCAAAGGTGTTTGCCGAGCTTCGTCAGTCTGTGAGAGGCTGGACTGGAGGAAGATGATGTCGGCAATGTGAAGGCGGGTCGACGATGAGATGCACGGCGATGGATTTGTCGGAGATCAAATGCACAACAATTAAGGTACGTGTCGGTTGCGATCGAGCCACCGAGAGATCTGGTGCCAGGTGAGTACAAAGCATGGCCCCAGAATCAGGAAGGGACGGAGAAGGTTACATACCTAGGTTATCACAAGTTTGCAGCACATGTGCGTTGGGGGGAGTACAGATGGATGGATCTTGCAGACAAGAGAAGACCAGAAGACCAGAGTCGAATAGAGTAGAGCGACGGCGTTCTTTGTGGTGCGGCGCGGCGTGTGTACGTGGTGAGAGAAGGTTTGTGCTTAATGAATAAGAAAGGGCTAGATTCGGGAGTCAGGTCAGACGGGTTGCAGTCAGATTCTCATCAGATGGTAGGTAGAGGTGCGGTTTTTCTTTTTTTCTTTGGTTGCGCTGGGAACAGCCAGTCACAGATCTCGCTGTTGATTGATGTGGAAATTCTACCTGTAACGCACGGTCCTTATAAGTTATGGGTGACATGCCGATTCCGTCCAACCTGGAATCAGACATGTGAAAGATAATGCAAACCCCATTATTATTATTCTCAACAGTCAGCATCCAGACATTTATTACTCCGATGCATCACCAGCCTGTTTGCAAAGCCCTATGCCACATCATACATGGTACCTACCTTAGCAGCTTAGGTAGGTAGGTACTTGTAGGGACTGACCTTGTCTGGTGACATCGATCGGGAAACTTCCATTGATGAAGCTGTCTAGCGTGTCCACATTCAAGGTGCACGTTCAACAACAGCTGCGAGCCATACAGCTCTGAGTCTCTGAGAGCTGGACTGATGAGGATCCAACGCAGGAGTAAGACTATAGGAGGATCTGATACCACCAGGTTGACATCCTGAATAGACCGACGTCATTGAGGCTGTCTTTTATTGGGAAATCCTGCTGGACTTCATGCCACATGGGGGTTACTACATATGCACATAATGAAGATAGAAAGAGTTTACGTGGGGCTGACTAGTGTGGCTTGCCGCGTGGGGGACGACTCCACATCAAACGCAGCTGAACTCTTCTGCCATTGGTTGGCCTTGCACTGCTGAAAGGGACCACGTCGCAGCATCTGTAGAGCTCAAGATAATCGGTACCGGTATCGCGAACTCAGTCTCTGGCACACCACCAGCACCATCCTGTTGCGACGACTTCGAAATTACCTTTCTATATCCCCCAAGCTACAATAATACATTGGAGATGGCGGAGCAGCTCCTCGACCAGGTCAGAGATGTGGTTGATGGCCAGATTGTTCGTGCTATTCCCCCCACTCCCAAACCATCTGCAATGGCATCTAACCAGTTGGCGTTCATAGGACTTCGAGGGTCAGAAACTAGCCGAAGTGCTGGCAACAGGCCTCCTCGCAGCTGTCGGAGTATGTCCACCCTTCCCTCGAAGTCTATGGCAATGGTCATTCCTCGGTATTAATCATCACCCACTCGAATAGGCAGTCTCCTTCCTCGTCGGCTTCTTCCTCCAAGACATCGTGCTAGCCCTTAGGATCGGCCTCGCCGGCACAGCACTTACCTTCCTCGTCGTCGTTCCTCCGTGGCCCTTCTTCAAGAGAAACCCAGTACAATGGCTCCCCGTAGGCGGAGGTGAATCAGCGACCACAACTACACAACAGAACTTAGTCATCGATGAGAAGCTGCTCGAAAAGCGATGAATCTCATTTGGTCGGAGTGCAGGCTATGGGACATAGAGAGAGACTCTGAAACCGAGCAGGCGAGATAGTACCAAGCGAATTTACTCGATGCTGATGTGCCTCCGCACGGTTATACCGTAACAGTTCTCAAGTACGCCCCATGCCTGATGGGTTCTTGCAGACCCTCGAATATAGTAACTGCAATATACCCCCCTGGGCAAGCACCCAAGTGCCTGTCTCTCCCCTCGACTTATTATCTCCCTCGCTCCCTAACGACCGTACTTCTGGAATTCCCAGTCGCGATTGTCCAGCGGGCAGACCTGTCGTGCCTTCAACCATCTCGAGATGCAGTGAAAGTGGAAAGCATGCTGGGAGAGAAGGAACGATTAGCCAGGGATCTCGTAGTTACAGAGCGTGGGTGAGTTGTAAATTCACGTTGCAGATGCCCCAGGCCACAGTGCACTCCTCGCTAGTAGCGGAAGCCTGGTTGGCCTGGCACTCGATACACAAGTCCATGATGTGGTTTCGGCAGATGGCGCAGTTGTCGACGACGATGTCCCAGGCCCAAAGGGCGACGGCGTTCCACTGGCGTCTCAGGTCAGCGCGGGCAGCCAAGTAGGTTGGTTAGCTGTCTTTGTCCCCGACTCACCTTCTTCACCTCGAATCGCTTCTTGCCGTCGTATTTGGAATCGGCGTCACCGCCCTTGCGCTTACTGGCAACAACGGAGCTGCTGGGAGCGTCGGTCATGTCGACGTCGGCCATGTCGAATTTGGTTGTTGATGTTGATTTCGGATGCGGGATGTGATGACCGGAGGGCGAAAGCTTGAGGTAGGTAGGTAACTGTCGTTTGTGGATCGTAGGAGGTGGGTTGGTGATGTAGTGACTTGCGACCAAATGTTTCGTGGTTGTATTTTTTGGGTGCAGATGACTGTTATCAACAACGAACTACGCGAAACGCCTCAGCAGATGTAAGTTTCCCAAGGCACGGTGAACGTTGGTGGTATTGCAAGGCTCTTCTCGAATGGGTTGTGTTGCAGGCTTCCTGGCCGTCAAGGTTGTTACAATTCTTGCCGCGCAGACTGGCAGACTGGAGGGAGCACTGAGGTAAGCTCGACCACCTGCAAGTTGCCCCTCATTCAGACGACCTCTCTGCCCCTCGAGAGTCGACCCCCCATTTCCGAATTGCACCACTGCACCACAGGGGTACGAATCGTTGCCTCTACCGCATTCCGTTCCTGACAGCAGTCTTCTGCTAACCTGGTTCTGCAAGTATTCTACTTTCTATTACTCCGAAGCACCAAGTGTATCGTTACCACAGCTGACCATTCAGGTAAGGTGACAGACACCGTTGTTCTATTGGAGCAAGCGATCAGTTTCGGACATGCTACTACTGTGTATTATTGTCTATCGGAATATATGAAGCTAACCTACAATACCCTTGTATAGAGTCAGATAAGGATCGGGTCGCAGGATCAGCATCTTGATAGCACCATCAGCACCAGCAAGCACCCGCTGTCTATTCTGGTTCTGCACCAAGCACCAAGCACCTTGCACCTTCCGACCGCATTCCGACTGCGGCGCCCTGTCCTCTGTATCCAATTCCAGCAGTCAGCACCGAGCACGCACAGGTTTCATCAGCCGTACGTCTCCACGCAACTCCACCCTGGGCGCAGCGGCTTCCTTGACGATTGATCCCACGATCATCGCCCGTCTGCTCAATCCATCCATCAACAACCAACAAATATGTCCAGAAAACACCCACAACCGACACACAAAACAACAACAACACAAAGACATCCCCCTCCATCGTCCGATACGGATCCCTTCATCCTGTCTCTCCATACAGCCGTCGTCCGCCGGCCTCCCAGCTAGGCAGTCAGTCACCGCCACCGCGACAGACCACAACCCTGTGACTGGCACCGCCGCCAGCCTCCCCCTTCTTTGTTCCTTTGCCGTCCGCCATTACCTCGGTCGCATTGATCATCCCCCATCCCCCATCCTCCGAGTGACGACGCCGACCACTCCCATCTTATCAAACCCCAACGGCCACCTCGGGTTTTTCTCATCCTCCCTTTCCTTTCTCTTTCAACGAGTTACATGTTCCCACGAAAGCATGCAGCAGGCACCGAATCAGAAGAACACCCCTAACCGGCGCCGCCCCGTTGCGGGCCGGAGTCGCAGCACTCCCCAGAAGGTGTATGCCTCCGAGAACGACCTCCCCACCTTCAAGCCGGACATCAAGCCGGACAATGCTGCGCGTCCCGCCACTCCCCAGAAGTCGGCCTCGACAAACCAGAAGCAGCGGGATAAGGGCAACAAGAGTCGTAATAAGAATGGAGCTGTATCACCAGGCCACAACCAGCGCGATCGCCAGAGCCCACCATTTCTGCCCCAAGATGCATCGGCTCCTATCTTCGCCGGCTCCACGTTCCACGCATCTCCGGCACCCTCGTCGCTACCCATTCCAAGTTTCCATGGAGTAGAAGCTGAAGGCTCTCCCGCAATCAGGGCCAATCGGAGTCCGGGTCAAGAGCCTTCCCCTCCAACCACCGATTCCGACGAGGCGAGCCCTTCCGCTGAACCGGTGCCACGAAACGTGGACTCTCCTTTAGAGTTCTTCTTCCGCGCCCAGCGAGCTGAGAAGGCGAAGCTTCGTCGGGCTAGTTCCGCCAATGCCGGTGCTATCGCTCCTGCGCCGTTCTCTCCACCCCACGACCTGCCCGAGGAATGCAATACGCTTCCCAAGGCATCAGTGGCCAATCCTCTTCGGCGCCCGAGTTATCCCCAGTATCTCTCCTCGCCTGGCATCTCGACGAATGAACTGGGCGGCACTCCCGGCCAGCCCGTTGGACCGGCATTCTCAACTCCTTATTCGGAGCGCATTCGAGCAGCTCGCTCGAACCAGAGTTCTGCACAAGCCACGCCCTCGGCACCTCGAGAACTTGATGCGAACTCGGAAGCATTGAAGCGGTATCTATTCACCGGTAAACTTGGCTCCGTTGGGCAACCGCAACCGAAGCCGAAGCAGCAAGCACCTGTCCCACAACCTCAGCAACATGCCCAGTATCCGCCTGCTCACCAGGTTGCTCAACAACACCGGATTCCTCAGCAATTCCATCAATACGGAGCCCGCCAGCAACCGGCCGGACAACAGATGCCCCAGCACCACTCATCGGAGCCTCGGTTGCCTCGTGGCATGTTCCCTGCGTCGGTGTTGACTGGCCACTCGCCGAATGTTAAGCCCACTGCAGCCTCGCAGATGAACGCTGGCCCGGACCGGTCTGAACAGATACTTGCAATGGAGGGTGACCTGCGACGAATGCTTAAGCTGGATTCGTCGAGTTAGACCCTACCATCACATCACATCTCGACAGTTTTCCTTTGTTGGTCGAGCATTCGGCATGGCGTTACAGGCGTTCGCTTGGTTAGTCCGAAGTCATCAATATTTGATAACTTTGGCTATCGCCATTAGCAAGTCTTATGCTCAATACTCTATTTCATTCTCTCTTCCAAAGCTCCGGGGGGGTTCCAACCACCTATACTTCTGAAGAACGGAGTTCGTTTGGGTTACGCGCTCATGACTGGTCAATGGTCGTGCATTTCGGACATCTACCCTTGTATATGGGGAGAGACATTCTAGGGGTTGCATTATTGTTTCTACTTGCACTCGGCTAATGTATTACGGCGTATGAGGTTGCTGCCTCGTTCGGTGTTGAGCGTCGCATCACGGCTGGCAGATTCGTCTCATGAGCATTCGACTTTCTCGAGTAAATACTTATGATTGGGCGGGTATTTGCTGGAACTTGCTACGGCACTTTCGCAGATCATCGGATTCGGAACCGGGTCAGGGTTCTGGAATCCACGACGGAACGGAAGCATCAGATACGGTGTTCAGGGCGACCTGGGAATAGCTTGGTACGACGGATGACTCGGCATTATGACATTCACGGCTCGTATGATTTGCGGGCTGTGAGTCGAACGTCTTGTGAGATTCCCTGGAAGAGCGACGGTGAATGATCACTGCTGTGATGATGGCGATGTTTGGGCATCTATGCGATGCGCCGACAGACAAACAGAAAAGGTGATGAAATTTTCTGGTGATATATCACAGCACTTTGGTCCACGCTTTACTACAGACCTTATGCTATCAATACCACAGGCCTTATGGTCTCATATATCATCAACTCTATGTTCCAGTCTAACGTGAACGATGATGTGCGTACAGATGATTGTGGCGCCAGATCGTGGATGATCGGATATGGTATGTTATGGTCGGCATCAGTTCGCCCGAGGTATGAAATCCTGGTGCTCGCGTAGCTATAGACGTATCCCGGATAATTGACTACAATCTTCCGTCGAGGCTAAGAAGCTCGTTGACGGAGAATTATTGCGATCGTCCGGAGCCTGCAGCTGGAGCCATCTCATCAAAGGCACGATATGTAGTAGGTCGGCGGCTCACACACATGTTTTGACATCAATCTTGCCTGCAGTTGTTTGCCCACCATGAAGCTTCTCTCTGGCTTTCTGTTCTTCCTCGCCACAGTGTGGACGGTGTCTGCCACCAGCGATAATCTGACTAGAGCAGTGACTTGGGACGAGTACAGCTTGATGGTTAATGGCGAACGGGTTTTCATATTTGCTGGCGAGTTGTACGGGATGTTATCGCACGTCTGGCGTTCACAGCTGATCGCATGCCAGCCACTACGAGCGCTTGCCGAACCCGGCACTCTGGCTGGATGTTCTTGAGAAGTACAAGGCCAACGGCTTGAATGCGGTATGTTGATGCCCGTACATAATAGAGCAGTTTTTGAAATAGCCTTATGACCAACGTGCGACAACAGGTATCAATATACTTCTTCTGGTCTTACCACTCAGCCCGGAGAGGCGTCTTCGACTTCACCAGCCCCGGCAAGGACGTGCAGCAACTGCTAGACATTGCAAAGGAAGTCGGCTTGTATGTTATAGCCAGACCAGGACCCTATTGCAACGCGGAGACGAACGGTGGTGGGCTCGCTCTCTGGGGTTCGGACGGCAGCCTTGGTGAAGTTAGGACATCCGATGATACCTACTATCAAGCATGGCTGCCCTGGATCACAGCGATAGGCACCATTCTAGCCAAGAACCAGGTCACGCAAGGTGGAAACGTTATCCTGGATCAGATTGAAAATGAGTTGCAAGAGAACAGTCACACTGCCACCAATACCCTCGTCGTCTACATGGAGCAGCTCGAGAATGCGACTAGGAATGCTGGTATTGTCGTGCCATCTTCCCACAACGAGAAAGGAATGCGTTCAATGAGCTGGTCTACGGACTACGAGAACGTTGGTGGTGCAGTCAATGTCTACGGTCTGGACTCCTACCCTGGCGGGCTCAGCTGCACCAACACCGAGTCTGGATTCAAGGTCGTCCGAGATTACTACCAGTGGTTTCAAAACTACTCGTACACGCAACCAGAGTACTTGCCAGAGTTTGAGGCAGGGTATCTGTTAGGCTGGGGTACATACTTCTACGATCATTGCCTTGAGGAAAACGATCCAGCGTTCGCGGACGGTAGGCCACTCATTACGTGTGCGTGCTGAGGTGAAACGAAGGTTGACGTGGGCGATAGTCTACTACAAGAATAACATCGGCCAAAGAACGACGCTGATGTCCCTGTACATGGCCTTCGGCGGGACGAACTGGGGCAATATAGCAGCTCCGGTGGTGTACGTGTCCAGCAACGACAGAACTGCAGCAACGAAAGGGCTGACTGTGGTCTAGGTATACCTCGTACGATTATTCGGCGCCCTTGAGAGAGACCAGAGAAGTCCGGCCTAAGTTCATGCAGACGAAGCTGATCGGCTTGTTCACGAGGGTCTCTCAGGATCTACTCAAGACTGAGATGGTAGGCAACGGCACTGGCTACAGCGTCAGCTCTGCTGGTGTCTACTCGTGGGTGCTACGGAATCCCGATACCCGTACGTCCAAAGTTGAATGCTGCTGTCTTCCATATTCCACATAAGGGCGCGCCTAGTCCTTTTCAAGTGCCGCTCGACGCCTACTGACATCTCTATGTAGGTGCCGGCTTCTATACTCTGCAGCAAGCGAGCACTCCTTCTAGAGCAGTAGTGACCTTCTCTGTCTACCTGAATACAAGCATCGGCGTTATCACAGTCCCGTCAGTCTCGCTCGATGGCCGGCAGAGCAAGATCCTCACCACCGACTACCGCTTTGGGAACCACACATTGCTATACAGTAGCTCAGACGTACTGACTTACGGACTGTTTGGCAATGTCGCCGTTTTGGTCTTGTATGTCGAGGTCGGTCAAACAGGAGAGTTTGCCTTCAAAGACGCAGCACGGAACCTATCGTTCAAAGCTTATGGATCCACGAACGTCTCGAGCTCTGCAGGATACCCAGGTACGAACACTACTGCTACTGGCCACTCAGCATCGTATACCAAATACACATACACGCAGACAGCAGGCTCGACAGTAGTGCGGTTCTCAAACGGTGTCCTTCTCTACCTGCTGGACACACAGACTGCATGGACCTTCTTCGCTCCTCCCGCGACTTCTGACCCGCACGTTGCGCCAAGCGAGCAAGTCTTTGTGCTTGGACCGTACAATGTGCGGAGCGTTTCTCTGTCAGGGAGCACGGTCTCTTTGGTCGGCGACAATGCGAACACGACTGGGTTGGAAGTCTATGCTGGCGCAAGCGCGAGACGGATTGTCTGGAACGGCATGGAACTGGCTACTAGACGTACTGACTATGGCTCACTGATTGCCACAGCGTCTGGTGCGAACGATAGGTCCACCGAGCTGCCAACCCTGTCTTGGGTAGTAGCGGATGCCCTACCGGAGGCCCGACGAGACTACGACGACTCGAGATGGGTTGTGTGCAACAAGACTACCACGCTGAGCCCTACCGCGCCGCTCACGCTTCCCGTGCTCTTTAGCTCCGACTATGGCTACTACGCTGGTATCAAGATCTATCGAGGCTATTTCGATGGCACCACAGCAACTTCGGCCAACATCACTAACCAGGGAGGAGCAGCAGCTGGCTGGAGCGCTTGGCTGAATGGCAAATTCGTCGGTAAGTCTGGTGTTTGCGGGAACAACGTTCGTGAGAGCTTCAGCTACTGACATAGCTCTCACCCGCAGGTGGCAATACGGGCAACGCGACTTTATGGGCAACATCGGGGCTTCTGGGCTTTCACGGCGCTGCTCTGTACAATAAGAGGAACGTCCTCACCATTGTCTCTGATTACACCGGCCACGATGAGACGTCGACCGGCCCTGGGGGTGTTACGAACCCTCGTGGTCTCCTAGGTGCAGTACTGTACGGCGGCAACAGCACCCTCAACTTCACGCAATGGAAGATCCAAGGTAATGCAGGCGGCAACTTGAATATCGATCCAGTAAGAGGTCCTCTCAACGAAGATGGCCTCCATGGCACACGGCTTGGCTGGCACCTCCCTGGATTTAATCCAACTGGCCCAGCCTGGACAGCAGGGTCTCCGTATTCAGGCCGAAATGCGAGCGGAATCCGCTGGTACATCTCCAAGTTCAACCTGTCAATCGATGCGGATTTGGATGTGCCTCTCGGTATCGAGCTCAATGCTCCGTCCGGCACTTACGCCTCTGTTCAGCTCTACGTCAACGGCTACCAATGTAAGCTCTGGCAAGCCAAGCCCTAACGTTGATAAAGCTGCTAACGCGTGCTGCCAGATGGCAAGTTTATTCCACAAATCGGACCGCAGACACGATTCCCATTTCCACCCGGCGGTAAGTGCATCTCACCCAAGCATGGGCATGTCCGCAAGCTGCTGACTCACCTCCTCCCTTCGACAGTGATTAACAATCGCGGCGAGAACACGATCTCCCTTGCCTTGTGGGCACAGACTGATGCACCAACTCGGCTCAGCAACTGCACACTCTTCGCTTACGGCGCGTACCAGACCGGTTTCGACTTCTCTCGGGATTGGAGCGATCTACAGCCTGGATGGACAGAAGACCGTTTGCAGTATGTATAGGAGTAAGGAAGCATGACCGTATCGTACTGGAGTGAGCCGAGCAGGACAGACACTCACTACCGTAACGTGGGTAAGTAGATAGAGGATATGGCGATATGGGTAGAGACTGTTGCGGACCTATCAATGTCACTCGCAGCAGATCCATCGGTGCCATGTTCTACTCAATCACTCTCCCACCAAGTGAAGTGTTCCACTACCAGCTATGATCAGACCTCATCCCCAAACCGCGCATCAAACTGCGACTCTGCCGCTGGGATTTCAAAGTTCAAGCGCCCCTCAAAGTATCGCCTTTTCCAAATTATTCGCGAAATTTGCATCCTTGAACGGCACGTTCGCGGACCCAAAATCCGTATTCTCAAGCGCCGTTCTCGCCGCATCGGTCAGCGACTCCCACGCAATCAGCGGCTGCTGCCCGCCCACCGTCGACGTAAAGCCCAGCGAATGATCCAACGGCCACTCGCTTTGATAACGAATCAGAGGCCCACTGCCACTGATTGCTGGGTCCGTTTCCGTGCTGAAGTCGCCGTGAGCCGAGGCCGCGACGCCAAGCAGCGTCGCTGAGGTTGAATTGGAGGAGAGCCAGACGACGATGCCTTCCCAGTCATGACGGTGACCGATGCCATCTGAAGGCTCGTCTTTGGGCCAGTACCAGGCGTACATGACCGCCTGAAAAGGAGTTTAGGGATCAGCTGGTGTTCTACCTTGATTTGCCGAAGGACCGGGGGATATACATAAGCGTCATTATACGCGGCAGCGCGTGAATAGACCTGCCCGGTGCTGCTGCTACAATCGCCATCCGAGGCGCCCGTCGGCGCCAAGCCTCCGCTACAAGACGAAATCAGCCATTTATAATTCGGTTTGATAGGTGCATGGCAAATACTTCGTATTTCCCTCCGCATCAACAGCGGGGAACGGAACGCAACCGTTGACAACGTAGAGATACGGCTTGTACTTGAGATACAACGTTCCGAGCAGGCCATCTGGAACCGTCTGTGCAAAGCCTACGACGGCATCGGAAGAGATGACTGCACGGCGCTGGATAACTGCGCTAGAAAGACAGCTGGTGGCAACGAGGAGCCAAAAAGCAAGTTGGACTGGCAAAGAAGACATAGTGAGGATTTTCAGCTTGAGCAAAAACGTGAACCCTTAGAAGCAATGGAAGGGACTGTCCTGCTGCCTCGAAGTCTATATATACGTGCGGAGCTACTTACCCCCTTTGGAAATTGACGCCCATTTCGGCACCTGGTAGATTCGGATCCAATTGTACCCCATGTTCTATAACATTGATTGGGTGTATATACCTTGCAGGCCCACTGGTGCCGAAATGGGCGTCAATGGAAAGGGATGCAACGTGAACGACCTCGGGTGTTTTACGAGTGCCCTTTGCCGAGACCATTTCTCACGTGACCTCGCGTCTCCAACGTGCAACCCCCGGACCCCCCCCCCCCCCCCCCCCCCCCCCCCAAGGTGAACCGCGACCATACCCCGGACCTTCCTCACCTTGACTTTCAACCTGAGGTACTCCCTCAGTCACCTTCTGCACCTTGATATTCTAGCTCTCACCGCTTGTTTTCACCTGGCCTGATTGCTGCATAATCATCCTGCCTCATTCAAACGCAAGCTGCCTATCTTCCTAAACCTAGTCTTCATAGTTTGCCTTACGGTACTCACAGGGATTCTTGGCACCAAAGACGGAACTCCGGACAAACGCACCGAACTTCAATCATGGATGACTACGACCCATTCGACGGCGACGAGGATGCTGCGCTGCGCCACGCAATCGCCTTGTCCCTCCAGGAGGCGGACGAGCCCGGGAAGCCCGTCGAGCTGAGCTCCGACGACGATGAGGATGATCTGGAGCGGGGTCCTGCGTACCCGCCCACCCCGAAAAGGGCTGCGAAGGAGGTCGAAGAGAGCGCCCCCGCAACAGGTACTACTAAACCCTCGTCATCTTCTTCTTCTCAGATGACCCCGTCGGCGCAACAGCCGGCAGCTCCTGCGGGTGGTGGCAGTGGCGGCCTCTCAGCATTCGGCCTCGACAGGAAGAAGATGGAGGAAGAGCGGCTTGCGAGGGCTGCGAAGCGGAAGATGCCCCATGGTCCGGACGAATTGGATGGTCAAGAGGACCGTCGGAGGCGCGTGAAGCTTGATGCGGCACCTGGTGCTGCTACTGCTACGCCCGTTGTGCCTGCTGTGCCCGCATATTCTGGACCTGGGCAGAAGGGCGCTGCTCAGGGAAACGTCAGGGGTCTACCATATCCCAAAGGTGTCGTCAAGAAGACTTGGGCGCGCGGGTATCCACGCAAGGACGATATCAATATCGAAGAGGTCAGTATCTGGTTATTACCAAAGCCCGTACATCCGATTCAGGCTACATCAGTGGAGGCTTATCCTGCCCTCTTTCATTCGTCCACCACCAAACTGAAGTCTGTTAAGAGTCATGTGTCGCTCACCGACTACTCGAAATATCGTCATTAACCCGTATGCTAACTCCTGAACGCCACCCAGGTGCTACAGAAAGATGAGCTGGAGCTGGCGATGATCAGTTCATTCCAGTGGGACGAGGAATGGATGTTGTCCAAGATCGATATCAAGAAAACGAAGATGGTGCTTGTTGCTTTCGCATCGGGCGAAGCCCAGGTGAGCCGTGAAACCAGTGATGTTGATTTGGGTTGGGAAACTGATCGTGATGATGGATAGCAAGAAGAGATGAGAAATAATGTCCCAAAAGGTCGCATCAGGTCAGTCTAAGGGCTTCTTTTCACCCGATACCCCATGGTCCCGGGGTTTGTCTGAGCTTACGGCCGGCCATGATGATCACTCACTGACCTTCCCATTGTGAGGCAGATTTTGCTTTCCCCCAATGATGCCAACTGGCAGCATGCACTCGAAACTACAACTCCTGAAGTACCCAATGTATCTGCGAATCGTTATTCCGAGCGGAAATATGGTACCGTATGACGTAAGTCATTCTACTCCAGTCATGCGGTCTTCTCACAATCTGGTAAAAAGGGGTGACTCCTATTCGAGTACATCTTGTCGGTACCAGGAATTGCAGCGCTTCGATTCTAAGAGCATTCATGTCACAAATATGTTGATATACTGGCAGCTAACAATCATGCAGTGGGGCGAAACAGGAGTCATGGAAAATGTCGTCTTCTTGATTGACCTTCCTCTCATTGAGGATGAATCACGCTGGTCGTCCAACACTCTGACCAACTTTGGCGAGGAACTTCGCTACTTCCTACAAGCTCAAGGTTTGGACGGCAGCTTGGTAAATAGCCTCAGAAAGTATGATTTCTCGGAAACAGACCGTTACAGACTCGTTCACACGATGTGGGTCCACCAAACTCTTCTTTACCGTTTCGTCGTCTTACTTCGACTAACGCGAGAGTAGCGGTCAAACACACGTGGGCGAAAGTTGGCAGCGGACGGGTAAACCTTCATTCAATATTTGACTTAACCGCAACTGCTTATGATCTCAATAGGTTATTGTGGTCTCGGCCGCGCTGTAACGTCGCTCGGGCTTGGAACTTCATCGGATATCGATGTCGATTTCGTGGTTGCATCGCTCGGGTCGGTAAACGCCGACTTGTTGGGATCAATCTATAACGCTGCACAAGGTGAGTTTCATGGGTTCATCCGTCCACTACTCGGTCAGCTCATGTGACGACAGGTGACAATGGAATGAAAGAATATGAGGAGAGGAAGCAGAGAGTCGGCAAGAAGAAGAAGACTTCAGCGGAGAATATGCCAGCGCTCGCCACCAGGTTCCGCATATACTTCCCATCCCAGGATACTGTGGTCCAGAGCCGCGGCGGAAAGAATGTCAGTCAAAAGAATCCGGTCTGGACAGATTATCAGAACAGTCAGAACAACTGACAACCGTTTCAGGCTGGCGGCACAATCTGTGTCCAAAGCAAGTGGTGGGATTCCCCCAGCTTCCCTAGAGAACTGATCCGTGATTGCAAGAGCGTCAGGCCGGGTCTCTTGATGCACAGCAAGATCATGTTCGTGCGCCATGTTCAGTCTGGGGAGTCGAAGGCTGCTTGGGCGTACGTCGGAAGCGCGAATCTCTCCGAAAGCGCGTGGTAAGAGCATCCTATCCCTCCCTGCGCTTTTTGACTTCGGACTAATCCGGGCCTGGGGAATCAGGGGTCGTCTGGTCAAGGACAAAGCGACCGGCCAACCCAAGCTCAACTGTCGCAACTGGGAATGCGGAGTGGTGATCCCTGTACCCGCCGAGGCCACGGCAGGGGGCTCGTCTCACACAGACCTAACCGCCTTCGAGAACAGCATCCCGGTGCCTATGACGGTGCCCGGCGATGCCTATGGTGCTAGCGCATCGAAGCGGCCCTGGCTTTTCCTCGAGAATTGAAGTCTTGTCAAGATGAAAGACAGGCCTAGTCGCCATTGGGACCAGTCGATCTTATAACATTGGCAATTTGGGGCAAGGGTTCCCCTAACTCGGCGGTACTACTATACACGGTCCTGCAACCCAGAATAGTCCCGCACGATCAATGGACAGAATTGACTGCATACATAGGTAGGCACCAATCCCGATGATCTTCTTACGAAGGTGGATCTTCAATCACGACTTCAAGTATGCTTGTCGCGTCGTAATGATCGATCTGAGAGAGCGTTTACCAGGACGATACTACGACAATGGCCCGGATCGCTGCTTCCAAGACATCGGTGTAGATTTTTAATCATGTACAGCGGTCGCTGAGGACACTAATGACTTGTGCCGGTCCCTAAGGCTCTACTATCGGATGCAGCCTCGGGCCGTGCGATGCGCAGTTGTTACCCCTCAATCCACGTCGTTTACGGAGTACATCGTGAGATCTTCCTAGTGCGTGGGGGGGGCACCTCTCGATTGACCGAATAACTGGAACTAGGACCGGAACTGGACATCTGGCAGAGAAACATGTGCGTGGCGAGGGTGAATAGATGCCTGTCGAGCATATCGAGATTGCCCGATGCACATGTGGTACGATGGTCGAGTACTGCTCTCGTCACTCACTCACATGCAAGACGGAAGCAAGACGGAAGCAAGACACCACATGCATGTCGCGCCGGGGATCCCTACTACGCGAGCAAATAAGGTTTGTGAAATGACCTGCATGGCTGCTGGCGGTCGGTACATTCCGGTGACTCCGCATGAGCTACACATCATGTGATTAGCGCCATCGTCGTCGTCGTTGGGTCGTTGGGTCGTTGGGTCGTTGGGTCGCTGGGTCGGCGGTTCTCGGGGCTAACTAATGGGCTCAAAGCCGACGCGTGCCTATGCCAAGAAGCCGTCGAGCAGGCTAGGCGATATGTCACGGCCGCATACTATGATACAGCAAGGGCTGTGAGGTAAGGGAAGAGGGAAGGATGCACGCGAAGCCACCAGGGCCCAGGCACCACGCGTTGCCTGACAACCAGGACATGGCACATGCAGCCATGGCACCTTGGCTGTCGGCATCAAAGCAATTCGCCTCTCGTCACCAGCTACAACGCTGCTGCTGCGGTGGGACTGCCGAGCTCTCGCCGCCGAGTGTTGCGATTCTGCTCACGCGTCTCCCGCAGTTCGATGTCTCTTCGCGTAGCGGTGAGTCGTGACACTCTCGCGCACGCCTCTGGTGGTCAGTGGTCACCACGTCTATGCGCCATACCGGGTACGTAAGAACGATAACAACCTCAAGCTTGCCTCTTCAATCTTGTGCTCACGTCTACACGCCAGACTGGGTCCGCCTGTTCAAGGACGCTAGCATACCATCCATCTATTAGGAGCCTTGACAGCTCGAGCCGAGCTTCCTAGTTTATGGCCGTCGTCGGCTGGCAATAGCTCGCTCGGTATGACGACCGTAGTGCGCGCTATAGATGCTGGACGAGTTGCTAGTCTCGTCTAGTAGAGGAGGGGACTTTTGAAGCTCCCCAAGTGCCGATATTCTACATCTGAGCGCTCCCCTACACCCTACTTCAGTGATGAGGGCACCTACGTCACCGCGGAACCGCAGGCAGCTCGTGCGACGGAACGGAACCACCGCCCGTGTTGTTCTGGCATGTGCTTTTTCTCTCCACGGCCGAACTCCTACACTGGGTGGTGCGACATAGTGACACCCCACGCAGGAACAGCGAGACTATTGATAGCAGCTGTCCTGGTCATATCGCACTACTAAGCGACCATACTCAACATGGCCAATTCGGCCCTATCTCCAATTCGACATCCTCCCGTTAATCTGCTCGAAACATTCACAATGCCCGTTGTCGGCCCCAGTCTACAATCGATATCTCCTAGTGGAGAGGAGGGAAGGGATGGCTTATTGCGATGGCCTGGTCTCCCCCAATGACGGTATTTGCCCGGAGCAAGTTGTGAAGTCGCCGCGGAAGGGCTCGTGAGAAACTGCCTTACGGTTCGTTAAGGTTTACTCCGCAGTCATCGACTGGCAGGGTCCCCCGCGCAAGATCCTTCGACCGGAATCTGCTTTCGGGTTACCGATCTACTGTCGTCAGATTCACAAGCTGGCACATGCGAGCTGTGATGCCGACCAAGACCTCCTGTTCGAATGACGATGGGATTTCCAATCGTGATCGACCAACATGAAACATCATCTACGCCTCCTAGGCCTTGGTCTCCCACTGAGTATCGCAACTGCAGTGCAGTCAGCCAGACGGCGTGAACCTCGAAACCAGCCAAAACATTTTGAATTTGATCGTTCATCGGCTGCTAGGCACGCCTCTAGGCCCAGGGGTAACCTGAAGGTTCGCAACTGTAACGGTTTCGATATTTCCGATATACCAGCTGGGGACTGTCACGAACTCAATTCTTGTAAACTTTCACTGTCTACCGACTGACGGATGAGCCCTACAAACTTAACCCCCTGAGGCTGAGAATAGATCCGCTTCTCATCTAAGCAGAGCCGCAATTTTGTCTCGCGTGGAGTAGTAGGCAAGAAACGAAGATCCTGCAATAGAACTGTCGCGATGTTCGCTCCTGTATCGGCCAGGTGAACTCCAGACTTTACTGGTATGACCTGCCCACAATACGTACTTTTGATCTGGAGCTGGTCAAGCGCCATGTCGATCAAGTACCGTGTGCTATTAGAAGAGGTTGAGGTGATGAACCCAGCAATTGCAGATATTCGCGACGTGGCATGGTCACGAAGAAGTCTCCGGTGACGGACAAACGGTATCAGATCTCTCACCGAAAATACAGGGGCCGCGAGTGCTGCGTATTACGTAAATTTCCCTTCGTCTACGAGGGCCTTCGGATTGGGCAACACTGGCGAGAGTGATCTCGTGCAAGGCTGAGGTAGCCCCTTGGGACGGCCGCATAAGGGGTCTCTGCTGTACCGCACAGCCAGGATGGCTTAGAACCCATCTACACATGAAGAGAACTCAATGGCTTTTGGTACACATGTCCAGAATCAGTTGATACCCACAAATGTACAAGTTGGTGTTCTGCAGGCTGTTGAGTCATCCGCGCTGCGCCCTTGAGCGCGTATTTTCCAATATTTGTTGAGTATTTCCAATGGAGTCCGTGGGGGGCCACTCCTCATCGGGGTCATGCCATCAGATGCAACTTGGCCACTGTCTGTCTGTCGTCCTATATCGCGAGTACGGAATCAACAACACCGGCGTCATTGTCAGTCCATGTGGCCTAGGCAAGTGCCGGTTGCCTTGCATGTCGGTTCAGGCTCCTATAGCGATATTCCTCTGTCACGAGCGCCGCTGCGGCACCATTGCAGTTGTGAGTCGCTGTAAACAGTTGACAACAACGTCGACGCCAAGACCAGGCAGAAACCTGCTCAGTAACAACCGAAATAATTCACAAGGACGCAGCGCGTCAAGGAATTGCGCCTCTATCTACAAACAGTGCCGGTTTCGAGCAGTAATAATTTCCGTGAAGGACATGGCAGCAGGTGCTCTCATTGATACCGAGAGGGCGGCCAGGATACCTGTCTGACCAAACCCCCTTTCCCGGCCGGCGAACCCCTGAGACGTCTGGTCATGTCTGGGGCAATACATAGACACATAAGTAGCTATCCCAGCTGCCGATCTGCAAGTTCGATCGGCGGGCACTGTTATTATTGTAGATGAGTAGGTGGGGTGTGGGCTGGCAGGTAACGCCTGCCGGCCACTGGTTCGCGTTCGAGGTCACCGACATAAGCAAGACATAAGCTTTGAAACGAGGACGGGGGCTTGCCGGTGCTGGTTTCGTGGCATTTAGTGCTGATGCTTGTTCCGAGGTACCGAGAGGGTAGCTTGCCCAAAAGAGGAATACCTCTGCTGTTAGTCTGCGGTTTCCGTCTACCTAGATCTATCACCTGTGCCTCCAGGTGTCCAAGCCAGTCAACCCCAGTGGTCGTTGAGCTTCGGCATAGGTACAGACATGAAAGTAACAGTCAGAATGTGCGCAGATATGTAGGATATGGGAGTGCATTATCTTGCGTACTGCAACATCATAACAACCTTGTAGGAGGTACTTCGATGGGAACATCAATGATTGAACTGGGGGAGGTAGAGCTACCGAGGTCGATAACCCCCAGGATAGTGGCTCCTGCTAGCGGCTGGAACTGGCTCATGTTCACCTGTTCACCTACCTTAAGGTAGGTAGTACTGTAGAGGTGGTCTTGGGGGACTAATGGGCTAATGTACGAGGGCGGTAGCTTCCTTCCTCGCTCGCATCGCAAGCACCATCGCAACCACCCGTGGACGATGAATTACTAGTAACTGCTCGGCCCATCTCCCCGTCTCAGTCTCAGTCTCCATACATCTCGAATGATAATAGTCCTATTCCATCGTCACCTCCCTCTCCACATCACAAGCCAAGCTCCACCTCCGCCTCCTCCACATTCCCGTCATCTACGCCCAAGTGTACCTGCCCGTGGAGGTACTTTACCGGGGCTTTAGCTACCTGTCTTGTCTTGCTTGCATTTTGTCCATCTCCATGGGTTCTGTCCACATACCTACATCAAGTAGTAACTCAAATCCAGGCGGACACCCTCGCACCTCGAGCTTACATCTACACTTTCGCGAATCTCACATCGCAGCTCCCCCAACAACCAACAGTTAGCACTTAGCACAGAGCACAGAGCACAGAGCACAGAGCACAGAGCAATCGCCTCGCTCCTCCTCGTTTCAGCCAGGCTTCTCCTCCAGCGAGTGCCGTGATTACCAGGCACTGCACTCTCCTGTCACCACGCGGCGGAAGGCAGAGGACAGCAACCACAGCTGCCCTTTTCAAAACACTGCCCCCCACGGTGAGGTACCCAGAATACAGTCGCGGCGTATCAGCCACCGAAGATACCGCTCTCTACGAGTGCTTTTTCGAACTCTAACCCCCTTCACCTCTTCTAGCCATACTTGTAGTAGGAAAGTCAAAATCAGCCACACTACCAGAGACGGTCCATACGAAGCACTCGACCTGCCTGTACCCACGTCCGCCGGTCTGCGTCTCCTCCCAGACCCTGAGCACTGATCCCGCCTGGGCTTAAACTGTCATTGTTCCCCAATAAAAGGCTGCTGGGCACCGGCAAACTTGACTTTGACCGCTGCACTTTCTTTATTCTTCAAGCTTTCCACCAAAAGATATACTTCATCGGCCACTACCCACCCATCTCTGTCTTGTCGTCCTTCTGAGGAAGGCTATCGACACCTTCGCCTGCTGTCTTGCTTTGGTCTGGAAGCCATCGCGTCCTGAGCTCCTGAGCTCGACGACGCCAGACCAGGGCCGCCGGCTCCTCACAGAGCTATCATGGCCGAACGCATGGCCCAACCCCTTCAGCCGACGTTTACCGGCTACATTCACACGACTTTGGATGCCTTGATCCTCTTCGAGGCCTGCCTCGTTGGCCACCTACAACATGTGCCCCGAAGACCACACGACAGAGAACGGAACGACCTCATCAGGAGCGGCCACGTCTTCATCTACGAAGAGCACTCCTCCGGCATAAAGCGGTGGACCGACGGCGTCACATGGAGCCCCAGTCGCATCCTGGGCAACTTCCTCATCTATCGAGAACTGGACAAGCCCTTCGAGCCTGGAGAAAAGAAACGTGCCAACAAGAAGGCCACGGCCGAAGGCGGCGTCGCGAAGGCTACTAACCACTCAAGATCCAGCTCCGTTGGCGAGATCGTCGGCGCTTTTTCGACCCAGACGCAGTACACCGACTCGTACGGCCACCCCCTCAGCGATGATACAATCAGAGATCTTGTAGGCTCCCTTGTCGATTCGTACGCATTCAAGAGCATGGGCCTGGTGAAGAAGACCATCTCTGTCACGTATAAGCAAGTGCAGCACCACTTGGTCTCCTACTACACCATGGCAGACGTTGTCGATGGTCACTTGACGCGTCCATCTGAAAGCCCGACGCTTCAAAACATGTACCCTCGACACGACCTCATAGCTTGCAGCTCGTTTCGATCCCCTGTTCAAGAGTTTCCCCCTTGGGACGGTGTCAGCACCATCCAGTTTCGAGACTACGCGAACTCACTCCCACCTCCTCCCGAGTATCCGATGCCTGCGCCCCGATCAATGTCAGTCGTTTCGGCAACGTTCCCGCAGACCGTGTCTAGCTGGGGAAACACCACGGCCATGGATAACACATGGGGCGCCGTGTCCTCGGTGCGATTGCCGTCCCTGCCGTCCCTGCCGTCCAACATGACCTCCCCTGCGAGCAACCATTCTTTTTCCCACTCCAACGGCACCAACGCCATGCTGCATGGAACGTCGTCTTATTACCAGCTATCGCCGGATTATCATAGAGACCAGGGCGTATCGGATTTTGGTGTCAATCGACGACACTCGTTTGCTCCCGGAACAAGCACATTAGCCCTCAGGTTGTCCAACTCTAATGGTGTCCAAGGGGGTACTGGCTTGTCAAGTACTGGCTTGTCAAGTCATGGCTTGCCCGGCCCGTCGTCGTACGGTTCTGGCGCCGCGTTCAACGCGGCAGCTCTGGCGGCCACGTCGGGTCCGACCACAAATGGCTTCCAATCGCACAGCTCCAGCCAGCGCAAGGACGAGTACGACGAGTACGACATGAACGCGGCGGCTGGTCAGAGCAACGGAGGATTCAATGGTGGAGGCTCGACACTTGGCTCGCAAGCCTACGCATCGAACGCGGCGGCCGGTCACAGCAACGGACGGTTTGATGCTGAAGATTGGGCACATGATTCGCAAACTCATGCACTGAAAGCGGCGGCTGAGGAGAGCGATGAAGAGTTTCCTGGCCCAGGACATGTTCATGTTGGGCCGGCGGACGCACCGACCGCGGCTAGTCATCAGAGCCACGTAGGATACACCCATGCCTCAATAAGTGCGCCTTATTACAGCAGCACTTACTAGGAGGCGCAATGATGCATGTTTTTGATGCTTTTGATGCTTTGATGCTTTGGATGCTTTTGATGCTCTTGATGCTCTTGATGCTCTTGGGGGTCTTGGGGTTCTTGGGTTCGTATTCTCTCTGTCAATAGAATAGGAAATACCCATACCAAATATTGACTTTTGTTCCCTACCACGATGAATGAACATAATAAACAGTAGGATCGTGATGATGACCGCCCCCGTCAGCGAGCGACGTGGGGTGATCAATAAGCGCGCGGTAACTGGGATGCACCCTGTCGTCTCTCCCTGTCTCTCTCTGTCTCTCTCGGCTCGTCGTCGGGGACAGTGCTACATAGAAAGAAGCTGTCGCTATAGTGAAGAGTTGATGATGAAGCGCACTGTGACACTGCACTATAGCTGCTGCCCGAGTGGGCGAGCGCGGCGCTAGCGCTGCTCGCTGTCAGTTCCGATGTCCATGATTGGTCCATCTTAGCGAGCACGGTGCGCAGAGAGCTTCTAGCAACTGTGATCGGTCACCACCACCATGCCCTGCACGTCTGTTTTCTCCTGGCTTAGCTCCGACTGCCTCACACCCTCACCTGCGTTACGAACCGCAAAAGGAGGTACACTGGATCCGGAACTCGCACGCGCTGCGGTTGTTGCTGGCTGGGTGTTCACCTATTATTACTTGTACTGACACTCGCTCAACCTTGTCTCCTCCCGGTGCTGTCTTCGCGAGGGCTCGCCCAGCATCGCATTGACCCAGACCTGCCTCCTCGGCCGGGTCGGTATTCTCCCCGACGAGGAACCAGGTTTGAAGGCTCACCCGCCTTGTTGGTAGATCGTCTCAGCGCAGCCCTGACCGGCTCAGCTGGTCAATCAGGGCCAGGCCATCATTCGAATTGGACTCGACAGAGCCTCCTTCAGCAGCGAGTGGTGTATGGTGCTTTGGTACATGGTGCACGGTATCTGGGCCTTCTGCTAGGTGGTTCGCAGACAGCAAGGCGGGAATCAGATTTGGGAATGATAGGAAACGCCCGGTACTACCACTACAAATACCACCACCACCACAACCATGACCTCAAGGGCTACCACCGCTATACTGCGCGGTGGCGGCGCCCGTGCTGCTTTGGCTTCCGCTTCCCGCAACTCTGCGGCGCTGCACCACCTGGGTCCGAGATTGGGTCTGAGCTTGAGTCCGAGCCTGAGCTCGTCCGACGCCGCGGTTTCGGCTGGGTCTCGTGCCTCCTTTTCGACGTCGTCGCTGTCGTCTTCTGTTGGCACGGCGGGTCCGGGGAGGGTTGGAGCGGGAGCCGGAAGGAGAGGGCTGTCAGGCTGGAGGTCGACGCATACGGCGTGTGCTGCTCCCTTGCGGTGGCAGAGTGCGGCTGCTGTGAATGCGCCGAGGCCGGGGATCGTGGGGGCGCGCGTTGGCGAGCTTATGGGTGCGAAGACCGGCACGGCTTCGATGTGCGCGCATGGGGCTGGGGCTTGGATGGCATGCGGCTCAAGGAGGGCCTTTTCGGTTACTGCTCGATACTGCCGGGAGAAGAAGCCAGATCAGGATAAGTAAGTTCTTTCATCTCATTCAGGAAGGGTCTGACCCTGGACGTCACAGGGGAATGACATGAGCTCTAGCTTTCGTCGACGTCGGCTCCCCTTTTTCTGGGCGTGGTCACGCTATCACTGTTGTAGTCTATGAATTGGGCTGACAAAATGCCACCAGAACGCCATCTTCATCATCAGCACCATCAACTGCACCCCAACAACCTGAGCTCGAGCTCAAGGGGATCCGCAAGGTGTTACCGAAACTGCCCTCGCTGGCCTCGGCGACGGCCCACGAGAACATCTACACGGTGCCGAACCTGCTGACGTTCTCGCGGCTCGCCCTGGCGCCCTTCATCGGCTATGCGATCCTTCGCGACGCGCACACGTGGGCGCTGGGCATGTTCGTGTACGCTGGCGTCTCGGACTTGCTCGACGGCTGGATCGCGCGTCGCTGGAAGCTACAGACCGTTGTTGGCAGCGTTGTTGACCCCATGGCTGACAAGATTCTGATGACGGTTTTGACGGTTTGCTTGGCTACCCAGGGGGCACTTCCCGGTAAGTTACTCTTTTTTTTTAGCTGCCATTTGAGTTTCCTCCCGCTGTGCCATAACTTTCTCGGTTATCGCCACGCCTTCTTAAAAATACAGGCTCAGGGCTCCAACGGTTTCCGTACATCTCTGGAGTTTGCTTACCAACCTGACGGATGTTGCTATTTAGTGTGGCTGGCGGTCATCATTCTTGGGCGCGACGTTGGCCTTGGCATCGCCGCCATCTACTACCGCTGGATCTCACTCCCGCCTCCGAAGACGTTCACGCGATACTGGGACTTCTCATTGCCATCCGCGGAGGTGAGGCCCACGACAATCAGCAAGTACAACACGTTCTTGCAACTGGGATTGATGGGCGCGACGATGGTAGCGCCAGTTATCACCGCAGACGTTGGTGTTGCCATGACGGGTTTCCAGTAAGTAAATTCCGCCTCCCTTGTGTTTGGAGCTTGCTGCAGTATTTGTTGTTTTGTTCCATTTCATAATTACGACTATCAGTGGCAAAGCTAATACCTGGGACAGATACCTCGTCGCGACTACTACGGTTTGGAGTGGTTTGAGCTATGTCTACACCAAGGACGCGGTCAAAATCCTGTCTGAAAACAAAGAGAAGTCTAAGGACACATAGGCACTCCTCCGGCTCTTCAGAGCGAACAGTCTATGTTTTCGGCTGCCTGTATATTAAGGGGTATCATTGCATAAAGCGGTCTGTCATATACGCAAGGCTATGCGGGTCGATATTCAATATGGCCGTCAGGCATGGCAACCAGCCAGCAATTCATTCTGTTTGGTCCATTGGCTTGCCTTGTCACTCCCTCCTATGCAGTTTGGGGTAGGGGAGCCACTTCGTGAGCAGTGTTTGGTAATCTAGGATTGCTTCAGTCCTTCATCGGGGTGTATGAGTCCAGAGTTTGCTACAGGTTTGTCGAACAGCGGGCAAGTTCTTTGGACGCGACATGACTATATTTGCTTGCTGCAGCCACTCTGTTGTCTACTAACAAGCCATCTCGTATTTGCGAGACGGATGCCAATCTCTGGCGAATCGATCAAACCATGAAGTTGAGCCTGCCACCCACCCAGGGCGGGTTGTGTATAAGACCGAAGATCCGGCAGCTTGTGGTTGTAAGTCGTTTCTGTACTGCTATCATCACCTTTCATTCACACTCTAGTAGTCTAATGACATTATATAAAACTACGAGTTCGGGCTCGTATCGCCATAGTCAATTTCTCAATTTCTCAATCTTTCAATGTCTTCTTCTCCATCGACGACCAGCGGGAACTATGTACACTGTAAAACAGCGAGACTCCTGAGAGAACGGCGACGTCACGTCTTTCGAACGTACCCCCCTATCAAGCTCGACCATGGGACCTTTACTTTTGCTCCCCCTTTCCTAGTCAATTAGACCATGCCGCTACTAAGCTGTGCACAGCGAAGGATGACCTTCAAAGACTGCCTTCCGGGCTGAGGAGTTACGGGAGGTCAACACATCCTGGGTTTCATCCGTTTCCGCAATGGAGTACCAGTTCATCGTCGAGGGAGGATAACGGACCCCTGCTCTGTGGATTCGCATAACACGCTACAACGACGAAGGCAGGCCACACGTGTTTGTGTACTTTGGTCAGCCTCGGAGGGTCCGTGGCCAAGGCCGATTGCCTAGAGAAGGTCGCCGCAGGAAAGGAGCATTGTGTTGGAGAATCCTTCCACCCTAGCTACTCTGCCACGACCAGGGACGACCACAGTCAATCTTCAATTCGACGCAGTGGATTCTCATCTCCCCTCCCTTCCCAAGCGGCACCTCACGGTAGAGCAAGAACAAGACTCTCACTGAAAATCGGTTTGGACCTGATCCAGACAGCCGCAGACGACTCATCGTTCGACGCAAACACGGTTGTGTCGGTTTTTCCCCAGGTTCGCCCCGTAAACTCGAGTTTATGTCATCGAACGAAGACCTGAACAACAAAGGTACGTACGATCCTTCCCGCCACATACCGTTCCACCAAGCTTCGGAGAGGATCTGTGAGCCGGGCTCTCTGGAGGCCTCGACGATAGGTGACTAACGAGCTAGACAGACATCAGAGTCACACCCAAGCGCATCTACCTATGCTCCCCTTGCCAAAACCCTCCCTTGCTCCTTTCAATTGCCTACATACCATGGCCGACCATCATTTCACTCGTCATGCTTACTAATTCTCGTACGTCTCAGTACTTTCTACAATTTGCCCCCTATATATATCATACAAAGCCTATTAACCAAAGTAAAGCAGCATTAAGGTTGACGACGCCTCGCCGAGATGTGCCACAATTCCGCTGGCCCTCTGGGTCATTCGTGCCGCCCTTGCAATACCCCTTGCAACTGCAACAGTGCTGCCGTAAACCCCGACAACACTGAAGATAAGGCAGCCGAGCCGATTCCTGAGCTCGTAGTCGAGTCTGCTGGCGGCGACTCAGCTGACGCCAACCACATGAACACGTCGACGTCAGGTGGCGAGCACGAGACGTCTTCATCGTCCTCGAGCAACATTGATGGTGCGCAGCAGACGCCCGACTATCACGACGAGAACAAGATTGCCCATGAACGGCACCACCATTCTCAACCTACTGGGCGTGCGAGATTGTAGACGCCTACCTGACACGCCACGGCAGCTGCGCCAGCGACCTCAGCTTCTCCCGGAGTCAGCAACGTCAATCCGAGCCTTACATACCCAATGCTCAACGGAGTCGCGTACGTATCATCAAGATACCATCATGACCGACGCTGGCGGCACTTCTTCTGAACCGGGACAAGTAAGCCAATTGACTACGGAGTTTGAAAACTTCTTGCACATCACTTTCCTTCACATTTACACGCAATCCGAGAACGAAGAAGAACACATCCCCAAACGACCGCTCAGCCCGTGGCAGCTTTGGCTAATCCAAGAGCGCCGGAAAGTCTACAGCCTTCCCAAGCACGAGCGGCGCTGCCATCGTCAAGCGCTGCTCATTGGAGGCCTGGACATGGCGATGCGGAGGCAGGGGTGGGAAGGTCATGTTGGGGTGTGCGAGGGGGGCGCCAGGGCTGAAGCAGGACGCATTATGCAGAATATCAACTATTTAGTGATTATCTACCTACACACGAATCTGTGAACTTGTTCTGCCCGTGTTTGAAGCTCATCCTCTAGTCTTGAGTCTCGCAGACGGATGCGAATCTCGTCACGTCCAACTATGCAGCGCCATCAACCAGCCAGCATAGGTGAGGTAGGCGCGCTTCGGCCAGTGCAACGCGTCTGGCTCGGCCATCACGCTACTCTAAGGCACCTCGGTCTTGATCACAACAGGCGTCCTCTTGAGACCCTGTTTTGAGGGGGGTTTGTTGAGGGAGACGGGCTTGACTGCGTTGCTTGACTGACTTGACCTTCCTGGACCGAGCCAGGTCCGGCAGTGTAGAGACAGCCCGCGCAGCCCTAAATTCCCTGGTTTCGGAGCAGCTCCGAAATCATCAAAGGTGTAGGCACGAGATGCAGAAATTGTTGAGGGACAGGTGGTAGTCTGGCTTGGGGTTGCTGGGGCATCTCCTCAGAGGGGTCATACGGGGTCGGATCTGCTGCGCTTGTTCCTTTCCGCATGCGGGCTTCACTAACTGGGCGAATGTTCAAAACAAACCCTGATCACGTCGCTCGATCGCAGATCTTAGCACCGGCGCCTCTGTCACCTCTGGGCAGCAACGCCAGTAAATACCCCGAGCCTGTGTTATTGAAAATCCGCCTCATGTGACTCACCTCGTCCAGATTAGGCTGAGGGTGTGCAGATATCAGGAGGCCATCCCGTTAAGCTTTCGTCCGCTCCCGCCCCAACGATGGTGGCTTGCCGGCACGTAAGGTTCTGGCCGTCTAGGTTTGAGATCTGGACGGTACAGTAGCACCAAAACTGTTGAATCTCAAGTTCCTGGCCAATGACAATCCACTCTTCGACGGTCGCACATGCTTCCCAACGTTGCTGATCCAACTGACCTGGCGCAACGTCAAGCCCTGAAGATGGCCGAGGTTAATCGACAGCGCCACCAGGTCAGAAGAACGCCCTCACCGAGACAAGAGGATCTAATCGCGCCCCTAGCTCTCCCCCGAGTGTGAATAGGCGCCACGCTTGAGCAAGATGCTTCCCAAGTACCGTGACATTCAGCCGTAAGTACCTTCGCTTTGTGACCAGTACTTCATGTCATCGAGTGGGGGTCACGTCTTGCAGTGAGGAGTTTCCGCGGTGGTCACATGCTCGTCTGCTGCCGCGCCCGATGGAACCGGTTGCCTTGAATCTTCTTTTCAAACACATATGATGTGATGGTCGACTGAGACGTGGGCGCGAACATGTGTCATGGTGCGCGGCCCCAGTTGTAGACTCACTGCCAGACTGGAGTTGGGCGACGGAACGAAGATGTTGTTGCGCTATATTGCGTTGAGGGTGGCCACTGCGGTCTCCATGGAGGAGTGTAAAGAGGGTCATCGCTATATGTGTGGTTGTATTTACTCGAGATAATTAATCCGGCAGAATTGACACCACCTGGCTTAGCTTCATACGCTAGTGCTGCCGCCTACCGCTTGAAGTGCCGTGTATCGTTATCGCAATGCTTATCGCCGAAATCTTTAGATCCCGAAATGCGACAGCGACGGCGACGGCGAAGCGAAAACCCTTTGCGCCGACGTGAACCAATGCGCATCTTTCAGTAGCATTCCGATCATGAGGAAAGCATGGCTGCCGCGAGGGTTGAGTTGGCCTTCTACCATGGTGCGGCGGCAACGACGCTTTTCACCATGTCTCCGTAACACTTTCGCCACCGTCACTGAAGGTTCAAGGTTAGCTCTAACCCGCCCAGCCGTGTCAACGTCCGTCCGAGAGCTAATCGCAACGGCAGACCTTTCGATGTGGTCGTCGTAGGTGGCGGACACGCAGGAACCGAAGCCTGCGCGGCAGCCGCACGATCAGGCGCGAGAACGGCGTTAGTGACCCCGAAGATCGACAACCTCGGAGTATGCTCCTGCAACCCAAGTTTCGGCGGGATAGGGAAGGGGACGATATTACGCGAGATCGATGCCTTGGACGGAGTTTGTGGGAGGGTAATAGACAAGGCCGGTGTCCAGTTCAAGATCTTGAACCGGAGGAAGGGCCCCGCGGTATGGGGACCACGAGCCCAGATCGATCGGAAGCTATACAACAAACACATGACGGAGGAGTTGCAAACATATCCGAACCTATCTATCATCACCGGCAGTGTGTCCGACATCGTGACAGACAGCAGCACGGACCCGAATAACACGACGAAGGGTAGGATAACGGGTGTGCGGCTTGAATCGGGCGAGATATTACCAACAAGCCAGGTCATTATTACAACTGGAACTTTTCTAAGCGCAGAGATACATATCGGGCTGGAGACGTTTCCCGCTGGTCGCATGGGAGAAGATGCGACCTTTGGGCTGAGCAAGTCGCTGAAAGAAGCCGGGTTCAAGCTCGGAAGGCTTAAGACTGGCACGCCCCCTCGGATAGCCAAAGGAAGCATCGACTACAAGGCTCTCGAAGTTCAGAAGGGAGACGACCCGCCAGAACCTTTCAGCTATCTACACGACAAGGTGGCGGTGGAGGATCAGCTCCTCTGTTGGGCGACGTACACGAATGATGCAACCCACGATGTTGTACGAGCCAATCTGGAAAATACTATACATATACGGGAGACGGTGAAAGGACCACGATATTGTCCCTCGCTCGAGTCCAAGATCATCAAGTTTGTCGAGAAGGAGCGGCACATCGTCTGGCTTGAGCCGGAGGGCTTCGACAGCGATGTCATCTACCCCAATGGACTCTCCATGACAATACCAGCTGAGGCCCAAGAGCAACTGTTACGCACCATTCGCGGGTTAGAGAATGTACAAATGACACAGGCTGGGTACGGCGTGGAATACGACTATGTCGACCCACGCAGTCTCAAGGCCACGCTGGAGACAAAGGCTATATCGGGTTTGTTCCTGGCTGGCCAGATAAATGGCACCACAGGCTACGAAGAAGCCGCCGGACAAGGTATTGTGGCGGGCATCAATGCAGGTCGTGCGGCTCAAGGGCTGTCGCCAGTCACGATCACACGCGCAGACGGTTATATCGGCATCATGATTGACGACCTTGTCACCAGGGGTGTCTCGGAGCCCTACCGTATGTTCACTTCTCGCAGCGAGTATCGCATGTCCACGCGCGCCGACAACGCAGACCTGCGGCTCACAGCCAAGGGTCGTGAATGGGGCGTCGTCTCGGACAAGCGCTGGACTCGCCACACCGACGAAAAGCAACAGATGGACACGCTCAGCGGACTTCTGAGCGCACACTCCCTCAGCGCACCGGCATGGATCAAGCATGGCTACAAGGTCCGGGAAGACGCCAAGTACCGCAGCGGACTCGACATCCTGCGTCTGCCCAACATCGGAGTGAAGGACCTCGTCGAGCAGGTCCCGCTCATCAGCTCTTACGCCGCGCGCATCCAGGAGCGCGTCACCATCGAGGCGCGCTACGCGCCGTACGTGACCATGCAGCGCGCCGAGCAGGCCCTGTTCCTCAAGGACGAGGGCCTGCGGCTGCCGACGGACCTGGACTACGACACCGTCTTCGGGCTCAGCTTCGCCGAGAAGACCGCCCTGAACGCGACGAAACCCGAGAGCCTCGGCCAGGCACGCCGCATCGAGGGCGTCACGCCCGCCGGCTGCGTGCGCCTGCTGAGCTTCGTGCAGAGGCAGGACCGCGCGAGGCAGTTCGACGCCCTCGCCGAGATGGCGCCGCTGGGGAGCGAGGTCGATACGCTGGACGCGGAGGCCAGGACGAGGGAGCTATGAGTGCTTGTGTATATAACTGACTGTGTGCACGATGGGCTAGAATGTACTTTACTGTATAATGTTAGTTGTTACTAGGACCCGTACTTGGATTCACGCACGTTATAGCGGAATCAGACGAACGCCAACGTACCGCAACGTTACGGCAATACCTCATTCCATTGCAGCTAGTCAGCAGCCAGCAGCCCTTAAAGGAGCTCCCGTCTCGCTGCCAATCATCCATTGCTTTACCCAACATCCATCCATCCATTCATTTATCTGTGCCATGTGTGTGCTACGTAAGGTAGATTGCCTGTTTCATGAATTCTCGTACGTACCAGCCCTCCTGCACTCCAACACTGTCCCACATTGTCCCATCACCACCTGGATACGCACCGAAACTCGCTTACCCTAGACAGACCTGTAAGACATGTACTGAAAAGGTGTGTTTCGAGGCAGCGGTAATGGGACATATATGGGTTCCGGGTTCGGTTTTGTACGAGATATGCTTTAGACCTGACGAGCCGTGCCGCCAGTCTTCCCTTCGCGGGAATGGGTATAAAGTGACCTCTTCCCAACCCGACCACCGTTGTCATAAACCGAGTCCCTTCCGCATCTACATTTAATCCTCTGCCATTTAACCCTACCACAACTATCCACAGTCCCAAGATGCGGACCGCTGCACATTTCACCATCCTCTTGGCCACCGCGCTCGGACACGCTCATGTGGCATTGGCCGAGAAGGCATACGACGTGTCCGAGGGTGAGAATTCACCGCAGCGGCCAAGCTCCTCGTTGCAACGCAGGCCCCTCTATTTCCAACTATCCTAAGGATGGCGAGTGCGTTGTCATGCAATGGCCTGGGTGCAACAGTGACAAGGGTCCCGACTCCGTCGAACTGAGGAGGACGACGGTCAATCCGGACAGGCTATTGCCAGATGACTCGCTGCGGTCGGCCTCTCTCTGCGAAAGAAGTACGTGGCTTTTCCGAGGTTGGAGGATCGCGATGACAGCAACCTGTCGCAGTTGAATTCTACCCGAGAGACGATTGCTTGGGCCATCAGGGGTTTTACAAATTTCTTCCGCCGAAGTCGTACTGTGCGAGGCTCGAGGGAGGCTTCAAGTCTTACAAAGCCTTTGGCTGTGTCCGTACAGGGCCGCAGGGTTGATGTTGTTTTGCAATGGCAGCCTCCGGTACTGGCCCCAGATGGCAAGGGGTACGCAGGGGCCATGAAGGAATCAAGCCAATATGGGGAGGGCTCTTTCAGTTATCTATCTACTCGTGACGAACACTACGGAAAATTGCAAATCTTGCTAAGTTCATATAATCCTAATCTTGCTGCTATACCCCCTGGACTCTTCAAGGGCATCAGATGTGCTTGGGATGAGTAATCGGTCCGTAGGCGAATGAGGGTTGTCGTTCAACTTGGGTACATACCTACCCATGCCACCCTTAGACCGGCACGATCGTCATTCCGGAATGACCTGCGGATGTCGGACGACAGTTTAATGTTTAATGATGATGATGACACAGACCCGCATGTCTCTAATCTCGGTACTAGGTAGTGACACCCAGACCGTGGCTTTCGTTGTGATACCCGGCTTCCCTACTCAGCTTTGTCTCCGGCGACCTGGTTGCCGTGAGCGGCTTCTAGGTAACGTAACTCGCCTACGAGATGGCGTGCGGCTGTCAAGTGGCCGCAAGTACTAGCCATTACTTCACCGCTGCCTCTGGGCCGGCAAAAGTCCACCTCTGCATGGCATAACAGCCCCATGTTTTATCTCATGAGCCATCTCGAAGATGAGCCTCAGCAGCTCAAACCCTTCCACTTGATTTTCCAAGGAGTCCAATGACAACTAACTACCCGTGGAAGAAGCCATGCCCTAAAAGAACAGTTTTCCGCAAGGGAGTAAACGCTGGTGGACGCGTGTGATTAAGAGCGTCTGTCCATAGGGGTTGGAGAGGGGCCTTGACGACAACGCCCGAACCGAATAGTAGAGGGATCGAAAAACAGTAAAGAAATTAAAACTCGGCTGCAAAATCCTATGGAGGTGCCGCAAGTCGCTGAAGCAACGTGTTTCTCTAGCCCGTCCTCAGACTACAGGAAGAAAGCGATGCTACGCGAGTCTAGTCTACACTATACTATGTTCAAGATGCTTCCAAATGGCTTATGATCTATTCACTCCCCATGTCCTGTGGCCATGTCCTGTGGCCCTTTAAGCCCTTACATATAGGTTAACTCGCTACCCCCTAAAGTCGAACATTTCCCTGATATCTCAGGCGCGGGCTCGTTTATGGCTGTAATTCTGACCGAGTAATTTCCCTGGGTTATCTGATATCTTGCCATTGGCAATGGAAATTAGATACCTAGCCTGCTCGCCCCGAGGCTGTCAGTCTCCAGCGTCTTCCTGGAAATGGCCGCGCTACCCCATTTCTATGCAATCATGCATCTTTTGACCCGATGTAGATACCACGAGCGAATGGTCTGTTGTGCATAATATCTATTCTCGGGAGACCAGTATAGCCCCTGGGTCCCTCTATGTCATGAATGACAAGTCGGCGTTAAGCTCCTCTACGTCGCTCTCTGGCTTGGCGAACAGGTGGTAACTTAGGTGCACGCAGTAGAGAATTTGCCCAATAAAGGCGGTATTCCATCAAGTCCTCATTCTCCACAGTCCGTGGCATTGAACATCGGATGGGCGGTAGATCGTACGCAGTGAATACAAGGGTCGTCTAGGGGTTCATTAATGCTCTCGCCTACTGTGTATCATGGATGCCTGTGAACGACGCGACACCGATACGAAATTGCCAGTCGGCGGCAGCGAAAGCTAGGGCGACTCCAATGAATTGTGTAAGTCTGGTCAACAGGGGCAACTCATCGCCCAGTAGCGTGACGCCTCCTGACCTTTGTGTGTCCAGACCTGCAAAGAGCAGAGACACTCGACTATCATGACGGCTGCTCCCCTGTGGGTTGTTGTCCCCGGTATGAGCCTGCTCCGTTTAGTCTCATACAGTGGTAAACGTCCAGAATCCGCCCTCGAACCTGTGTATGCCTCATCTTAGATAATGCAGCTTGAAGGGCCAAGTCGAAAGGCGGCCCAACAGGAAGAAACCGTCTCCCACTACCTAGGTGTGCGAACAACTTCAATGTGTGATTGATTATGCAAGCCAGCAAACCCGTTTATTCCATGTGGAGATAGGCGCTTATCCCATTCGTTATAATTTTAGCCCCTGCCAACCCCCCCCAGCAACCCTCCATCACCGAAAGCTGAATGTTTCCAAAGACGCAAACCTCCTCTTCGCACGTCTAGAAGCACGACTTTGGAATAAGCGCCCATATTCCACTGTCCCAATCACCCAGCGCGCTTCCTACCCTCACGAGATCCTGCTTATACCTTTTACAAAATGGAAGACAACAAGGCCGAGCTACTGCAATATGCACGTGACTACGCACCCACGAAGGACCTGTACGCCATGCTAGGCGTGACATCGGATACAGAAACACCCGCCATCCACCGCGCCTGGCGCAAAGCCTCGCTGAAGCACCACCCCGACAAGGCAGGCGCGCAGTTCGACGCGGAGCTATGGCAACTCTTCGAGCGCGCGCGCGACATCCTCTCGCAGCCCGAGGCGCGTCAGGCCTACGACACGGCGCGGGGCGCGGCCCTGCAGCACGAGCAGGCGCGCGCCGCCATGGACAAGGCGCGCCGCGACATGATCGAGGACCTGGAGGCGCGCGAGCGCGGCGTCAAGCGCAAGGCCGATGGCGGCGGCGACGGGGGCAGACACGTCATGACCGAGGCCGAGCGCAGGGTGCTGCTGGAGAAGGGCAACCGCAGGCTGGAGGAGCGGCGGCGACTCATGGCCGAGGCGGAAGCCCGCGATCAGGAGCGCGAGCGGCTGCGGAGGGCTAAGGAGAAGGAGGAGGCCGAGGAGGAGGCTGCTCGCGATGTCCCAGCGGCCCGGAGTGACGACGCTACAATGGATGCTGGTTCGGCGCCTGCCGCGCGGCAAGAAGACGGCTACGACGATCGCATAGCGGACCTCGAACGGCGACTTCAGGAGTCACGGGAAAAAAAGGCGGCACGCAAATCAGGGAAGAAGGTACGAAAGGGCGATGCAGTTCCGAGTGTACGGGCTACAATGTCAGCTACATCACCAAAATCAACATCTACGGCAGGTACGACAGATACGACACAACCTTCCAGGGTCAAGGGCGACTTGATGGCGAGATTGCGAGCGGCGCAAGCAGAAAAGGAGCGGAAGAAGGCAGAGGAAGCCGCAGGCGCGGCCGCACAATAGAGTGGACGGCTGTCCTCACCCGCTTTACGATACCCAATCTTGATACCCCCGGCGCCTCAAAGCCGAATAGATTTTCTCTTGCCCTCAGTGGAGTACCTAAGCAAGCTTTCATGTGATTGTTCCAGGCAGGTTGTGTGTCATGGAAACGCGACTTGACTAAATGAGTCACGTCGCTATATGGGTCTTTAGCAGCTCGAGATTACATCAGCAAGTAGCAATGCAATCAAATCTTGATTGGTCTAGTGGTAAGGATACCCGCTTGTCATAGACAAGTTCAAAGCGCGGGTGGCCGGGGTTCGATTCCCCGATCGAGAGAAACAGTTACAACTTCATTTTTGCTGGTTCGGTATATTTATTTCTACTGCTGTTAGTGCCCTTGGCGATTGAGCTTTTTGGTTCCATTCTGGTACACGGCCCGTAGTGCGGGTTGGGGTGGTTATCCCATGATAACAAATTCCACGATGGCGACGCAGAGGGAACACAGGACTGTCATCATGAGGGAGACGATCCTGCCTCTACAAGAAGCAATCTTGACTGTCCACGCAGTTCATCAACCTCCCCAGATTCATCCCATATCGTACCACTAGACTACAGGTACAGCTACAACCAGCCCAGCTAGTGCGTAGAGGTATTACTCTCATCCAGCCTCCTACGCAGCCACTCCGGCACGAAAGCCTTAACCTTGACCGCCCGGCCCTTATCCGCATCCCCATCCTCGTCCGTGCCCATCTTCATGACAAACTCGTCGGCGGGATCGAACGGCGCCGTGGCCGTCTCGCCGGGCAGCTCGATATCGGTCATGATCTGCAGACGACACAGTGCCAGCCCGACGTTGCCCACACCGCTCAGCCAGTTGCCGGCGCTGCGGCCCTTCTTGCCGTCGCGGCCAATGCTGAGGCCCGCTGGTATATGCTCGGCTGGCAGAGCCTGGGTTGCGGAATCCGGGCTATACTCGAGACGCTGCGGCGGCGGCGTGGTGGGATCGTACAGCACGCACGGCAGGATGCGCTTGCGCACGACGCCGCGGTGCTTTGTGCGGATCGTCAGCTCCTGTCCCACGTAGCAGCCCTTGCGGAAGTCGATGCCGCCCATCAGATCCATGTTCGAGTCGAGCGGCAGCGCCTGCTCGCGGATCATCTCGCCCTGGCCCTCCGCGACGCCATGGAGGTAGCGGCGGATGCGGTAGGCGGTGTCAGCGGTCTGTTCCATGTCCAGCTGCGGCCCGTCTGCCCGCTTGCTCAGTACACGGTAGCCCATGCCCGGCGCCCTCGTATCTCGCAGCACGATGCCGTCCTCCTTGCCCACGCGCGGCGCCTCCATCTCGGCACCCGTCTCTGGAGCACCATCGTCCCATACCTGCCACGCCGCGCACTCCCCTTCCTCCAATGCGCGCACCTTCAGCTTGCTCCTGAGCTTATAACGCCTAAGATGCCGTAGCAGGTCGCCCAGCCGCTCCGCATCCACCTCAATGATGAATGCCTCTCCAGCTCCCAGGCTCAGGTCCCCGGCCGCGCCCACCGTGTCCGGATATATGAATACGTCGTGCAGCACGCGGCCCGTGGCGTTGAGAAATCCGCTATAGAAGCCGTCGGTGCGCGGCGTGCTAGGCTCGGCGCTGGCGTTCCGCGGGTTCGCGCTGATCGAGGACGTGATTATGCCCTGAAGGAAGCGCGGCGCATCAGCGCCAGCGATGGAGATGAGGCGGCGGCTCGTGAGACGCGCGAAGCCTGACGAGGGCGGTGGTGGGGGTGGAGGTGCTGCTGCTCCACGGGCGCCGGTGGTGGCTGAGAAGTGTCGTCGGGGCGGCGGCGACTGCGGCTGTGTTTGGAGTTGAGATCGTCGGCATGATGAGCAGATGAAGGGGGTCGGTGCTCTGGGGCCGAGGCCGAGGCTGAGGTTGAGGTTCTTCAGACCCCTTCTTGGGGCATTTCGGGGCAGGGCGGACATGTTGCGTCTCGAGTCGCGAGGCGGGGCTAGGCTGGGTTTGCCTACGTATCTAGGTTGATCTCATTCTCGCGAGGCTGTCTGACTGCTCGCGTCTCCTTCGGAAAGTTGCTCTGTGACGTTAGACTGAGGGTGGCCTGGAGCTATTGCGAGCTCGGCGTCAGGCAAATTTTGGGAGAGAAGGATGATGTACCGCGTTTTCCAGGCAAATTCTCTAGGTCGGTCACGGACCACTCTGCATTATCTGTTCGCCAAGCCAGACAATCTACACCCAAATCCTTATCGTGTTGACGATAGATCTGCATGATCGCAGGCTTTTCCAGGTTCCCTTGTATCTTTTAGCCAATGAAGACAGGCATGGCGATCAGATAATGCAGAGTGATCCGTGACCGACCTAGAGAATTTGCCTGGAAAATGCGGTAACACCCGTCCGCCGTCCCATGGTCCGATCCATCCGGGGCTAGCTTAACCCCGGTAGTCTTCGTAACTCCGAGCATCACCAGAGTGAGACTTCCGTTTTATGAATCTTGGTAACAGTTTCCGCAAATGTGAAAATATGAAGTTCATTACGGTCCTCACGAGGCTCATGTGCCGCAGTGCCGCATGGGCCAAGTCTTCAATTGGAGAGTACTAGTAGGAGCACGAGAGGCGCCAACAATGATGCGTACGACGTACGTGGCTTGCCTAGGATCGACTGAGACGACGACATGACGACGATGTCCAGCCTCGAGGATCGCCAGGCCCAAGCTCTTACAGTTACCAATCTTCCATGACAGTGGCACGGAAGGAGGCTCAGTCGAATTCCTCCACGAGTGCGCCTACACTCTAATAAATCTGTCCAGGAACCAGGAACAGAGATCCTGCTAGCACGAATCGACGATCATCGCGGCGTTCCGGCGTATCGGAATGCTAGCTTGGGCGTTGGTAGCTACTGAAACACCATTGTGATGTCAGTTCGACTCCCATGGTTCCTGTCATCTCACCTCGTAAATAAGCTACTGTTTCATGCTCTCTATGCAAAGTTATAAACGCGTATTCCTTTCAGCATCTACCTAGCACAGGAGCAGACAGAATCGAGATTGATCGGAGAGTCAATCGATCCCGCCCGCCTTGGGCATGTGCTGGTTAACCCGATTCTGAAGACATCTCGGTCATATGGCGGGACCGAGCCCGTGGAATTACGTTCCTCGCACTCGGAAAAGAAAAGTACCATGCAGCGGTCACCCAAACCTTGCTCGGCACCATTACATTCAGGATCCTTATATCCATATTGAGCAAGACCAGGCACAGCGCAGATCCTCCAGCAAGCACAGACAGGAACACCAAACATCTCCAGCGAATTGCGAATTGCGAATCGGTGTAGGCTGTGTCCATCGCCACTGCGCAGGGGCACATCATCCCGCCGGCCGTATGATTCACCCGCACTTGCGGCGGAGCTGCTTCTGGAATCATCCCCGTGTGTTCAGCCCCAAACCACCTACCATCGCATCTAATAAATCCTACTTGGTGTTCCATCAAGGCAGCAGAGTGCCAGCGCAGCTAGACGAGGACAAGAAAGGACATGAAAGAACCTTCCCCAGACTCACCGCAAGTTTTTGTGCATGCGCATCTCGTACACAGCAGCGTACTGGCGGTCGGCCATGGACTCAGTTATTACAATTCGGCGTACAGTTGGGAAGTATCGGATTGCCTGCCGGGATACCAAAGTCACTTATGTAAATGTTACCGCCGCATCGGTTTCCCCATTCGATGGCTGATACAGAGTACCCACTTACCGTATGAGGCGTTTTGTGTGAAGTCACACATGTATGCACTGCACCTTTGCGCACAACAGAGAGATACGGAGCTCAGCCACGATGCCTCCTGCGATCGTGGATGGGTACGATACGATGCACTATATCGAGCGGTATAGCCGTGCAAGCATATTAGCAGCCGGCGGCAGCCTGCAGCAAAACAAGCGGTCATTACGAGATTCTGATAAAACAGGCTATTACAGCATCGCAGGGTCAGAGTTGAACCAATGCACAATGAAGCCTCCCCCTTGGCTGGGTATTCCAGCGCCTTGGGAAGAGGCGTCGCTGCCGCTCGTTCTAGCCTTCTAGGTCGGCGATGTTGCAGGGGGTGGATGAATCATAATATGGGGAAATCTCGAGGCAGAAGAAACGTCCGCTCGTTCGTAGCTGATAGTGTCTTGACATTGAACGGCGACCACCAAACGCCTCGGTGTCCAACCCTGTTTTGCTCGATGGACTGGCTGGTTAATAGTGATGCAGCAGCTTACTTGCTTGCTAGCAGAGGATAGTGTCACGGGTTCACAAATCGCTCTCTCACTGCTGCACATCCAAACGGGGAGATGGATAACCTTGTGCGGTGTACGGTGTCCATGTGTGGTGTTCACATGATAGGCAGCACTTCGTTGTTTGATAAAGCCCGCATGCCTCGGGGTTTGAAGGCAACAACGGCAGCGGCAGTCTACCGGCAAGCAGCTTCTCCATCAACCCCAGGGCGGTGGGAGGGCATGGAGAGGGTAGCAGCCGCCGCACTCCGCAAGGCACGGTCAGGTGCCCGGGCCAATGACAAAAGCGCACGCCGCACTTTTGGCTCTATCTACGACCCCAACTGGTGGTCAGCCGTCAGGCAGCGGTGACAAGCTGACCGCAGAAGTGCGGGATGATGGCTCCAGGGGCAGCAAAAGACGTGGCCGTGTGGTGACACGACACCACCAGTGATGATCTCAGCATGGTTATGATGGTGAGTGTGAGAGATATCAGATATGTGTGTAGGGGCCTTGCGGGCTTGCTGCTGCGACCCGGCAGCCCCTATCAATCCATGGATTGGATGAGATGGATGCACATAGCAATCATAAACAGTATGTATGGCTTTCTGCAGTGGAGAACTATTCCATGCCCAGAGCTGTTTGCTGACCGCACAGCGATAGGGCTGGGCGCTATGATGACTCTCCGCCTGTCTGGCAATGTCTGGTTCCGGACGCATGTAACGATGCTTTCGGGACATGACCGCAGCGAACGGAGAGAACGAACAATAGACACTATAAGACGACCCCTATTCGCGCATCACCGCGCGAGTCAACAGAAGTAAACAATGGAGTTAGTTGGTGAATCATCAGCTGAGTAGGGTATTGCCTGCTTCGTCCATAGGAATCCCCACACTCGCGGAAAAAGGAGGAAGAAGAAAGAGATAGTGAACATCGAATGATTCCATCGTGACCCAGGTTACCCCTCCCGTAAATTGACAGTAGGCCACGCCGACGAGTCAGCAGGCTAGCTCACCAGCTACCAGGTAGCTTCTGAGACAAAATGCGAGACTGGGGGCCAGGGGCAGGCAAGCCTTGGAGTAGATTGGCGTGGGGTCTGGGGTCTCGGTTACAGGCAGCCGGCCAGGCATCCAAGGTAAACGAGATGGAAGAGTCAGCCCAGTGCAGTGCCAATGAAACAAGCAAAACAAACGAGAAGACTCGGGACCACACAAGGACGAAGAAAAACGCAAGGGCAACTGAGAGATCTCACGGCGCATAATGATTGGATCGTGAATGGCGCAGCAAGTTTTCATGTCCGGATACGCAGTAAGAACGGACAAGGGGCCCTGACAGCCCCACCCCCCGTCGTGGCTCGGGGCTCGGGGCTCGGAAATCCCAAGTCCCAAACGTCTGGGATTACCCCGCCACGCTGGCTGGCTAACAAAATAGTGCAGGAAGCCAACAACAAACGAACGGACGGAGGAGATTTTTTTGACAGGTTGGGCTGCGATATTGATGAGGATTGATTGCCCTGTGCATCATAATAAAAAGTCCCCACGACTTCACGAGGCCGCCGCTCCAAGAAGACCCTTGAACGGGAACCCTTGCAAACCTCGACTGGCTGGCGTTATGAAGCTAATATGCTGACATGGAGAAAGAAGAGGTTATGTAGTAGTGAGTAGTAAATTTGAGCGGGAAATTTATGCACCAGCGAGCCGATTACGGAAGTCACGATGGCCTTTATCGGTGTTACGGCCGCTTCGGCTTCGAGGCGGTTGTGGGGACAATGAAGAGAGAGCCATCAACAGAGGCAAAGAAAGTATGCCGAGCAATGTGAATAGATGAAAGTGCCGCAAATGGTAATTGTTGGATGGAAGACGGACGAACGCCCGAACCAGGCGGGCTCTCGGGTCAACAACAGTTGTTGATTGGAAATTCCGACTCTTTCTTTGTTTGCACAAATCCGGCCGGGGTCTTCTTGTTGGCCAGCCGCCCTCAGCCAGTCAGCCACCTACCTCCAAACTTTGCGGGGAGCCTTTTCTCCTGGGCGTGCTTACCGGTAAATTTTGATTGTTAATTCATACTGCGACTCATGAGGTTGGATGGTGGTGTGTCGTGTTTACTAATATGGACGAGAGGAAGTCTTCGGAGTTGGGGTTGGAGAGTCGGAGTTGATGCATGTGCATGTGCATGTGTCGTTGATGAATTAATAATGATGCTGATGATGATGCTGGTGATGATGATGGTTAATGTCAACGGCTGATGAATCAAACAGATGCAAGATGGGAGTCTTTGCCCTTCTACTAATGCCGATGTCGCGCGGACCGTGGCGATAAGGTAAGGGTAGCTTCTGCAGATGTCAGTTTTCGTTTATGTGGTCATGGGCGGATGATGCAAGTCCCGGTATGACTCAATAGACTTTGGGGCTATCGATTGAACCACGACGATCTTGATGAGTGTAAGACACTCGCGCAGTCTGTTAAGGTACCATTTCTTGCTGTAAAGCGTAGTGCTGCAACATAGTGAGACATGCATAAGGGGCTCTTGATGATGATAGACATAGTATTATTGTTTATTTCCGTTCGCTATGTTTGTGATTGAAACTGCGCGAGGAGCGAGGCGTGTTCTATTTGCCATTCCACTCAACCTTTGAGCTCCTTCAGTCAGAACATGACAGTAATGCTGAGAAGAGCTAGGGAGCGAAACGGCTCCCGCCAAACTGCCCTGGCATCAATTGCCCGAAAAAGTAATCCTCCAGTAACCTGCAAGTCTTCTGAGTGGTGACATCTGTTCCTCCCCTACTCTGATAGCCAATGACGAAGCCCGGCTGTGATCCTGAGCGTAGCCCTGGTAGTGGCATTGCCCTTCTAGGAACATCTAAAGCGAGACAAAAGAAATGGTAAAATCAATGTGAAAAAGTCGCTGAATGCCATGCCGGTATGTGGTATAGTATAAACGCCGCCCAGATGCAAAGAAAGCACTTTTGTCGGGAACCAGACCCCAAGACAGTCTAGTCTTAGTAGACCGATATCGCGGACACCAGCCGTGCTGGATTCCGTGGCGGCAGGTAGTATCCTTCGCTGTAGAAGTCTGACTTGTCGTCGTCCTCGTCTTGTCTTGGGTCGTAGTATTTGGTATTTGATGTGCTTTCCCTCTGCTTCTCTGAGAACGTAGGTAGTGCGTCGGTGGGTGGTGAGGGCGGCATCGACTCGTCGTCTGATGATTCGCAATCGTGCTCGAGCTCCGGCGGCGAGGCTGAGTGCGAGTGTGATCGGGTGAGGGTCAGGGCGGCGTAGTCCTCCTCGTCATCCTCCTCGAAGTCTTCGTCGTCTACCTCCATTGTATGTACTTGGGGTGATGGCGGTGCGATGCTGATAGAGGACACCCGTGTTAATGGTACGGCATCGGCCATCTCGATATCTTCATCATCGTCGAGGTCGCTATCGTCTGAATCTGAGGAGTCGGCTTCCCAGTCCTGCTCCTCGACAATCGAATCGGCCCACTGTATGTGTTTCTCCTCCGACTTGGGCGAGGCTCCACGGACGGACTGGTTGAACCAGCTCTCCTGTTCCCGCTCGGCATCGGCAAGGTCGAGCATCAGGGAGTCGAGGAGGTTGGCGTGGCCGACGAGAAGTCGCAGGTTGTGGTCAGGGCGGGCAGCCTCGGTGGACAGCTTACCCCGGGCCTGGTGGGCGAGGAAGTAGGTCTGCGTGATGGACATGGTCTTCTTCCTCCTGAGAGCCGGTGACGATGGTGATTGTGGATGGGAAGGGGAGGTGAAGGGGGTTGAGAAGGCTGTGGACACCATTTTGTACGAGGCAGAGAATTGCCAGTTGGTGGTCTGTGTCGTGTTGTGATATGGTGCAATAGTGCAACAGGGTGCGTTGTGTGAGTCAGGCACCGATTTGCGGCCAAGGCAACCCTTATGTATATAAGTCTGGGGAGCTGCGATGGTTGACTCGACCATGTACAAATGTACAAGTGGAAGAACGGGACAGGGGTCAAGGTGGCTGCGGGTCGCGGGTCGCGGGTCGCAGGTCGCAGTTCGGAATGTGAAATTGTGAATATTTGACGAGCTGAGCTAAAAGGTAATGACACGGATGTCCTTGCTCCTTGCACCTTGCACCTTGTACTTTAAGTTTGTCTGTTGGCACGACGAGCGAGGGTACCGCTGGCGTTGATACCGTTTGTTATCCCCGAGTGTTGGGTAATTATTGTGCAATAGTTCGAGCTATCGAAGTTGAGGCTCTTGATAGTCGAGACGGCTGGATGTTGGGGCTTGTTTCGTCTGGAGAAGGCAAGCAAGCAAGCAGTATAGTAGATGTGAGTACGAACTAGGTGAGCTCGAGTATCAGACAGACGGATGGATGAAGGACGATGTATCACTGGTGAGGACGAAAGCTTGGACAGGAGTGAGATGCGATGGGAAAGACGATTCTTTTGTAAGATATGCCTGCTGACCAGAGGTGAATCTGTGAGATGGAGCTGCTCGGTCTTAAACGGACGGGATCGGGTCATTCGTAATGGGCTCGCGCATTGCAACTAATCCCATGGCCGCCATGGCAGGGGATATGCGAGATATGCGCGAGGGTAGCATCCGAGATGCGAGCCTTCAACCCTTCACCGCTGGGGCCGCGCTGGCACTGGCACGAGGCAGGGCAGACGGGGTGACGGGGTGACCACCGAGTCACCGACCGCCAACGGGGCGCGGGTTGATGCTGCATGTAGCTAGAGCCTAGCATGCTGCTTGCATAATTAGGTATTATTACTCATCGTCGCCTGTCCACCGCCACTACCATGCTTAAGTCATAAACCCGCCCGTAAAACTTCAAGTTACCTCCGTTTTCTCCTTCGGCCCCTGCCCCTGCCCCTGCCCCTCCACCCTCCCAGCCATGATGAGTCCGCCGTCCACCGTCCACCGTCCACCCGCTTGGGTCATCGGAGCCAAAGGCCCAACTCCCAGGGACAACACCCACACATGTGAAGGCTGCAAGGGTGTTAATGTGCTCCTCATCAACTCGAAGTCCGCAAGTCCAGCAGGTCCACCTGCGATGGAATGTCGGACTTCTCTGCTGACCGACATTGTGGCTTTGTCATGCACCGCGCAGAACCGTACCGCATCCAGTCGAGTTCGGAATTGGTAATGAGCAATGCTAAAGTATGTAACACGCATCCGGCATGTGATGCGAAGCAGTTTCTGCCTGTCGATATCCATATGCTTCGTTACCTGGAAACAGCATTGGCATACCTACGTGCAATAGCTACAGTCTACACCACACAGTCGATAGTAATCTGCGGGCATACTTGCCTGGCCTTCTTGTCCCTCTTTCCTTGTCCAGGGGTTCGTTCGTCCAACGCCAACGGAGATAAGTTGGCTTCCAATGTCTAGCTTTTCCCCGTGGTATTAGCGATTCGGATCTGTGAGTCTGTGACTCGACATCTCGTGGTTGCTGATGAATCGGAGCAGGGGTTATGCGAGAATGTCAATTGGGCGCGGATTGCTCAGCATGCATAAAAACCGAGGATTACACATCATCACTTCGTCCCGCTTCGACGTTGGACGTTAGGTCAAGTCCGCAACATAAGGCGTAACCATAACATAACGCCAGTATGACCAGTCCGGCCTCGGATCATACTCCCGCGTCCAGCTTCCATGCCGTAAAATCGCATCATGATTCTATCGCATTCGCACCGACTACAAATATTACACTTTGCGGCCGGCCGGCATGCATGGAGACGATAGACAAATCATGCCATATGGCATTTGACTCGGAGGTTTTCACCCTCCTCTGCTCGCCAAGATTGGACACAAGGCAGATCATGACAGGAAGTCATCATAATCTCCCATCATGGACAAAGCAATTGATCCCTGACTTGACTCGAGACATGTCATGATGGGGATAGACAGACAGGCCCTGGTTCTCTAAATCCCATAACGCCCTATTAGGCAATACGGTAGGCACTTCAATCAATCTGTTGAACCGCTGAGACGCATCAGATAAGATGAGATGAAGATGATGGACACAGGGAGGAACGATTGCATAAAATCGCACAAGATTGCACAAAGGAAAGTCCATGACGAGATCCTTCGTCCAGGGCATGTTCACCCGACCTCGGGAGCGGATCGCATTCGGTCACTCGGAGCCGTCGCAAGACCGCACTTTCTTGTCCTCGCGACCGAAGGACCTCTACGCGGGTCCCGGATCGAGGACTGGAATAAGGCAGAAATTGCAGGTGCCATTGGATAAAGATGTCGCGAGGGGAAACGGCCATGTGACAAACCAACAAAACCTTGGAACTGCGTACGTCGCAACGGGCAACGCCAGCGTGGCTTTGCTACAAGCTACAGCAAAGTTTGGATGCTGCCTTGCCAGAATCAATCAGATACGCACTTTGCGTCATGGCCCTGCTATGAATCCGTCGGGTTTCAAGCCAGCGTGACGAATCCAGACAAAGGACGCGACTCAAGCTGTGCTTTAAGCGAACCTGGCCACGTACGACTGATGAATTAGCTGCACGTGTCCAACAGTCAACTAATGATGGCACACTCTTTCATTTGTCATTCACTCTGGGAAGAGCGAGTCTGCCTCGTCCAATGTACAGGAGTGCTGCACAATTATTGTGCCTACTTCTACATTGAACCCGGGCGACACGGCCTCGCGAACAGTCTACGCGTTTGCTTCGTCCTTGGTTTACGGTTTCTTGTTACGGTTCCGTCCCTCCGTACGATGGACGAAGCTAGGCTACCGGATAGCTGAAGGCTTGGCGCCCGTGGTTCCTTGGCCTTGTTCTCGGCAGTCGGCCTCGTGTTGGCTGATCTGGGAAAGCGAAACGAGGAACGCGAAAATGTCCAACTGTGGGGTCTGGCAGCAAAAGAACCACCAAAACAAGGCACCAGGAGAAGAGAGGACCCAGACATCGTGAACATCCTCGACTGATGACAGCAACCCTTGTAGGGCTGAGATGAGATCAACAAGTTCACAGTTCAGATGATTGCCCGCAAGGTGCCCTGTCCGTCACAGTCACTCGGTAGCGAGAGCGCACATCAATTTGGACAGGCCAAGGCCTAAGAGCAAATAGCCTCAGCCACAATGGGTCATTCTGAGATGTCAATGCGAAGCGAATGCAAGGCGATGGTCCAAGCCAAGGCGCATCTGAGCCAGTGAGCGTTCGAAAACTTCGCAGCCTTCGCTTCGGTCATCTCCTTCAAGGGTCTGGGGTCAAAGGCCACAAGCCCAATGACCCACCAGTGACCACGGGCCCGAGCTGTCCTCGACTCCTCGGGGTTATGCGGTTGAGCGGTGACGATCTGACGATGCTTGGGGCCCGGGTAACGTAGCAATAGCACCGCCTCATCAATCTCGACCACCAGAGCAGAGGTGCATACTGCTGTCGGATTACAACCAGTAATAAGCTGACTTCAAGCCAAATGTCTCTCCATCTTACCCAACTTGGCCATTGGTGCAGCAGGAAACACCACGCAGTAACTACGTGCGTTCACGAGAATTGGATAACTTAGGTAATCTCGATACTTTGCTAATTCAATGCTAGTAACCTTGGAACACAAGCAGAATGCGACAGCGACATCGGCCGGACTGATGACCGCTAAGATATCCGATTCTCCCCGTTTACAGCCATAACGGAATGCGGCCCTGCTTAGCTTCCGAGGCTGGTTGACTCTTGAGTGAAGGTATACTGATGAGTCGAAACGGCGCGCGAATTGCCCTCATCGCGCACCCGTGGACGCCGCATACGGACTTTCTAATGAGCTGAGCTTCATGGAAAGAAAAAGTTGCAAGCGAAAATTTCATCCAGCCCAACCTCGCATTGCCGTGACTCCATGTGGTCAGGAGGTCCCCTGGAAAAGAGCCGGAGCCGGGACCCACGTGCTGCGATGATGGATGCGGCTGCTCGCGCGCTCGCATCCACCATCCACCATCCACCTCCTCATGGAGATCCCGAGGTCTGGTGCAAGTGCCGGGACAGTTTCGCTCATAATTGAGTAAAAAAATAATCTTGCGATGCAAGGTCCTTTCTGGTACGACGGATCTTGTTCGTGTCGCGTGTCGCGAGAGGTGGGTGAGCACAAGGAGGGTGAGCACAAGGAACAACAACATAAGTCTCCGGTATCCTCGCTCGGCCTCGCGGAAACGTGATGCTCGCGAAGGCCGCCATTCCGATTCGTCGCCGGAGGAGAGGGAGGGTTGCAGCGACGCTGGGTCCTTTCCTTCGAGAAGCCTTCTCGTGCCTGCATCTGTGCTTCTCAGCTGGCCATCGACTGCTACCTACTCCATTTTGGCTAACCCATTCGCGACTGCAGCTCGCAATCTCGAAGTCTCATTCAAGCAGAGCATGGCACCATGGCTGCCGTGAATGGTTCGCGTTCCCCGAGAAGACCGAGTCCCCCGCAATGTCTTCAGAAACATCAAGATGAAGTCTTTCAGCCGCCTTTCCTCCCACAGGTTCAGCTTCCCCATAGCTCCCTACTCTGAACGAAGAACGACGGATTGGTGCATGGATGAGAGACGGCTGGAAGGACCTCGCATAACCGGCAATTGGTCACGAGGTATCTTCAGTCCTCTCCAGCTGCTGCTTCAGCCTCATGCCTCTGCGTCGGCGACATGTCGTCGTCAATCCCAAGCGTGCCACAATCTCCCCTTTCTGACATCAGCGCCATGCAACCTAGGTATTCATGTCGTCTGTAGTTGAACCCCTATAGATCCATTAGCCATGGACGGGCCGGGTATCTTACCGACCCAGCTAAGGTGTATGATAACCCGTGATGGAAACCTATTCGCCAGCAATAATGCTTCCGTCTGCATGACGTTCAATCTCGGCTTTGGAAGACCATTATATCATCATAAATCCTATCTCCAGCAAACCACTGAGATCATCGACGTACGGTAGATCATATTCCGAGGTGACGAGTTCGGACTTTGTCCAAACCCCGAGTGCCTCCGGCCCAGTCACTTTAGATCAGAAATTGCTCATCTGATCTATCAGTGCGCGGAAGACGGCAAATAGAGATTATCATGGCTCGGTGATGGGGGATCGGGCCCGAGCATGGAACCGAGCCGGATGACTCTTCTATCAGGGTAGATCATATGCGCGGCTGCATTTGGCGGGTTGGCTTGTGAGTCAGTCGATCGCTGTCTAGTCCTTGTGGTCATTTGTCTTGTCATGTCGCGTAACGGACGAAGGAGTTGTCAACGACCTTGCCGCTTGCAACGACTACATGTATTAACCCCGCCGCTACCCCCAAGTACCGGGTATCAGTTATATACGACTTGCATTGACTCTGATACGTCTCTCGCCAGGTCTACCGCGGACGGGATCTGGACTATCGTGAGAAGCTGCTATCTACCGTACGCCGAAGTGTTGACGATCCCAGTTCCTTGACCTCCCGTAGCCAGCCTCCATGCCGAGGCCTCCAAGCGACGGTCATGAGGGATGTTGTCACCGTCTTTGATTGGGTAGGGAGTTGGCTATGCCACCGGTGATGTACCTACCTAGGTAATAGTCTTGCTCTTAACCTTCTCCGAATCCTCGGATCCGAGCAGACTTTTCGGCGTCTTCGCAGCAGTCGCCTACGCCAATTTGTCCATAATTGTGGTAATTCGCCGCGGTGTGCATCACGCTCCCAGGCGACTTAGGTTGGCAGGTAAGGAGATTGGGGGTTGGGCCATGTCGTGCATGTGTCGCCCAGGAGAAAAGAAGAAGCAAGCGAGGGCGCCCGACTGGTTGCCTCTTTCGGCAATATTGCCGCCAAATACCCGCCCTCATGTCTCAAATGAGTCGACGTCTTGTCTTCTATTCACCGCAGTTCAGGATCATCTTCGACTGATAGGCACGTGCGAGTATATCGCACTGCCACCGGCTCCTGGCCCATAATTCACGGTGTGGGTTGACCGATTCGCGATCCACCATGAAGATGACGGCGCGGACCACTTCGGCCCTCGCGGCGCTGAGACGGTGGCGGGCCACCGGGGACTTGCGGGCCGTCTCAACTCTCCACGGTCACCTCGCACCAGTATCGCATCCTCGCCTCGGTCTTTATCCTGACCTCGGCCTTCATCCTCGTTGGACTTCTTCAGCTTCTACTGGTGAAGCCAAGACGCCATCGTCTATCGGTCCACCTATACGTTCATTCGATCTGGACCACGAACTGGGCAAAGTCGAGGTCGAAGCGTCTCAGGATGGCGGCCGCAAGGCCCTCGATGTCCTGGAACGTCTCGACGAGGCATACGGCGATGCATCTCTTTTGTACCTGAAGGGTATTACATGCTTGGATGCATACTACCATCACTTCGGCTCGATGTCGATCGAAGACGCCCGGTCCGTGCTTATCGCTGATGAAGCTGGGCGGAGAGTGGTGCAATGGACAAGGAAACCTGCCATATGGCGTCAGATCGAAGGAACCACCATGAGAACGAGTACGTGTGCAGCAAATAATGAAAATCCGGTCCTCTGCTGGCCTCCTGCTCACGAGCTGTCACAGGAGATCTCTGAGAGTGGTTGCGGCTATATTGGTCGGCATCAAGCAAACTGCCACCGCCGAAGAATGGATACTACAGCCATGGACGGGCCTCGCAAGTGTTGCGCGGAAAGAGAGACTTCTGTTGGTGAAATGGAAGGGAATACTGCTTGCAGAGTTGGTCAGCGCAACATTATGGTGGGACCCCGATGAATGTGCCGACGGTGCCTACGACTATTTCTGTGATATCTGCCGCAGGCTCCGACAGAATTACTCTCGGCGCCACGACGTTCCACTTGCGCCAGCGTACTCCCAGTTGATATGTACCGCTCAGACTCAGAGTCAGTCAGGTAAACTTGCAGCGAGCCCTGAAAGCTTCAATCGTTTTTTGAGCCTTCTCAGGATGTTGGTCGTGCCCGGCTTAAGAGATTACTACACAATGCTGCTAATGATGTACCACCCCACCAGTCCTTCTGTTGATGCATACCTGTTTTGGTTGAGGGGAAGTGACTTGGACTCAAACCATGAGCATTGCAGAGCTTGTAAGTCACAATTGGAGGCCATACCTTCCCCCATCATCAATCGTTTTGCGCTCTATATCTGTTCGGAAAGGAGAAGCAAAGTAAGAACACCGAGGCTAACTCCAGTTTGTCAAAGTGCCACGACAAGCACATCCGCACAGCATACCGTCATTCATGCGACGCGTATCCGAAAGGGCCAGTTTAATCTTGCGGTCCTAAAATCGCCATGATGAGGCAGCTTGGGCAATTGATATGAGCAAGGCGCTCTGGGGCCCGGGCTCAGGCTTCTGGGTCAAGAATGGAATGAGCATGAAGACACTCCAAGCGCGCACAGCGGCCAGCGCTGAGAAACAGGCGTCGTGGAGGTCTGACTAGATGTAAGTCTCGGGTTTGGGGAAAAAAGACGCTCTCATGCAAGCAGTACGACGAAACCTGTTCTACGTCTACCCTAGTGCCTACTACAGCGAGTAGCCATATATAGCGGTTTGCGCTTGAAACCACGGAGTTTTACAACATGTTTTCTTGAGATCAGGCCTCTCCGTCTGTGGTCAAACCAACGGACCGGCACAATGAGAACTGGTATCGGAGTCTAGCAATGTTGCTCAGGGGTAGCTTTGGTGGGCCAGCTTAGGCTGGCTACTGAGCAATGAAGAGGTGCACATTTCTTAAACTCCGATGCTGTGAACACCATGAACAGGTACGGACACCTTAATCGGGGGTAAAGAACTCGTTTCTAGATATGGGCGTCCGCAAACATCCGGACGCTCCCGACAGCTTCTTACAATGATTAGCCCGGAAAGCAGTTCTCATTCACCATACGTTACCACGGTCTTGCAAAGATGACAGAAACCCTGAGCACTTTTTGTTCACTTTACGGCACTCTCGACTAACCTTATGGGCACATCTACCATATGCCTGTGGCCAAGAGCCACCGGCCTAAGTTTCCTGCACCACGACTTGCACCAAGAGCTCCAAGGAGACCGAACACATCGCCTCACGAACACCGCTCCAGCACAGCACGTTGATCCAACACTCTGCATAACAGGCACACAAACCAGGGCGACCCAGTCCATGCAAGAACGCATAAGTAGAAAGGATGGCGCCAGACGTACCGGTCCCCACAGTGGCAGTCCCAAATGGCCTGAGTCCAAGCAGCAACAAGCCAACCAGCCAGCAATGTCAGCCACGTCAGCGAGAAGCACGTCAGCAAGCGCAACGTGGCGTGGCGTCTGCTCTGCTCGAACCCGGTTCCTTGGGACAGCCCTCATTCGACAGATACGCAGGCACACACCAATACAAAGCGGAGAAAGCAAAGGGGCATACGGCCAGGTTCTGCTGGGCCCCTCCTTCTGCGTCTTTCTAGCGCTGACGGACGGACCCAAGGACGTGGATGTGGTTGTGGATGGGACCCCTGGAGTTGATCCATCTGACGTGAGCGTCGTGCTGTGGTGCGTTGTAGGCAGGTCGGGAACGGCACATGGGGGGCCGATGAATTGAGTTGGGGTGTGTAGGATAGGGGGTAGGAGGTAGGGGGGAAAGATGACGGAGGCCTCGGGTACATATTGCCGTGGCAAGCAGGGGAGGATGAACATGTCGAGGTTTACAAGTGTACGCACGTTGTGGATTCTTCTCGCGGAGAGGTACCGTATCTTGTAAGCGTTAGGGGATAAGACGCTGCCATCATAACTATGACGGGCCGCTCAGTGGTACTTATGAAGTAACCACTGTTGCTTTGAAATGACTATCTACTACTGGCTGTGGATTTATGCACCCGCAACGGCAGTTTTGGCTTACTGCGCTTTTGGTCGTATGTGAGCTTACGGAGGAAAGATTGTTCATAGGCAGTCAGGTACCTACCTACCTGTCGCTCACCCGGTTTGACTAAACTGAGCCGGGGAAGCTGCCAGCAAAGCATGCATACCAGAAATCGGCGGTCTAATATACCTACCGATTTCCTCCCCCCAAGACCCAGAAAGGCATCTACCCACCTTATATAGATAGGTTAGAAATCACGAGACATCTCCCGTCTGTAAAAAAAAATATAAGCAACCCGAAATGAGCAATCTCAGTCTGAAAAAACCACTCATAATGTTTCTTCCGGCGTGCTTATTATCCCAAACACAACAAACACCCTAAAATCATCACCACCTCCAGCGTTCAGGGGGTCTGCGGACGCTTGACGGTTGCAGTCCCAGGTAGGAGGATTCAACGGATGCGCTTGGCGCATCCTGTAGGGCTAGGATACCACGTGCAGGATGGGGGAGAGCCGAGCATCTGGTTCCTTTGGGATCCGCGCTCCAGATCCTTCGCGGCTGAGAGAACGTCTACCGGTACTACAGTAGTCAGATAGCTTACGCTACCCTACCCCTGAGCGCAAGTCCCCGCGTGGAAGAGCGTTTCGCGTGGATTGGGATTACGGTAGGAACATGGATGAAGACGCGAGGACTGAAGGTATTCGTTCGTGAGGGAAGGGGCTACTAACCAAAGTCATAGATAATCATTTCATCACCAGTGATATTACATTGTTAGCACCACTACGCGGACCGCATGTACGACACCACGTCTTATACCCCACGGCTATGGGATGAAGTAGGGTACCTCCAGAATACAGTTGGGGTTGCATGCAAGAGTCAAAACACCCAGGAGACTCTGCTTCAGTGGGTACCAGGATTTACAGGCCATCGTGCAGATTATTAACAGTGGCATTAAGCAGCCATCTGGTGAGTATCCCAGCAATATTTCCTGGGCAAGCACTTATTCCGGGGGCTTATACGGGGGTTTCCCTTGTTTTGGCTGCTCTCATGGCCTCTATATTCATTTTCGCGCATCACTCCAGCCGTAGCTTCTGCCGCTTCCTCTTGCCCCCAACTTCGCGGTGCTCCTCGATATTCAAGTTAGCCTCCAGCTTCTTCTCGGCGACGACCTTCATGTAGTCCCTCGTTACCCTCGTTGTCAGGTTGACGCCCTCTTCCTTCCACTCCTCCATCTTCTTGCCCACGCGCTTCTCGATAGCCAGGATGCGGTCGACGCCCCGTTGGCCTACAAGCGTGACGGCCTCGCCTTTCCGGCCGGCTCTGGCTGTTCTTCCGACTCGGTGGATGAAGTCATCTCCTTCTTGCGGGAGGTCGTAATTCACAACCACTTCGACCTCCGGGATATCTAAACCACGCGACGCAACGTCGGTGGCCACCAGGATCCTAGCTGCCCCGGCTCGGAACCTCATCAGGTTATCAGTCCGTTGGCGTTGGCCTGGAAGCTTTGAGTGCAGGGACGTGACGCGGTGCTCGAGGAGGAATAGCAAATGATGGAGGCGTTCGGCCGTTGAGGTTCGGTTACAGAAGATTATCATTGACTTCTCGACGTTGGCCTCAGTAAGGAGGAAGGCGTGGAGGTAGTATTCCTTGAAGTTGACGTGGACTTGGATGTAGGTAAGATGTAGCGTATCCGGGACGGCGAGCTTCTGAGTGTCTACTTCACACACCATAGCTGGCTTCTTTCCGGGCTTCGGTGGCATGTCCTTGAGAGCACGGACTTCGGGGGTAATCGTAGCTGTGTATAGTAGCGTCTGCCTGCGTTCTGAGGGTGGCAAGACTCCCAGGCACTCCTCGATATCTGGCAACATGCTTCCAGGTCCTCCGGCGGCCAGGAGCCTGTCCGCTTCGTCCAGGACGACGTATCGAACTCGTCTGAGGCCAGCAATGGTGTCTTCTCCCGACATACGGATGTGTTCCGCGAGCCGGCCGGCTGTTGCGATGACCATATGAGGTCTCTGCGCGAGGCTGATGGCTTGGGCTCTCATGTCAGAGCCCCCAGTTACAAGCAGAGCCTTGAAGGATGTGGTAGCCGAAATAGCCTTGACTTGCTCATAGATCTGGAGGGCCAGCTCCCTCGTGGCAGTGAGAATGACGGCGTAGATGGAGCTTGGGTCTTGGGCCCATGTCTGAAGAATAGGTGCAACGAATGCCACCGTCTTTCCGCTACCTGTCCTCGAGGTACCGATGACGTCGCGGCCTTCGAGGATAGCTGGGATAGTCAATCGCTGAATGCTAGTGGGCCGTCTGATGGCCATGTTGGCGAGGGACTGGACGAGCCATGGCTTGAGCTGCAGCGACTCGAAAGTTGTGTTGTGGTCGATTGGGACAGTGATTGGGCCCTCTGAAGGTATCTCCGCAGGCTTTGATGATGATGGAGATGTAGCGTTGGGCGCTTGCTTGCGCTTGATCCTCGACGGAGCGTTCACTGATGATAACTGCGCAGGCTCAGGCGCGGGCTCAGAGAGCTTTCGCTTCTTGCGAGAAGACGACGAGTCGAGTGAGTCGCTCGAGTGGTCTGAGCTCGATGCTGCATCCTCCGAATCGGTCTCGGCAGCTGCATGCGCTATGACGGTTGATAGCGACATCTTGGAAATGCTGTAGAAGGAATATCAGCCTCGCGTGTGATTGTACCGCTCGATCGGCCGGGATATCTGCTTATTCCAGGTGAGGTATGCAGATTATTTTTTCGGCCGCTTGACAAGATGGGTGTGGGGCAGCATTTGGGCCAATCATAGCCCCACCCAAGGTCCCCTGTAAACCCCTGCATGACCTACTAAACGCGCGCTTAGCAGGTCTTGGCAGTGCTGTATCTATCGGTTTCGAATCCTTGCTTGCTTCCATCATCCATCTTCCATCATCATGCCAACCCGACACTGGCAGACTGGAGACTGGACAGCAGCATGGCTGATGACGCTTGTCACCTCACGTCGATCGCAGCAGTCTGATGGATGTTGCTTACGTACAGATTACGGCTCTTGGCAGCCAGGTTGGCTCGAGGACAAGCACTGTCCCGCCTTGCGTCCTGCAACACGCCTGATCAGTGATCAGTGATGTGGACCATTTCGAGAGGATACTTCGGAGAGTAGGTCCAAGTGGTCCCGTCTCCTCTGACGGGAAGACTCGCGGTCATTTGGCCACACTCGTTATCAGCACAAAAGCAACAGGGCTTCCTACCATAGGCCAAGATGCACCTCGCTCCTCTGGACACCAAGCTGACCCTCCACCTATCCCTTCGGACTACATATAGCCTTGTTCGCGAGAGGTGGTTGCTTGGGGGCCGTTCGCCTGTCATACCCCGTATCAGGGAGGATCAGAGGGGCCAACACGACTGTCACCTCTCCGAGAGAGCTCGGAGTATTGGCTATACCACGACTGCACTTCCCCCAACTGGCGGGTTTCACTGATATGATTGTGTGTGCTGGCAACGACGAAGCAAAGCGCTTGACATGTATTAAAGCCATTTCTGCTCTGCTTCGGCTGGGTCTCGGCACATCTGAAACGTGCTCGTCTGCGCAGACAGGGAGAAGGAAGACGCAGCAATCTGACCTCATCTGACATGGCAGCCGCATGCCAGCCAAACATATGCATGCTCGAGTACCCTACTTTGCCTGCCAGTGGCGGCGACGCATGGCAGCTGCATCATGGCATGGGTGTTGCCAGAAGCGTCTGTGGTTTCCAGCGAGATTATTGGACAACTCGGAACCTCCTTGGCTGCTCACAATGTCATACCTTAGGGCACGCAGAACTCTGAACTCTACCCCTTACGCGCCCTCTCTTGCAGGCAGTTTCCTGGCAGTGTGACATGACGATCTCCATGGTCAAGTGCCCTGGTCTATGTCGCTGCGGGGAAAAGCGTCTGGCTACAACAGCTTATACGGAGTACTACTGTACTACCACCTTCAACGCATCTCGTTCTTCCTTGCTGTGTTGTTAGCCGCCAGCATTGCCTCGTCTCAATATCCGAAACAGCGTCGTCCACTTGATAGCTGTCGGTCCACGGCGCACCTCGGGCTGTCAACTTGATAAGTTAAGCTCAATAAGGTAGGTATCCAACCATTTGGAAACGTCAGGTTTCCATACTAGTAGTAGAACTAGTAGAGGCTTATGTTACCGGTATTAGTAGCCCCACTGGCATTAAGATAGGGTACATGTAGCCTACGATATTAGTTTAGGCACACCCGCGCCCGTCCAGCCCGTCGTATTGCCGCTACAACCGGCATACATACCACCCTCCACCCAACTGTCAGGCCACGCTATCATAGTAGACTGGAGAAACGGCTCATCCAATCTCAGCTACATACTAGTAGTTGTCGCCCAACTTCCAGCCTCCTTCCTCCATGTCCAAAGTTGAAAGCAGGTCGGGCGCTGGAGCATCTGAGAGACTGAGAGACTACAGTTGGTATAGGACCCCTGCATTTCAAACAAGGCCCCCCAGGTCTTCTCTGCTCCCGGCATCCCAGGCTACCAGGATAAGTCAGAGGGTGAGAGGCCAGAGCCTAGAGGGAACATTTTGGAACCACAGTGCCACAAACCTGCGGATAGGGAGGGGAAAGTCCAACGCGGCAAGAGCAATCACGAATCACACGAATGTCCCTCTTCTCCTCTCTGCCTCCGCCTATGTAGGGTACCAACAGTCAGCTCTTCTACTTCTACTTTTACTTATACTTCTTGGTTGCAATTCGTTTCTGAAACCATTACTTGTCGTCTACTGTCTGCCGTTTGACCATTACTCGCTGCGACCGTACCTTACCTTTCCGACACGTCGCTGCCACTCCCACGAATACGTCACTACGATATATTGCTTGCGCTGCTGTGCTACCCATTCAAGCATCATTCACGACTCCTGCCCGCGGCTCGTTACATCTCCTTTACTTCGGCCCTTTCGTTCCATTTCGTACGCCGTCTGCTCGAACGCCGCCTCGGTAAACAACACCCTATACTTGCTGAGCTACCACTGGGCATCGTCGGTATACTAGGTAGCGCACATGCCTGATCACGAGAATCAGGGCTCCGCGCCCAGGCCGTTGAATGTAATTGACTCCTTCCTTTGTTTGTCATCTGGTCTCTCGGCCGGCCCCCTTCGTCACCGGCTAGCCGCGCTGGTGTCTAGCCCAAAAAGCACTCCATCCCGATCTGCTTTGTGATGCTAACATCGTCTTGCGATGAAGGCTTCGAATGCCTCTCTAGATCCTGCTACCGTTGCTGCTGCCGCTACCCCTCCGCAAATATCGACACCCATACCGCTAATGTCGTCCTCTCCAGCGCCCCTCCGACCCGCGCTTGGCGGTAGGCCCAGCGGAGCACGAACACCGAGACTAGGCCTGGCCATACCTCCTTCGCCCAATGTCAAGGCCTTTGGCGGTGCCGTGGGTGGTGGTGTCTCGCGACCCCAGCTCACCGTCCATGTTGCGACCCCAATGGGCAGCACCGTCGCCCCTTACGAACAACCGCGCCAGGTCGCTCAACCGGGACAATCGGCCAGCGGCGGCAGCGAGAGCAGCGCGGCACACTCGAGGTCTGGCAGTTTCGGCCCTCTCGATGGGAGGGCCAGTAACCCTACCTCTGCAGGCTCCCAGTTCTCCGCCCTCTCGTTCGCATCACAGTACGGCATTGGTTCGCGGCCACAGGGAACTCCGGACCCCATATCAGCTGTTGGCTCGATATACTCCGAGAGAAGTGAAGGAGGTCTGCAGATGGAACGAGATGGCAGTATGCAAGGTCTAGAAAACAGTTTCGACAAGCTCACTCTTGAGAAGGCCAGAAATGCCGATGTGGAAGACCTGGACGACGATGGATGGAGGATTGCAAGTCTAGAAAACAGAATAGTCGATCTCGGCGGCCTTGGTGAGGGAGCTGGTGGTGCTGTCACGAGATGTAATCTGAAAGGGGGAAAGACGGTATTCGCCCTCAAGGTAAGCTCCCACGGCGTTATCAGATGAAACCAGCGAGCTGACGATGCTGTCCTAGGTCATCACGACAAACCCGGACCCAGATGTTAAGAAACAGATTGTCCGGGAGATCAACTTCAATAAGGAATGCGCGTCGGAACACATCTGCCGCTACTACGGAGCATTCGTCGACCCCGCCACAGCCACCATCTCCATTGCTATGGAGTTCTGCGAGGGCGGATCCCTCGACAGTATCTACAAAGAGGTCAAGCGGCTCGGCGGCCGGACGGGAGAGAAGGTCCTTGGCAAGATCGCCGAGGGTGTCCTCGGTGGCTTGACGTATCTCCACAGCAAGAAGATCATCCACCGCGATATCAAGCCATCCAATATCTTGCTGTGTCGCAACGGCGATGTGAAGTTGTGCGACTTTGGTGTGTCCGGTGACTTCGGAACCAAGGGTGAAGCCAACACGTTCATCGGCACGAGTTACTACATGGCCCCTGAGCGGATTACAGGCCAGAGCTACACAATCACTTCGGATGTCTGGTCGACTGGTGTCACCCTCCTCGAAGTAGCACAGCATCGGTTCCCGTTCCCTGCTGATGGAACGGAGATGCAACCCAAGGCGGGACTGATAGACCTGTTGACATACATTGTGCGGCAACCAATACCCAAGCTCAAGGACGAGCCGGATGCCAATATCTTCTGGAGCGACAGCTTCAAATACTTCATCGAGTGCTGGTAAGTTCCAAGCCCCTTCTATATCTCACGGTCAGGCTTCCAAAATTAACAGTGACCGCAACAGTCTCGAGAAAGAGCCAACCCGCCGGGCAAGCCCATGGAGGATGATGGAACATCCCTGGATGGCCGAGATGCGGACTAAGCGCGTGAACATGGAGAGGTACCTCTCCCAAGTATGGGGCTGGGAAGATACCGCCGCCAAAAAGTGAAGGAATCATCACTACACCAAGCATAATACCCACATTGTTCACAACAGCGTAATTCCCACAGACGATACCCACCCGTCACTTTTTTTTTGAGACAGATCAAAGGCAAGTAGGGCAACATTGAGGTTTATCAGACAGAGGATATTGGAGACACGGGCTGACACGGGCTGGGAAGAAGCGGTTGGATCGCGTTCCCCAGTATTCGCGGGAGTGGTTGGATACCTACCTAGTGGGCGACATTGCAATACCACCCACCCCATGGCTTCAAGAACGGACTGCCACAGTATTTGGCACCCTGGAAGTTGAGAAGAGAAGAATATGAACGAAATATCGATCAGTCAATCACTCTCCAGACAACTTGCGATATGTATAGAGAGGTCAGTGCCAACTGTAGCATACTACTGTGCCGCCGAGAGCAAGCACCATCTAATGTCAGCGTATTCATCTGGTTAGGTCGTTTGGTGCGCTACTTCTGATGCTCTCCATGTTAGTACCAGTCACTGAGCTGGTAAGAGCTACTTGCTGCGATAGTCTTCATTGATTCTATGTCCTTCCAGAAGCCTGTCAAAGACGGCTGTCAGTTGGGCGTTTGATATTGCCAAAGTCCGACGGCATATGTCGCTTCACAGGGTCTGTATATTCCAGGTACTCTAGTTATACTCGAGACGAAAGCAAAACTTGGTGATATCAGCAAAAGGCATCCAATCTCACATCGGAGATGCTTGTCGTCCTCTCCACCTACACGGGATGAAACGTGGTGCAGGTCTTTACACATGCACAACCCTACATCCTACACATCAAGTCTAACCGATCATAACGGTAGTAAAGAGGCCAAGGATCAATAGTTTATTTCCTCTGTGTAAGAGACGACACGGCAAATAGATGCGTCGACCTCATCTTGCAACACTGGCCGGGCTATGCTGGATATAACGATCTGTCGAGGGTATTGCGAACCGAAAGAGAGAAAGATAGGGGTAGACAGGGGTAGACAGAATGCCTTGTGGTCGGTCCTCTGGGTACTACTAACTATGTGCCCGTACATGTCCATCTACAAGCAGCTTGATCCCTTGATCGAGGCAGGGCTGGCAGGGTCCAACTCCACGATCACTACGCCTCGTGATCATCGTCACTGCTATGAACGCCCACAAGCTGGAGGGTGTTGGTTCCACTCTGTTCTTCAGCCTCAGCCTCCAGGTCTCGAGCAATTTTGGAAAATAACAACATCGGTGACCCGTTGTCAAGCTACCTTTCGCTGTCATCTCAAAAGCCCTTAGACTCTTACCACCGCGATGACAAGGACACGATGGACGACCTCGCGACAACCACTGCGCGAATGAACTTGGCCTGTCATCCGGGCTGTCCCTTTAAAGGTCACCCCGAGTTGAAAGAAGTTCGAGTACCACTCTGCGATGGTGCACCCCTACCCGACCAGTGCGAGCAGGCAGCTGAGTTATACACGCCCATCCATGAATGGCAGACGAGGATTCTAGTCCTCAAGCCCGGCTTACCTGGAGATGTGTTGCAAGCCGATCTCGAGGTGGCAGATCTGCTTCACGCTGCCGGCGTAGTACTGCACCACAGGCAGCGAAGGACAGAATACGAAGCCCTCTCCTACGCTTGGGGCGAGCCTGTATATTCGCACTCGTTAGTTGTCGACGACACGGTGTATCCGATTACAGAGACTCTGTACTGGGCTCTGCAGCACCTGCGTGATAAGAAGACGTCTCGCTACCTGTGGATCGACGCTATCTGCATTGATCAATACGATCTTGCAGAGAGGTCGTTGCAGGTCGGCAACATGCTGGTCATCTACAAAAAGGCGCATAGGGTCGTCGTCTGGCTGGGAGTGATTGGGACATCTAGCGACGACATCTGCTTGACGTACCTCTCTTCACACTTGCCTGTTAGGAGGGAAGAGACGCCTCATCTTCCACAGCGCGAGGCGCGACGTCTCGCTTCAGACGCTTGTCCACGGCACTACGGCGCCTTGGTCAAAGGGTTGGCTAGTCTGCTCAGCCGACAATGGTTCAACCGGCTCTGGGTAAGACAAGAGGATTACGCGGCTCAAGATCTGCTCATCATGTGTGGGCATCGTCTGGTCGACAGGGACGAGCTATCGTATGCCAGCCACCTTTTACGTACGGTGGCGGGTGAGGACAGGGCCTTTGAATCCGCTGCGGCGAATGTCATAACACCCGTTGATCTAAAGAAGCTATTGGACATTGGCGGATGTATCCGCGATGCCCGAACATCGGCTGCGGAGCTGTCCCGCGGCAAGCTGTTGTTAACGACGCTGGATACAGCAGGGCGATGTGCTTGCAGCAATGCTCGCGATCGTATCTATGGGATGCTAGGGATGGCTTTCGACGATATCAAGGGGCTCGCAGTCGATCCCGAACCACCGGACGGCGGCGGTGGCGCCCCCGCCATCGACTATAGCAGATCTGTCTGTCAAGTCTTTGCAGATGCGGCGCGCTGGATCATGGAGACCGACAGGTCGGCAGCGCTCCTGTGTAGCCGGGCCACTTTCGGTGGGTTCGTCGATGGCGAAACCCTGCCATCGTGGTGCCCGGACTGGCGCCAGGTCTTCTCCGTGTCCGATTACAGACCATGGACCAATGGCATATTTGCCCATCGCACGGAACACCTGTTTCTCTGAGACGACGAGCGAATCCTACTGCTGAGGGGCGTGCACGTTGGCACGGTCTTCGCAGAGCGACGGCGGCTGCTTTCGCGCGCCGATGAGGGTCAGAAGTCTATGAGAGTACAAATCTCACCTGGTGTGCCCGGCTTGGGCGTCTGGCGGTCTATCAATCTCGATGATCCGAGAACAGGCCGCAAAGATGCTGTCCGTGAGGGAGATTGGGTCGTAGATGTTAGAAGCTGTGAGAAGCTTCTCGTTATCAGGCCCACCGACGACGGCCACCCCAACCGCTTGAGTACGTCTCCATGACGACGACCAACGGACTCAGCTTCATTGACTGGTACAGTTGGCTAAAGACAAACCGCGTAATGTCGTTTCCGATAGTGTAATTCCACACTAGAGCTTCCTGCGTAATGGAACTTTGATTTCATCAGTACAACTATGATCTTGTTGCCGAATACACTTGATACAGCTAGCACCGGATAGAGAAGCGTCAAGTGCAGTCCGATAGATGCGCAGGTGCAAGACGACGTGAATCATCTCGAGTGACAACGTATAGAGTGCCCCTCGAGATATTCAGCTGAAACCGGCCACAAAGGGGAGTACGGTTAAGTGGGGCAATAAGAGGGCGAATAGGTATTGGGAGCATACGTTAGCTGCAGGGCACGTGCCGAATGATAGTAACATTGAGTCTTTTATAAGGACGAAGTACGATTCGTGTAGGTGGGCTACGGAGGGTCTCGTGCCCAGTGATCCGGGGCCGTTGGATGGGGAGGAGGGGGATGATCTAATGTTTGGTAGTAGTCAGAACTATCAAGCCGAGATACACACAGATGGTCACAGACGGCATCCAAACAACCACAGCAACCCAACCCCCTAGCCCCACAGCAACCTTTCAACGCTTGAGCGTCTTCTGTTTCTCAGCCGCTACCCTCTCCTGGCGTCCCTCGACCAGCAGGCCCTTCCTGCGGCGTACGACGTCCATGTAGCGCTTGGCGACGTTCTCCTTGTCGGCAAGCTCGCCAAGGTCCTCGAGGTCGTCCTCGGTGAATGGCTGCCAGAAGGGATCCTCGTCAAGCACTTCGAAGCCCGTGAAGATGAGCTGTGGCTGCGCCGCACCTGAGGTACGCTTGCGCATCTCATCTGCGAAGCCGAACGACTCGGCGACTGGCAGAAGAGATAGAATCGTGAAAAAGGGCGTGCCTTCTTTCATCTGCTCCGACAGGACTTGTCCGCGACGACGGGTCAGGACGTCGTAGACTCGTCCTAGAACTTCGGCTAAAGGGGGTTCCGTCAGCTTCAGTTATACTAGGTAGATAATGGGAATAAAAGCTTACTGCTTGCTTGGATCTCACACGAGTACATGGCCAGCATGAGGCGAGGGGACCAGTCCATGAAACCTTGTCGGATCGACTGCTGTACCGTCTTGAGGACCTCTCCTGTCAGTCTTCCAAGCCGATCACGAGCCGATGCTTCTTCATCGGTGCCTGTGAGTGTCAAGTCTTCAATGATGACCGCAATGCCCTGAACCGGCTCGCTGCATAATGGTCCTTGGTTCGTGGCTAGCTGGAAAGCATATGTGATCTTGTCACAGAGATGTGCTGCGTGTAAAGCTTCATCTGCACGAGGGCTCTCATCCCCGTTCTTTTCTGCCGAAAAGATCTTGGGGAATGTTCCGTCTTTGGTGGCATCTATGAGCAGATTGGGACCTGTACGTCGAGGCCCGAAAGCTGCCACTTTGTCGATGATATCTCTCCAAGCTTCGCGGCCTCTGCCACTTTCGAGGAGAGTCTGAAGTTGTTTCTTCAGTTCGTCGACGGTCAGACTTTGGCTTTCGAGGATGATATCATCTGCTTCGATTTTCTGTTGTTCCTCGTCCACACCGCTCTCGTGGGTTAATCCCTCTTCGGCTTTCCGCTCGGAATACAGGCGCTTGATGGACCCGGCGTTCTTGAGCAGGAAGTCGGTAACGTCAGTTGGCAAGGGTCTCACGCGAACCGTGATACTCAATTGTTTGGAGTTTGTAACACCAATAACAGCACCTCTACCCAAGTCCTTGTTGACTGGCGGTCGCATCTCCTCTGCTCGAACGATGGTCTCTCGATAAGGCACGATAGGTGCGCCAGCCTGGATGTTACACCGGCCGAACCGCTCCTTCAAGTCTGTCAAGCAGCGTTCCAAGTGTAGTTCTCCGGCTGTCAAGAGAACGTGCTCCCCACTCTCAAACTGCTCGTACTCGGCACACGGATCGCTTTGTACCAACAGTTTCAGCCCCTCGATCATCTTGTCCAGATCTGCCGGGTTGACAGGCTCCAGGGCAACGCGTACGATGGGATTCCCCAGCGTGTTGACTCCTGCCAGATTGACGGAGCCTTCCAGTTGGCTGCACAGGGTTCCGGACTTCAAGATGTGTCCGTCGAGGCCTCCGATTCCAAAGACAACACCAGCAGGCACAGAGTCCAGAGACTCGAGATTCCTCCCCATGAGCATATACAATGCTGTGACAGTGAACTCCTGTGGTTCGGGAGTGGCATGGGGGTTGGCGGGAGAGAACTTGGGTGCTAGAACGTAAAGAGTGTCCCCTACCGACAGAGTTCCCGAGAATATTCTCGCAAACCCTATTAGATGTTCTGGATCTACCTGCTTCTCTTCGGGTTCTGGTACAAAGTCGTCTAATGCCGTAGTCTCGAGTGCCTTCGTTATGTCGTTCATCCCATTTGTCTCGGCTTGCTGGGCGCGTGCTAGTTCTGCTCGTTTCTTTCTTGCTAGCTCTCTGGCTTCATCGGCACTGAGCTGGCCAGTCCGATGTTTGTTCGCTGGAAGTTCGCTTTCGGGAACGGAAACCATCTTGCTGACATACGCGACGACGGGATCAGACTTGGAAGCCTTGAAGTTAATCATGGCATCTTTGACGGCAGGATCAATATACTTCGACCCCGGGGACTCCTCTAATAGCTCTGGTAACCGTTCAGCCTGGGCCGCTCGTGGAGAGGGTAATGATTCGACAACAGAAACCAGCAGCGCCGTGGATAAAGGTAACCACGAGGAAAATACTGTTGTAAGCAAAAGTCGAGGATCTTTAGACCGTGCAATGTGAGGAGGTATCGTTATGTTTAGCGACTTTGTAATCTTCTCGAGTAAAGCAGGATCACTTTGCAGAGTTCTAGTCAGTAATGCAATTCCACCGCGTCAACATATGGAATAAAGAGGGTCGCATCAAGTCCCTGTGTGAGCGAGTAGTCGAAAGGAGGTTGTATGCACAAACAGCTTTCCAACCATGCTAAGCGCGTTGTTTGTGGGATTGAGAGACTGCGCAAAAATGAATAAGTGTAGGGGAAATGACTTACCCCTTTCCATGATCACCCCCTGCTGTTGCTCCGTATACCGCCCATACCTGCTCAAGTACAAGCTGAACAAACATGGGTTTCAGATTTCGACCCTTTAGGTGTTTTCGTCCAAGGACCTTCTTGGTCTTTGGATCGAGGTAGAAGTCACCCCATAAGACTTTCTCCATGATGTTTCTTTTGATGCCGAGCTTCTTCTCGTACAAGCTCGCAAACTGCCGAACCGTGAATGCCCAACCATCGACAGCGCTGCTGAATATGACATTGTTCTTCTCCGGGGCGAAATACAGTTCTTCGTCATCCCGTTCTTCGAATTGTAGTTCGGCAGCGTCGCTGTCAAAGTCGCCGTGTTTTGACTCTTTGGCCGCTGCAGCAGCGACTCGTTCGTCCATCCGTTCTCGCCAGTTCAGGTCTTCTTCCATGCGTTCACCTTGGAAGAAACTCCCTAGAACCGCATTGACCTGTTCAAGCAGCTTGTTCAGGTGAATGTAAGCCTCACCGGGGGTCATCTTGAGCTCCGTGACCAGTCGATCCAGCTTGTTGAACACAAGCAGCGGTTTCAACTTTTCTGTCCATGTCTGGCGAAGGACTGTGACCGTCTGACTACACACACCCTCCACAGCATCGACAAGCACAACGGCACCGTCGCATAATCTCGATGCTGTGGATACTTCGCTGCTGAAGTCGATGTGGCCGGGGGAGTCTATCAGGTTGATCAGGTACTCCTTTGGTATTGGTGCAGCGTCCTGTGATGATCTCCTAAGCATCGAGAAGTAGAGAGAGATGGCGGATGACTCCATGGTGATACCCCTGATCTGCTCGTCAGGGCGGGAATCAAGATAGCGGATCTTGCCGGCAAGCTTCGGCGAGATGATGCCATTTGTGGCGAGGAGCGCATCTGTTAACGACGTCTTGCCGTGGTCGACGTGCGCCAGAATGCAAATCTGATGTATGTTAGCCACATGCTCTGTCATGTTCGGCATGGGAGTTCTCAAGTTACGTTTCGGACATCGTCAGCATGCCGTTGCAGACTGGCAAGCTTCTCTGGAGTAACAACAGGCATCTTGACAGCAGTGAAACTTGTGAGGCTTGGTGTATTCGTAGGTATGTGGTGGCCACGGTTGTAAACCCTGTGGCGGGCTATGACCAGGTTATATACCTGTATAGGTCTCTATACACATGTAGGTCCCTCCTTGTATGCAGGCCCGAGAAGAACCGACTAAGGGGGAGGAATCCTGTGGCCTGCCTGCCCGGTGAGTGACTAACAGACGGTGGCTACGCTGATTTCGCCGTCTCACTGTGACCTCGAGTTTCGTGCCGGGAAGGAGGTTGCAGATGATGGATGAACGACTGACAGACTTAGTCACCTTATGTATTTGAGGCTGAGAAAGCATGAATCAAGTTGGATGCGTCTTAAATTCCTCCTCGTAGAGAAGCAGAGTGGTGATGAGTGAGTCCTCCTTCGTCTTCTTGTTCTTTTGCTTTGATGGCGGGGCAAATACTGGCTATTGGAATACCCCGCCACCCCACTGACGAAAGAATCAGTCTTGACTCTTGAGCTTGATGAGGTGGGCGCCATGAGGCTGAGGGTACCCAGCAGAGTGGCTCCAGTAGCGAGGGGCATTGGGGCGCTTGGAGGGACAGGGACCTGTTGGAGGGGCTAAAAGCCACACAGGCCATCTCCTCAGAAAGAAAACCCTAATTCGTTAAAACTTCGGCTCATCTTGAGAGCAGTCGGTCGTTCCCATTTTGCAACATCAAAAAAATCAACGAAGCCCCGCCACTCTGCCTGAGAAATTGGAACATCCCGCTCCGCGACCATCACGACACGACTCACGATGAGCGGTCTCCGAAACGGCTCTGCGCCCATGCGCTCCATCGAAGACGACAGCGATGTCGAGGAGGAAGCCCTTGTGGCCGACTACAAGGAGCAGGTCCAGTACGAGGATGGTGAGGATCTGGATCAGGTCAATTCCATGACTATGGCCCAACAGACCGACGATATCCAGTCGAGACTTGTCGCCGCTGCTCAACCGCTGGACTTCTCCGCGCCTCTCGAAGTCAAGTTCCAGAGTTACGATGCCTACTGCAACCTCTTTCACTTCATCCTCAATTCTGAGGGCCCGGTCGACCTGGAGCCCCCTTCGGTGCGTCTCCTCCACCACAATATACTCTATCGTGTGACTTACTAACAGTATTGCTAGCATTACTGGGCTTGGGATGTCATCGACGAGTTCATCTACCAGTTCAACTCCTTTTCCTCCTACCGACTGCGTATTGCGCGACAAGCTAGAGAAAACGAGGAGGAAAGACAAATTCTGCGCGAGAACCCGAATACCTGGGGATGTTACAGCGTGCTGAACGTGCTGTACTCCTTGATCCAAAGATCGCAGATCCTCGAGCAGCTCAACGCCATGAAGCGGAACGAGGACCCGGCAGCTGTTGCTGGTCCATACGGCTCCAAGACTTTGTACAAGATGCTTGGGTACTTCTCCATTATTGGGCTCTTGCGAGTTCACTGCCTGCTCGGCGACTTTAGCCTTGCGCTGAAAACCCTCGATGACATGGAGCTCAACAAGAAGGCCATGTTTGCGCGCGTTATGGCCGCCCACTTCACGACCTACTACTACGTTGGCTTCTCCTACATGATGATGCACCGATACGCCGACGCTATCCGCATGTTCAGCCACATTCTGGTCTACGTCTCGCGTACGAAGAACTTCCAGAAGAACGCCCAGTACGACTCTATCACGAAGAAGAACGATCAGATGTACGCGCTGATCGCTATCTGTGTCGCATTCCACCCGACTCGTCTCGATGACACCATCCACACCGCTCTGCGAGAGAAGTACGGTGACCAGCTTCTCAAGCTGCAGCGAGGTGGTCCAGAATCGCTCCCTATTTTCGAGGAGCTCTTCAAGGTCGCATGCCCCAAGTTCATCTCGCCCACGCCGCCGGACTTCGATAACCCCGAGGCCAACGTGGATCCCGTCGATCATCACCTTTCCGTCTTCATGGACGAGGTCAAGACCAACATGTTCAGCCCTACTGTCAAGTCCTACCTACGCCTCTACACAACCATGGATCTTAAGAAGCTCGCAGGTTTCCTGGAGGTGCAGCCGGAAGCACTGCGGTCTTACCTGTTGGTCAACAAGCAACGAACGAAGCAGCTGCGATGGACCGATAACGGACTGCTGGATGGCGAGTGGGTGAACGTCAGTGACTTGGATTACGCTATGCAAGGAGTATGCTGAACCCCGCTCATTTCTCGCTGATGGTTCAAGCTTTTTGTGCGATGGTCAAGCTTTTACGTGCGACATGCTAACCGAGAGACGTAGGATCTGATTCACATTTCGGAAGCCAAGGTGGGACGCAAGCTGGTCGATTGGTATCTGCGTAACCTGTCGCGGACATACAACTGAGCCTGCGGAACACATTTCTTCCTCATCAACACATCCATCTCGGCAAAGGCGGCAAAGGGAGGGACATGTACGTCGAGGGATGATTATACGCAGAAGCTTCGTCATCAATTTGCATTGCACAGGCGTCATGGGATATGAGGATCATTTCTCTCCAGCTTGATGGCAAGCTGGAAAGGGCGAAGGGGCTGATGGACGAACCAAATGTGAACCAAATGCGTGGCGATACCTAAGATACCCAGATACCTTAAATCTGGCAAACCCAAAGCGCCGAAAGGTAGCGTCAACATTATCTGCCGCAGTCATAGATAATCCGGTGAGATATTCGTGGCTTCTGACATCCCCGCCTTGCGCGCATGAGGACAACTTGGCAGAAAGATGTCTGGACCTCGCGAGCCAAGAGAGCCAAGAGAGCCAAGCTGAGCTAATATGTAATGTTGGCGTGGTGAGAAACACACCGAGATCCTATCCAAACCACATGGCATGTTTCTACCGACAGGCAGGCAATGCTTGTGTCACACCGCATTGCCGGCCGAGCTGCTGACCTGCACGCCGAGAAGTTATGGTCTTGATGTTACGAAATATATTCTCCTTTTACGAAGGAAGTGAGGCCTCCGTCGACTTAAGTACCTATGATTTACGTGAGATGAGTAGCGGGTTGGTGGCTATTCCAGCTAATGCCTCTGCTTTGCTTATCCTAGGAGGTCATGTAACTGTAATGTTCACCGTTTGGTAGGAGGTACCTAGCTAAAACAAGCTGTTCACACGGCCAAGACGACTGCTTTGGTTGTGATGGGATTGGTGGACGGTATGCTTGTGGACCGTTGCGCCAGTGTACCGTAGACGGCTCGAGACGTAATGGAACTAGGCCGGGAAAGTAAATAATTCGGAACCAGGTACGAAATCGCTTCCTAGACGTCATGGGCTTGATTGGTATGATTACATGTCTGTTGGTGATCTGGTAGTTCTCTTCAGGTGAAGGTTATCCTTTCCATGGGACTGGTACGTAGGGTCCTGTAGGTTATGGATATCGGAACCACGAATAAGGCGAACGAGGGGTCAGGGTGCACTCATGTGGCTTTTCTCGGTGCTGCTACTGGCTGTAGATCGTAAGTTGATTATGTAGGTCTCAGCTGGGAGATTATCAGTAACCCAGACCGCAGCAGCTTTTCCAGTGTCATTATGAGGAATGAACACCATCACAATGATCTTATCTGGTGCCGTGAGGCCTGGGGAGAAATGTCTTGTGGTGGGGTGAAGTTACCGACTGCAACGAGATCAATGGCGGGCGCACTGGACATAACGAGCTAGCCCCCATGTGGGGACTTGGAGATGCCCAAGATAGGTAATTAGGGCGAATAGGTGGGGGGATGATGGAGACGAGACGGCTACACCGCCCAGGCTCCTCTCTCTCACATCCGGCGCGTTAGGGTCGTCGCGGCTGACAACAAGCAAGCCGCAGGTATTTGCGAGGTACCGGCGGGATGACATAAGGAGCCGAACAGCCGGTTCCTCTGATCAGTGACGGAGCTGAAGACGGTCATCCTCGTCACCTGTCCGTGTCCGGACGCTGTGGTCCACGTCGTGCCCCTCACACCACAAATGCCACACCTTTGCCCAGCTCCGTGTTATCTCTGCGGCGTCTGACTGGCTTGGTGAGTCACAGAACGGGCGAGAAGAACCCGTGGCATCAGAGCTTGGCTTGCTTGGCAACGTGAGGTATGCGCCAAGTGAACGCCAAGAGCACAAACTGTGTTACTGTCGCCACTTCGCCAGAGGTCTTGGGTGCCTCTCTTCCCCGGTCTTGGAACTCCTTGGAGGCTGGGACGTGTATCTCACCCGCGTGGAGAGATGCTGCCTATGAGTTGTAACTTATAGCATAGAGACAAGCTGGACGGGATGGAAGAGGCGTGGAACGAAAACGAAAGCGAGGCGCGGCGGCCTGCGATATGACCGGTAATTAAGGCATCTGTGTCGCACAGAGATATGTAGGTCTGATGGCGTGCCCCGTCGACAAAATTTCACAATACCGGACGACACATCTGCCTTCTGGATGCGGCCAAGAACTTAGAAGTAGGACGACTGGACGAGGGCTGGGCGCTTCATTGGCCTTGTCCCGTCCGTCTGGGATGGCCGGTTGATTTTGTGAGGAAGGGCTTGGTATTATCAAGCCAGATAGGTTGGTGTCAATATGGTACTCTTCCATGTAGAAGCTCACGGTACTGTCCAAAAGGTAGGTATACCCGAATGTTCACCTCGCCGGAAGTATGATGACGAGAACAGAAGGTGGTTTGAAGTGCCGTAAGACGGTAGGCATCCGACTGGCGAGGTCAATTCCGAGGCAAGATGATCCGTTGGAGCTCTCAGCTTGATGTTGCATTCGTGGCTGGACGATATAGGGAATAAGGAGAGGGACGAAAAGAACGAGGAACAGAATACAACCTGGCGTTACCTAGAGGCATGATGTACATCAGCTGCAGTCAACCGGACACGGCATGCATACTACAGACGCTGGCTGGTTGTTGGATTTGTGGAACATGACCTGAGGTCGAAGGTGAACATAAATGCACGAGAAGGAAGGCGAAGAGGTATGCTGATAGTAAAAATAGGTACACTCGATAAGGTATGGGTACTGGAGGTTACTAGGTACGCGTAGTAGTGCCGTCATCTGCCGCAGGAGCTATCCTTGTTAGGACATGTAAGGTAGCTGTTGGAATTAGCTTGGCTCGTTGCCAGTGGAGTCTCGACTCTTTTGCTGTCTGTCTGCTTGTGACTGCCCGTGCCTCCACCGCCGAAACTTGGGCTGCCATCCAGCCCATTCCATTCTTCAATATCAAGACGATGCGACGGCTGCCCCGTCCATTCATTCATACATTACCTTCCACGCTGGTCCCGGACCCCACGCTTCGGATCTTAATTTGCGGGCTTCTCTTGGCCCGAGTGTCTTAGAGTCACAATCACTCATTGTACCATCGCATTGGTTTTTACTCGGAACGTTTTGCACAATCGCATCCCCATCCGCGAGAGGTCAGAGGTCGTGCCAAGATCCCGCCATCCCTTTGAAGGCTACATCTGTCCTGCGAATCCTTTGTAGGAACTTTCCCTTTCCTTTCCCTTGATCTTTGGAGCAATATTCGACACGGCCCGCGTATGCGGGTAGCTTCAAGACGCTTGGCCCATGTCAAACTGCTAGTCCTCTGACTAATTTAGCACCTTACCTCCAGCCTTATTACCCCAGGCCGACCCAGCAGCTTCAAACCTTGGAGGTTCCTTCTATCATCGCACCACACGCATGCGCCGCCTTCCCTCTGAGAACAGCCCTTTCGAAAACGTGCCACTCTTACTGGCTGTCCAACGTTTTGTGCTCTACGTCCCATCCGACGTCTTGCTACCACATGGTATGTTGGCTCGTAATCTTTTCGAAACATCGTTGTCTTATAGCTATCACCCGCAGCCCATCCACCAACAAATCGATTATAGATACCTATTGTCAACGAGGACAACCGTGTACCCTCTCGCCCCGAACTTCCTTTCGAGCACCATCTCATTCCTGCGACGAACAATACATCCATTCGCACCACAGGGCAGCCTCGGGTTCTTTGAGCTTCACAAGCCCTCCACCTCGATGCAGGCCGATAGGAACTTGCCTCCTCCGCCCTCGACCTGAGGCAACGTGAGTCAGGTACAGCTCGGCACATTGATTGAGTCCGAAGTCTGGCATAATCATCGGTTCAGTGGTCATTCCGGGGAAAACCGACTGGAACAATCATCAATTTGGTGCTCATTCCACTCATCCGTCTTCTACCAGACGATCAACTATCGCTTTTACGGGCCACCACCCACCACCCAGCACCCAGTATGTCTGGCGATACCCCGACACCCGCTGTTCGGAGCCCTGCGAGCGGCGTCACCCCAAAACCAATACCAGAAAAGAGCGATTATTTCGCCGCCGAGAAGAAGCAGCCAGGGTTACCCCCGGACGCCAATTCAGGTGTTGGAGTTGGTGCACCTCGAGCCGACGCCGAGAGGCGTGTTCTGATCGTTGATGCGAAGGGCAAAGGAAAGGAGGTCGAAAATACGGGATGCGCGATGGCCACGACGCCCGGCGAGGCTGCCTCGAGTTCGGGGAGTAGCGAGCCCCCGTCTAGGAAAGGGTCTCTCGGCGGTGTCACCTTTCAGGCGCTTCGTAACCTGTCGCTGCCTCAAGGATTGAAGAAGCCGCACGGGGGTACTCGGATCCGGGAGGCTTCACCACCCCATCGCAGGTAAGCTGAAAGGTCTCTCCCTCTTCTTATTACTCCCCCGTGCGCATGGACAGCCTGATCGTTGGGGCATGGTGACGATGGAAGGTGCGTCGTTTACGGGTCACCAGAGGAGGCCACCAGACTAGTTTGCTTTGAACAAGTCGCACTGCGGCGGGCTGTCCCCGACTCTTGCACCAGCACGGGGGTGTCTACCGCGTTATTCGGTCATTCGTCAACCGTCTACGTTGCCCCACTCATCACGTCCCCTAACCACCGCGCACCCACGTGCCTGCCCACTTGCCCACTCTCACCCCTCCCCACAATGAGCTACATACAGGTGGCCCAGACCCCATACATCACACGAGCCCAGAGCAGAGCAGAGAGTACCTGGAGTCACGACGATGGGCGCAGCAGTCTCGCTTCTTCCCCCCTACCTCAGCTGCCCATTCTCGCAAAGGCACAATAGCCCTTGCAGCATTGTCTTCGTCTTGCCTTGATCTGCTTTGCGGCATCCTCGAACTTCTCCACCTACCCATCACACAAGTCCTCGGTCTAGGCCTGCCCGTTTAGCTGATGGCAACCGAAACACTGACTGACTCCCCTCGCTCGGCAAGGTTCGAGTCTCATGTAGCATTCGACAACATCCCGCTCGGCGATGCGACCGATTACAACCCGATAGCCTTCACCCTAAACGTCCGGCACCATGGTTTCCAGTACAGGCGGCGGCACCGCACCTTCATGGTTGGTGTAGACGACAATTCGTACTCGGACCATGCCTTGCAGTGGCTCTTGGACGAACTGGTCGATGACGGCGACGAGATAGTATGCGTACGCGTCATCGAAACCCAGGTTCGTCTGACCGACAGGGCATACCAGGACGACGCAAAGGCCTTGATGGAGTCGATCCAGTCCAAGAACGTACAAAATCGCGCCATTGGCCTGATTTTGGAATATGCCGTTGGGAAACTACACAGCACCTTTCAACACCTCGTAAGTGATCTGCAGCTGCGGTCCCCGATGAAGCGTACCCCCCTGTTTGCTTGTCGAGGCGGAAGCATGCTGACCATGGGCGCGCAAACAGATCAAAATTTACCAGCCATCAATGCTTATTGTCGGCACGAAAGGACGCAGTCTGGACGGAGTCCAGGGGTTTCTGGTCAATCGCAGTTCTTTCTCAAAGTATTGCTTGCAATACTCGCCAGTGCCCGTAGTCGTCGTGCGTCCTACCGAGAAGCGCGAGAAGAAGCGGCTCAAGCGTGCCGGTGACCCCTCTCGACAGAGCTATCTCCAGATGCTTGGTGGTCAGCCACATGAGGCCGACAGCGAGAATAGCAGCGTGTACGAGCTGGAACCAAATCTCACCGCTGATGAAGAGGCTCATCGTGTGGCCGTCGCCGTTGGGCTTCCCGCAAGCTATGACCCGACTCTCAAGCCCATTGATCCCGCGACCCTGGTGAGGAGGGCTAGCCGCCAGCCTGCATCTCAAATTACAAAGGATGCCTTGGTTGTTGCTGCCAAAGGAGGTCTACCCGCCGACAAGAAGCCGGGCCAGGATACGGATTCTGATAGCGATGAAGAGGAGTTCGAAGTTACAACTGGCGATGAGATCATGAAGCGAGAAAGACTGCATAACATGGAGGTCAACGAGGGCGCTGCACTCAGAGCAGACGGTAGGAAGAACAGTTCCGGCTCTCTGGAGAGCGACGAAGATCCGCCAGGTGGCGGAGGTGCCAAGACATGACACAGTCACACATGGTGGGACGGAGAAGTGTCTTGCACGCGGGGTGTTGTGCCATTTGATGATCTGGGTTTGGGCAGAGACATCATACCGGCGCGGTCAACAGACGGGTGTCCACATGGACCAGCGACTCTGCAATGTCTGTTGCGGGGTAGCACCTGTCGGAAGAGATTATGGAGGTCTTTTAACCAGCGATTATGTTGTATTGCTTTGCTCAGCCTCCGATGAGAGGAATCTACAGCTGTATACAGGCTCCCGGCTATCACCACTATGATAATGTCCACTCAACACGCAGCCAGCTTATTTGTATCTGTGGGTGTGACCAACGGGAGTTGTCCCTGATGTATGCAACGCATGGTTCGATGCGGAGGCACATCTGCGAGTTTACCTGGGCTCCTATCGCAGCATGACCGTGCGCGTTCATGAAACTATCAAAATCCCTTTTCAACAAGTCGCGACACGGCCGTTATCTAGCCCTTCGTCCTCCACCTATATACCAATAAGCCTCACCTACCTGACATGGCCATGGCTCAGACCTTGACCGTCAACTTGCTGTTATCCGGAGAATTAGGCCGAGTGGTTATGGCAGAATCATCAGACCTCCTGAGGTTGCGCGAGAGGGAATACGTTTGCACGTGGACGTGGGTGCGTTCGAGCATGGGTAGAAGGCGGGATAGATAGCTTGCCTTTTTCCAATAGGTAACCTGGTAAGATTGGACTTCTGATATGTTCGCTCGCATTTTGGTAAAGGGGCTCTGTCGTTAGGTCGACACGGCCACGGCCGTAGGGCCTCGCCGCGAAGGGGTTGGGTCTGCGAGATAGCTGAGATAGCACGACAGAGGCAGCACATGTGCTGGAGGCGTACGTACTTGAGGTGAGCGGTAAGTATTGAGGAGTCTGCTCAACTAGATAGGTAGGTATCGCAGGCTGTGTGACAGTCGAGAAAGTAGATGAAAGCGCTGCGGTATGTAGACGGGCGGCTCTTTGGTACTGCTCTCCTGTGAGGCTGGCCGTTGCCCTCGAATACATAGGTAGTGCAGGTATCGATCGACAACACATTAAGAAGGCTGGCGACGATGCCCCCAAGTTGACTATGACAGCAACTAGGTATGTATCTTTTTGACTGGTTTACTGCACCAGCCTACCAGAAATCCAGTACTATATATAAGGGATTACTTATAACGGCACCTAGTGCCCTGTAGCTACTTATTCGACTAATTAAAAGTCTTTATTTACCGGCTTTTATCTATTAACTTTATTAAAGCCCTTATAAGATCGGCATAATATAACGTAGTTATATTAGAAACATGTGTTGAGAAGGGAAGGTTGGTTTTCTTACTAGCTAAGCTGTCATGGCGATGGCCGTTTACATATAAGATTCTGGTACAAGGACCCGCAGGCCGGACAACGGAGCTTTCATGCGACCACACAACATTTTTTTTGTTTTCATATACTTTCAGCCAATCGAAGAATCACCCGCCATCTGTATTATAATATATAATCTTTTATTTAACTTTTATTTAACTTAATTGACGCTTACTCCTTTTACTTTAAAATTAATAATAAATCGAATATTATAGCAATTTAAACAAGCCTTTTATATTAAAGAAAATAATAACGATAAAATTAATGGATATAGCTTAATTAAAGCTTATTAATAACGTTGCAAATAAAACCGACCTGTCAACATAGCGCTTTTAAGTTAAAACTAACTTAAAAGTCGAAACCAAATTGAAACCTTTAAAAGTTTTGGATTACAAGCTATATATTAACGTAGTATTAAGACCTTGAAAATAAGGAAAATATACTAATAATTAAGTGCTTCTAAAAACAACTTACGAAAAGTTTACTTTTAAGCTTATAAATAATACGATATTATTATAAACAAGCTTTTTTTCTTATTTATAAATATTTATATATGTTGGAACAGGTTTGAACGATCAATCATACTACTCGAGTATTGGGTCAAGGTCATAATGTTGCTGATGGTTGGATTAGAAGGTCTAGCTGGACTTGCAGGTCTGGCTAAGTGTCCTCACAATCCGGTATCTAATCTCTTATCTAATCATACATGTGAATCTGGTATAGATAGTTTGAAGGTTGGAACCGCATAGATCCAACAATATACTTCATTACTAGAAAAAACCGAAATAAAATATTACTAGTAAATTTAAAAAGCGCTATATTATCTTTTTACTCAATTTATTACTTTAACGCGCTAATAAGCTTCAAAATGAATATTTCGTACTTTTAATCTTACTTTCGTTTTTTCTACCTTTTGAATAAAAAGAAAGTATTCTTAATAAATATAATAAAAATCTATTAAATTATAAACTTTAAATATAAGTATTAAGAAAACTAACTACTTTTTATAATAAATTTAGCATATTTTAATGTGACGAGCCGTCTAACTTATAAGACTAAAGGGTTCTATAGGGTTTATATTCTTAGGTAAGTCAACACAAAGGACGATAGAGGCTTCTGTCAACTAGAAGACACTCAGATGCTGGGGCTTGGTCTGAACTGGGTTCACTGTGTAGTCAAGTCGTCAGGAGATTTCTCCCACCTTAGGGTTGGCTAAGATGCTTAGATTGATCACTGAGGTGGAGACTGTCTATCTATCTGGTTGGGAAATGTCTGTCCTTATATATCTAATCTCTCCCTCACTGATTAGGTGGCTCACCCTGGATCACCGGTGATCTAGGGTGATCCTGCTCACTGGATCACCATGGTGATCCAGTGATCCAAATTCTTAGTCTCGTGACCCAGGCTCTGCTGGTCGCGTGATCTGTGTACCGTTGCTCTGTTGCTTCGATCTCTCCACTGATCAGCGCCCCACTCTCTGGTCAATCTGTTTCCAATTGTCCCTTCTAGGCCTGCTATCAGGCCGCACTGTTCGTTGGTTCGTAATATTTAAGCTCGTTATAATTAGAACTTATTAACGTAAAAAATTATTAAAAGATCGATTTTTTTAAAATAAGGCTTTCAATAATATATAAAAAGTAATTATTATTTTATTTGATCGTTTATTTAAAGCTTTTAATAACGCGTAGTTTAAATTTCATGTTTTTATGGAATACTTTTTCTGCTACTTTATTTTTTAAATCATTACGTATTAAAAAATTAAGTGTTATAAAAACTGCGTAAGCAATTTATAATATCGCTTAAATAACAATTCATTTACTGATTTATAAAGCTTTAATATATTATAGAGCGGAAAAATAGCCTAATTTTAACAATCTGGTTAACTTAATGATTAAAAAATAATAATGTAGTTTCTATAGTTTTAACTGTGTTGATGAAGCGAGTATGAGGGTTAAATATGTTATTATGCGTGAGTTGGTTATCTAGCTAGCTAGGTGAGGGCTGCCACTATATATGGTTGCAGTCCTTCTTTATCTTATCTATCTAGCCGCCACCTGATTGGCCAGTGCACCCTGTTACAGTGGGCCCCCCTGGTGACGTATGTCAGTTGACTAGAAAAAAACAAGACATTAAAAATTATAAACGGTTTAAATAAACTATTAAAAGAATTGAGAAGTATTTCAATTATTAATTAATAAAGCTAATAAAAATTTCTTACTTTAATAGAGATATAACTAGTATATAAACGGTGTTAATATAAGAGTTTAAATAAAATTCATTTTTAAAATTATAATTTTTGAAAACACGCTTTTAAAGCTTTGATATACGGATTTTATTTAAAATTATCTTTAATAATACCTTTCTTTTTTAAAAGCGTAATAAACTTGTTTAAAAGCCGTATAAAACTTTTACGAAGTAAGTTAACTATTTGATCAAGTAAATTATATAAATATATAACCTTTTTATAAGGGCTTGTATTTGTAATTTAATAACAACCTTTTTAATATTAAGCATTTATATAGATAATAATCGAGCGGCAATTACAAGCGAACGGCAACTTCTTACCAACCTTCCCATCAATATGTAAAATAACTTGATTACAACCCATTTAATTCAATCTAATTAATCAGATTCTTTTTCTTCAGACGTTTCTATCTCTATTATACAAATTCACGCATCATGGCCAATGTTACCGCAAACGCTACAACACCGCTTATGCGCTGCCGCCCTCCTCGGACAATGACTACTTTTACTCATTTCTTGTCTTGCCAGCTCATCACCATCCTTTGCAGCCTGAAGACGTACTGCATCTTCAACAGAAAGTATTTTTCCTTTTATTAGATGTTTGTTTTTTGTTCTCTAATATTTACTTAGTAAGTGATTGGCCTTCTCTAGCTCGCGGACCTAGGAATCAGTCAAAACGACCTTGTGCATAAGACCGTATGTAGCCTTTGAAAACGAGCTCAACGCATTAATTATTGATGTAGGTGAGCTTCATAAGTGGTTTCTGACTTGATTCTGGATATAAATTAATTGGTTTACCGCTTTGTTAATGGTGGTAGGCGTCTTTGAAGTCCAAGTAGTGGGTGGCAGATTAGAGTCTGGCGACGGTGTTCGTTTGGCAGCGACAGCATCCAGCTTTGAAATAACACTTTCTGGGCCAAAAGGAACAAGCCCAGTGGTACTGAAACCTGCTTGAATGTTTCCTGGTGTCATAGCAGCGTTATATACTTCACAAAATGCTGTAAGGAAGTCCTCTTTCAAAATATGGGTTATATGATACTAGATGAGATCCTTAATCATGCAACCATGTCACAGGGCAAGCAAAAGGTTTGGACGAAGATGCACATCAATGACCTCTGTTGAACAGAAATACTTTGGTGAGGAGGGGAAGAAAGATCTGCAGCACCAGCTCAATCTGATGGTCGGATAGATCCCAAATCCCGACCCACAATTATCTAGCTTTCTGTGCGGCGGCAACGTGTCTGCCCTACCAACCACCTGATGGATAGTTGATCCATCACAGACCATAAGCTCATTTGAGCGGGCTAAAACAACTGACATCTAGAGGCTGGAACTTGTGTGATTAGTGGACAGGCATACACAGGGTAATAATACCATTGTTCTGGCAATAATCCTCAAAGACCTGGGAATAATGGCTTTCATGGCCATCTAAGATAAAGAGGCGTTTACTGGCGGTTATACGCGGTCTGGTATACTTATCGAAATCCTGAATCCTTTTCAAACCGATCTCATTTATAGTCCATCTGTTGTCAGACACGGCCACCTTTCAATTGCGTGGTAATGTTGTGTCGCAATACTATAACACAAGGTGGGTTTTGTCCTGTAGAATGATGAACGGCGGGACCACCCAACCACTAGCATTGATAGTAGAGATTGCTGTAAACCATTTTCTGTTGCCTTGTTAAGCTTGTCTAGGCCTGCCACTTCTTTTGGTGCTTGTGACGATCATGCCAGACCCAATAATGCCCATCATAAACCCAGTCTCGTCAAAGTTGTAAATGTCCGCCTCTTAGATACCATGTTTTGCGATTGCTGCTACAACTTGGCAAAACCACGTGCGATATATGTCTGGATCTTTGTTCAAGATCCTCTGGTAGTCTATCCTCTAATGAAAACTCGTTCAGAGGCCTAGTGTGCATTTAATGAAGTTCTGTCTAGTTCTTTTTAACGTGTCCAGCCCCTTGTGCTGCTAACAATTAATTCACCATATCTTCAACATAACTGTGCCAGTGTAGAAATGCTCGCGCATCCAGGTCAAGAATGAAGGAAAGAATGACATTCTCTTCAGAAAGCGTAAGTTTCAAAGTATTGAGCATGATGTCGCGTCGTGATAGTTGGCCGATAATTCTAGCCTTTAAGGTATTATATGGGATGTGGAAAGTCTTAGAAAGCTTACCAATAGTAATATGAGGATTGCGTCGTTTAGCTTGGACAGCAAGCTGTAAGTCTGATTTGCTATAACACAATGCTATTATTTCTGGTTAATCAATTAGGAGCTTTGATGAAAAGGTTAGGTGACTGGTGAAAAGTTGCCGTTTGCTTGTAATTGCCGCTCGCTTGTCATCCACGTTAGTACGTAAAATTTTTAAACTTATTAGGCGTATAAAAGTAGCATAATTTAAAAGTAGAAAAATGCTTAAAAATCCTTAATAATCGTTTTAATATTTACAAGTAACTATTAATCACAAAGTTTGAATATTAAAAATATAATATATTAGTTTATGTAAGATTCTAGAAGGGTCACAAGTCTTTTGGGTGTGAGCGGTCGCTGCAAATGTTGTTGTCATTCTCAAGTATGCTTGGCAGGGCTAATCTACAGCTAAATACCATACTGCACCATGCCAGGGTGGATCTACTGGTCCCCTGGCAGCCCCCTAGCGGGTACTGTACCTAAGGGCACTATATCTGGGATCTAATATCTGACAGTTTATTATATAAAAACTACTAGCATAAGTTTTATTATAAAAATAACGCTTGAATAAAAGTAAATCTGTTTTAAATTAACTAATTAGTTTATTTACAGTAGACAGGGCCTGTTTAGTATCTGCAGGGGCCATGTGCCCTGCATTGTACACCCTGGTACAGTAAACCAGTCAAGGGGATAGATGGGTAGGAGTCATAGTTGAGGGCAGCATCTCATCCTACTACGACTCTGCCTAGGCCTCCTTGATGCGGCCTGCAAATGGTGTTCCCGTCGCTAGGTAATCATAAGAAGCAGGGTCTGTCTGCTCTCTGCCGCATTACATACCTCTCTATCCGCCGACGTACGTAGCAAGCAGGCATCACAAGACCAGAAGCGGCGGCACCTGGTCATACAGTACCAAGACAAGAGCAAAACACATGCGAGGCCGACCGCCTCTACCTACACACCGAGCATCCGCCTATCGATATGTAACGTACACAAGAGCAGAAAAAATCCCCACCCACAGGTCGGTCACAAGCACAAACAAACAGAAAATCACAAATAAATGTCAGCAGTAACTATCTAACGGCGCCCAGTAAAAAATTCTGCAGGCGCAGCTAGCGAAAAAAGACTGCGTAAGATTCGCTCTCGGCACACGTAAATGGTCAAGACGTTCTGGGGGAGACGGGTCTTGATGATAAGGAATGGTGCCTTGGTTGAGAGGAGAGGAAGACGGAAGAGGGAGCGAGGGGAACGCGACTTTTTATTGTGATGGATAAAATGGTGGAGCAACGCACCAGCCACATCCATCGTGCTTTGAAGTTGTGGATCAAATTAAATGGTGCCTGTGGCCACTGGCCACGGGCTGTGGCTTGACGCAGCTTGGTGCATCAATTTGAAATTCGACTGCGCCCCGGCCCCCGAGCCAGCACCGCGCCAAATCTGGGAATTCAAATCAGGCAATCTCATCTTGCTCTGGTGAAAAGGCGCCACGAAGATGTCTTGTTCACACTGTAGCCTGTCTGGTTCATTCAATGGCGTGTGTGCAGTTGAGGCTCAACCAGTAGAGCCTCGCAATGGATATTCATAACGCAATCATCATGACCAGTGAGCATCCGACTATCCCCATCTAATGTATCTAATTATACACGTCCAAGAGAAATTCCAATACCCTATGAGGAGCTCTGCAGAAATAGACCGCTTAATGGTACTATCTAAAAGCTTCCATCCTGTTCCTATCCATCCATAACTGTACATGGAAACATTGGTGCCAGACCGGAACCGAACGCCATTGGGGTTGCGAGAAAGAGGTGCAATGCTAGACGCCGTCGCAAGACCGAATATAAACCAGCCCGCGCCAGGGTATCACCATGATATAAATGACGCAAGTGTCATCTCCAGCTTTGCAGCAATGTTCAACTGTCCACGGAACGTCCTTGAAGTCCACGTCGCGTATCTGTCGTTACCATTGGAAATGAAAGGGGTATCAAGTTTTGAGGTCCGCAATAGCTCGTGTGACCTCCTTACTTGCAATCTTCTCGAAGCGGTTCCTAGCGTTATCGTCGAGAGCCGCCTCGGAAATCTCTTTGTACAGCTTATGGCTCAAGTCGCGATTAATAGAGGCGTATGCCTCAGCCGTGAGTTGTCCGGATTTCCAATGCGGCTGAAGAGCGTTCTTGACGATGCCGCTTATGCTCTCCTTCACCTCGAAAGGCAGGTTCGCGCGTGTGGGCGAGGCTTCATGTGAGCGAATCAAGTTAGTGCCGATGTTGACAGGTTGCTGGCGCCGTGGCCGTGGTTGTCGAATCTCCGGGGAACGGCTTGCTCCGTTGTGCTGATGGTGAACTTGACGCGACCTTGTTTCGGAATCACTGTGATCACCCCCGTTTCTACTTGCCGCGTAGTTCGCCGGTGGGTATATCGGCTCAATCCTCGAGCTGAGTGAAAGAGGCGACCCAGGGCGGTCATTAACTCCACGTGGCGGCGGCGTAGTCGACAGCGCTCTCGGACTGCTGTGCGCCGATGGTGAAGGCGAACTCGCGGGTGATGATGGATCCACGGCTGGCTTCGGGGCAAACAGTGCCCGGATGTTTTCATCATCAGACGACGGACTCGTCTCGACTTCTCTCAATAACGATGAGAGAAAAGATGGCCCTTCAGAGCTTTGGGGTGGCGGGCTTGCTGCGGTGCGTGAGGATAGGCCACTACTGGTCGGCAGACTCGTTGATGACGATGGCACGGAGGTTGAGTTCGACGTCGAGGCCTCCGACTGGGTACGAACTCGTCTCGTTCGAGGTCGCTTCAGCTTCCTCTCCGGCTGCGGTGCAGGTTCGACGGGTGAGGCCGTAACAGAGCGAGATTTACGCTTGCGATGATTTGGAGAAGGGCGGGTAGAGCTCTCGGTCTCCATAGCCTTCTCCAGTGCCCCCCATGCCTGCTTTTCCTCGGGTGTTTCTTGAGGTGGCGGTGGGGGCGGTGGTTGTGCAACACGGTGCGGGAGAACGTTGGACAGGTTATTGGCGAAGACGTCGTGGGCCCCAAGACGACTTGCAATATTGATACGTTGTTGCCATCTCTGATACTCGCGTCGTTCTCGATCCCTTCGCTGCTGAGATCGTCGGTAGTCCCGCAGAGCCTCGTCATCGTCATGGTTGTCAAGGTCAATGTTCAGGACATCCCACACGCGGCCAGCTATCTGGCCCCAAGCGCCCTGCCATTCGTCTGAGCGAGCTCGCTGCCTGGCGCGTCGCATTGAGGCTCGAGTACGAGGTAGATAGGCAGACCGACCGTCGAAGCCTGCAAGGTGATTCGCTGTGTCGTTATCATCCCCTACGGCTGAGAGAAGCCCGGCAGCCTGCTCTGAGCATTCCATACAGAACCAATGCCCTCGGGGCACACTGTCCAAGCCGATGCAGTATGTGTGGTAAGGTGTATCGCAGCCATCGCACAAGATGAGAACTTCTTCGTGGCCGACATGGCCACAGATTGGGCAATCTTGTGTGTCATCCGCTTCCTCGGGGTTTTCGTCTAACCAGGCTTGGGGATCGAACTCGGCGACTTGTTTCTTATCCTCGACCTCGTACGAGAGTATTTCGGTGCCTGCGGTAAATGTGAGTTAGCTTACGTGGTTGCGATGCAGCGACGCCGAGCAGATCGACTCACCTCCAACTTTATCGTAAACGTGCACCAAATGGAAAGCTTGGCGACAAATGGGGCAACTATTTGCCTTTCCAGTCCATTCCCTCAAACAAGCGTCATGCAGGACGTGGCCACAAACTTGAATGACGGCGATTTTGTTATCACCGTCGTGGGTGGGAGAATTGGTGTTGTTGCTAAATGGCAATGTTGGCGATGCCTGCACGTCTAGGTTCTCTAGACAGACAATACACTGATCAGCCATCAGGGCAGAATTTCATCAGTTGTCGACTCTGTAAGTGGAACATATAAGTGACTGTGTGTAAGTCGGGGTTGGCGATTGCTGCAGTCGAGGCGGCAAGCCGTGAACGGTCAGAGAATCGAGCAGAGTCGAGCAGAGCGGCTGGCTGGCTGGATCGTTAATTGGTGGGCTTTGGTGGCTGAATGACAAGAAACCTCGAAAGGTGGGTTGGTGGTTGGCCGTGGTCAATGACGGACGGTACTGCGCTGTTGTACGGTGGGCAGCGGCGTCGGTGTCGGTGCTTGTGCTTGGGGTCGGTGTCTGTATGTACTCTGCCCTTTGCCCTTTGCAGAGCAATTATAAAAGAAAAGGCTACTAGTAAAGTGGCCAAAGTCGAATGGTTGCCTATATCCGGTGCGTCGTATTATAGTTCTGCGATGCACTGGGTCTGCAAAAGTCCAACGTGTTGTCGAGCAGTAGATGGATGAGGCAACGAGTAGCAACAACTTTGTAGGCTGACAAGCGAACAAGCTGGCAGATCGCTCTTGGAAGTTGGGATGGGTGGCGGTGGGGGGGATTGATGAGAAGGAGGAAAGACCCGGAGGACGGTTGATCGTTTTCGGGGGGAAGCAGGTGGTGCACGGGGCAGGCAGGTCCAGACAGCTGCGCGAAACCCTGGAGACTGACGGATTGGTTGCTTTGGTGCGAGGTACAAGTTCACAACCGTGTACGTGCGTCGGTTGCGTAGGTGAGGACTGAGTGTTGGCTTGATAACAGTGGTCGAAGTGGCACAAAATCAGAGTGCGGGTGGTTGACTTGATTGACTGGCAGACAAAGTGATCATTGACCGGGACGATACAATGGAGATGGGATCAGCGCAGAGCCGGCCGTAGATAATAACCAGGTGGTTTGTGGTCTATCAGATTATCAGGTGGCGGCGGTATGCTCTGGCTGTCTGGACGCTGGTGAACACTGACAGATTGTCGGGTCAAGGTAGCAAAAAGAAGAGGGGCCAAAGTTCATCTGTCGAAAGTAAGACTCCTGACGAGTTTAGCGCTGCTTGCACACAGGCACACAGGCACGTTGCCTAAGCGGGCCCAATCAGCGAATCAGCTGATGCCACCAAACCGCTCCCAAGGGGCGACTGGAGGGGGAGCCAAGTCCTTGCTTTCTCACTTGACACTGACCTATGACCTGCTCACGCCAGAGGCGGGACTGGGACGGATGACTGGATGGCCACCCTAGCTGCCTAGGCCGACAGTGCCTTTAGTAAGAAGTACTGTAGGAATGCAGGTACATGTGTTAGATGTGTCGATGTCGATGTGGATAGGAAGATGTGAGGGCGGGTTGGTTGTTGCGGTTGCCGTATCCTACAATATCTTCCTGTTCTTTGACAACCAAGTGGCCAACAACGAACAACAATGGTCCAGTTGCTTGTCAGTAGCGTGGGGCTGGGGCAGCTCGATTCCAAGTTTCTAGGTATCTCGTCATCTGATGAGATCTGGTCTGGCTAAGATGATGGTCTCGAAAAAGCAGGTGAGATAAGCTCTCTTTCAGCTAAGAGGCGACTGATGGCTGAGACTAGTGGGTTTGCCGTCGCAAGTGATACGGATATACCCACCTACAGCTGGCCACTTAGGCAAAATTGTCGTGGCTGCTGGCTGCCTTCTCTCAGTAGACTTCGACGTACCTAATCCACGAACGAGGTGAAAGGTACCAGTGTTTGAGAGATCTCGTGTTGACTGCCAACCCCGGTTGGTCCGCAAAGGTACTCAGCCGGGTTGCGTTGACTTCATGCTACGGGTTCCTTGGCTTCCTCGGCTGGTAAGTGCACACTATGGAGGAACAGTTTCGTGGCTGATGCAGTCACTTGGCTGCTGCGGAGCTCTCCAATGTCGGAATATCCAGTAGGATACGGCCAAGGACCACAGGCACCGGTAGCAGTAATAATAAGTCGTATGGAATCACGCACACCACTTCCCTAAATAGCTGCATTAGGGTGCTGGAGGTACCCAGGTATCCAACCAGATTATGTACGCCGGCTACTAAGCCAAACTGGAAACCTCGATAATGCGTCGTGGTCAGGTACAGCTGACCAGAGCAAAGGTAGTCAATTATGAGTGGATTGCTTCGAAGTTCGCTTATTGACAGCCTGTGGTCTCGGTCGAGATGTTCGCAGTCTCGACTCGATATTTTAGGTACCGCAAGTCATAGTTGGGGAGAATGAAGTTAATGGGGTTCACAGACGGCAGATCCCGCCATCTGTGGAATGCTGTGTGGCGAGGACCGGAGTATGGCGGCTATCGAATGCGAAATGTCTTCAAGACAAAAACTACGAGAATGGCCGAAGCGCGGATAGATCAAGCCCTTTATATCGTCACGGGTTCGGGCCAGCATGGTCTGATTGTGTGCCTGATGCCACCTGGCTTTCGGTGTCAAGGACGTAACCAGGATCTGTACGTTGAGTGACGGTACTTACTAGGCATCTGGGTAACTCACTCAACAGGTTAGATGGGTAGGCAGCAGTCAGACAAGAATTCATCGTCGAACACACTTACATACCAAGGAATTTCCCATGGACGTTCGCGAGTCCAGCCACTGCTAGTCTTGATCATATCTATTAATGCTTGCCACGTGGATTGCCCAGTCCCAGCGGGTAAGAAACGGGGCATTGGCGTAGGCAGGAGACCGACGGACACGCTCGTGGCATCATGAGTGGTCGACTCGGGCGGGCAGATCATTGACTGCCTGAAGTGGACCGGACTTGACCGTATCCCTGGAAAGATGACTCGATAGCCAGACGTGAGCCCCTCTTGCCTGGTCGACCCTTCACCTCATCATTTTTCTTGTTCACGGAGCACATTGGACTGCAAGGTCGGTTCGCGACTCCAGCTGTTTGGAGTCTTGGTCGCCTGGGGTTGGTTCGTAATTGACCATCCATTTATTCTGGTTGATGCTGATCAAGGAAGGACCTCAATCAATCGTCGTCATGATCCTTGTCAGGTATGCGTGTAGAAATCCGTTTTCCCTGTACACCGAAGCCAAATGCAAAGACCCCATCGCCCATCATCTTGTGCCTTAAACCTCCTGGATTTCTCTCAATCTGCGCAGCGTTGATCGCATGGCAGCCGCGGCGGGGGTGCTGGAGGTTGAATGTTAGTATATCTCCTGTGGGCATAGCTCACTTCGAGGGAAGCCAAATGTGGAGGGTGAACATACGCGACAGTGTAAGCACCGCCTGCTACGGTCTTGCCGCATGCTCTGCAATCATGTCAGCATCACATCTGCGATGGTCTTGGGCATTGACTTACCGGCAGTTCCAGATACCAACAGAGTGTCGACGAACGGTAGTCTTGCCACAGAAGGTACTGCTCATGTTAATGTCCCGCCCTTACATTCAAGCCGGCATCCACGCATCGTCGGATACGGAGCGGAAGGTATGGTGACATACCATTGGTACTTGGCGTGCTGTGTAATCTCCATCTTCTTCACCTGCTTTCGGAGCGAGGCACCATATCTATACAATCGATATCAGTATGTATTCGGACGATTTCCCTCCAGACGTGCCGAGGATTCGAGGGTGCGATATTATGAGCGGCATGATTTCGACTGTGCGACCCCAGGCAATGGATATGCTGGGAGGTTCGAGTTGAAGGCTTAACTGTTACTGACCTAGTACCGTACTTGCCTGCGAAGACGATGTCAGCAACCACAATACATGGGGCACGGAGGGCAAAGCGCAGATTAGAGAAACATACCGGTTACGCCGACCTTCTTAGTACGCTTCGTCATTTTGTCTGAGGTGCGTGAGGTTCGTTCGTGGGGTGTAGATGACGAGGGGTGGTGTTCCGAACGGTGGTTGTTGCGCAGCAGAAGTTTGGTCAATCCCGCAGTCTCTAGTAGGAGGTGCACGATTTTTTGATTTTGCTAAATGTGCCCTGCTGTGTGGTGGTCCCGGGTGGGGCTTAAGCGGGAGGACGTGAAAGAGCTTGGACCACACCAGCAGCCATACCGGTACATCAGTCTGCCGGTCCGTGGCTTGAGTGGCTAGTGAGAGAACAGTCACGTGCTACGTGGCTCACGGGCGGCCAAATGGAGATCGGAAGCATCAATTAAATGCCCCGATCCAATCATCAGCTGCTCCGTGGTCAGGACTCAGCCCAGAAGAACCCGACTGTCCGTTTCCGCTGCCATTGGCTCCTCTGGCATTTCAGCACGCTGCGATTCATGATAAGCTCGAGTGTGGCAGAGAAAGGAAGCTTTGCAATCCGCCAGTGGAATGGAATGCCCACTGCTCGTCCGGCTGTCTATTGCTATGATTTCTGGCCTGGCTCGTGTGATATTTACTGTTTTATGCAGGCCGAAGCGGATGGACCCTGGATCCTGGACCCTGGAGGTGATAGCCCGCACGGCTGACTGTTCGGGACATGCACCGAGGGCCCCGACCGCCCAGCCTCCGTCCAGCTCTATTGACGTTAGCGAACACGGAACTTCTTGCCCGTAGATATCTGGCGCCGGAGCGTGGACGGCGATAGTTCCCTACGTGGCTTTGGCTAACGGGCCTATCGACTTAGAAGCTTTTGCTACGAACCACTTAACGTATTTAGGTAGTCTTTCCCGGGAAGGAGGTATGAAAGAGACACTGGAGAGTCAGAGAGCCCAATTCATAATGTCTCACGCATTTTCCAGGTATGAGTGACGGAAACTATCGCCACATCCAATATATATCTGCTATCCCTCACCCTCGTATGGCAATCAACCTCAGGTGACTTCTCTGAAATACCCAACCACTCCCTATCTGCGTTTGGGGGGGCCGAACTTAGTCTTGTTGCGCTGTCTCTCTCTCCTCCTCAACTAGCACACTCAGACAGTCTGCCAAGAAGTTGTCATGTCGTTCAAGAAGCACTCGCGCCAGTATGACCTGGTGATATTTGGGGCAACCGGTAATAAACCCAAACCACATCGAGCACTTGATTGACTTGGAGGCTAAAACTGAGAAGGCTACACTGGGCTGATGGTTGCCGAATTCATCGCCGCTCACTTTCCCACCGATGTGAAATGGGCCGTAGCAGGCCGATCAGTCGAGAAGTTGGAGAGCGTGGTGAAGTCCTGCAACGCAGTCAACCCCGATCGCCAGGCTCCGGGGGTCGAAATATGCAATCTCGATGATGCAGAGCTTTCCGAGCTGGCCAAGAAAACATTCGTCCTCATCACGACGGTTGGCCCATACTCGCAGTACGGAGAGCATGCGTTCAAAGCTTGTGCCGAAGCCGGGACCCATTACCTCGACTGCACGGGTGAAGTGACCTGGCACCAGGTGATGCTGAAGAAGTACAACGCGGCGGCGAAGGCCAGCGGAGCCTGCATGTTTCCCCAATCTGGCATCGAGTCAGCGCCGTCGGACTTGATAGCATTCTCTTTGGCATCGCTCATCAAGTCAAAGCTGTCAACTGGCGTCGGCGATGTCGTGGTCGACCTCCACGAGCTTAAGTACGTTTAAATAGAAGCCTCCCTACTCAAGAGAAGCCATGTTCTAATGCCAAACAGCGCCAAGCCTTCAGGCGGCACTATGGCTACGGTGATTGGCATCTTCGAGACCTTCAGCTGGAAGGAAGTTGTCGATTCACACAAACCATTCGCCCTATCGCCGGTACCCAACACAAAGCAAGCACCACAAGCTTCTCTCCTCTCAAACTGACAGGCATATACAACATACCCAACCTCGGTCTCCTGTCAACGTCAGTCACTTCTGGCACTAACGCTGCGCTTGTCCACCGCACCTGGGGTCTCCTCCAGGAAGAGCCTTCGCTGCGGAACAACTCCTACGGGCCGAACTTCACCTATCGGGAGTTCACGAAAGCCAGGAACTTTGTGACGGCGATGGCTATGCACTATAGCCTCCTGATTGGCGCTACTCTTCTCATGTTCTGCTCGCCGGTCCGAAAACTCGTGCGGAAGCTCGTCTTCCAGCCGGGCATGGGACCAACCCGCGAGGATGCCGCGAAAGAATACATCGAGTTCCGAGGTATTGCCACCCCGGATGCCGAGTCGAAGTCGGGGAAACAAGCGATCTGCAAGGCCTGGTATGCAGGAAGCATGTACTACCGTAAGTACTTCACCTTCATCCATCAGTCGTTTTGAGAAGCTCACCTTTGGACAGTCACCGCAACTGTGCTTTGTGAAGGGGCCCGGACATTATTGGAGGACGATGTCGGCCTTGCTGGAGGCGTCTACACTCCTGCGTGTCTGGGTCAGGCCTTCATTGACCGTCTCCATGATTCCGGGTTCAAGTTTGAGACCAAGATACTTGATACTTGAATTCGACACGGATTCGAAGTCAGACCGCCATAGTTTTAGTTGTATATATGCCAGCGCTCGAGACTTGTATATATGCCAGCACCCGAGAATGGCTGGCTCTCTTGATTTTCTGTTAACGGAATACGAGTCAAGTTGAAGCATAGCGAGAAATGCCCCATTGTGATGTATAGCCTTTACATAACTATCTAATAATGAAAGGAGTATGCTCGACGCTCGTTGAGGCGCAGGGCAAAAGTATAGTTGCTGCTTTCATTTTCTGACGGTTGGCAACTTATTACCTACAGGTACCTTACTACTCTCTTCCTGATATTGAGCATAAGGTGTGCTCACCTAAGTCAGCCACTTACTACGTGTCCCGTAACGGTGGATCAAACAAGAAGTGGCAGCTGTGGCAGTTTCCCCGCCAAAGGAAGGTTGAGTTGAGGCGTTGGCAGGGGTGGACAAGCTGACTGGAAGCTGGCACCTTCATTTTTTATTGCATTGAGGCTCAGGCGCCGATCAATTGGCCAAAGTCATCAAGCAGGGCACTCAGCGAGGTGAACACCCGTGGACCTGCACTGAGCCACTGACAGAGGGCCTGGAGCTAGCTGCCCTTGTTATCGCATTATCGCATCTAATCTAAGCTGTGTGGCGCCAGCTCCATCTTCAGGAAACACATCTGAGCCTCGGAATCCGCAACACGACATTTACCCAAGGTGCCTACAATTGATCACGCGTAGACATCTCTTACATGGCTACACAATAGCATACAGTCACGGAGCACCTGTCGTACACATACGACCAGTGATATAGGTAGCCCCGACCCTCTGGCCCTCGCACACCCAGAGCTCGCTCACCCCGGCCGAACATCATGTCAATCTCGTCACCAAGAGAACCAAGAACCTCGATGAGTTCCGGCAGCTCAAGTACAGAGCGAACTCCCCTCATACGGCAAGACACCGCTCGACCGAATGCTGGCCCTCTAAGAGCAGCCCGCAACGTCACCTTCAACCCTAACCCTGTCTCCCGAACTATCGATCCAGATCCCGCCTCGCTGAGTTCATCGCCCGGCGCCGTGGGTGCTCCCGGTCATGCACGCACATCCGGCTTCGCTGCCTCGGGGAGCAACCCCCCAGGGAATCCTCCAATGCTCTCGGCGCTGAATAGCCGTCTACGCCGACGCAACAGCCACGGATCTGTGTTCACCGCTCTGCCTCCGGCAGTCGTGCCGAAGATTGGGCCGCAGCGAAGCTCGAAGACGGCGCAGAAGCTGAAGCTGCTTCCGAATCCCGAACTCGATGAGATCGAACAAGACGAGGAGAGTGGCCGAGATGTGTACTCGCAGTACACGCGCATCAAGGACCCGATGGCTAGACGGGACGCCGCGCGGTTAGGCAAGGCTGATCGTGAACGGCTACCGCGGGTGACGGCGTACTGCACGGCGAACAGATACCAGACAGAAGGCTTGATGCGATTTCTCAAGGGCCGGGCGAAGACCAGAGGGTCAAATCCCAAACTGATAGACGAGTGTATCTACTCGCCATATAACTACGGAACCGGGAAGTCGACAGAGCGCGCAGAAGCAGGCGAGGAAGTCAGGGAGAGGCCGATACAATCATATGAAAGAAGGCATTCGACTGGCCAAGTGGAAGAGCATTCGAATGCCTTTAATCGAGAAGCTTTGCAGAATATGCAAACCGGAGAACACGATTCACAGGAGGCTTTCAGCAGCGGCCGAGACGCCCACAGCAACCTCGCCTACCCACCCCATCCCGACGACGAAAGCGCTATACACGACCCGTCATACCATCCGCCGCACGACGCCGACTTCGATATCCAAGTGCACACGCCTGAGGTGTTCCTATTTGACTACGGTGTCGTGGTCATATGGGGAATGTCGCCCGCCCACGAACAGAGATTCCTCAAGGACATCGCCAAATTCGAACTCGAAAAGCTCGATCCGGACGACGTGGAGACAGAATGCTTCAACTTCTACTACACACGAGAATACCAGGCGCGCATATACAACGACTTCATCACGTTGCGGGATAAGGGGAATTATATGACGAAGCTGGCGATATCACATGCTCTTGCGCAGAGCGTCAAGGTAAGCATTGCTACATCACTTGCTTCCCGTTTAGCACCCGTCACCTTCCTAATTGATTATCTTTTCCCCTATTTCCCACGTGATATCCTCCCAAATAATTGACCAGCCCACTGACTGACATGACCAGACCTCCCTCTTCGAGGAGTTGATAGCGTCAACGGTAGACGCGTGCAAGGACATACCGACGCAGATCGCGCTGACCGGCAAGATCGCACTGTCACGGGCGCAGATCAACATGCAAATCGGCGAGCTCTTCATTCTGCGTATCAACATCCACCTCAACGGCAGCGTGCTCGACACGCCCGAGCTGTTCTGGGTCGAGCCGCATCTCGAGCCCGTCTACCAAGCCGTCCGCAGCTACCTCGAGATGGACCAGCGCGTCGGCCTGCTGACCAAGCGCCTCGACGTCATCGCCGACCTCCTGGCTGTCTTGAAGGACCAGCTCAGCCACGGGCACGGCGAAATGCTGGAGTGGATTGGTGAGTCACTCTTCCTTCCCTTGTTTTCATCCTACATAATGTCTTCCTCGTTGGAACAGACGATGATAAGAGGGAGGCATGCTAACATGTTGCGTAGTCATTGTACTTATCGCCGCCGAGATTCTCGTAGCAGCCGTGAACATCGTGGTCGATCTGTATGCGGGCGTGGACTAAGCATGTTTTGATTCAACAAGCACTGTCCCGAACAGAAACCGAGAATAGGGGGTACCCACGGGTTCTGTCTCATACATGTATAATACAGAATACCACACGGATACCTTCGCATAGCAATCACGGTTGTGGGTGGTGGATGTGGTAGGGGAATCGATCAGTCGTTAGTTGCATCGCTTCCGGGTATCATACCATATCTGCTCTTTTACAATTATACCTTATTTAGACATGGGAGAGCCTCACGGCGGTGAGAGAGCGGAACACATAGTAATAGTCGCGAATGCTAGGCATCATCGTTCAGTTCTTGTCTGTACAGAATTCATTCCTTCCGATCCCTAAAAGCGGACCGAACCTGGTCAAACGCCCTCGCTACTTATACATTTCATACCCAGAACGCCTAAGGGGTAGACCGTGTAAGACGTATCGGGTTACCATCCTTAACGCCCTCTGATCATGACATGATGAAATTCCGGAATCAGTGCTTATGCCCTTGCGATTGCCTAAGTGCTCTGAACTCCTCGGCCGCCCGACGACCCAACGTTGTCCAGTACTCGACACGCGCGACCCTGGGCGACCGACGAGCAAGATATCGTTGGGCGGGTTGGGCCAACTAAGCCTGAAACCCAACATTAACAAATTGTTGTAAGGGATAAGCGTGGTGGCCGGGTTGGACGCGTTGCCAGAATTGGACGGGTTGGGGGGTTTGGACGGGTTGCACGGGTTGCACGGGTTGGACGGATTGCACGGGTTGCACGGGTTGGGGGACTTGGACGGGTTGGGCGGGTTGGGTCACCTAGTCCTCAAGTCCGCCGTCATTGTCATCGATTTCCGTCTCGGGATCGGTGTCCTGATCGCCCAACGGCTCAGGGTCCGCCTCCGCCTCTGCCATCTCGACATCCTGGTCGTCGTCTCCGTCGTCGTCCTGGATCTCCTCAAAGCGAGTACGGCCACGGCCACCCCGGTGGTCACGACCGCGCGATCGCTCTCGAGCAGCGGCCTCCTTAAGACCTTGCTTAAAGTTCTCTCGCGCCTCCTTCCACCGGGCCAGCTCTATCGAGTATCGGACTGCGAACTCCTCCCTCTCGCTCTCGGGAAGGTCCTTCCAGCCGCGAGCTAGCTCCTCCTCGAGACGAAACTCTCCGGCCGCGATCTTCTCCCTGTTCTCGGCTGCCAGGATCGGTCGATTGTCATTGCAGTATATCTCGAAGGCGTTACTAGGTCGCTTGGGTGGTTTGGCTGCACCATTGGCTGCTCGTCCATGGTCTCTCTGTGAATCCATTTGCGAGTGAGAGAAAGCGTCTGAGCTAGGTGAGAGAGTCGCAGGGTTGTGGTTGATGAACGTCGCGCGGACATGGTCGCCATCGCCGCCGGGTAACAGGGAAGACTTTCGGTGGCCACGCTTCGTTCGGAGAGGTTTGTCCTGGGGCTCAGTACACGGTCAGTATCTGATGATTATGGGACGGTAATTCACCATGACCTACAGTGGGGGGAGGGCTTGGACTGCCTTCAGAATCCTCCACGTTGGTACTGGTACGCTTCGAGATCTGCTCTAGGAGGATGGCTCGCTCAAGTCGGGATTTCTGGATCTGGCGCTTTAGTCGAGCCAGTCGCAGGCGGTAGGCGTCGTTTTCCTCCTCAATCTCCCTCGATCGATCCTTCAACTGTATGCATTTCCGTCTGTATGCTTCTTCGACGGTAGGAGGTAGGGAGGGCGGGTGCGCTGAGTGACGAGCTGAATTGTTAGTCGCATTTGTTCTCTCAGAATGGATTGATAAACAGAATCCAGGGTCCGGTGCCGGGAAGTCGCAAACGTCGAACTAGGCTACGGCGCATGCTGGTGACGGTCGTGATACCTTGCGCGCATGGCGTTGGGGGGCAAGAGAGAGAAGAGGGCTAGGGTAGCTGATGGGCCCAGTAAGTTGATCCAGGGGTGGTCGGATCATATGCCATCACAGTACGTTCCCGAGGGAAACTGTCCTGCAATGAGGCTGGCCCCGGAGTTCCCCTTCCACAGGAGCAGTGCTGGTATCGCAACGACATGACTGCGCATGAGGGACCCGTGTGTGCTCCGCAAGCTGGGCAATGACGGGGGTTGCATGGGGAATGCATTTTCAGAGAAAACGAACTTACAATTTTGGGGCGCCATTCTGACGATGGTGAAGCAATCTGATGAGAGTTGCCGTCGCAGATGCACGGGTACTTGACTTGTTGCAAAGGTAGAGCACCTTATACTTCGGCTGCTGTACTGGTATCCAATGATGCCCAGATTGCAAGCCGCAGATGGTGGAATATGGAGGGTGAGGGAGCAAAGGATGGTGAAGCGCAACAGTCAGATCGGTGGTGATGTTAATGACTGCACGCCGCCACGCCGCGTGGGTGTTTGCAAGGGAGAGGCAAGGCGCGATCCATTATCCATCGGCGCATTTGTCCATTTATCATTGCAGGTGGGACCCGGTGCTGCAAGGCTGCATTGAGCTGATTCGAGCTGATTTAGCTTGTCTGATTAGTCCGTCGTTCAAAATAACCCCACTAAATTTTGGTAAGATATGGCAAAGGCTTCGAACTACCTGACAGGCAGTGACAGCCCTGATCGTAGCTGCAGGCTGCAGCAGCCTTTGCAGCTCCACTTAATTTTCTACTGCAGGAGGCCATCCCAGCAGAGGCATTCACAAGCAATCAACACTCACCGGCATTCCCTTCTCCTGCCCAGCAAAGCCAGCACCACCGGAAGCTCGACAAGATCACAGAGAGCCGGGTACAACAAAGCCAGGTTAACAATCATGTCTCTCAACATCCCGAACGCGCCAAACTCTGGCCTGTTCAAAGGAGGCTACAACAAGTATGTCTTGACCCCCACCATCCTCTCTACTTTGGTCATACAGCCAGTACCTAATGCTGATGCTGCAATAGCTACGACTCCGAAGATGGTGCCGTCCTACGAAACATTGATGCTTGCCGAGCCATCTCCTCCACCGTGCAGACCTCACTTGGCCCCTACGGCCGGAACAAGATCGTCATCAACCATCTGCAGAAGATGATCCTCACCTCCGATGCTGCCACCATCCTGAAGGAGCTCGACGTCGTCCACCCCGCCGCGAAGCTGTTGGTCATGGCAAGTCAGCAGCAAGAGGCCGAGATGGGCGATGCCACCAACCTCGTCATCGTACTTGCCGGCGAACTCCTAAAGAAGGCCGAGGATCTCCTGCGTATGGGCCTGAAGACAGCCGACATCATCACTGGTTACGAGCGCGCCCAAGCTTTCGCACTCGAGGCCCTGGAGGAACTCGTCGTGGACAAGGTTGACGATATCCGAGACCAGGAAGAACTCAGCAAAGCCATCCGGACAGTCATCGCAAGCAAGCAGAATGGAAACGAGGACGCATTGGCCGATCTGGTGTCCGAGGCCGTGCTGGCCGTAATGCCCAAGAACCCCGTTAACTTCAACGTCGACAACATTCGCGTCGTTAAGATCATGGGCGGAAGCTTAGAACAGAGCCGGGTTGTGAAGGGCATGGTTTTCCCCAAGGAGCCTGATGGATCGGTCAAGAAGGCAAAGAAGGCCAAGGTCGGTGTCTTTACATGTGCGCTCGATATCAGCCAGACCGAGACCAAGGGCACTGTTCTGCTGCACAACGCCAAGGAGATGATGAACTTCACCAAGGGCGAGGAAGAGCAGCTGGAAACAGCCATCAAGGAGCTTCACGATGCTGGACTGAGGGTCGTCGTTGCCGGTTCGACGGTGGGAGAGCTTGCTATGCATTACCTCAACCGTTACGGCATCCTGGTCATCAAAATCCTCAGCAAGTTCGAGCTACGAAGAGTCTGCCGGGTTGTAGGCGCTACTCCTCTTGCGAGATTAGGCGCACCTATGCCCGATGAGATGGGATCTGTGGACGTTGTCGAGACGCTTGAGATTGGTGGTGACCGTGTAACCGTCTTCAGACAAGAGGATGAAGTAACGCGAACGGCTACGATTGTCCTCAGAGGTGCTACACAAAATCACCTCGACGATGTCGAGCGAGCAGTCGACGATGGAGTGAACGTGGTCAAGGCCATCACCCGCGACCCGCGATTGGTGCCCGGAGCTGGTGCGACAGAGCTCCAGCTGGTCGGAAGAATACAAGCTTTCGGTGATAAGACCTCGGGTCTAGCACAATACTCGATTCGCAAATACGGAGAGGCCTTCGAAGTCGTCCCAAGAACACTGGCAGAGAGCGCTGGTCTAGATGCGACAGAGGTGCTGAGCAGACTCTACACGGCCCACCACAAGAAGGACAACTGGGCGACTGGTGTTGATATCGAAGTGAGTATTCCCGAGCGCCTGAGGATATAACCAATGCTGACCCTATTGGCAGAACGACTACAGCACCAGTGGACCCGACGCCAACGATGATCGCATTCCCGGTATACTTGACGCCGAGGAGGAGGGCATCCTAGATCTGATGGTCGGCAAGGCTTGGGCGATCAAGCTGGCTACGGAAGCGGCACGGACTATTCTCTCTGTAGACCAGATCATTGTTGCGAGACAAGCAGGTGGTCCCAAACCGCCGGGACCCAACCCCAACTGGGACGAGGACTGATGAGTTGTATATGTATATGACAAGGTTCACATGTCTTTTCTGGGCAAAGGCTGCAGTTGTAGAAAAGCATAGATGGTCCTCGCAATACCAAACTGTTCATGACGCAGAGTTTTTGACCTATAGTAGTGGCGCTTAAGGGGTAGCAAAACATCTGATCAATGTTCAAGAATGGTCTGAACCACAGCAGTGCTAAAGTCTGCATCAAGCACAGGAAAAAAGCTCATTCAAAAGACACAAGGCCAACTACAGAATATGATCCCTTAGGACGAAGCAAGTTCCGGTTTGGATATTCAAAGGACTATCTATATACGGTTGTATGGGTGAGATGTGGATACATCAACGTTGAAGTCCACACAGGAGAGCAACCAACGGATCTTCAGACTACTTTCCCGACCTCGGATACTTGCCCTCAACCCCTTCTTAGGCGGCCAGACCGGCTGTCAGAAGCTTCGGGTAGTTCGGGCTGCCGAGTCCGGTAGCAGGATCCCAGCCCTGGAGAACAGTCAGTACGTGCTTTCATCACTTGGTCACTGCTATAGGCGAGAGTCTTACCTTGACAGCGCTGAACCCACCGTCGAGGGCAGTACAGCCGCCAATGCTGCCACTGGTAATGTCGTTCAAGGCGGAGGCCGCGTCCCCGTACTTTTATTTAGCGTTAGTAGGTCAGCCCAGAAGATCTTCAACACGGGGCGACAACAACACGACTTACCAGCCAGGGGTTCAAGAAGCCCAACGGGGCCAGACCCGCGTCGAGACGTTGGGAGTTGACCAGCTGGATGACACTGGAGAACGTGGGCGCGGCGCAGGAAGTCCCGTCGACGGCCTCGGTGGCGCCTCCGACGACGATCTCGAAGTACGTGGCGGCAGCAGCGACATCGGGGTAGGCGCGGCCGCTCGCGTTGTAGTACTGCGTGTTGCCGTCGGTGTTGCTGTCGAGCCACAAACTGACGACGTCGTCCTGCCACGCGGGGCGGCCAAAGACGTTGGAGAAGCCGCCGCCGCCGTCGGTCCAGGCCGACTCGGTCGTCGTCCCGGTCGTGCCGCCGACCATGGTCACCCAAGGGCACCCGCCCGGGAAGTCGGGCTGGTACGCCTTGGCGCCGTCGATGGTGCAGCCGGTGCCGACGCCCGAGTCGCCCGAGGCGAACAGGACGGACACGCCGGCGGAGCCGAGCTCGGCGAAGTCGTCGCAGGTGGCCGTGGCGACGCTCAGGGCGACGGCGCTCTCGTCGCCGCCGTACGAGATGGAGATGACGTTGGGGCGCGCATCGTCGTCGAGACCCAGGATGTAGGTGGAGAGGTACTCGTATATGGAGTCGTCGTTGCCGCCGACCGAGTAGAAGACGTTGGGGATGTCGCTCGTGATGGCGCGCGCGTACTGCACGTCCAGGTTGGCCTCGATCCCGATGTTGGAACCCGAGGGGCTGGTCGGGCACTTGCCGCTGTTGATGGTGTCGCAGGTGTAGCTCTGGCCCGTGTTGGCGAAACCCTTGATGACGAACTTGGTCAGGAAGGTTTTCAGGTCAGATGTGCTGGACCATTGTCCGATGAAACCCCCGATCCCCATGATGCCGCTCGTCAGAGTCTTGACGCCACTGAACCCGTACAGTGCGGCCAAGGTAGTCGGTGTGGTGTAGGTCACCTCGGGGCTGATGTCTGACTTGGGATGAACCTTGGGTTGGAGACCTTGGAACCCGAAGAAGGTTGTTGGCTGCATCATACTAATGTGACCGTCAAGAGCCACAGGGATGTTGACCTCGAGGGCTCTGGACCGAGTCTCCTGGGTCTCAGCATTGGCTATAATGAATCAGCACTGATTCTCAATAAGGCCAATTGAGAACATCGGGTCTTCTTACTGTAGCTGTTGTACTCGGCTGCAAGAAGCTGCTCAGCTTGGCTGATGGTGACGTTGACGAGGACGACATTTCCACGAGCATTGACAGTAGCACCGTCCGCAAGGCTGTGGTTTCCAAGCCATTGGAACACGAGATCTTTGGACTCGGCTTTGGGGGCGACGATGGCATCGATCTGGGTGAGGGACAAGTGCTTTCCGTACTGCTCATGACCAGGGGTAGCGATCTGCCATCGATCGATTGGTTAGTTGTCTCGTTCGGTGTCATATTCCATGGCAAGGCATGTGTTCCGGCAATCGACGGAGATGGCCCCTGGAAAGCCACGTGCACACAGGGGCAATCGAAGCTGAAGTTGTATCGGTGCCACCCAAGACCATGATATTATCGCCAAGGGTTCTCAACACCGCGATATAGGTTCAGACAAAGGGGAGACAAGAAATTCGACATACGTTCAAAGCCAGTTCTTGGAACTCGGCTACGTTCTGCTTGGCAAGATAGATGCGGAGCTCGAAGACCTCGTCCTTGGGAGCAGTGCCAACCTGGCTCCAGGCGCTGGGAGCAGATCTGACCGACTCGAATAGGGTCATGGGCACGGCAGAAGGCAAGGCCAGTACGCCACTGGCGAGTGCCACGATGGCGGAAGCGGCTTTGTTGGAGAGCATGGTGGCTGGATTTGACCCCCTGGTGCCAATGAGAACTATCGAATCTGCTGAAGCGACTGGTAGCCAAGAAGACAAGACATCTTGGCCTCTTGGCTGCAGGCGTTTTATATACTGTTCTCTCAGTCGTCCATAGACTCAGCAGGTCAGCTGTTGCTGAATTATGTTGAAGTATGTCTGGGCCTGGACCATGGCATCTTGCAAAATAGTTCAGTGTCACGTAGCATAGAACCAAGGTTGAACCGGGTTACCTTCCCGAAAGTCTATAGCACGAAGGTGACTTCGAAAGTTTCTTGCCTTGACGATGGTAGGGCAGTCATCGTGTATGGCACCTTACACATTGGGAACTGATAAGCTATATGATGTTTTGCTATAAGGTGGTATTGGACTCAGGGCACTGGCTGCTTCCTGCCTATTCCGAACATATGTTTCGACGTGCACCTCGAATTGAATCCACCTACAGATAAGAGTACCTTTCCTGGAGCGCAAACTGCAATCACGAGACATAAAAACACTGCAGAGTCACAATTTTGCTCAGAGAGTCGAGGTAATACCCTATTCCTAGGTGCCTCACTGATAACCACAGCCGGAGTATTGTATTGGGGTGGGCGATGCCGCTCCGTGCCGGGCCCTCCGGTACAACGTTAAGCTCCGAGGCTTTTTCGGCCTTCCATTTCTAGTTGGCAAGACCATTGCGCAATATCTTGGTGGTATTGTCCATGCTCATTGTTGGGAGCACCGCTTAAATCCAGACATCCTTGCAACAAGTGCTTCTTTACTTCGCTTGGGCTGGTCTTCTAGGCTATGATAATTATGCATTGTGAGGCTTTTCAGTCCCAGGGTTCAACGGCAGTGTCCTTCGTATCTCCAGTTTCGAAGTGTTGAGCCTCGGTTAATACCGACCGCTCAGCACGTCCCTTTCATTGGGGTGGTCTCCCGGCCTCTTGTGAAGTGCAGGGCTTCCAGCTTCTCAGGGGCGAAGGCGACCTTGTGCTCTTGGAACTATCCCAGCAGTCGTTCCAGTTCCTCGGAGGCGAGTCTGTGACGGCACGGGAATGCAGCACCATACCGCTACACTACTTAGACATGGAGCAAAAGTAGAACGTTGTCAAGCCGAGCTCTTGACCGCCTGCATCCACTTATATGGCTAGTCAGAATCGTAACAGAGTCTGGAGCTCTCCTCTTTGGTCTTGCCAACCTTCATGATAGTGATGTCGTCGGCGTAGCCCCATCTCCTAGGGCTCTCTTTGACCATATCGGCCAGGTAGAGCATGTAAAGGATCGGTCCAATGATGGCATGATGGTGGTCTTGCGATATAGAGAGAAACCAACCGCAAAATATCCCTGATGCTGTCGATACCAAGACAGCGAGGACTACCCTCACAAGCATTGACTGTTGGCTTATCCTACTACAGCGCAATGAAGCACTGAATACCTCGTTCCTTCAGCCTCATCGAGACCGAGACCCTCCCGAAGGGGCAGTCTATGCAACCTACGGGGCAGCTTCCAAGACTCCTAATCTGGGCTCATCCGTGAGCCGCATCTGCAATGCCTCGGCTGCAAGCGCCCCGGGTTCTTGCTCGGTCGTGGCAGCTGACATTCGCGGTACCCAATATCATGCCATGAGGCAAATGCAAGATCCCGCGTGCTGTGTAAAGCCATGATACTGCGAACCAAGTTCCGAGTCAGGGGCCAGCTATACGTTACTGAAGGATGACCAGGCGTTGCGCATTGGGGTTACCATGCTTGTCGGCCGTTGTGTTGTGCTATGCCAGGAAGAGACATCGAAGCTCGTCTCTCGACTTTGCCTGTTCGTACCTTCCCATTCAATGTCACAGCCAGTGTGTTATTGCTATACCATTCAAGGAGGTGGGAGATACTGCTGATGATACCTCGTTCGTTGACGTGATATCCTGCGGTGCTCCTTCGAGACGACCAACGGAGGTTGGAACCGGCATCGACGTACATCTCTCGATCTAATTGAGCCTGGGTGGGATATAGATCTCTGAAACAGCCGTCAGCGGTTTCAAGTCCGGTGACTCGGGCCGCTCGATAGGGACATTTGCCCGGTCGTGGAAGAAGTAAGTTCCCGCGGCTTACAGAGCTGAGCGATGTCGCCAACCTGTACGCCACACATTCACGATTGTTTCAGAGTCAGACATGGAGGATCGTCCCGCCTCATGATACGCGAAATCTGCTTTTGATCAGTTCTTTCATCAGAACGTCCCATCACTCTTCCTTCGGATTATTGAATACGTATGATATCTTTGAAGCAATGTAGACCCCATGCTAGAACGTCAAAGGAGGACTAACCTGTCATGCTAAATACATTTAGAAGCACGAGCACCTTGGTACCAGAACATGACCCTTATGTCTCGCAATGGGAAGCAGGTCACCCATGAGACCAAAACCCTGACGGCTTGATCTTATCTTATATGACCGTATGCCAGCTTGGAATGGATAGGGGGGCACCCGGTCAGGTGACGAACCCGGGAACAGCTCCTTGCAGCGCCTCACCATCAGATCAAGCAAACCGACCAATCTAAAAAGCTTGGCAAGTTCAAATCAAGCAAACCATATCTAGCTAGCCTGCTTGATAAAATTTTATAAGCTTGACTTGATTAGGTTTAAATACGGACCACCGGTTTATCGGAATAAAAGATTTTCTGTTCGGAGCAAGAGTTTAGCCGAGCGGGGGCTCGAGCACCCGACCTCCGAAATTAAAAAAAACCTTTTGTTCTATGTCACTATATCACTACGCCACGGATACTTAAGAATATCAAACCTTTGCTTGACTAGGATGACATATGTAAAAACCCTATTTGGCTTGCAAACATCGTAAAACCTCGAATTGATCAAATCAAGCCAAATCAAGCCAAATCAAGCCATCAAATCAATCAAATCGGCTTGATCTGATGGTGACGCTGGCTCCTTGGAGCCTAGAGGAGACCTGGACAACCCGGGGCTCCGTAGATAGAGGATAACATACGACCTAGGACATGGGGATTACATAAGTCATGATATCATGTGATCTCCTTCATATCAAAGGAGTAGGTATCTGCAACCAAACCTTAACTCTTCTCCACAGCCAGAAATTTTAAGGGTCCCAATGGCAGACCGGGGGCATTCAGTGCTGGAAACGCTTGATCCGTTTGACAGTCGTCTCTGCAGCCTTCTCCCTGACGAAGGATTCGGCTCAAACGCCCACCAAGCTAGGGACGTCACATCCATGACATGCCTCATAGCGCTCATCTACATGTATTGGATGCCTCCCATGTGTGACAAGGTGGGCGGAGCATGGTCCTAACGCAAGGTCCGTACATACTATGGCAAGCAGACGCTGTCGAGAAAGTACCATGCCGGATGCTAAAGCCAAATCCAACACGGCCGTTCCCGTATAGAACCTCCCCACGCAGGTACTGCTGCGCGGTCCTTTCCAGCGAGGGGCTGCATCCATACGGTATACCAGCTGGCCAGGCGGGCCATAAGAGTAGAACACCAGGATTATCCACGAATCGTCGATCCGGGTGCGAGCTAACCAAGCCGTGACAAATGGGAAGGATACCCGCTCTGTCCTGGCGAAGAAAGACATGGAACAGGCAACAACAACGCCGGCGGCAGATGCGGGCGGGAGGCTCAGCAGACTGACGTGATAATGGCTTGCAGTTGGAGGATTCGTGAGGCTGCATATTGGATCCTGCGAATGCTACTGCGGCGTTGGGGAGATGCGGTCTTCATTGGCTGGATGTGTCGCCTGCAGGTCGCAAATAGGATGCTTACTCCGATATGCATGCTCAGCTGTCCTCCTTTTCTACAACTTTGGTCGTAGGTACATCTACATGCTATCAGAAAAGGCTTGAACGCCCATTGAAGGCAGATCGCATTCCGAAAAGCTGCCGTGTGGTATGTAATGCTACCCCTCTGGGAGCTTTGCAGAAACCCTGTGTGGTGTTTGACAACCTGGGACTCCAAGAACGGAGTGCTAAGGTCCATGCGTGATGTTACTGACAGAGGGATTTCCAAAGTGCGGGCTGAGAGCCTTGTGTATCAGAGTTGGAGAGGCTGCTACATATAATGTCGTGCAGTTATATAGCTCCCTTAATCACTCTGACCTTTTACGTCCAGATATACTCATAATGTTGAGAAACGACTGCAATGGCTACGCCAGGTTTTGTTTGAACTTCGCACCCGCCAGGACCAGCGAGTTCGACTGACGGCGTCGTACCGTACATGGAATTCCGACACCTAGGCTTGCCAGCCGGGACGGGTAAGGCGGACCCGACTTGTCAAGACTGTCTCAATCGAAGGACGGCTTTTTAGCATAGCATATAATGATGCCCCCTCCTGCACCTTTGTTGAAGCCACAGTAGCCGTCGGACTCGCACTTCCCCTTTCCTTCGTTGCACTCTCGCTTCGTTGTACGAGTCTTTCCGCTTTTGTGCTTATATTTGAACATACAAGATCCTTTGTCGCTGGAGCAAGTCTGGTGAAAATCCCATGTTAGTCTCGCGGCGTATCTAGATTAAACCAGCAAACTCTTCAACTTACACCCTCGACCTCGAGCCCCCCCTTTGATTTTATTTCAGCTACATCTTCATCATCCAATTCCCAGTCATCATCTTCATCATCCCCAGAGAATCTGGAGTCTCCACCCGTAGAGTCGATTCGGTTCTCCAGGCCTCGAAGCGTATGGCCTGCCGGTGGTTCGGGGAATACCCTGGCGTGGGCGTGGCAAGCCAGTGCTGCGATGGTGATGATGTTCAATAGCTGCATGTCGATTGTTCCTTCCGGGTTCAATATGTAGAAGAGATGGTCCAAGAGGTGATGTAGATTGCAGTTCTGAGATTTGTTGTGGTTGCTGGGTGTTGTCTGTTCGAGGTTTGAGTTGGAGCGGCGAGGCCTTATATACATACTCGACACCCATCACGGCACTAACATCATGTGCCGCACCGCGTGTTCGATGATATGATTTTAGAAACTTGATCTACCATGACGGTAGCCACTATTTGTAAATCCCATGGATGGGGTGGTTTCTTCTTGACCGAGCCTTCGAATAAGCACACACCTTGACCGAGTGAACTCGTATGATACTCAAGAATCGATATACTGACACTCCGCTTGAAGGCCACCAGATGTGGCAATTCATAGCCCGCAAGTGACTGACCTTGTGGCATCATGATCCCAGTATGTGTGGTATAGACCATGGTGGATGATCAAGGGCCCATACCGTCGGTCAAGGACATATACCACTGCTGACTACGTCCAGATTGCGGATGGGTCGACACAGGCCAGTCTAGGGGGTGGACTGAACAGTCGTAAGCCATCCTACAAGGGCGAGTATAGACAAGGCGGTCGGGTTTTTGATTTCCAGTCTTACTAACAGCGCTGCACTCAAGTTGGTGGGCAGACGAACAGTATCGATTAATTTGAACAACATACCAACCGCAGCTCGTTGCTTCCACCGCCCTCGTAAAGTAGGTCTTTAAAGAGTCCATGTTTATTATTTTTAAAAGCTAGTAGGCATAAGTCCCAAGGATACGTTCCGAGGACAAGTTTCGGAGACAAGTTCCAAGGACAAGTGTCTTTGTTGCCACTTTGTCGTCACTTTATCGCAGAATCGTTCGACTCGAGATTCCCATGGCGTAATAGAATCCTGGCTGACACCCGCTACGTTTATTAAAGGAACTCGGAACCGAGTTATTTTAAGAAAGTGACGAAAGGCGGTCCTACCGGTTGGTTCATGCGCGCTCCTACGCCTGTGAGGCCTCTTGGAGCCCCTGGTTGACTCCACTTCGCGGCAGTCCCCCGGGTTGAGAGGACCACTAAGCGGAGCGTAGCTGGCGGGTTCAACAGCAACTTGTAAAATTGTTATGATCTTCTATATTTGGATCTATCAGGTGTGGGAGAACAGACGATTGGAAGGGTAGTTATACCTAATGCTGTCCCAGGCAAGAACAAGGAGTTTCGGTTAATACACAAGAGTCAAACCGCCGTCATGTTCTAGACCTGGTGTTTCAAGAGAAGACTGGCGAGTCTAGATTGAGCTAGTCGTAAAGGGAGGAAAACAGGCGTGTGTCCTTACGAAGAGCAAGTCTTTCCTAGAGTATTAGCGTGGTTATTGCTCAAGCAGCCTACGACGCTCTACCTATCTATGCACACGAATATATTACTGGCTAATCGTGAATGTAAGTGCATAACAGGCGCTTCGATACGGGCGATATGTGTCGCCTACAAAGGAAACCTCCGGAGTTTCCCAGTGCTATTTCTTGCATCTCGAGGGGGAGACGTTATAAATGAACTGAGATTTCTAGTCAGACGGAGTCGAAGCTAAGGCCGGCTTGTTGAACGTACAGTGACCAATAAAACCTTGGCCTCAGAGCGTAGGTAATATTACACCTAATAGTAGTTCCCTGTTGGGTTGGTTTGACTGAAGCCGAACCAAGCCTCGAGTGGAAATGATGAAATGATGAGTCGTAAAATAGAAGACTCACTACCGATCAAGCTTACAGTACTGAGTGCGCACGGCATCATGCTTATTAAGCTGTCAACACGTATCTCCCACTGAGCTGCCGATTGGTCGGGTATCCGTAGCAAGTAACATATATGATGTCCAGGAAGCTTGACTGACTTGGTTACGCAGCCTCGTTTGGACAGGAAAGGCCCTCACTTCCCTTGGCCAATAAACCTGGGTAAAAGCTGCTAGGAACCTGCAAGAATTCCTACGCCGATCGCAGCAGACAAGGTTGTCGGTATGTGGAGGACACAACAACTTCCCCGTACATGCCGATGCAGAAGACGGGACAGGCCCGATGCGCATACCCTGCACAATAGGGACGTAGGTATGTAGTACCTACATGTAGGACCAGAATCACACAGGTATATTGGAGTCAATTCCCCAGAGGCAGTGTCCTCACCTGTGATTCGTCAACTTGACCGATTTGCTTCTGCGCAGTAGGACGTTGCATGCATATATGGATGCTACATGCCAACGGGGAGCGGTGAATGGGCAGCAGCAAGGCGATTTTGCGCCTGACGCCGTAGACGCACCGGGTTGGTGATCACATTTTGCTTGCAGGGACGATACGGTACCTACAGAAGGAACGAGCGGTGCTCTGCTCTGCATTCCAGGCCCTCCCCGGGACAAGAGAAGTGCCGCGGAGGAGACGCGGTGTGTATCCCGTCGCCTGTCTGCTCGATCCAGCTCAAGACGCGCGAGCGCACGAGAGTCGTGACCGCATAGTGTAGTCTGCATTAGGGGTCGCGGCATGATCTGATGACGATGTTGCCCCTCGCCGGTCGCGGGGCTTGCAGCGAGTCTGATAAGACAACGGTAACTGCTTGGGTTGCTTTTGACAAAGTACGTTGCTTAGGTACCTCGGCTGCCTGAAAGTCTGCCTTGCACTGTCAGTGTCTCAGAAATTAATCTTCAAAGCGCAGGTCTCAAAAGTAATATAAGCTGCATCGGGGGATAATTGGACAGCTGCAACTGAGGCCAGGGCCCTGGGTGCTCGCTACTGGTATGCAATTCGATACCAAACGACAACCCTGTCCCAGTGCATACAGGCTGCCTGCCGTTGTGTGCGGATGGCATGACTGGATCTCACTGGCTGGTTGGCGCCGTAGGACTGGAGTACCCGACAGCCTGCTTAAGCATAAATTCTTTGCTTTTGGAGGATGTGATGACCGTCAAGCTGGATATGTAGGACCCAGCTTACAGATAGATTGTCGGCAGTGACCAGCCGCAAGAGACATTTCCAGTATCTGGGAGTGAGAACGATAAAGGCTTGGCCGTTTACTTGCCACGCTTCCTGGAATGGTATGGACATTTTGACCGCGCACCTGGATAGACAGCTGTAGGTATCATTCCATTAAATTCGGACCAGGGCCGTGAAGCGGCGCAGCAGCTGGGACTACACACGCTTGCTTCTGCAAAGCGCAGCGCGCTGTCTACCGTTGTCGATAACGTTCTGGTAGGGATTGCATTATCCCGGGCGTCGACTGAAATGCTCGACCCGCGGACCATGCACGGCTCGCGTGATCTCTCATGATTTCAGGACGCCTGATAGAACCACTTTCACCCAAACCCAAAGAGAAGCTGGTTGACGGCGCAGTCACTGATCAGAGGTGTCCAAGCCCGAGCCAGGCTGCGACTTTGCAAACGTTTCCCGCTTCGGGGGACTTCACCCGACCTCTGTGGGGACTGGGGAGATGCTGGCGGGCTGGCGGGGCACGTCGTAGTGAGAGCGTTCCATTGCGTGCGCGCAGGATCGCACGGCCGACTGCAGTTCCAGGCGCCGGGGGTTCAAGAATTGTATCTGGGTCAGGTACCGACAAAGGTCACGAACAGCCGGGCTATTGGCCGCGACGGTACTTAGACCCCCAGCCGACATTTCACCTGCAACAATGTACTGTACGAACCACTTGGCCCTGGGCTGGGGGAACCAGCAAGCAGGCAAATCTGGCTCGCACACTGCACAGGCCCGTCCTTGATCTTCGCAAGCTTGACCGAAAGTCGGGTCGATGTAACGGCCCGCTGGCAGTCGCCGAGATAATGACAGGTGCTCTGGACCGTGAAATAGCCTGTGGGGTCGTCAGTGGATGACGAGAGGCACGGCGGACGGGGCAAACCGCAGAGTCTGAAGTTGTCAGATTTGAGCCAATCGTCAGAGTGAAGTGTGTGTGTGTATTCTGTCTGTCTAGAGTGACCTTGTGCGACCGTGGCCGTTTTGTGCCAGAGGGGGCTGGATCGGGACGGAACAACTAGGTTCCGTTGTCTACCTGTCAAGGTGCCTTCTAGGCATACCTTTAATCCAACAGAAGTCTGGTTGTCCCGTATGGCGTCGCGATAGAGTCGGGGTTGTCGTGCTCGTCTATTTTACCCGAGAGCGCCGACCCAGGAATGGGCCGTGGGCCAAATGACCATGCAGGTGCAACCGTCGCAATCTCAGAGCAGAATATTCCTCCGGCTGCGCTGCAAGCATGGCATAATGGACGCTCGGTGTCTTGGGGGAATGAGAGAGATCTGTGATCCGTCGCATGGTGGTCTCCGTAACTAGTCTGTGCGTCTTGGGGCCTGGGGCCTACCCTGCCTGCGCGGATTGGCGGATTGCGCATATACCCCTTTCGTAGACGAGATGTCGGAGTAGTGGCTGCTACCGTAGCAAATCGCTTGTAGATCTTCCGTAAGGTACTGATGAGCAAGAACAACAAATAGTGTGTTGAACGGGTAGAATTGAGAAACGGATTTGTATGAATCCTCATGAGGGAGGGGCAGGACTGGGAAGTGTGCCTGTGCGCTTCCCGGCCGTCCCAAGCTATAATAGCGTCGGCTGCCCCCCTAAACTACTGCACCCCCTTCCCTTCCGGGACTCATCTACTGTAGCGTAATATGAAAGTCGTTCGATTATTGTAGACAAGTCATCCTGAAGTTGAACAATGAACATAGGCATATCAAGATTGCGATGAGGCGCGGGTGGAGTCTTGTCCAGGACTGTGCTGTACTAGTAGCAACGCAGGCACAGACTGTATTGTATGTACCTGTTACCACGTCAGGCAGAGAAGTTGATGCTCAACTTTCAAGTGATTTGTCTAGGAAATCGACGTTAATTCGCCGCTGAATAGGCCAGGTACGCAGTACCGCACGGTCTGGAATAGCCAGCATTGATTCCAGCATACTCCAAGCGGCGCTTGCTTCTGTTCGGTATTCTGAGTTTTTGATGCGAGCGATCCGAGCCGGCTTCGAATCCACCAAAAACGGCGCTTGCTGGCGCCATGAAGTCCAACATATGCGGGATGAGAGGCTGCACGAAGCCTTGGCCTTGACGAAAGTCTCGAAAAGGGGCCTAAATCCCCAAATTCCAGTTGTTCAGGTTGTTATAGTCATCCACGCCGCGTGTGGTCCTTCCACAGTTGATGATCAAAAGCGCGGCTGAGATCACTCAGCTGGCTACGGTACTTTGATCACCGACGAACGAGATACCCAGGGAATCATTCAAGCATGCTGACATCGACGTACAACTCAGGGCGAGCTAGAGCAAGGTGGCTCGTTCCATGAACACTTGTAATTTTTGATGAGACTCGAGAGTCGAGACGTCGTGGCATTTCCACCAGGACCGGATTCGATGCACGGCATGCTAGTGATACCGCGGTACCGACTCCATATCTACTCGCTTTTACCTGTGGCAATCTGGCGTAAGGGGTCTGAATGATATTGACGGCCGGCCACGATCGAAATATCTACGCCGCAAGTACGGTCATTAGTTGGAGGGTCCGCCGGCACGATGGTACGGCAGTCAGGGGCAGTATCCACTGGCGGGTTACTGAAGAATCCATATAAAATCCTTCATGAACGTATTGGTACCAAATACAAAGGATTTTGGCAGCACCTGCAGGAGGATTGTGGCTTGAGGAATGCATGGTACTTCATTCCAGCTGCAGTATGCGACGAGGCGCCAAGTCGTAACGGTCAGAATCCCAGGTCTGGAGATTTGCCACAGCGGGAGTTCCAGCCTGGAACTTCCAGGATGCATAGACCGAAGCAAAGAGATACTGATTCTTGAGCAGTCTGACCAGATTGCTCCCTGGTCCGACGTGGTAAGGTGAAGTTCTGTACTGGACGAGTCCAACGCCAGCTCCAACGACGAATGCTGAAAGAGGCTTGGCCACTTGCGCCGTTGCACACACGTAACACGATAGGCAGCAGCAGCTTGCCACCCGTCACTGAACACGGGGGACAGACAGACAGAGTCGCCGGGCATAGTATGAGCTTCGTCTTGGTCCCAAATATGGAACATATGATGTTGCCTGGTGTTGCAACGCAGGAGGCAGATGTGGGTTTGGGATGCAGATCGTCGAAACACGGTGGCGCACACCTGATCTCTGCCGCTGGAACAATGGATCAAGCTATGGGTCGGACACAGCACGGCCTCATCCGGGTAACATCCGAGGACTTCGCCGGAATCGCAGGGTCAGAGGGCGAAAGCTATTGGTCCGACTAACGATGGAGAGCGGCGAGTTGGTCAATAACCCCCCAGGAGAATATCTCTGCCAGCCTGACATCCTACAGTAGGGATCTTCAGGCCAGGCTCCAATTATTTATTAAAAAGAATGGTCCTTGTGCTGGCTGCAGTTGGCGGGCCGTCTCCTGAGTTCGAGAAGTCTGCCGTCATTGGGCATCTGAGCAGCAGTTGTTGATTTCAGAGCGATCCGAGGCAAGATATTGTCAAGACCTGCTGGGAGTAGGCGGCAAGGCGGGCTCCGGCATGGGCGTTCAAAGCCGAAAAGGAGGGTCAAAATAATAGACGGCATTCTCAGGCTGGGGAGCATAAGAACGATGTTAATGAGAGGTAGTGACGTGCATGTAGATTCATACAGACACATAGATGTGAATGTTGAAGTTTAGTTGGTTTTATTATTAGAATTGCCTGATCACTAACTGCATCACATGTGTCAAGTTGAGAGCTGCTTGAGCCACACTGAGCCACACAGCCTGAGTCAGAGGTAAACTGTGGCTTCACTGGGTTGAAAAGGGCTGGGTCCGTGTCTCTTGGCAGTGGAGGGGCACCTGGATGAACTTTTTACTGTACATGTTCAACATTCAATATTGTCCACCTGCATGCTGCATACCCTCGTCACGTCGTCACACACATACACCAGGCTGGCTGTGCGCGTCAAGTAGGTACAGCAGCCAAGATGCTACACCATCGTCAAGACGCCCGCTTCCAAGGAATTCCAACACTTATTAAAGGTTCCGACTGACAGCTTACTCAACTCCACGTTAGACTGGTGACACTACCACGTTCTGGCGTCGACCTATTGGCCTTTGGATCAAAGCTAGTGCTTCCGCCGGGTGCTGTACGGGTAGTTGATCCGAGTGCTTCGAGTCGTGATCATGAACCCTCGACTAATAACAGTTGAGAACAACTTCGGGGGCCATGCCACGTGTGGTAAACGCCTTATTTAGCCTCGGTCGAGGTGGAAATTCACCCTTTTCCTCTTTTCGGCCATGGGTTTCACAGCGAGCATGCCACTCTCCAACAGTGTCTTGGATAGGATCCCCATGCTTCGTACGTGAATTACAATCCTACGGAGATGGGGCGTCAAGGCCTACTGCCTTGATCAAGACTGGGCCAGTGTCCAAGAGGTGCCAGCCACCTACCTATTATACTAGGCATCTCGCTTTCAAGGACGGGTAGTCAGCCATACGCAGAAAGAGACCTGAGATGTGGTAGTAGGTCCTTTTCTTCAACCTTTGCTGTAAGATGTCCACCTACCCATCTACCCATCTACCCGCTACTGCATGGTGTCTGTCAGATATTGCATTTCCAGATTAGCAGTCGTTATCAGCCCGGTCCAGCTGGAGGGGTTTGGCCTGCAACTGGTACCACTGTTGTACTGTGTACATGAGACCTTGAGCAAGGATCAGAGGACATTGAAGCCTCCCTCCCCCCCAGACTAGCCAGAGCCGTTCTCTCCTTGGCACTTGTCGAGTAGCGCGACGATGAGGATGTGAGGATGTACGGTACGCAGGCGTGGCAGGTAGGCTCACCCAGACTCCCTGACTCCCTGAGGCCCTTCACACCCCAAACCACAACGTCCCCGGAATGCGTCCCTGCACCTAGATCCCGCCTCCTGCGGGTTGGTAGGATCGGGAATGCATTGATGATGCCAACGCCCAACGGAGGCGATAAACAGAGAAGCACCGAAGGAGGAGACTTGCGGCAGTAGTCGCGGGCCTGATCAGTGATGAGTCCCTGACCTGTACCTGGACTGGGGGTATCTACGACTAGTACAGTGGCGTTCCTGGCTGGCTACCCTGTTAAGTTGTTAGCTGGGGGCCCTGTCGCTGCGAAATTCATAATATACCCACCCATCTGGTCCCAGCTTTCCCCTGACCATGCCCCGGCCACCAGCCTCCTTCTCTCTTCCCAACATACCCCAAGCAACGATGGTTTCTTCTGCTCTCGGAATCGGAACCACTCATCAGTGAATGTGCGTGCTGCAGCATCGTGTCACACTGCATCAGCGAGCAAGCGCACGACCACATCGCAGTCGAGGCGACCCAGCTGGACTAAGACCACCGCTGACTGGCCCGGAGCTGCCCCGTTAGGCTGAGTCGCTGACTTCGTGGGCAAAAGGGAAAAGAAAAGCTGGAACGTGTGGAAGGCCTCCCCCTTCCTTCTGGCGCCCACCCTAAACTCAAAAGTCTCGGGCTCGCCCGTTGCCAACGTCGTCAACGCCGCCGAACATACAGCAGCCAATAGCGATACCCTCTGAATACTCATCACAGAGAGAGAGATAAGAAGGCCGTCTGAATTGTTATTCGCATTTCCATTCCAGCCTGCGACTCGCACGATTCGCCCAGCTGCGCCTGCGCTGCGACGAAGTTATCGCTACCCATCGATTTAATCACTCTTTTCGCAGACTCAATCTACTGAAGCCACCGCGACCGCGACCGCGACCGCGACCCGGCAATCGGTTCTGTGTCTCAGGAGGCGTGTTTCCGGCTATGCGCCCGTCGTTCTTCAGCCTTTCCGTCGCAGCATTGAAATTCATTACTACCATTTGAAACACTCCTTCCGGGGGCACGCCGCAAAGGTGTGATTGAACCACCCAAGAGTTATACTTGCCTGGACCCGAAGCAGCGTAATCTCTCCCGCCGGTCGTTACTATCACCCTTCTTTTTAATACAACTCCACGCCTTACGTCGACCCGTATATCTTGCCACATGTTTAGCCGATCATCGTCCAAGTCACAGGGATCTTCTGGCGCCGCAGCTTCCAAAAAGGAACACAGGTTCCTCGAGGGTCAGGTCTCGGCCTTGCGGGAGCTGGGCTTGTTCAACCCATCCGACTCACGTTCTCTGGGCTCGCAGCGCAAGAGGGAGGATTGGAACAACTACAATAGCGGCTCATCGTATCCGGAAAAGAGTAAGCATTGCACTCCCGTTCCGCTGCCGCCACCTCGTGGCCCGGTCTTGCCTGAGACATCCCACCGGCGCTCGTTCTCTCTTCCATGCAAGTGCGCGTTGCTGACCGAGTTTGGCCGTATCAGATCACTCTCTTATCGCCACTTATCGTCAGAACCCTCATCGAACACCGTCACATCGCTCAACGACTTCGAGAGGTTCTTCCGCCTCAAAAGACACTTTACGACAGAACCCAGCCATGTCTGGCATGATGAGCGGAGACAGGAGTCGCAGTAGACGAGAGAGGACGTTTGTCGGCAGCGAATGCGCTGTCTGCGAGGAGCCGCTGGAGCACACCCTTCGTGGCGAGAGGATTCTTCAATTTTCTTGCTCGCATGTCTCACACGAGGCTTGCTTTTACGAGTTCATACGGGAGTTCGAGTCGCAATACTGCCCATCATGTAACGCGCCGTTACACTTGGACACGAGTCGTGGGGGTAACCAATTGGACATCGGTAAGCAGACACCTTGAGCTTTGGGTCGGGGTGCAGGCTGACAGTACCGGCGGTTGTAGAGAAAATAACCAACATGGTGCGCTCAGCGTCAGCCGGCGACAGCAGATCATTGACCACACCGACGCCTGGAACGTGGGACGGTCAAGGCGGGCGGCCTCCAAGCGGAGAATCTAACCCCAGGTCTGTGCCTAGCAATGGTCGCGACAGTGTGGCCCGGAGCAACGTCCGAGACGGTCGAGATGGATATAGCGCTTCAAGGGGCCATGGTCGCAGTGACAGCGAAACGACCGGTGCTACTGGAGCTACTGGAGTCGCTTCTTCTGGAGGCTACCCTGAGACAACTCAGAGCGGTCCGCCCCGGCGCCACGACTACGACTTGCAGGCAATGGAAACAACACCAAATAGTCCGAGAGCAATGACGCGCAACCCGATCCCGGCGCCGTCTGTAGCAGTTCGATCAGAATTCCCTACCATCAACCGCTCTCGGCAGCAGCAGACACTAACTTGCCTCATCACGGTGGAAGTTGCTGATAACAAGTGGAGGCCGGACCCTGAGGACCTGGGTATGGTGAACCCGATGCCCCCTATGCGCGTCGAGGAAGCGTTCGCGCCGCAACGTCCGCCGTCACCCGCAAGAAGTTCCCAGCCGCGCTTCTACCCGTACGAGGCACCAGAAGTGCTCGAAGAAATGACCGAGAGCTTGCGAAACAAGGTCGATAACTGGCACGGCTTAGACTTCAATAGGTTAGTAACTGATTCTTCGGCAGACAAGTCTTGCACACAGCTAATTAGAAGCAGATTCGGCAAACTTCGTCTCTATGGCACCCTGCGGGTGGGCAAAGACAAGATCTCTTGGCAGGAACTGGAGTGCTTCCTCTTCGCCGAGATGCTCATCTGTGTCAAAGAGAAGAAGATACCTCCAAGCGCGCAACAGTGGGATGAGAATGGCGTGCCACGAAGATCCAGCAGATGCACCTTGAAAGGTTCCATTCTCATCAAGAAGCATCTCAACGAAGTCACGGAAACCGGCATGGGTAACCGCCCCTGAACTATTCAGGCAAGAGACCAGCTAACGATATCCGTTAGTAGACGAGAACGTCTTGACACTCAGTCTCTCGGTCGCTGAGCTCCCCCAGTTTCATCTGCGTTTCGATAACCGGAACCAGCTCAAGCTCTGGCAGCAAGCCCTCCTTGACCTCAACGCGGTTGAGAGATCGCCCGTCAGAAGCCCCGAATTCGAGAGGGAACGAGCAGAAGCCTCGGGGACTGACGAAGAGGACTGGGATCGGGGCAACCGCCCGCAGCGAGTCTCCTCGCTAGCTTCTTCTTCGTGGGGAGGTCCCAAGTCAGTCGGTACTGCGCCGACCGAGTATACGAACTTCGCCCGGAGCCCCATGTCGGCGGTCCACGTGCCGATCGATGTGGTAGTCGTCGTGCCGATCTCGTCCTCGATGCAGGGTGTCAAGATCAACCTCGTGAGAGACGCGCTCAAGTTCATGGTGAACACTCTCGGTGAGCGGGATCGCATGGGCCTGGTCACTTTTGGCTCTGGTGGAGGCGGTGTGCCGATCGTTGGGATGACAACGAAGGCATGGCACGGATGGAACAACGTCCTGGCTTCAATCAAGCCCGTCGGACAGAAAAGTCACCGTGCAGATGTCGTTGAAGGCGCCAACGTGGCCATGGACCTCTTGATGCAGCGCAAGCACAACAACCCGATTGCGACCATCATGCTTATCAGCGACGCCTCCACTTCCGACGCGGACAGCGTTGACTTTGTCGTGTCGCGAGCCGAGGCTGCGAAGTAAGACAGACCCCTGCGTGCAATGTGAACGAGACTAACATATCCCAGGATAACTATTCACTCGTTTGGCCTAGGGATGACTCACAAGCCAGACACCATGATCGAGTTGTCGACCCGAACCAAGGCGGCGTACACGTACGTGAAGGACTGGATGATGCTGCGGGAGTGCTTGGCCGGCTGCCTTGGTTCGATGCAGTCTCTGTCGCACCAGAACGTCAAGCTCAAGCTTAAGCTACCGGAGGGCTCCCCGGCCAGGTTTCATAAGATCAGCGGAGCACTGCAGATTACCAAGCGGGCGACGGGTCGCGATGCCGAGGCTTCAATGGGCGACCTGCGGTTCGGTGACAAGCGAGATATCCTAGTCCAACTAGTCATTGTTCCCGACACTTCGTCTCAGGAGCAACTCCCTCAGGATCCCTGGGAGACGATAGTGTCCGGCTTGGAGGCTTTGGGTGGACCGATGGAGCATGACGACCAGCGAGCCACGTCGGTAGAGGAAGTCCCATTGATCCAAGCAGACCTGGTCTGGGGCGACATCCTGCGAGACGGCACCATGATGCATCTACCCCGGCCGTCGTTGCTGGCCATTACGATGCTTCCCGCCGCTGGCAACTCGAGGAAGGCTTCGTGGACCCAGAACAACCCCCCGATTCCTCCTCACCCACACATCGTGCAGCGTCGTATGGAGCTACTTACTTCTGACATGCTGACCCGAGCTTTGACATTGGTGACCAGGGGTCAGCACGACCGTGCGCACACACTCTTGAACGAGACGCGTTCTATCCTGAAGGGTCTCGGCAAGGGAGGTCTCCCGCCTGTTCCTCCAGGCCCTGTGCCGCCACTTCCAGGCAAGCACTCGAACCCTTCAACTCCTCACCCTGGCTATGATGCTTCGCCAACCTCGGCTACCCCCGACCGCAAACACACACCGTCCCCGACAGCTTCGGCACATTCTTCGGCCGCAAATGGTTACCCTCCGCCACTTCCGCGCACTCGATCCAATGACGGGTTGGCGCTGAGCAATTCGGCGGGCGTAGACGCCAGCACCGTTGCTGCTCTTGACGCCGAGCTTGAAGCCAGTCTGGAGTGGATCAGCCACCCCGCTGTCTTCAGTCGCGACAGTCGCAAAGCCGTTCTCCAGGCTATTGGTGTCATCAGCAGCCAGCGGGCCTTTACCTACCGCACACCCATTGAGAGCCTATGGGCTTCCAGAGTCAGTGGTGTGAAGCGACTGACAGACAAGAGTCGTGAGTGGAGGGAAGAAGCTGGCGGCGAGGGGATCATCGAAGAAGCGTAACCTGGCACCACCATTTCGACTCTTTTTTCATCTCATTTACACCGGAGTACCGACTGCCATATAGAACCAACGACCTCTACGGGAACACGTGTCGAACGAATATCGTTATAGCATTTTATCATGGAGCTACCTACACCCTTGCTATTGAACCAACTGCTCTCACTTGATTCACCTTCATCAGACCAACTGCTTGTTCTTTGGAAGGTTTGGATGACAGTCGGATTTTTTTCTTTTTCACGACTTCCAAGATACCACTTTCGATTCTGCTGCGACCACGACCCAGCACAAACTGCTTGTCAGCAAGATATCGCACAGTACAGCGCATCTCCTTGGATTATAGGGAAAAGCTAGAGGAACTTTGATTGTATATGGAGGATGGCAGGACTGTATTGATGACTGGAGGCGTAGGTGGGAAAGTGATGGAACACTCCTACGGGACACAATCAACTGGCGAACGAGGCACAATCTTGAGCGTTGTATAATAGCGATTCTTGCTCGACTATATATGAATATGACAGAGGACGTCCTTTCTGATCTTGAAGAGCCAAGTTTCCCACCTGAGTTCGTGGACGACGTTCGCCTTGTCTGCTTCTTGGGACTGTGATTTCTCCTTACCTATTTTGCGAACCTTGGTGAGCTTGTCGAGCACGTTTGTAAGAGATTATGACGATGGATGCATGACTACGATTTTCTTACATAGGTCTAATAACTGCATCCGTTCGACTGCACTGCATTCCTTTCTCTCGGGACCAAAGCGGCCAATACATCCAATCAGTTGGTCCACCAGCCGTTGAACGAGTCAACACGTGCAACGCGATTCAGATCAAACCCAACCACCGCCACCGGAAACGTCATCCAGGGAGCCAACATGCTCTAGCACGCCGCATGACTACGCCTGATAGTGAGGTGCTGTCTCTGGCTCTTCTCTCGCCTGCTGCTGTCTTTATTAGGCGGGAGGGCAAGCCAGGGTCTGATGACAGGAGGAAGCTGCCTGGGACGTCGCGTTGAGCGGGGATCTATCTATAGCGTCTAGTTGTGTTCCTCTACCTACTACATATATTTTCAGGGGAGAATTGGACTTTCAATGCATACATGTATATCTTGAAGAATGGGGGATCTACGGCTCGAGATTGACTTCAGCTCAGATCTGGTTGAGCGCTGGTTCTTGTAGAAGCTTCCATCCCCCAACTCTTTCTGAATTTGCCTCTTGCGCAAGTGACCCAAGGCATGCTTGCGCTTATGTATCTAGCCTCTCATCTCCAGATACAGACTGTCACTGAAATATTGCCGAAACTTACTTACACTCTAGTGCAAACGGTCTGGATAGCAGTCTTCTATCCTGACGGGAAGACACAGTTCCCTGGCGGCCCAGGAGGGAACACGAACACAGACTACCGAATGAAGACTATCACCACACCCACACCCACGAGCAGCATGGCAGTCTCGGCCGCGACATCGAGCGGCTTTTCGTACAGACCTGAATTACATGATTGCCAGCTATAATAAACTCACATGTGCCTTTGATCGGCTTGAGTACATGTAGCATCATCAGACAACTTGTTTAACTCGTATTATGCTGGGTTGTTAAAAAAAAAAAAAGTAAAAAAAGAAAGAAAAAAAGCCCGTGTGTTCTAGTATTTATGATACCTGCAAGCCCAAGGACAGTAAATTACCTAGAAGGTAAAAACCTAACCGAGAGGTGAAGCGTAAAGGAGGTGGGTGGTTCGATTCCACCTTCGGGCATAGATTATGATTCTTTTTAACTCGTATTTTTCTTCTCTTTATGTTCGTAGCTTAGAGAGTCTCGGGGGTGGGGTCCAGGACGTCGTGAAGGCTATGGAGGCCTTCATTCACTACCTGCCTTTGGGCTTTATTCGGTCGGCTGGCTTCACGGGGTTGCAGATCCTCCAACATGTCTTCACCGCCGACACCAGCGACAGGCTGAACCGCGCCCTTTTCGGCTATGGTCTGGATCCGGTCGCGATTCGCGCGCTGGTGCTGATGCTGTTCTTAGATGGGCGACACGCGGAGGAATGTGCTGCTGGCGGGTGACGACAGTCCCGCGATATCGTCGAAGAAGGAGAGGAAGACAGACTCCCAGAGCCGCGGCTCCTGCTGACGAGAATCTCTGGACCGAGCCCGGCATCGATATGTTATCACATCACACTGCTGAGTGCTAAGTGGCTCGGGCATCTCTACCATCGCTATTGATCGTCGCCGGCCTCGTGTTACCGGTCGCGAACCTTTTGCGCTGGCTAAGGTGTTGGGATCTCCCCATTTTCTGTGAGTCTCCCATGTGACTTCTTCGACCCCCTGAGCCCCTGACTCCCAAGGCTTCTCGCATCGAAATGCACAGCAACGAAGGCAACACACTGACTCTCCGCCCTGTACTCGGTGGTCTTCCATCTTCCCGTCCAACCCCTTCTTCCAGTCCTATGTTGTATCACGTGATTAACACGTGATGTGGGTCATATCCACAGATACATCATTCCTCCCCACACTGCCACTAGTTAGCTGGAGACACAGACCACTACATCACACTCTGAATGGCTCCTAGTTGCTCAATAGATCCCTGAATCTTCCTGATCAACCATTGCCATCCCGTGATCCTGGTCTCATAACATCCTACCTGCATTCATTCGCGACCAGTCCGTCGCCGGGCTGGGATACATCACGCAGACCTCCTCCTTCGCCTCGAGCATGACCTCGGTCTCGCTGGCCTCCTGATCATGAGAAGACGCGGCGCCACGAGACATACGTCGTGCCAGCTCCCCTGTCTGCCTCCTCGGCAGGGGCCTCATGATCCACTACCGCGCCGAGGATCTTTGGCACACGTTTCCGCGGCCAGAAGCTATGAGCTGGGAGGGCCCCGAACGCGTTGCTATCAACAAGAGCTACCATGAGGCGTTGCGTATGCCGCTGGTTGACCCGGCGTGTCGCTAGTGGCGCTTGCGGTGCTGGCGCAGGCGATGCACGATTACAAGCGAGATGCTAGTGGAGCAGCATGTTTAAGCCACGGTTGTCGATGAGAAGGTTAGCTCGGGGGCTGCTAGTGAGAGCTTAATTGGACAACGGAACAGCGATGGTGATGTTGGTCTGCGGCGGAAGAGCCGCTCGATTCCAGTGGGTGGTTCAGGGGTAGTGCGAATGCCGATACGAGCTCAGGATAAAGAGGCTAGATTTGGCTCTGATGTGCAATTTAATACCTGACACCAACATCCTCACGCGCTGTAGGGACAGGCTAAACAATAGTAGCGAGTAGATGTATAAGAAGTCTGGACAAGACGCAACCGGAGTGACTGTGCCACGGCCAGTCGCTAAGATGGTGCTCAATTTCTCTGTCCATGCCGCTATTCGGTGCTCGTCAATATCACATCTGGACTACGCTTCACATCCTGTCCGGAGAATCGTGTTGTGGGTTATCCATACCATTCATTGGTTGATATGTCGGTATTTACACCTGCTTTTTGCCAACGAAGAACCCTTTCTTCTTATTGGGCATGATGCCTACACGATTCCTCTTGAGAAGGGCCTGTTTCGACTTGAGAGAGTTCTTGTTCATCTTCGGGGCAAGACTTTTGTCTGCCTGCTCTGCCAGCACTCGGTAACGGGTGGTCCCCACAATCTCATCGCGGGGTCTCTTACCTTCGTTGCCGATCGTCTGCAAGGCGGTCTCAAAGTTGATCTTCTTCGGCTTCTTCACAAATTTCTTCAAGGCCGTCTCATCTTCGCTATCACTTGAAGAGTCCGTAAGGAACTCTGCGGGCAGCATGTCCGGCAACTTGCCTTTTCCGGATCTCTGTCTCCCTTTATTTGTGACTTCTTCGCCGTTGGAGCCATCGTGGGTTGTCTTGACTGGCTTGCGAGTTCGTTTGCGCTTTTGCGCTTGTTGCTTGAGCAGGTTATCCCTCTCCTGCCGCTTCCGCTTCAACGAGGCAACTTGCCTGATTAAGAAGTCAGTATTTGAAGGTCTTGCTCTTGCGTTAGCCAGTATCACTCACTTGTCGGCAGCCTCTGATACCGCTTTCGCTGACTCCAAGGTTTGTTTGGCAGTTGCCTGTGTCGAGACAGCTTCAGGCGCTTCGTCATCGTCGCTCTTCTCTCCGTCGCTTTCCTCTTTTGTCTCCTCCGCGTCCTTCTTTGTTTCTGTTGCAGCCGCTGCGACAAACTTCTCCACATCATCATCATCGCCGAAGACTACATGTTTCGACATGGGTTTCGGTTGCGGGGTAGGTTCGGGCTCCACGGACTGCCGGGCTAGTTGCTGGCTTGCCTCCTTCTCCAACTGCTGCGAGGCCAACTGCTGGGAGGCACTCGTGGGCTCGACGGCCTCGGGCCTTCCCTCCAGCTGCTTCGAGGCATTCGTGGGCTTGACAGCTTCGGGCTCCCCTTCTTGATGCTCTTCTTTTTCTTCTGATTCGTCGTCATCTTCATCATCTTCTTCCTGAGAATCGGCTACTGCGCTGGACCGGGGTCTTGGCGCTGATGAGCTGGGTATTTGCACCTCGATGTGCGTCGACCAGCCGCTTTTCGTGATCTCGTCTTCTCTCGTTCGCACCGCAAGCTTCTGTCGTTTGGGCGAGTCACTCTGTGGGACTGCAACATTCTGTGCGTCTTCGACGTTGCTGGTCAGAGACTTCCGCTTTCCGCGAGGCAGAATCGGCACCTCAACAGTAATTTCGGTCGATGTGGGTGTGTCCGACATGGTTGGACTTGCGGCTTCCGTTTCTTTGGCCTTCGCGCGTCTTCTAGTAATGGGCGCCATGACGAAGTCTCGAAGCGTTTGCGTCGTAAGATATGGCGGATGCGCAATTGAATGCTCTCGACGGCCGGTGCTTGTGGTGGTGGTGGGTTGCCCGCAGCTTTTTTTTTGGTTGCTTGTTGATAAGATAGTGATAGCTTGGTTTGGTGCATGGCCCCACCACCAGGATAGACAGTATGCAGTTATCAGTTACAACAGAAACAACTACCTCCTCAAGCAGTCCATTGTTGGGTATCTCAGAGCATTTCGAGTCTCAGTCTAGAAGCAGCGACGAAAACCCCCGGAACACAAACTTCATAAATACTCATAAGCATTACGTGGAGATTCTTTCTGATGAAGGCGTGGACTCTATTGCTGAGTTAGTCTCGATTCAAACCTCTTACCTCACATACTTAGATTTACTCAAGACTGCCTCCTTATATAAGAAACGCCGCCCTTCGAGAAGACCAGGCAGTATGTCTCAACGATATACATGCACACGTTGCATGCGGCAACTCAGCCAGCTGCCTAGAGGCCAACGAACACCTAGCAATGTCTTCCAAAGACATATACCGGCAGTCCCGTCCATCCGCTCCACAGCCTCACACTTGCACACCTCACCCGCACGCCCAGCAAAAGTCCGAGGCACAACCCGCGAGAGCTTCGCCAAAGCGCGCTTCAGCCGCACCGATGTCCCACCCCGGGAGTTCTGGGCCGCGCAAGCGCGCCCACCGCTCGTGGCAGACCTCACAGCGGACGAGTGCCAGCGCGCCGCCCACCAGTACGCCGACCTAGCGCTCGAGGACGCGGCCGACTGGCGGCAGAAGAGGCTGAAACCCGCCAACGCCGACGGCAATGCCGACGGTAAAGACAGCAGCCAGTACGTCTCGTACTACACGCTGCACTACATCGCGACGATGATCACGCTGGGCCCGCGCGGCCCGGCCTGGCACCTCGCGACGCACATCTTCCACACGCTGACGCAGCTGGGCTACGAGCCGAGCGTGCTGACCCTGGCGCGGCTGGGCCTGCGCACCGGCAACCTGCACCTGCCGCACTTCCGGCCGGCGGTCGACGCGCTCGACAGGTCGCTGCGGAGCAGGCGCGGCAGCGCCGACGCCTGCACGCTGAAGGCCATGATGTGCATGGCGCAGGAGACGAGGGAGGGCGACGACGAGGCGCTGCGGTGGTTTCGGAAGGCGTTCGATACGCATAACAGCCTCGTCAACAGCAGCACCAGCAGTAACACCGATCTCAGTGCCAACAGCGACGATCAAGACGCCAAGACAGTCGATCGCGTTTTACCGCAGCACTGGCAATGGCAGACCAGCTTCGCGCTCGGCACGGCCGCCATCCGCGCCAGGCGCGGCGAGACGGACAAGGCGCGGGAGCTGTACCGGTTCGCGGCGCGGGACCTCGACAACGCGAAGGGGTGCTACGAGCTTGCGCAGCTGCTGGACGACGCCGCGGGCGACCACCCCGAGCGCCGCGAGCTCCTGGAGAAGGCGGCCGTCAGCGGGGTCGATGCCGCGTGTCGGGAGCTGGGGGTGCTCGAGCGTGAGAGGGCGGCGGCGGGCTTGGGGAGTAGGAAGGAGCGGGAGGAGGCGCGCGTGCTGGCGGAGGAGTGGGCGGCTATTGCGGGAGATCGGGCGGCGCTTTGAAGGGCGTTGGTGTGTTGTTATTGTGTTGGTCTTACTCAAAAGCCGTGGTGGCCATGGTGAAGTAGGTGTAAGATACGATCTGGATAGGGGTGGAAGCTCTTGTACAGTACGGCATGCTGCCATGTGCCGCTGAAGGCCTCTCCAGTTTCTATACAGATGTAGACAAACAGTGTTGTTTACTAGCCAGGGAGGAGTATGTAACATGATCAGAGCCAATTCGAGTAAAGTCACTCAAGCTCTTTATGTTTGTTGATCATGTCGCCGACTTCCTAGAACCGTGCGTGACCCTATGATGTGGTGAATAGGACTATACTATTTCTCCTATGGGGCTCCTTTATCACGGGTACCCACCGCCATCACCCGCAGATTCTCATGAATCACATCCGTCGGCCGTAAGAAGACGTACTGGACTGTCACTTGTACTATGCGTTGCTATCGCTCACAGCTTCAGTCTCAAGGGTATGTCTAGATATCGAACCCCCGGGATGCCGATATTGCAGTACAACCCTGAGGCGACATGACATAGGACATGCCACGAGGTTGACACTCAAACGCAGAACTTGTAACCTCTTTCGTCTTGAGGAAGGGACTTAAGAGTACGCTTCGATCAGCTCCTGCTACTCTCGGGCCTTGGCAGCATGAACAGTTTTGACTCGGTTAACACGAAACCCCTATTTCGATGAGCGGTCTGATCCTACGCAAGCCCTTCTATACCACGGCTGCCTGGATGCCCTCGTGCTTTCTCCTCATAGAGACAGTGTAGAGCATGCGTGGTAGAAGTCGTAAATATTCATTTGAGTTTTGTCACTCATCCTTCAAGCTATTGATTCGTTGGCACACATATCGAATTTGAACGCTGAACTAGCGAATTTACTATGAGTCCAGTATCTCCCCTCGCCAGATCTCAAAATAATTATTTTCTATAAATCGTCCCATTTCCAGTGAAAACACCCGTCTGCGTCGTAAAGTCGGCCTTGCTGCTGAAATCATCAATACGACCCAACAGGATCTCCACCATCCTGTACGCAACCCCCGGGGCGTACCCCGGCAGCTCGTGGCCCGACAGATGGGCCGTGTAGAACGTCAGCCCGCGCTCCGTGGCCCACATGCCCTGGACACCCGCGCCCGCGAGCGCGCCGCCGTTGTACTCGGGGTGGTAGGGCGCGTAGAGCGGGGTCTGGGGGTACACCGAAAGGCCCTGGGCGCCGTTCCACGTCATGTTCTGGATGGCGAGCAGCGTGCCATTGGTGCTGAGCAGCATGTCGAGGTCGCCCGAGCCGATGAGCGTGTTGTTGGTGTACTCGATGACGCGCTGCAGGACGCCGTCGTTGGCGGGGCCCTGGCTGGTGTCGCCGGTTTCGGCGCTGGCGTTGCCGTTGCCGAAGACGTTGATGTCGGTGCACTGCTCCCAGTTCGTGCCGACCACGGCGTGGAGCGCCTCCTGCACGTCGGTGCGGTTGAAGTAGACGACCGCGTCGAGGGGCTGGTAGTCGCCCGTGTTGACTATGCCTAGCTCGCCGAATGGGTGCGGGCATGTCTCAGTGATGTGGTAGATGTTGAAGCAGGGGTTTACCTCCAAAATTGCATTGTAGAAGTTGTCGAACTGGTCGCAGGCGTACACGCTGGAGTCATAGGGGTCTGGCAGCACTGGCAGCACTCCTGCTGGTGGGGGGAACGTCAAGTACTTCTCCAAGTACGTGTCGAAGTTGCACTGAGCCTGGCGCACCCGCATTTGCTCCATGAAAGTGTCGTTGAGGAACAATAGGTTATTCCAGTACTCGACAAAGGGGAGGATCGTAACTAGAAGGGTCAGCCGGTGTTGCGCGGTCTACGCCTCTTTTGGGATGCATACCTTCCTGCTGGCTGGTCTCATCACCGATGATTGGATCGTTGATTGAGATGCCCTTCAAGTTGAAGTAGTCGGTGTCGTTGGCTGAGATGAAGCCGTCGGCGATGTACGGGACGTAGTATCCGCCGTAGGACTCGCCAGTGACGTACATGTCGAACTTTTGCATATCAAAGGTGGAGATGAAGTTTTTCCAGAAGCCGCGGAACTCAGTCGCAAGCTCGACCTCGTTCGTGATGTCTGGAGTTCCTTGCGTGTACCCTACGCCGATGGGTTGCTCAATCCATACCATGTTGGTCAAGTTTGTCCAGCTATCGCGTCGTTAGACACCACTTAACAATAGGTCATGGCCAAAACCCGTCAAGCGATACATACGAGTATGGATTCTGGACTGGAGCCAGTGTACCGGCTTCCCACGTGAAAGGGCCATTCTGTTGAAGACATTAGTCCGGCCCTGATGCCCGACATGCTTCGAGCTGGTAATACGCACCTCTGTCAGCAGACCCGATAGGGAGCTGCAACCCGGACCTCCATTGAGCCAAACCACGATTTCGTCGGGGTTCTGCGCCGCCGTCGAAGGGAAGAACCTGCTGCCGGTTAGTTGTCTTCATGATGAAGAGCGTTGCCGCCTCGATGCTCCTTATCCGTACCAGAAGAAGAGTTTGCGAGTCTCGTTAGGGCTTTCCGAGATGGGCAGCAGTCCAGCATAGGACTCGCCTACATCGAACGGAACTTCGGGGACCCCCGTACCATTGACGGAGAATTCTGGACAGTTGTTAGTCTCGCCATTGTTCAGTATAGGTGGAAGCAACACATACCTTTCGTCTTCTCCGTCAGGAAGCGAGACGCGCGCTTCTGGAGCTCGGGATGCTTGAAGGGCTCGCCGGCCACTCGCTTCTCCACCTTCGGCTTGACCTTATCGAAGGCATTGCGCTTGTGAAGCGAGTTCGCGGCCAATGCCGTCGAAGCGCAAAGTAACGAGCTGAAAAGGGTCAGAGAGAGCTTCATGTTGACGTGATGTGAAGGTTCAAGCTTGACGCACCTGCAAGAGAGCTTGGCGACGCGGTGGTATATAAAGGGTTGGGCTGCATGACAGGCTACAGCAGGATGGCTATACAATCAAGCTCCTTGCCGAATATGGCAGGTGAATATGGCATGTGCATATGTTGGACGGGCTGGGAAGGCTGGGTTGGCTGCGTCCCCCAGTGGTGTTTGGAACTTTTTGCTCAATGCAGCAGGTCGGATGCAGCTCATAATGTGGGCTCGTGGATTGAGTCGTCGATGACGGAGATAAACAGGGCTGCCTGCGTTTACTAAATTACAAGTAATGACAAGACTCAATGCCGACTCGCAGTTTGAATCATATGATTCGTTCGTACGAACCGAGTCATGACGGCACCTGCAGTCTACAGGTAGGCAGCCCGGTACTAGGTAGCCTGCTGGTGGCGATAAGACATCCTGACCTACGTCCACAGCGGTGCATCTTCCAAAGTTCTGCAGATACGGGAAATACGGCATATTGCTGACTCTCCTTGTCACTTGACGGCGTAGGAGTGTACCGCGGTGAGGCCGGCCTTGGTTCTTGTTATTGCGGCAGTCATACAGCAGCCGCCAGCAAGTCGAATTGGTACAACGGAGAACCACTCTGAGGTGAGGCAACTGCTACCCAGTGGTAAGATATGACGTCCCAACAGGCACCGGAAGCAGGAAAATCAAGCACTGTCACCTCAGTACCGGAGGCTTATATCTCAGGTCTTGGCTTTACGGCAATGTCCCCAGCCATTGGAACTTCCTAGAAATCATGACTCCGGTTGGTGGAGAATCAGAAAACAAGCTTTTAGCCGGGGGCACTTCCCCAAAGAGTGACTGGCTGTGCCCCCCGGACCCCACATGGGCAAGGGGGGCAAGGGGGCTGGGGGCTGGTCAGTCACTTTCTCCGTATTCGTAATAAGTTCCAACCGAGGTCAAGTGCATCCTCCAGCCTGCTACCAAGCCCCAGCGTGCTGGTGAGGCTGTCGTGCTACAGGCGGTCGCTGCTTGCATGAGTAATGAATGAAGACGCTGACACGGATGTTAGTCATGACTCCCAGGTAGCACGCGAGAAGCAGGAGCTCCAGCCTCCGCATACCTTCGCCACCGCGGATGCATGTTGTCGGAGAGACAACCACTCCGGTCGTCGAGTGCCGACAGAGGGAGATAGGTGCGCAAGCGACGTGAAGTGCTGGAAGGCAAACGCCGTCTCGACGGGGATGTCTTTCTGGTAGATAGACATGTCGGGGAAATGTCAGACTTAGGAAGGCAACCTACCATCGCCACCGCACTGACATAGTTGTTTCCCGTGGATGGGCGGAGGATGTCACGGGCGGCATCTCGGCGGGCTCCTCGTCGGTTTGTGCCTGACTCCGTCCCTTATTAGCTATCGTTTCCTTGCTGTGCTCAGTGATGAGGAACACCGCGCCAGCCACCACGACCACGATACCAGGGCGATGTGGAAGTCCCGTCCCGGCCCGGGTACATTCCCAGCATCACGGAGAGTGCCTACGTTTGAGAAGCGAGAAGATAAAAGGAACCAAAGGGCTGCTGATAAGTGGTCGACACCTAAAGAACGGAATGCTTGTATCGCACTCATAAAACCTGCAGAAGGAGGATCCAGAAGTAAAGTGTGTCCGGCTGATTTTGCGAGAAGCTTGTCAGTCAGTAAAGGTCCATGGTGACTATTGATGTGGGATTTCATTCATGCGGACTTGGCGGAAAGCGGTACAGAATATGGACGCAGTTGTTGGGATTCGGGGGCTGGACTGAAGTTCGCGACCAACAGCCAGCCTGCACAGCAGCTTGAACGACAAGAGATTTCACAGCGAATGTTGGCAATGCCCCTGGGAAGCTGCGAAGCTGTCACCAGGCCAGTCGTTTCACCACTGTATCACGCGTATTCTAGTAATGACGTTCACTAAGAGTGCTCCATGCAGTGTAGAGTTGAAGGCCACAATAATCTACCGATAGATAAGGTGTATTGCGCCTTCCGCCTCTTGAGCATTGGCGAGCTTATGTTGATCTAGATGTTACCATCGTGCCATCCCGCCCTATACGTATATGTGTGTAGAGTGGCCAGTAATTACAGCCAAGTGTATGCTGATAGTCATCCCTCGATAATGCAATGTCCTTTATCCCTCAAAGTGCCCGATGAGCTTGAGCCACCAACACCGTGATGGCACCATTCATTGTCCTCCCCGGACGTGCTTGTGTCCATATGCAACAACGCCGGTCATGCAGTATGTCTCAGTCCTGTCCAGCGCAGTGATTCGATCGACCAGAAATGCAAGAGGCCAAAAATGGAGTAAGAGGCGAGCGGTAACATAGCGGCAGAACCGGGCTCAGCCGAGCTAGCCTGCAGCCGTTATTTCTGGTAGGAGAGACCTCAGTCATCATGGAAAAATGTCGTGTTTCCAGCTAGTGGTGCAGTGGACGGGCCAGCGTCTCTCATGTCAATGTCTTGACTGCCCGAATCTTCGTCCATGTCAATACTTGATAATCCGAGAGTAGATCGTCGGAAATCAGCTGTCAGAGGATGTGTCGGCGATGGTTCAGCGAGCCTCTGAGGCAATGATACCGGTCTCTCGTAAGCGTCCTCGGGAGGTGAAAATGACCACACCTACATTGGGTCAGAGCAACGCCACACATATGAAAGAAGCGTAACGTACCTCCATCATGACTCGGCTTCCCCTGTTAGCCACCGCGACGCACTTCTCGTCCTCAAAGACTACTCTCCATACAGACTCTGCCGTAATGAGTTCTCGCACGAGATGGCCAGTCTTGACATCCCAGACTTTGACTCGACCATCACTGCCTCCACTGACGACGCGGGTGTCATCAAATTGAAGGCTAGTGACGCTGTTATCATGTGCCGCCAGTCGATGAATCGGGCACATCTTCTCCAGAGACCACACTCTGACCGATCCGTCTGAACCTCCGGTGACGAGAGTGTTCCCACGCAGCTGAAGTTGGCCAACCAACGAGGTGTGTCCCTGTAAAACTGCTATGGCCTCACTATCCACCGTGTCAGCGCGCCTGTACACAGATGATATTGCGCACCACGCGACTTACCCTGTATAAGCATTCCAAACCCGAACACTAGTATCGAGACTTCCAGTCACAACTCTCTGGCCATCAAAGGCGATGGCATAAATCTGACTGAAATGCCCTGTAAGGGTGTGAAGACACCTGCCTTCCGAGATACTCCATATCTTGGCCGTAGCATCGTAGCTTCCGGACACAACGATATCCCCCTTAATCTCCAGGCATCTTACGCTGGCTTGGTGACCCACGAGAACGTTCCGGCAGACACCTTGTCTTATGTCCCAGACCCGCAGGGTAGTATCCCGTGAGCCTGAAATCGCCGTGTTCGCATCTGACATCTTAAGACAGCGTACCGTGGAAGTGTGACCTCGCAATGTATGTAAGCATGAACTGCGGAATATAGTCAGTCAGAGTGCCCATTTCAAACCCAACAAAAGACCTTACCCGTTGGCCATGTCCCAAACCCGTACATCACGATCACAACCACCACTGACAAGAACGTCTTCCCATGGAACCATAGCCCACACGCCCATAATATGACCTTGGAGAGTTCGAAGTGCATTGCCCTCGCGGTCGAAGATATGTATCCTGGCGTTATCAAGCGCTACAACGATGTACTTGGGTGTAAGATGCAAACTGGTGACTACTCTTCCATCTTGAGTGATAGTTCGAGTCGTATGGCGTCCACCAGTCCTCCATGCTGACTCAACCAGGTATCTTTGCTTGAAATGAGACTTGTATGACCGCAGTTTTGGTCGCTCAATGAGAGCAGTATCCGAAGATCCATCGACACTGCGGGATGCAGCATAATAAGCCGCAGAGCCAGGAAGAGCGCCGGGAAAACTATGATTCGCGTAGTCCGGGTCGGTCAAAGGTAGAGCACCGGGTCTGCTTGCAGCGTATGATGGAACCCCATAATAGACCTCCGAAAGCCGCCGGCCATAGTCGTGCTTGGCACAAAGGTTCTTCCATGTCACATCGTCGCTAAGAAGATCCCTCCACCTCCGGGACACCTGCGAAGCTCGGGCGAGGACTTGCGGATCATCTATAAACGAAAGTATCCTCAAACAAAGTTCATCCGGCAGGCTGGTAAAAGGATCCTTCTTCAGTAGAGGGCTCACAAACTGGTGAACGAAGCTGAGTTGCTGAGTCGTGCACATGTTCAGCAAATCCGCCAGTATTCGATTTCGATGCGGCCCGGAGCAGGTCTTGAAGACTTGTCGTACGTTGGCCAGAAAGAAATCCTCGTCATCGGCAGCATCACTCCAGTCGGGTTGAGCATTCGTCGGCCCTGGCGATGCGGCTGGGGTGGGGGGATGTGGGGGAGAGCCAGTGAGTTGTTGATCAAAGTCGGCGGCAGGTGTATTCATGCTGGGCGTGGGTGGTCCTCGCGGTCGGGGTTGAGCCATCTTGTCCAATCTCTGATTCACAATAACGGGACCAGCGCTGGTTGTGCTCAAACTCAACTCCTCGCCGCAGCTCATCGTGCTTCCCCTCCTTTCGGAGAAACTAAGCGGTCGGCTATAGCCAGCCATGTTGGAGTTGTGGGGTATCACGATCGTTCGTTCGGGATACGAAGCCCTGGGAAGGCGTCGATGGTAGGTATTCGTCAGGGGCTAATCGCTCGGGACTGATGGACTGTCATAGGCAAAAGTATGAGCCCAGACTAAATGGTATTAGTCATGATGGGAACACCAAACAAAAGTTGCATTTCGAAAGCCAGACCGAAGTTATTGCAGATAGGCCGGACACACTCGGACCACGGTCAGAGGCCAACAGCGTAGGCTCATATGTATTCGACGAGTGATGCTGGGAAACACGCGCTGGGGGAAGGCTGGTGGTGGATAGGAGTAGTTGTTCCATACCCTAGTGTGGCTGTCCAAGCCGAGAACAAGGACGATCTTGTGTGCCTTGGGCGCGGCGCAAGGTAATCAATGAGACAACCTCCCCCAAGTAACGTACGTGACAGATGAAATGTCTTGCGCGAGGATCCGACGGCGAATATGTGAAAGAGGCCGGAGACCAACGGCGGTGGGCATGAAGCGGTGGATGCGGCGGCGGCGGCGGCGAGAAGTGGCCGAGGAGTAGCGGGAAAGTGATGGATCGCCAAATGCTGTCAATGCATTATTGTCGGGTGGAGGAGATCGTCGAGGCCTGGCACTGGGCGACGTCCAAAGCACAGCACAGCAGGATTGAACACGAACGGGTTGGCGCTCGATAGGATGCCAATGACCAAAGGGGCAGAGACAGGCAGACCGGTCGTGGACTCGTGGAGAGTTGCGATGAACTGCACAATCGAAGGATGGGGCCCCTCGAGGGCGGGTGGATGGCGGAATCAGGTGAGAATCTGAGATGAGCAAGGATCGTGCCTCCCCACACGGTTTCCTCACTTGGGGCCAAGTTGGGGGAAGGACAGCTGGTGGTGTGCCTACTTAGTGTGTTACCGTTCTGCGTGTAACGTTCATACTGTGCACTATATTGACTTGCAGCCTGACTTCTGTGCCTGTAGGTACCTTATTACTCTCATGCAAGAATTCCTTGATATGAAGAGGTTTCCGTTGTTGGTATCACCTGCAGCACATGCGCCTGACTATATCTGCCTCGTATATACGCAGATCTGACTACTGAAACCTGAAAAGCAGATGGATGGTTGCATTGTGATCAATTTCCACACCGTCAGATTGTGTACAGCCTCAACATTGCAGCGACTGAGCCGTAAGGAGCGATCCCATTTCGGACAGATATAGATACATGCGTAAGTAAACATCCCATAATGATCCTACGGCACTTGACTCGTCGAGTTACGTGATTTATGATACTTAGCCGCGCAGGTCAGGATTGCGGTAGAATACGTCCCTTGGGCGTTGTCGTGTAGGAACTCTATTTGAATACCGTCGACGTTAGTTGTGTAGGTTGAACGTTCCGACTACTGTCGACGTACCTCGGTAACCTATCACTCAACTATACACGTTCACACCTCAGACTACACATAACTCTTACCTTTTGAAAGCTTGAAAGGAGGCAAGCGGTAGGCCGTCGATCATGAAATTGTGCGCCTCAGGCCTAGGGCGCCAGGTTTCCCCGGATTCCACACCGCACATGCAGTACAGTCAGACGGCTGGAAGAAAAGAGGCTGGCCACTGGTCCCTAGTTGGCGGGCAAGAAAGAATCGAGGTGGCAGTGCGCGGCGGCAAGGCAGTTACAACCTACCTAACTCATACAAGGAAGCCACCAGCTGGTTCGACTCGTTCGACTCGTTCGAGGGTTCGAGACTTGGGTACACATCCATACCTCAGTACGGTACTCAGCACAGTGCGTGGCTTCGGGCAATGCATTGTATTCTCGGGCAGGCCGTCCCCCTGCTAGCTTATCCGCCTTGGGCCCGCCCTGACTCGTGCTTCCCATTGGCTGCTGACCCCCCTTCCTGGTTGGGAAGGCTGTTTTCCGCAGGTGCCGCGTCTGTAATGCCGGCCAAGTTGCTGCGGAAGGCTACAAATGCAGAATCCTGCCCATCGTCGTCTATACATCAAAACACTCGTATGGCTGACACTCGTGTGACCCAGAAGATACTGAGCATCACATCGTACTGTACGTCAGGTGGTATAAGAATACTTTTAGGTAGTTCTCTCGCAGTTGATACATATAGTTAGCTGCCACACCCGACTGTCAACCAACTGTGTACGCTGTGAGCTGCCCAACCTATAAGCAGATCCGAGTACCGAGAGCTCACCGGTAAACGTATGGCTTCCCTTCAGCTGCATTGAAACACCGTGTAACTGCGGAAGGCAGACTGCTCCAGGATGCAGAGCCGGTGATAGGTAGCACAGACAAGAGAGCACCTAATCTGGGCCTGGACTGGAGATTCTCACAGGGACTTCCCCGTTGGCTCTGGCTGTCAGACAAGAAGATCAGAGCTGCTAGCTGCTTTACTGCAGAAGTACCTGTGGCACATGAAGATTGCACTTGCAGCACGAGCCTGATCATACTCGGTCTTTACGCAGTAGATTTTTCTGAAAAGATTTTAGACTAGGGGTGATCATACAGTTCCGTCAGTGGCTTGCTAGAGCAACGTCTCCTTCTAATAGTAGAATGTTGTTGCTGATATCCCACAGGTCTTCCTGTCATGTCCAATCCAAGGGTATATTGCATGGCCCGACCACTCAGGCACCCCTATACATTGCCAGGCTGATAATGCCCACATTCGCTGAACACACGCTTGTCAAATGTAACATAAATCCAGAGCCACAATAAACTGGGAAATTTCTTTGAAAACCCCGGCTGCAGGTTCATATCTGCCGGTCGTAATCAATCCGCAGCTCGAAGTCTTCCCTAAGTCGCATCAAGCCAAGTTCACATATTTCTTTCGAGATGCGTCAATGGTGATGATGGCCAAACTGCGTGAGGAGAGGTAGTAGCATGCCAGCAATCGTGGCAAGAGTATCCCGCATCTGCGGATGCGCATGCTTGCGTTGATTAATACTGGCCCCGTCTGCATATCCGTTTGCCCCTGATCCAACATCGTGACTTGATGGGGAGTCGCCTTCTTGCATTGCATGCATCGCAACATAACTTGGTGAATCAGCAGATGGTATCATATCAGGGCGTGGTTGCAGACTCACAGGAACGTCCCCGCCGAGAACAGTAGAAGCATTCCAACCCACCACTGGTTCAGTGAACCATCGCCTCGGCCACCGAGAAAGCTCACGAGTATAAAAGTCAGCCAGGCTCCGAAGGGAGATGCCAGGCTAAACACGATCAAATGACCTCTGGCTGCACGCTTAGAAAGCCCCTGTTTCAGGAGAATTGAGGTGAGACCAAATGCCGCGGGCGCTTTGTGCACCATGATCGCAATGAAGACGATGAATCCGAGCGTTGTGTCGGACGAAGCGGACGAAGCACCCATCGCAATGCCATCTGCCGCAGCATGTATCACCAGACCTGTCGTCGTGGCGAGGCTCCTCGACTGCTTCGGGGTGGGCGTGAGTGAGCCTAGAAAACCCTCAGACTCTTCTTCATCGCCTGAAAGTGCTGATCCTCCCAGGTTGCTCAAGCTGATATGTCTGGGCGGTGGCGGCGGTACGAAGTTGTCGGAAGCATGGCGCGGAAGACGGTCGACTAGGAACATGAGGATGAACCCGAGGATCATAGACAATCCAATATAGAAGGTAGGAACTTCTACTTCGGCATGTTGGCTCCCTGGTACTGGCATCGGTCCATCGCCTGTACTCTCTGGCTCATCAGCTGGTGCCCTATCATGGATAGCTGTGCCTGTCGTCTCCGCCGAGGGTGTTATCGGGTCGGGCAAGGCGTGTAAAATATCCAGCGGGTCTTCTCTTCTAGTAGTCTCCGACCAGATCGGATGCTCATCTCTGGAAGCGACGGAGGCTCCTACCACCCAACGAACGGTGGCTGCGTCTTTCACATCTCGTAGACATCTCGTGTTCTGCGCGTGTGCCGAGCTCGACGCTTCGGTGATGGCTTCGATCCCCTCCGGTATTATTATTATCATAGACGTGCCGACAAGTATGCCTATGCCAATGCTTGATATTAACCGAAGCTGTGATTGCGACAAGGACATGGAGAGTGGTAATGCGCCGGCGAGGAACGAGCTGCTGCTGTCAGGATCTGCGTCTGAAAATTGCTATGGGAGGATTCGGTGGTACGCACGCCAACGCCATCACGGCCTGCATCAATGGTCAGTACTCAAAACCAGAGGTGGGATCGAAGGCCAGGTCAACGTACCGTCAAGGCCAGCAGGAGAAAGACACCACCACCAGCCATCGTTGCATACGTCGTCGGGAAAAACAGTGGACGATACAACTCTTGCTACCGACTCATTGGAGGGTATGTAAGACGAAAGAGACGGCGCATCTGATCATCGACGAGGACCAGTTGGCACAATGATGCTTGCTCGATAAGAATTGATTTGAACAGATCCCGCAAAGGTCCAGCCGTGCCAGCCAAGTCGGACACTTTTCCGCGTAGCCTCAGACCTTTAGCGGCAATCGGCAAATCCACCCCCAGTCAGCCCACCTACCCGCGGCTACCTAGCCGCTTACCTTATGTACCTCGAGGTAGCGCTCATCAGTCGCAGCTGACTTTCACTGCTGCCACAGGGGCATCACCACCGATTAGGTACCTCCTGAGATACCTGAGGAGACCTGGAGCCGCCAAGCACACACCTGGGCACCTGCACGGCCCGCGGGCAGCTTGAAGTTGGAAGTTGGAACTTGGAAGGCACGATCCGATTGCACCGCTCTTCAACCAACTGTGGAGTACTTGCCTGATCGCGCGCCCGCGGACAGTGGACTTCCTCCCCACTTCGGACGCGCCGTACCAGATCTCGACGCGACGCAGATCTTCAAGTCGTTAATTGCATGCGAAATCCCGAGTCGACAATCCGCCATCGTCGCCATCGCCGTTTGTTTCCTGTTGCGCCTGCATACCAAAACCTTATCGCCGTCTGGTCGCGACATCTGTCGAGCTTCACTAGTCATCTCGCACCCTCTGATCACTGAGTGATTGCATATCGGGCTACCTTTGACACGTCACCATGGAAGACGAGTGTATGCGCCTCTCTATGCCAGCATGCGACCGGTGCTCCTGACTAACATCTTTACATAGGGACGGTCAATGCCAACGAGGCGCTTTTTATCTCCCTCGTGCGACCCACGTCTTCCGGTCTCGAAAAGATCGCAACGTTCAACCCGAAGTTCACATATGCCATTTTCGGCGAAGACGAGCGCATATTCGGATACAAGGGCCTGAAGATAAACCTCCAGTACGATGCTCGAGATCTGCGACCGAATCTGTCGGTGACCTCATCCAGGAAGTTCGCTTCGGTCGCCGGTGTCGAGGCGCTAGATGTCAGAGAGACCCTGAAAGAGTTCCTACCCGGAGGTTTGTCTTCGCACTATGTAACAGTCACCGCTGCGCAATGCTAACCAGCCACAGTTGCATTCCAGGGACGGCAGGAGTACGATTCGGCTGTGAGAAATACCCCGGAGACATGGGCTCCTCCTGGTACCCTCGTCAAGACCGCCGAGAAGGATGGGGAAATCTACGAAGTATGGCACGGCACCATGGCAGACCTGGCTGTCAAGCAGATGCTCAAGAGAATCCAAGTTATGGTCCTGCTGTTTATTGAAGGCGGATCTTATATCGGACAAAACCCGGAGGGCAAGGAGGAGCCAGAGTATTCTCTGGCCCGATGGTCGGTCTTCTTCATTTACAAGAAGCAACCGACCACTGATGCACCGGACAAGCACCGGTACATATTCCAGGGTTTCTCAACCGTCTACGACTTCTGGATGTTCCAGCAGCCAACACCTCGGGCGAGCCCCGCCAAGGATAGTATTGACCACGCCTGGGAACTTCCCGAGGGAGACTTCTCCCTTAAGGATCTTCCCAGCCGCTCGAGGATATCGCAGTTCGTCATTTTGCCTCCATTCCAAGGGAAAGGCGTCGGTGCCCTGCTCTACAACACAATCTTTTGCCTCGGCGTCGACGATGCGTCTGTGAAGGAGGTCACGGTTGAAGACCCTAACGAGGATTTTGATCTGGTTCGGGACCTCTGCGATATGAAGTATCTGCGAAAGAACATACCGGGATTCGCAGCGCTCAAGGTCAACGCCAACGTGTCAATACCCGAAAAGGGAGCCATCCTCCACAACAACACGCGCGTTTCATCTCCTGAGTCAGGGAGCTCGTCTGCGGATGGCATAGTCGATATGGATGCGCTGGAAGCAATGCGAGTCAAAGCCAAAATTGCACCTCGGCAATTCTGGAGACTTACGGAGATGCATCTCATGTCGACGCTACCTGACTCTGTCCGGCCTCGACCAGATACTGATTCGGTTGCGCAACCCTCGCAATCGAAAGCTGATCTGCAAGCCTACACGGTTTGGCGATTGCTGCTGAAGCAGCGCCTCTACCGCCGAAATGCCAACGTTCTCGGGGAATTCGAGATCACCGAGCGTATCATCAAGCTCAACGAGACTGTTAGCAACGTCGAGTGGGAGTACGCGAGAATCCTTGAGCGGTTAGAACCCAAAGCCGTTGTGGCTAACAGCAAGAGAAAGCTGGACAGCGAAGCGGAGGAAGCCAGCACGTCGAGCAAAAGAGCGCGAGTTGAGGACGCCTAGATGATCAGGGTTGTTCTGAAGGATCGAGTTCGCAAACAGAATCATTAGGCGTTTGCTCTCTGAGTGTGGATGGTGTCGGTGATTGCTTAAGCGGCATCCGCCTTCCTTCCTTTCGTCCATACCTGGTATGTCTTACTTGAGATCGACCAGAGGGGCCCGATGCGCAAGAACATCGTCACTTGTTTCAGGTCAGCCTTATTTTCTCGCAACTCTTTTACTCCAGCCAGTTGCGTATCGGCGGCACTGAATTCGTCGACGGTGGGCATCCGGTACATGATACACCAAAGTCCAAAATAATCACGGCGCTCTGGGAGAGACACCTAGCCTATGGTGGGCAGGGACTCATTGCCGAGCCGGACCATCAGCCGTCTGGAAATGGCATAGTCGGAGATGAGGGTGACAAGCACCACTGCAGTCATTTTTCATACCAAAAGGTACATGATCGCTGGGGTAATCATGCAGATCAGATTTGCGGGCGTTTTCCGCTGGCATACGGTTGGCCGGCGCTTAGCACAGTGTACTTATAGGAACTAATCCCAACGTCCGGCGAAGGGACGAGGCACATAGCCCATAATGCGATGACATTCCAGCTTTGAGACATCTATGAATTCAAGACCCGAACTCCCTGCCATGCACCGTCTATAACCGCTCTATCGTCTAACGTCTGGTCCCGTTCACACCCTGGATACCTTGGCCCAGCTGACTCGCCACACCCGTGGCTTCCCTCACTGCCCTCGAGACCGTCCCTCTCACGCAGCCCTCCTCCAGCACCAGGAGCCCGCCGATGGTGCAGCCGGCAGGAGTCGTGACCTTGTCGCGAATCATGGCAGGGTGTTCGCCGCTGAGGACCAGACTCGCAGTGCCCCTCATAGTCTGCGCGGCCATGCGGGTGGCCTCGGCGCGCGGCAGGCCCATGGCCACAGCGCCGTCGATGGCAGCCTCGAGCACGAGCGCGAAGAAGGCCGGGCCGGAGCCGCAGAGCGCCGTCGACGCGTCCATGTTGGTCGGCGGCAGGTAGACGACGTCGCCGATGCGGCGGAAGATCCACGTCACGAGGGACGAGATCTGCGGCGGCAGCGGTGGCATGCTCGTCGCGATGACGGTCATGCTCTCGCGGATGACGCTCGTCGTCGCCGGCATCGCGAGCACGACTCTGCACCTGCCGTCGTTGTCCTTGTCGTCCTCGGGCGCCTGCTCCTGCTCCGGCACCGCGCCCTGCAGGATCTTCTCGATGTGCGGCGTCGTGATGCCCGCGCAGATGCTGATCAGCAGCTTGCCGCGCAGCGCCTTGGCCATCCCCGGCTCGCTGAGAAGCTCCTCGACCATCGACGCCTTGCACGAGAGCAGCACGACTTCGGACCGCGAAACGGCGGACACGTTCTCGTTCTGCACGACCTTCAGGGAGGCACTGTGCTCCCATAAGGCCTTTTTCACGCGCTTGGCCGACTCGGGCCGCCGCACGCAGGCGATGAAGCGCGAGGGTAGGCGCGAGGGCACGTCGTCGCGCGGGGTCGATCCGCTGGGCGACTGCAGCGGTTTCGGCCCCGACATCTGCTGCAGCGAGGCCAGGATGCCCGAGAGGATCGCGATGCCCATGGTGCCTAAATTGGGTCAATTAGCTGGTATAAGTCCAACGGAGGTAGTCGCGAACGTACCGCAGCCCAGGACTGCCATGGTGAGGTCCTGCGGCTCGTGGGCGTGCTGTGTGATGGCCAACATGATGGGCGACCTGTGTAACGAAAGGACTGTGTAAAGTAGGTAGAGCGCAGGAGGGACGAGGAGTTCCGATAGAAAAGAGGCCCGGCGCTGGAAAGAGAAGATATATCAGGCAAATTGATTACCTGCACACGCGACACCTTCCAGTTGTGGCCTCACGATATTTCATTCATTCCGTATCTTCCCGTCTCTCTCCCTGCCTGTATTACTTCCCATTGCCTTCCTTACCGAAGTCGCACCCCTTACCGAAGTCGCACCGACTACTTTTTATCCGGACTGCCCTCACCGTCGATCATCTGGGTCTAGTCATTCCTAGCGCCTCGTGTCTCAACAGGGATCGCATCGGCTGGGTCCGGAGCTAGAGCCTTGGTAGGAGTCGAGAATCGAGATGACAGGTTTCGGCCCGGCAGCTGTGAAAATGTCCGCTTGGACCACAGCCCCCCACATAATCACATGGACCAACAAATATCCAGTAGCTGGAGGTCAACTGCTTTCAATTCATGGTTGAACTGCTATATTAGAACCGACTGGTCTTGTATAGGAGGGAAGTGTCTCATCTTGAAGATGAGACCTTGGGACAGGTGCTTGTGTACCATGCACGTCTTGACGAGAAAGCCTTCTTTGCGGTTCATCTTAAGGTTGCTCGTAGCCACGTACTCCCACAAGTAACGTTAGGTGGTGTCGGGTAGGAAGCTATCGATCTCAAAGAATACCACCAGATCGCCAGCTAAGAGCTTTGTATTCTTCGTGCTTTTTCGCTACCACACTCCACCCGTCAACCATGATGACATGATGGCTCGAGCCCGATATCTATAACCCATCCTTGTTGCCCTGGCGGAGCTGGAATCGTCGTCCAAGGGACTGACGTTCCTTCTTCGTCTGGGCGGCGACATACTCGCGCTGCTCCTTCTTTCTCTGGCGCAGGTGCTGCGCCAGTCGCACGCCCATATCTTCCCTGTTCCGGCCCTTTCATAGCGTATGGCCGTCTGAGAGACCGCTGGCGATCTTTAGATGCATCGCACCGTCGGTAGAGGCCTTGTCCACAGAGTGGCCTTGGCCGTTTTGCGAGAGCTTCTGTCAAGTGTCAGGATCCAGGAGCCCGAGAGTTCGGATCTGCATCCAATGGTGATCTGCCAGTCGAGGAAACCAGGCGTGAGACGAAAAGCGCAGGTGCAGAAGCTGAAGACGAGAGGGTCGAGCTCGAGGCCTTCTCTAAAGAACTGACGATCAACGTAGATCTCCTTGACGGGAGCTCCATGGAGTCGGTATGGTCCTTCTTTAGTCGACGCAACATGATTCGGTTGGTCAAGAGCCGGAGTTTCTTAAAGGTCTTTCTGCCCGCACCACTGTTGCCATATTTCTGAATGGGGTTCAGAAGCTCTTGACTGAAGACCGACACGTGTCCCATGGAATAATGGTTGCCTGCATTCCTGATGAGTAAAGACAACAATGGTAAGGTAAGCAAGGGTATACTCACAGTGTTTGTCATGGCCCTCATGGTTTATGCTCCACTCGAGGCTAAAACAGTCACGAGACAAAGGCACTGTATAGGACAAGGAACCCAGGACCGACCGAAGGGACCGACAAGGGGAAGGAAAATATCGGGCATCGTCAAGAATGGCCATGTTGAACCCATAGGCCATGTTGTTGTCTTGCATAAATCGGAAGACATCATAGTTGATGTTGCAGCGGAAGTCGACCTTGACAACACTCGTCAGCTCAGGTGTTGAGAAAAGAGGTACCAGTGCGTATGCTTGCTCATGCAGGACCGAAGAGAGGACCGAGAGGGAGACCAAAAGGGAGACAGACACAACCGAAAGTTTACAACACTAGGGACAAACCCCAGACGAGCTGCAAGTGAAGCTACCCCAAGTCAGCATCCGGGGACTTCTTTCAAGGGGAGTATCATCATTGAGAGAGAAAATATGACTTACCGACGAGGATGCCTCAACGGCACGCTCCTGCTGGTCCTCGGGGAACGTGCGGTTCTGGCCATGCTGGGAGCGCTTGTGGTTCAACCATGACAAGTAGTTAGCGGTTTCGAAGTCGCCGGTGCACTAATGCATCCATCTTGATTAGCTAATGCTCGCGAGAGGATATATGGGCAGATCTTGACCAAAATTACTCCGTGGAAGGAGACAGGTTCCCAACGCAGGACAAAGGTGATAAGTAGCAAAAGAACGAGAATCTACTCACATCGCCTTCTTTGCAGGTCCAGAGGCCCTCGGTCGAGCTCTTGTTCTTGGCCTGGTAGGTTGAATCGGTTTTATGGATCTTGTTTTTGTGACGACCATGGGTGGGAATGCGTTGCCGATCTGCTTCTTTCTGAATGTTTTGTCGAAGATGTAGTCGATAGAAAAGGTCTAGAGGACGGCACTGGTCGTGATGCATCAATTGAGGAAGACGTTGGGATTCCACGGTGCGTGGTTCTTGACGACCATCTTGTCCGGGTTGTGCATGTCGTCCCGTTCTTTGGGATCCGAGGGGATCTTGTCCAGCATCTGTTTGACGGCGACCCTGGGAAGACTTGTTGTTGGGATTGATGTTTCTGCCGTGAACGGAAGTGCAGAAAGAAGCGTCAGGACGCAGGTGGCCGCACAGGATATGCGTGCCGGCTTGAATCTTGCGCATCTCGTCGTCGTTCACCGCATCCATGGCCTCCTGGAAGATGGTAGCGATCGTCTTGCGTCCTATGGTGCTTTGCGGTGGTGATGGTTGTGGTGATGTTGAGGTGAAGAGGGTGGTGGTTGGAGTGCGTTGTGGTGATGGGGATCATGGAGTGATGTGGTTACTAATCCAGGTGGAAGAGATTGTGTCTTGTGGGGAGGGGATGGGGATTGCCCTAATTCACAAAGCTCATGTCAGCAGGAGTACTTCGAAGAGGTACTCTGTCGTCAATTAGGGCATTGGTACCGTCGCCGGTTAGAAGATGGGCTTCGTCGCCGGTGAGTTCACCCAGCTGAATTCTGGCTTGATGGCGCCGACTAGGGGGGTACTGATATACCGACTTTGGATCACGGATGGTGTACTACTAACAAGAGCATATACTCTGTTGCCGGATGAATAACTTGCTTTGGCACGGGCTAGATATCTCAGGAGAGTATAGATGATGAGGAAGTCTATCGAATTACCCATGCTATATCATGGCTAAGGGTATTCATGGCATCACCAAATCTCAGTCTATATCATGATCGTCCGAGGATCGGTAGTGGGATTTGACGAAAAGGGGCTGACCATCAGCTGAATATAGAGCATTGCAAGATGGGTTAGGATGAATATCACTTACTGTTTATGTACCAGTACTTGAAATATACCTCGAACCGGGCCTCAGGGTGACGGTGCCTAAGCTTGGATGGACCATATGAGGGCATCTTATGGGAATAGTGGCAGTGGTCGTTCCTGAGTACGTTACGCGGGTCAATGGGAGCCTTCAGCGTTGGCATTGACGTTCAGGTCTTTGTCGGATACAGCATGACATCACATACATCAAATCATCAAAACCGCAAGGGGGGTCCCTTTGCCATGCTTGGACTATCAGACATATATCTATGAATGGTCCGAATAAGTACGCGACGACCGGTCCTCACTGCCTCTTGTGCAATCCCTTCTCCTTAAGCAGCTTGAGATATAAATCCATATAGAGGTCGTTAACGTGTTCCTGGCGACTAGCATAGGCACCCAACCCCTGTACAATACTAGCAATGTCGGAAAAAAGGCGTCCACCCATGGAAAGTGGCGTGATAGGTGCAGAAGGGAACCCAGCGCTAGCCAAAGCCTCCGTCTCCTCAGAGTCTGCGACCGAATCCCGGGCGGCTGTCATAGCTTGCGCCTCGAGCTCTATGAGCAAGTCCCGATAATGTGTCAGCTTCGGCTTTGCCATCCCGACACGCTCGATGGCGAAGCGGTTCGTAGGTACGTAGCCTGGGGCTTCCCGTTGTAGGCCCGTCAGCGAGGGGAATTGGGCCGCCAGTTCCACGGGAGCAGCCATGATGCCATCGAAGTCGATCATAGCGACGATCTGGAAGTCATCGTTCACTAGAAGGTTGTGTGCACCGAAGTCTCGATTCGTTAGACACTATGGAAGAGGCTCAGAGACTTTCTTCTCCACGTATATCTCGACGAGCTCTTTAAATACGAGTGGAAGAGTCAACGATCTTGACATGTGAAGCTCATGCTCGGGATCGGTCAAGCACTTCTCGAAGGCATCACTAGCAGCATCCTGGAAGTACTCCTTGGACGAGGTCCACGGACCTTTGCCTGTTACAAGTTCGCGCCCAATATCGAAGTCGTCGTTCTGAGGGTCCCAGGTCAAGGAGCCGATTTTGCTGAACCGACAGGAGGCCATCTCGAACTGGATCGAAGCCATCTGTATTTGAAAGCGCTCATCCTGTTCCGGCGAACCAACCATGGACGGTGGGCATCCTTTCTGGCTCCTCATTTCAGTTGCCACTAGACCATCGATGTAATCCATGATGATGTAGGGCGTCCCGAGTGCATTATCACAGTCCAGGGACCAATCGCGCAGTGTTGGTACAGGAATCGACGTCCGAGATCTTGAAGAGCATCAGTAAATCAGTTCGAATGTTCATCGTGCGATCCAGGGTCCCATGGGCTTCAAACTCACGACAGATATTTCATACTAGCAACCTCAATCTCTAGAGCCTCTGTACCTGTGATCGTCTCGCGGTTGCCGAGTGTAGTCGGCAAGTCAGGCAACCGTAGACGGACGACCCAGGTCACGCCGTCCTGGAAGACTATCTGGCGCACCAGGTTGGAGTGGCCAATCGAGTAGTTGTCGCTTAATGTGCACGGCACTCCATCTCTTAGCAGGATGCAGTGCGCGGCAACCGAGTCACAATTAACACTGGCATAGAACGAGGTCGCCCGCTCATGAAGCTCATCGTCCGCATCGTAGCAATCGGCGCCAGTCCAAAGATCGCTTTTGCGATGATTCATCTTGCTACCAGCCTGTCGGCACAAATGTGAGGAGAGGATGATGTTGGCGACCGTAGGTGTTGATATTGATACTAGGTACTCAGCTTGAGTAGCGGTGGATTGTGAATGTTGTGTGACAGTGCATGCTATGGCCACCAACATCGTCTTGAGCCAGGAAATACCCAAGGCTTTATGCTTTCAAGAGCTTATGGCTGGCCAGATGAATTTAAGGCTCATATTCACATGAGGAGTCAAAGTGATGATGCCTCGACAGGATTGACTAGTTTTGGCATACATTCGTGAGCACTCCCATTAGTCACACATGCGAGAACCTGGGGAGCAAAGTCAAGCAAGTGTATGAAGAAAAGTACTCCTGCCATTCTATTGAAGAACACAAAACCTCCATGTTCTTCCTTGACTCGAGTCATCACGTAGGAGATAGGCGCTGAGGTATGGGTAGGTAGGTAAGAAGTACCAGGGAATTGAGACATTGGTTGCTTGGGAGGAGCTGGATAGGGAAGAAATTCCCGATGTGTCTTGATACTAACATACCTTGAATGTATGCAATATGAAAAGAATCAGTCTTGAAACGAGTTAAGTTTGCTGGACAAGGTGGGTACCTCGTAGACCCGCTTGACAGGTGCAGGTGGACCCCTACCCCTGCCCAGAAAGTTGTCGGCGACGCCATCTCTCAACCGAGACTGGAGCTCCCCGCGCTGAGCAACCTCGAATACCTCCTACCATCAACTGTGTCGCTGACAGGAAACCCCTTTGCCAGTGCACAACGACACCGATGCTGATAGTATCGCAATGGCGGACCCCTTCGAGGTACGAATGCGCTTCAGCTCGCAGCTACAGCATCTCAATGCTAGCACCGCTTCCTCGCAGAAAGCCGCCCAGTATGCGATTAAGTATAAGGATATGGACGAGGACCTGCACTCGTGCATACTGGAGCAACTCGAAAAGGTTATCACCTAGCAAAGCTCAAGCCGAAGGGACTGTTGGTTCGCTGACGTCGCAAGCAGTCAAACATGAACACTCGCGCCAACATCATGTACTTCATCGAGCACCTGATGGATATGGCCTCCAAGGAGCGCCACAACGAATATGTGCGCATGCTGCAACGTGACATTATCAGAGTCGTGGACGCAGTCTGCCCAGAGGACGGATCAGGCGCTGCGAACGTTAAGGTCATCCGGAGAGTGAGACTCTCCGAAGCTCGCAGCTGCGTTGATGTGAAACTGACGCGGGAATGCATCAGGTACTCCAGGGCCTCCAGAACAAGCATATCCTCATCGACACGACCGTTATCGAGCTAGAAGCCTGCCTGAAAGAGCGCGACACCTCCGTAACGGACCTCGTCGTTTCGTCCCCGGTCAACGGTGATGCAACGAACCCAACCGCGACCGCCGACGAGGACTCCGGTGCACGTAATGGTGCGAATGGTGCGAGTGCCCGTCCGGATAAGCGCCAGATCGAGCAGCGTATTGAAGAAGATCGCGAGCGGCATAAGAGAATGCGTGAGAGCATGTGGGCTGTCCCTCCCAATGTTTTAGAGGAGGCCGATAATATGTTCGACGACACTAGCGATTTCGACGCAGAGGATCACATACGCGGCGAAGAGGAATTAGATGAGGTATACACCGAGAACGAGGAGGTCAAATGCGGCCACTTTCAAACACCGAGAACCAACGGTGCTTCGAAGCATCGTCGGGACTCCATCAATTCCAATCAAACTATGACAGACCAGGGGTCATAGCCGTTCGTGGGGTGGCATCGAGGCCACTCAACGAAGGACATGGATGTCAACTTTGAAGGAGTGTGTTTTTCAAAACAAATCACTGCATAGCATGGCGTTAGGAAGGAGAATAATCAAGTTGGGTTTGACTGGTGGTCAGTGGCTAAGCTACAGAACATTGTCTTGCATTTTACACTGATGGCATGGACGGCATGGCGTATGGTATTGGATTATCTCAGATCGAATTTGGCTGCGAAGCCTGCCTGGATGGGTCTTGTTTTCACTAGAGGATACCACAGAGGGGACCCGTGTATGGCAGACGAAGAAGCTGCACGATGCGAGCATAGTCATCACTGTCAGGTGAAAATGCAGAGACCAGTATCAAATTATACAATGATGATTTTTCCAGTGTGGTAAGGTGGCCATGCCTGTTCTCTGTTCTCTGGACTTACTACTGGTATGGAATCGTCACATGAACGCCTACCACATCATGGTGAAGGGCTTTCACCCATCAGTCATGATTATACACCGATATATCTCATGTTCTCCCAGAAGCCCATACTTACATACTGTGGAAAACGCTCTGTACATACAAGACTAATCCAAAGGTACCCATCTCGGCACTCCAGCGGATACTCGGTTCGCCGTATATGGGCGAGCGAGAAAGACACTCACCTGTCAGAACGATGTTGACAACCAGGCCGGCTCACCCACCCCTATTCTCATAGGCCCATGTTGAAGACTCTCGACTAGGCACATCATAACCAGCCTAAGCCCTTGCATCCAGGCTGGTCTGTCCTCAGGCTGTGCTCAATGGAAAGAAAGAGAGCTACACCTCTGTCGTCCAACCGAGTCACATGGAAGGGGGTCTGTCGGTTGTGTCCAGTCCGCATGGTTCACCACGGAAGACACCCACACTATCTGCATTGCTGTCCGGTCCCTGGCTGGGGAAGTTCAAACATGGAATAAGACATACAGGTACGTGGATCACATCCGCATTTCCATCCTGCCGCCGACTACGACGACCGCACAGTACCCAGATGAAAACCAGCCAAGTATTGTACACGGTACCGGTATCAACCTGGAAGTTCACATCACCAAAGCTCTCAGTAAAATAGTAGTCGCATCGATTCAGAGACGCTTCTTATCGAAGAGGCCGCGCTTCCTACCATAGAAGAACAACAGTGAATTGAAGACCTTGAAATGGCGACCATGATATGAGGTGGCAGTCTCAGGGGTGCCGCACATTCTCCTAGAAACATTGAAGTATAAGATAGCTAGTCCTTTGGCAAGGTGCCTGTCGTGAGGCGCTATGGACCAAAGACGATGCCCCAAACGGCCAACCGATGCCAGGATGGGGAAGCAGGGTCTTGACCTCTCTCTAGGGATCTTAAAGTATATCGATGATCGGAAGGACTGCCTGAGTTGATAAAGATCGGTCCCAGCTACCAGACGAATACGGGAGACAACTAAGCGTCCTGGACCCCTAAGCCCAACATCTACCCCTTTCCTAGCGACACCGCCATCTATGCTGATACAAACACGGATCTTGACGCGTCCATTTGGCTTCTCACTATGGCAACGAATCTTCTGCAAGCTTTCAATTGGGGACATCTCTTTTCCTCATAGTCTACAGACGTGACGACTCTTGTAGGTAGTCGCATCTATTGCTGAGAGGCCGACAATACGATCCCTATCTAGTCGAAGCAAGTGACAGTTCTCGACCGTAGAGATATAATGGCCGCTAAGTAAGATATCACGCACTTCCTGCCACCTCAACGACTAGCAGACTGACGACTTCGCCAACGAGAAACTCGCACTGAGCCCTCCAGCAAGGAGATATATCGTCCTCAGCATAGGCACCGACACGCCCTTCTCCGCCGCCAACCTCACCGCATTCCCAACAATAGCATCAACCTCCATCGTCCTTCCCTCCATCGCATCCGCCATCATCGACGGCTGCACCCCGGGAAGATCCCGCGACGACGTTAGCTGCATCTGTACATCGATCAGCTTGTCGTCGATGCCGGCGTACCCGTACGCCTGGGCCACGTCCGCAATCTCAAGCATGACGTCGCGCACGAAGCGCGTAGCCTCTGCATTGGATTCCTGGAACTGCCGGTCGCGTAGCCGGGACAGCGCGCAGATCGGGTTCCAGCTGCCGTTCACGAGCAGCTTCGACCAGCGCTGGAACTGTATGTCGTCGTGCAGCTTGGCAGTGGCGCCGGCTGCCTTGATCAGGTCTACGAAGGCGCCTGCGGCTTCTTTGTGCGCTGCTGGGGCGTCGGCTGGGTAGGTTCCTACGTGCAGCAGCTCGAGCTGCACCGCAAACGTGAGTCAGTCAAGATGCGCAGCTTGGACGTTTTTGAGAAGGCTTGGGAGTCGTATCAAGATGTACCAAGAAATCGCCGCTATAGAAACTCCGTTCGGTATGAAATACTGTCAAGACGAACTTGCAGAAGGGAAAAGAGACTCCAGATACTGACCTGATGATGAGTGACCACGGCCGGTGCCGTCTGTGCAGCCGACATATACTTTAGCAAATTGGAGTTAGTAATCATTCCCTTTACGCGAGAAACGAAGATTCGGAATGCGTGTCTCGGGAGCAAGGGGCTCTTGACACAGACTAGAAGAGGAAATTCGCCCCTGAGACACGGCTATAAGGGGCAATTGGAGACTCTGAAGTGTACATACAAGAACGGTGCTCAGAATGGGATTCTTAGGGTACAGTCGAGCGAACTCGTCCTCAATACCGATGCCGTTCTGTATCAGTACGATGGCCGTTCGGCCGTCGGCCGAAACGGCGGGCCGGATGAGCTCCACCGTGGAGGGCACGGTCGGGAAAACCTTGGCCGTGACGACGACGTAGTCGAAAGTCTCGCCCGTGGCCTGCTCGACGGCCTCGGCGACGGAGCGAGCGACCCGCGGACGCACGCGCAGATCTCGCCCCCAGATGCTCGAATGGACGGTGAAGCCGTGCTCGGATGCCGCCGCGTAGTTGGAGCGGCAGACGGCCGTTCGGCAAGCAAATTAGAGTCAGCAATTACTTCTTTTAGACGTTTTGTGAGTGGTAATGCATGTCTCGGGAGCATCACACAGGCTATAAGAAGAAAATTCGCGCCCTGGGACATGGCCATATGGGTAAACAAGAGACTCGAAAATGTACATACATGTCCGAGGCGTCGACGGCCGGGGCTTGCGAGAGCACCCATGTGTACACGGCGCCGAGGCTGCCGGTGCCGAAAACGAGGATCTTGGGAGACATGGTGGTTGCCCTTTTGTCCGTAAGGTCACTAGGGAGGGTGAGTATTGGCTTGTGGTGTCGTCTTGGACTACTTTCGTCTTTCTGTCTTTTTTTGGTCTTGTTTGAAAATGAGTTGTACGTCTCGACAGGTCGCAAGGAGAAGGCAATCGCGAGACAGTTCGGATGGTTTAAGTACACGATAGTCACAGTGTTTGCTTTACCACGGAGACCGGCTTAAGCCCGCATGGGATGCGCGAACGGGGACTGGTGTTTCAGCAGCTTTTGACGCCTACGTGTAATGAACTACTAGCAAAGGAACCTCGCCTCCGAGAATTCACTTATCTCGGCACCTCGCTCCCGAGAGCTCACTTCTATCCGTGTTATGCGCTCACAGCGAAGAGGGACCATCCATTCTCGAGGATCCTTCGCAGGTGTCGAGATGGTAATGGTTAGCGGTTCCACACGACGGGAACTTTTTTGGTCCGTACTTTGCTTGTTAAAAACACGTAAGCTCTGTTCCATCATTATCTGCAATGGTGTATGGTAGAACTTTACGCGATGGCAACTTCTCGTTATGTTTGCTGTGTGCTTAACAATAAAGCTTAGAGGGTCCACCCCTTTTCGAGGATCGTCTAGATAGTAGGTAGAGACCTGAGTTTACCTGCTTGCCTGTGTACGGTATCTTGGTGATGGTCCACCTTTGCAGCTTGCCTGCCTCGCTGGAGTATGACAAGCATCTCGGGTGTAAGCGTGTTGGATACCTACTGCGGGAAGTCGGGAACGGCCGAATTCCACGATTACCACAGCCTTACAGTGTAAGGCTGAGTTTCATCTGTAACGAAGCTGAAGACCGATCGTTCGTTGCCTCCCTTTTGTCTAGGCCACAGAGAGGAAAGGAAGCTTGCCAACTCAGCCTCTAGGTACTCGCATACTTTCCATTGTATGGGAACCAATGACGTCTGTCCGTGTAGGATGACTCCGGGCGCAATATAATCCGAGGCGAAGGTCCTGGATACAGTTGGGCGGTCTTTCCGTGTCGCGTATATATCAATGAAGCTCCTCGTAGGTGAGCTTGATAGATGGTGATAACCGGCACATTATACCACCGTAAGTGCCATTCCCATGCCGCGATGAGAATAGCATTTCACCGACAGGTGTATCAGAGAAGGCCAGGTCATAGCAGTGACCAGATGCATTGTCTGTGTTCAGATGTTGTTATACAGAGTAGGTTACATGTATACACGGTATTTCTCTCAATCCCTTCCGGTGGATCGACTCTTAGTCCATAACGACAGTGGCGCCGAGCTCCTTCATGGTGGCGATGATCTTCTCGGCCTCGTCCTTGGGCACGGCTTCCTTCATCATCTTGGGCGCGCTCTCGACGAACTTCTTGCTGTCTACCAAGCTCAGGCCCAACAGGTTCTTCACCTCCTTGATGACCTTCGCCTTCGCTCCCGCGTCGAATGCCGTCAGCTTCACGCTGAACAGCGTCTTCTCCTGGGCGGCTGGCGCGGGCTCGTCGGCCTCCTCCGCAACGGCTGGGGCGGCGGGTGCGGCTGCTGCGAAGCCTCCGATGGGCATGTCGGGGATGTTGAGTCGGGACTGGAGACGCAATACGTTAGCACAGCATTCGGGCTGCCAGGACACCAAGCACACGGCGTTGGCCAACCTTTAAGCTGGATACAAGGTCGGCGGTTTCGAGAAGAGTCAATTGACTGATTTGATCGACGATTCCGGCGATCTTGGGGCTCGTAGCAGCTGCCTCGGTCGAGTTGTGCCGTCTCTGTGTCGAGGATGTGGTGCTCTGTAGGAACGAAGAGGAGGCGCGGAGTGAACTGCTGGAGCGCAGTGTGCGCGCGCAGCTGCGTGCTGCGTATCTACACGGGACGGACATGTTGGAGAGGGGGATTGACCGTTGTATGGTGTTCGATTGTTGGACAGTCGCGATGCTCTTCAAGATTTTCTACGACGATTAGATGAAGCTCGGGTTGCCCCTGCAGCCACAGCGGATGGAAGCTGAGTGGACCCCCTGCAGGCCCCTGCTGGTTCGCACCTGGCACCTGCCACCGCTGTGTGGCACGCCCGCTCTTCGGTGCCTCTGTACTCACCGCCTAAATTTTCCAGGGCGGCAGAAAAAGTTATGGGAGATCAGTACCGCGATACTGCATTTGGCAGGGCGAACCAGTGAACATTTCACCTTTCGAGCACAAATTCTGTGTTTTCTCGGCAAACATGGCGACAATCGATGTGAGCGCGCAGCGGAAGCAGCTCCTCGAAAACGAGACTTTGTTGAGTCAACTGCCGCCGGATTTAAAGCAGTTGATTCGCAGTCAAACCACCGCCAACTTTCTCGACGCCGTTGCTGCTGCGGCACTGATACCGCGGATCACGGGTCAGATATTCGTCCACTTCGAGTCCGTTTTCGCGGACATCTGCGCAAGATGGCTACTTCGGCCCCGGAATGGAGGCCAAGAGGACCAAATTATCGCTGCTTTTGCGAGAATCCTCCCATTTGCACCTCACCTCTCAGTCTTCTTAGACCTGTATATAAGAGAGACCTCACATGCGCACATACCCAAATCACAACCTCTCGCCATCAACTCCCTAGACTCACAACAAACGACCCAGTGTTCAGAGATCGACCTTTTGCGCATTCTCCTCGCTTTATGGCGCCTCATAAATCTTGACAAGAAGACGTACAGACAACTCGCTCGTCCATCTCAGGTTCAAGCACTCTTCAAACACCACCAAGCGCCAATAAGATACCTTGCTATCAAGGTCTTCTGCTGCCAGCTCGATGCTTCAGACTTCAAGTTTGAAGCTCTATTGAATGAGCATGTTGGGAAGGACGCTTCACTACATGCTGACTTTGATGGCCTGGAATTGGATTACACATTTCTCTCCTTATTGGAGCACCAGCGCGCTGAGGAAATCGACGAGATCCGCGAGGCACTGAAGACGTCATCTGTAACCGCATCATCGGTTGACGCGTTCCCTTTACAGAAACCGACACCACTGGTGATTCGATATGGCGGAACAATTCTCCCCCGACCGAATGGTGGACCGGCAACGCCTTCAGGTTTAGTTCAAACTCCCACCACCTTGGCTAACTTGGGAAGTCTTGCTACGAACCTACAGCAGCCGGGGCCTATACTCTTGCATGGACTACCTGGATCTGGAAAGACCTCGTCCGTGCATGAGCTTGCCCGCGAGCTAGGCATGGAGTCAAGCATGGTGACACTACATCTCAACGAACAGACAGACGCGAAGATGCTCATTGGCTTATACTCCACGGACTCGAAGCCTGGCTCCTTCTCTTGGCGACCTGGCGTCCTTACTACCGCTGTCAGAGAAGGCAGATGGGTATTGATCGAGGACTTGGACAGAGCTCCGAACGAGGTCATGAGCACTTTACTTCCCCTGGTGGAATATGGCAAGCTCCTTATACCTAGTAGAGGAGAGACTGTTGAAGCACCAAGCACATTTCGACTCTTTGCGACAGTGCGGACCACACGAGGAATGCACGGTCAGGAGAGTGTACCCAACCTACTAGGCCAACGATTCTGGCACCTATCAAGCACGATGATCCCGATTTACTCCGAGCTGGAACAAATCATTCTGGGAACTTACCCTCTCGTGCACAAATATACCCCAATGATCATGTCTGTTTACAAGCGGCTATGTAATGTATCAACCATCTCATCTTCTGGACGGAGCACTGTGGAACGCCCGATCACTCCTAGAGATCTTTTGAAATGGTGCCGTCGCCTCAAGGAGCTGCTGCTTGCAGCTGGTTGCACGGCAGGTGATGAACCGATCAGCGACACTGCACGGAATTGGATGTTCATGGAGGCCGTTGACTGCTTTTGTGGCAGTTTCGCGAGCCAGGCTACCAAAGACGCCGTGGTCAGCTGCATCGCTGAGGAAATGCACCTACCCAGGCAGATCGTGGAGCATGACCTCAAAATCCATGTACCACACATGGAGGAGAGCCCGAGTAACCTCAAGATCGGGAGGGTCATGCTGACTAGACGGCGGTATGCGAGTAGAGTGACGAAGTCGAAGAAACCATTCGCAAGCACCGGCCACGCGAGAAGACTACTCGAGCAGATCGCTGTAGCTGTCAAGCTATGCGAGCCCGTGCTCCTCGTGGGCGAGACGGGTATAGGCAAGACGACAGTTGTTCAGCAATTAGCCGAAACTCTTGGTCACAAGCTTGTCGCTGTGAATCTATCACAGCAGAGCGAAGTCAGCGATCTACTCGGTGGATTCAAACCTGTCAATTCACGCAGTCTTGCTGTGCCCTTGAAGGAGGAATTTGAAGATCTGTTCGCTTCCACTGGTATATCCACAGCCAAGAACCAGAGATACCTGGAACAGATCGGCAAATGCACCGCGAAAGGCCAATGGACGAGAGTCTCGAAGCTGTGGCGGGAAGCACCGAAAATGTTCGATAAGATAGTTTGCGAACTTCAAGCCAAATCGGAGGCCCGCGATGGTGCTGCAGATGACCGCCCAGCTGTCAAAAGGCGCAAAACGGAGTCCAGATTACAGTCACTGCTTGACCTGAGACCGCGTTGGGAGACATTTGCCAAGAGCCTTGAAAAATTTGACGTGCAGATCTCAGGGGGCTCTGGCAGTTTCGCATTTGCCTTCGTTGAGGGCAATATTGTCAAAGCCGCGCGGAATGGTGATTGGGTCCTACTAGATGAAATCAACCTTGCTTCGCCCGATACTCTGGAGAGTATTGCTGATTTGCTGGCTTCTGGTCCTAACGATGAGCCATCTATCCTGCTGTCTGAGACAGGAGAGATCGAACGGGTGAAGGCACACCCTGACTTCCGAATATTTGGTGCGATGAACCCAGCCACAGATATCGGTAAGCGAGATCTGCCACTTGGACTGAGATCGCGCTTTACGGAGTTGTATGTCAGCAGCCCGGATAAGGATCTCAAGGATCTCCTTACCATTATCAAGGCATACCTGAGTGGGAAAAGCACAAAGGACGACCAGGCTGCCGATGACATAGCGAGGCTCTATTTGAACACGAAATCGCGCGCAGAGGAAAAGCGTCTCGTCGATGGGGCCAATGAAGTACCTCACTTCAGTCTTCGGACTCTCACTCGTGTCTTGACTTACGTCAACGATGTTTCTCCGTTCTACGGCCTCAGGCGAGCATTATTTGAAGGCTTCTCCATGGGGTTTTTGACATTGCTGGACAGAGCATCGGAAGAAACGCTTGTGCCTCTGATCCACCATCACCTACTTGACAGACATGGCAACGTAAAGTCCTTGCTTTCTCAACCACCAAGGCATCCCGAAGATGGCAGACAATACGTCAAGTTTGTGAACAAGAACAGAGACCGCCACTACTGGCTATTGCAAGGGATTGAGACTCCCCTGGAGCGTACCGACTACATCATCACGCCATATATAGAGCGCAACCTGCTCAATCTCGTACGCGCAACTTCTACCCGGCGGTTTCCGATTCTTGTACAGGGTCCTACGTCCGCAGGTAAAACAAGCATGATCGAATATCTCGCGAACTACAGCGGAAACAAGTTTGTTCGAATCAACAATCACGAACACACAGACCTCCAAGAGTACCTGGGAACTTATGTTTCTGATGCTAATGGCAAGTTGCGGTTCCAAGAAGGCTTGCTGGTGCAAGCCCTGCGACAGGGACACTGGATCGTGCTTGACGAACTGAACCTTGCACCGACCGACGTACTAGAGGCGCTCAATCGTCTCCTCGACGACAACCGAGAGCTGCTCATTCCCGAAACGCAAGAAGTTGTCCGTCCGCATGACAATTTCATGCTATTTGCGACTCAGAATCCACCTGGACTGTACGGTGGCAGGAAAGTACTCTCACGCGCCTTCCGCAATCGATTTCTAGAACTTCACTTTGATGACATCCCCGAAGACGAGCTGGAAACGATTCTACAGAAGCGCAGCTTGTATACTGCGCCATCTGACTGCAAAAGAATCGTCAACGTATACAAAGAGCTATCGAGACTGCGGCAGACGAGTCGCCTATTTGAGAACAAGGACAGTTTTGCGACCTTGAGAGACCTCTTCAGGTGGGCTTTGAGAGGAGCTGAAACTCGAGAAGAGATTGCGGCCAACGGCTTCATGCTGCTTGCTGAGCGAGTACGCAATGAGGAGGAGCGCATGGCCGTCAAGAAAGTCATAGAGACTGTGTTCAAGGTCAAAGTCAACCAGGAACTGCTCTACGATCTGCGGAAAGCACCTTTCCTTCGTGTTCGGACGCCGGATAATAACCACGGGGTCGTTTGGACGCATGCGATGCGCCGCCTATATGTCCTAGTCGCAAGTGCGCTCCGCCACAACGAGCCCGTCCTTCTAGTCGGAGAGACTGGTTGCGGTAAGACGACTGTCTGCCAGCTGCTAGCTGAGTCACTTGGCAAGGAGCTACATATTGTGAACGCACACCAGAACACGGAAACGGGAGATCTGATCGGATCTCAAAGGCCTATCAGAAATCGCGGGGCGATCACGGACGTCCTGATGCAAGATATAAGACAAGTGCTACAGTCCCCTGAGCATGATACCAATGGCGACGTGGACGAACTTCTTGAATTGTATCATTCGCTTGATGCCTCGTTGCTGTCCAGAATCCCGGCAGACATCCAGCAACGGATAGCTGACAATGAGGTCAAAAGTAAAGCACTCTTCGAATGGGCAGACGGTAGCCTAGTCCAGGCCATGCGGAATGGCCAGTTCTTCCTGCTTGACGAGATATCTCTTGCAGATGATTCCGTATTGGAAAGACTCAATTCAGTGCTTGAGCCACAACGCTCGCTTCTTCTTGCGGAGAAGGGCATCGACAACTCTTTTGTCAAGGCTGATGATAGCTTCCAATTCCTGGCA